TCGAACTACTTCGGCTTTTATTCTTAGAAAGTCGTAGTATTATTATATTTATACTATAATTTTTGCGATACCTATATATCCTCCTATTTTAAACGTATAAATTTTTACGATAAGAGTTTGACGTTACTTTAACTAAATATAGGCCTTATTATAATATTATAATTTATTATTCTAAAAGACGATTCCTTCTTCCGGGCTATCCTCTTACCGTTACTACTCTTTAGGAGTAGTAATAATAATTTAATAACCGAAATCTTGCAATTTAATTCGATAAACGGTATAATGCTTTATTTATTCATATAAGAGGTATACGAATAATCTATTAAATTATTCCTAGAATAAAAGTATAAAAGTTTTTACTATATCCTTTATATAGTCGGCTTTCCAGTTAAGTACGTTAATTCGAACGTTCTCTAATCCCTTTTTATAATTAATTTTAAAGTTGAATTTTAATAAGAATTCGGCCTATTATATTTAATGGCCCTTAAGTACCTTCGTAGTTATAAAGTACCGGAGATTATTATAGTCGGTATAAATTTATATTTTATATATAATTGTACTAAAATATAGCTTCTATTCTTAGAATACTTCGATAATAATTAGGGGTTCTTTATTATAAATAGGGTAATTGTAATATGGTCCTTCCAGCTTCTTTAAAAAGAAAGCTATGAGATATAATTTTCCTTAATTATTACATTATCCCAATTGTCTCTTAATAGCGTAATGTAATATATTAATTTTAATTTTAAAAGGTTTATTTAAATTAAGAAGCTTTGGTACGAGAGTTTATAGTAATTATATTGTAAATAGCCTTAAAAGCTTCCTCTTCCTCCTTTCCTTATATAAAAACAGCTTCCTTTCTAATAAATTTATATAATCATTTAGTAATCTTCTTATAATTACGTATAAATATAAAATAGAAGTTAATAAACTTTAGGAACCTACGGATTTCGGTTGCGTTTTTAAATATAAGTTAGTTCCGTACGGCTTCTATTTTATTTAATTCTATTCTAATTTCGTTTTTTAAAATTAAATACTAAAGAAATACAATCTTTCTTATATAAAATTTACTTTTCTCTATATTAATAGAGAATTTATATTGGTATAATATATTTAATATTTCCTTTATGTATTTTTTATATTCTACGAGAATTTTAAAATAAATAAGGATATTATTTAGATAGTAGATAGCGGACTTATCGAAGTAAGGTCGGATTGTATAATTAATAATAAATTAGAATATTATAAGTATATTAATTAATCCGAATGGTATAACGAAATATTCGTAATATCCGTAGAATATATAAAATACTATTTTCTATTTATCTCTTTCTTTAATTTAAATATAAGTATAAATAATAAGTAAATTAAAGTATATAAAGTATTATATTCCACTTAATTAATTCTAAATATATAAAATTAAGGGTAGGGGATAATTATTTCTTATAATCTTTTAATTTAATTGCTTATAATTAATATAAAGGCGTAGTTTTCTATCCTTTTTTGGTACGACGAGGATAGGGTACACTATTAGCAATATAAATTACCGAATATATGTTCGTTTTAAATTTTCATTTAAATACTTCCGCAATTCCGCGTTTTACTTTTCATTAATATATTATACTTTATAGAATTTGAATTTAACTCCTTCCTTAAACTTAATTTTGTAGCTCTATAGTCCTTATAACAATAGTCTTTTAAAGTATTTATTAACAAAAGCCAGGTATCCTTAATATTCCGCTAGGATTATTATTTTCAGTTTTTCCGTTTATTAATTCTAATAATAGTCGAATTTATATTGAGTATTATTTATAAATAATTCTACTAACGTTATTAACCCTTCTTCTATAACCTTACTACTTTTATTAATAATATAAATTATAATTTCTTATATTATTTATAGTAGGACTATAGGAATAACGCTATTATAGTTCGCTTCCTTCTATATTCTAAATTTCTTATTAATAATTAAGTATATTTTAGGAACGTAAGTAGCTACCTGTCACAGGGTTAGACCTCTGTGACTGTCGTACGTGATTGTTGCCATGGCGTACCGCTATGTGCCATTCACATGCTTGTGTAGGCTGCAGCCGCTTCTGAGACTGCTGCAGCCTAATTGGCTAAGTCCTCCCAGCCTTACGCGGCTGGGACCCTACTTAAGGCCAGTCCTCTGCGCACAGCTTACGACTGTTCCCTTTCTCCTTCATGCAATTACGCATATCTACATCTACACTCTACCCTTTGTCCGTGATATCTATATAATAATAATAATTACTATTAATTAAACTATTAGTATTTATTTCTATTCTTCGGTCCCGTTTATATATAAACGCCTATATATTATATAGTATATATAGTCGGCTAGAAAGCTCTTATAAATAGCAATAGACTTTCTCTTATTTTGATATATACTAAACTAAATTTTATTAGCCTCTTTTTATATTAATTATAATATATTTATGATAAATTAAAAAAGTATTAGTACGTAATATTAAAGAAAATAGTAAAATAATAAAATATATATTTATTTTATAAATACTACGTGCATTCTCGCTAGGCTTTGGTTTGTTTATAAAGCCAACGCTTATATATTATTACTATAAATTCGACGACGTTGGTAAATACTCTTTTTTCCGTTCTTCAACATCGGATATAATCGGCGGTATCGGCGGTTTTCGTAGTCCATCCCTTCCGTATTGTATATAGATAGAATACGATTAGTACTATAAAATTCAAATAATACCCTTTCAAATTATAATAGTTTACGAACTTAATATATTTTAAAGGAGAAATCTATTAAAAAATTCGGAAGGAGGGTTTTATATAAAAACTAACGCAACCCTTATAACGTGGGGACCGTAATTTATATAGTAGAATTAATTGGGAAGAATAAATATATAATAAATATAATTAGAATAGGATAGAAATTTGCTTATTTAGTTTAATCAGGAATCCGAGAATAAAGACAAAATTTATATCTTGAAACCATTCTAACTCGCCTAAAGGGTATATATACGGAGAAAAGTATTCACTAAAGCCAACCACACCTCCCAAAAGCCAACCACTCCTCTAAGTAGGTGTCATGAGTAAATAGCAGGGGTAAGCACCTTGTGTAGTGTATGCCTAGCCCACTCAGCTGGGCTTGGCGTAAGTGGAACGGTGCACTCGACGGCGAAGGCAATAGAAAACGGTTGCAAGAAACGGCGGCGGCGTTTTTGGCTGAGTCATCCAAACCCCTGTAAAAACCTCCTCCCATAGACATGCTTCCGATATGTCGGCTTATCTATGGGAGCGGGAAGGACAGGAAACGGGTCTTTTCATCACGTGTTAGGGTCAAAAAACTGAACCACCAGCTCCCATATCCATATCGTTCGGACGGAGGTAAGACGGTAAGTGGGGAGGCGGCGCTAAAAAGATGAATATAATTGGGCAGATTACGAGAAAAGTTGACCGTCCCGACACTGTGGCTAGATTGCACTCGGTCAGTAGACGAGTCGATTGGCTAAGAGAGCTGCATGCCAGGGCTGCGGAACAAGGTGACGGCGGCGTTGAGAGCGACAAGGCAATCACAGCTCTAGGATCAGAAGCCGGCAGCTAGGGTGGGATGGCTTTAAGCCTGGGCGGGGGCCCGTGTCAGCACCCCCGCCCCCTGGCATACTTGCATGGGGCTTGGCTCGAAGCGAGGCTGGAAGCCTTGATATCAAAACAAACGCTACCCGAAGTGAACCCTCTGGTTGCCTTTTTGGCATGTCCTCCATTGCAGCATCAAAGCTGCATTTGATCCTTGAAAGACGAAACATTAATGTGGCACACTGACATTAGGCTTGATTTACAGGACGTCGCCAATCCAACGAGAGAGAAGAGAATGTGTTGCGCCTTTCTCAGGCAGTGAAATAAGCTTTTGATTAGCCGCCATTGTCTGGCTTTGGCGAGAATTGGCAGTAAAAATGAGGAGAAGGAGTAGTCGAGACCAACGCCGAATGACGTTGCGAGGCTGTCAGTCTCTCGTATCCTGGCGCTTGAATTCACTGCACGCAATAACCAGACGATGCTCCAATAGGCTGCGGTACCTGGTTGGGATTGAATCCAGTTGATTGATTCGATCCCGCAGTTTGTACATACAGGCCAGCTGACGAAGTGCCATGATAATAGATGAGGGAAGATAGAGAGAGGAAGAGCAAGTTAGAGGAAGAGCAAGGTAGAGGAAGAGGGAGGAAGAGGGAGGAAGAGGGAGGAAGAGGGAGGAAGAGGGAGGAAGAGGGAGGAAGAGGGAGGAAGAGGGAGGAAGAAGATAGGGGGTTGAAGGCAGGGGAAGCAAGGGACCAGTTTGAGGCCAATCAGCGTTCCAAATCGAGAGCCTTCCCCGAGATGGTTACGGGTGATTGTCAAGGATGGTGAGTCGCCGGAGAAGGTGTCTTCGGAATGAAAAAGAAAGGAAAGAGAAACCCAGATCATCCAGACAAGGCAGCGGGATGCTTGTCGTCAGATCCATATCCCAAATTGTGTCGACGCCAATGCAACTTGTTCTTCATGTCTCTCCCGACAGCGCAACCATCTAATATCTGCGAGCGTCTGCATGACAACCACCGCAGATGATAGCAGTGGCACGGTATGGATAACCGAAAGGGCTTTTTAGATACCAATCCACTATAGTCGAAGACGTCGTACTTCATCCAACATGGAGCGATAGGTGAAGAGAGTTTCTTCACGGATTGTGTTCCAAGATAAAAGTTCAGGACATCCCCCGATTTTCAGCTGCCTTATTCTCGCATTCACATCCTATCCTTGTATCATCAGACTTGGACATGCCAGTTGTCAACTCTTCAAGACCCTCATAGGAACGGACATCACACCACTCCACGTACACTCGTTCTCCTCTTCCGACTTTTGGACCCGAACTCAATCCGGATCACATAGGTATAGTCGAGAGATTCTTTGACATTTTGGAAATGAAGCCATATACACGACATCCAAGAGAACTGAATTCAGCACCAGCCTCAATGGATCATACTAACCCCGTTTACCTGTCTCATCCGCAATCCGAAAAGGACTTTCTGGCTCAATACTACGCCAGGCTCTCCTTAGCGGACACGGGTGCTGTGACAAGGGCAGTATTCTGGGCTTGGAACAGTAGTTCAATTCAGCTGATAAACTACTTTGGTCTCGAAGGCCTTGTTGATCCTCTCAACCTCCAGGGGAAGGCTGGGCTTCAAGGCCTTCTTATGCCAAAGGGAAACGGTACGTACTGGGGTACGTACCGGTCCTTGTCGCCTGAGGCTCCAAGGCATCTATCTAGCGACCTGTATACCTGTGGATCTTTCTGAATGCCTTCATCCATTCTCCTTCTTCCTTCTGGCGCCGGCCTTTGCCCGGGCGCTCTGCTTCTGCTTGGTTGGCCGTGATTGCTCCTGTGATGATGAGGTGGCTTTGTGATGATGTTTAGCGCCGTCAGCAGTTCTGGGATTGGCTCGTTTAGCCTGGTGGCGTTGCGGGGGTTCGGGTAAGCCGTGCCAGTGGCCGAAGGTCCGGCCGCGGGTCCGGCCGAGGGTTCGACCGAGGTGAGTGTTGCGGCCGGATGCCACCGGGCATCTCGAGGCTAATGCCAGGCGTTGAGGCTCTGCTGAGCCTTGCGACCCTAACCCCTGGACTGTGGGCAATGTCCGTGTGACAGGTGCGGACAAAAGATCTCCCATTCCTGCAACTGCCCCTTCCACTGTCACGGTTACACCTGAAGCGCCAGCCCAGCAATCCCAGATTATTACAGAGACCACGGGCACGGGAGCCATAGGCCTCACCATAACCACGGTTACGGGCATCCCGGGCACATCCACGCGCACCATAACCGGACCGGACGGAACCGTCCTTATCCCACCTCCTATCCCCGCCCACCCCGGCTGTGAACTCTCTCCGCAAATGGCCAAAGCGATGAAAGATTATGCGATCGAGCATTGTTGCGACTGCATGAAGGCCAAGAATCTGCTCAGAGACAAGGTAAGCAAACGAGCAGCAAAAAGTTAGATGAGGGACTGGAAACTTACTATCACTAGATCATGGCAAAGGTCCTCGAGAACACTCAGGAGAAGCTTATGGAATTGTTGCAAAATGAACTTGATCGGATGAGCAGCGAGGAGGAGGATGATGATCTCGACCTTAACTCCGACATGGAGGAAGGTGACTGGACCTTGGAGGGTTAAGATCAGAGGAGGGTTGGAAACCATAACGCCGTATAACGAACGATGTTCGGTGTCACGGCACTGGCGGATGGGTCCCGGCATGGCGGGACGTGCACGTGATGTCGTGCCGCGTGCACCGGCCATCTGGGCCCTGAGTTGAAAACCCTGGGCGCCAGGCGCGCCTTTGCACGTTTCCCTCTTTTTCTTCTTTATCTTGTGATTCTACTGTAGACCTGAAATCAACGTGTTCAGCTTTGTCTCTCGTGATCACGTCGCTTGTGACATTTGGGAAAAGCTAAAAAGCTGAGCCCTACCCGCGCCACGGCCCCATAAGTGGTGCAAGCTACCAGGCCGCTACTGGTACACTATTGCCAACCCTGTAGACCCCGTGACAGAAAGCCACAACCCTCGCCCAAATCGAGTTATTGATTGGCGCCCTGAAACCCCTGGGTCCAGAATAGTGTGTAGTTGGGAGGGAGCCGCCAGCCATCCTACGCCTGACAGGGTGAAACAGAAACAGACTCAACACGACGCCTCATACTCCACCATAGCCTTGAGAAAACATAGTGCTCTAGTTTCTTTTTATTTTGTCCTTGGGGGCAGGATAGAGGAATCTTCAGCATTTTTACAAACTCAGTCCATTGATCGTCAACTGTATAGCATTCGCTGCCTCCAGGACAACACAATCATCCTCGACTGCCTCATCTACGTCGCCTTGCTCAAGACCTTCGTTCCCTAAAGCTACTCAGTCTCGCCCTCCACCTCTGCAACAAATCCCCGCCGCCACTGCTATGACCGTTACCCATATGCCTGCCTCCGGGCTCCCAGCCGCTCCAGCTACCGGCTCTACCGATACAGAGATGTCCGCCAGCGTGGATAACACGAAGCAGGTGAAAGTAGGTTTACTTGTTTTTCTCCTACGACATTTCAGAATGACGCTAACACATATAAAGAATCCATATTACAACTTTCCCATATCACGTAGCCATATTCGCTTGCTTCAACTATTGCCGTCTGAAAATGAGGACGCCGCAATACGCTGTGAGCTCTTCTGCACCGCATTGGACGCAAAAGGCACTCGTCCGTACGAGGCCTTATCCTACGTGTGGGGCTCCGGCGCCGAGCCTTGTTCCATCTTCATAAACGGGTACGCCTTGGCCGTCGGAAAAAACCTTTACGCAGCGCTGTTACATCTTCGAGATCACTCCATTGAACGAACTATATGGATAGATGCCATTTGCATCAATCAAGAAGACCCAGAAGAAAAAGGACACCTAGTTCAATCCTTGGCGAAGATCTACGCTAAAGCAAGTCGCGTAATTGTTTGGCTTGGAGAGGAGGCAGTCGGTAGCGACCAAGCGCTGGAAGAAATACGCATCGCAGCCGAGCGCGACCAAACGCTTGAAGAAATACGCATCGCAGCCGAGCTGTCTACAAGACGATCAGACAATAAAGCGGAAATCCTTACACTGCTTCAACGACCGTGGTTTCAGCGCATCTGGGTAAGGGAACCGATGTCAAAGTATTATGACTAAGGAAACTGACAGATTGATGTAGGTGCTTCAGGAAGTTGCCGCGGCTCGCCATATCCTAATTAAGTGTGGTTCTGCTGAGATTGACGGATTTGCATTCTGTTCAGGCTTAAATGTATTGAACCTGTTCAATGAACTCCCCGCAGACTTGCGAGCTCGAATCCTTTCGGTAACCTACCTTATAAGGGGCGCAATCTTCCGGCCCAAATACGCGACCAGTCAGTTAGACAACTTTTCTCTTAACATACGCCCTCTGGGTAATCTGATAGAGATGTACCACACCCGCGAAGCTACGGATCGTCGCGATAAAGTATATGCCTTACTCGGTATGAGCTCTGATAATCCAACCGCAGCAGGATTATTCGCCGACTACAAGATTCAGTGGGCACAACTCTTCAACAAACTCATCCACTTCCTCTTATCTGAATTGGTCTCTGTAGTAGGCCTTTCGGACGATAAGGAGATTGCCTGCATTGAGGGCAAGGGCTGCATTCTTGGCGAAGTGTCCTCGGTCAAGAGAAATGCTACTTGGGAAGACGGACAAGATGTGGCCATTACTTGGAGTAATGCCCCTAGCTATATTTGCGTGAAGGAAGCATGGGGTTCTTGCTGGACCCTCCCGACCACGGTAAAATCCGTCCAAAAAGGAGATGTTATCTGCCTTCTTCAAGGAGCGTCGAGCCCCACGATCCTCAGGCCATACAACGATCATTGGGCGGTTATAATGATTGCAGTTTTCCCAGCAGGCGATTCACAAATCACCACCGGAGATATCAAGTGGTCAGAACTTTTACAATCAATAACAGTCTTTCCACACAATTTTCTACTTATCTGGGATTGGGATATAAATCCAGACAGGCAGCAAGATAAAAACAACCATGACTACTTTGCAAGCATTCCAGTACCAAAGCATTCAAAGACAGGGTTGGAAAGTTGTCTAAATGTGGCGACTAGGATACGGAATGTCAGATTGGCGTTACAAGAGGTGAAACAGTATGGAGTTGCAGTGAAGAATCTTCGGGAAGAAACGGCGGTTCTTGAGAGGGCATTGAGGAGCATGAGCAACCTAAAAAAGACTTGCTTAGGTCCCGAGGATTCAGAAAAGGAAGATGCAAAAGAAACAATGATAAATCAACTTATTGAGGACAAGGGCCAATGGACGCTTCTATGCTTGGCGGCAGGAAACGGGCATGAGACGGTCGTAAAATTACTTCTCGACACCGGCAAGGTCAACTTGCATAGGGAGGAGCTACGAACGGCACGGTGGCTTGCGGAGCAAAAAGGCTATAAAACGATCGTTAAGATGCTTCTCGATCCTAACAAGGTCGATGGAGATAGGACAGATAGAGATGGATTAACGGCGACGCTGTATCAAGCGGCGATAACTGGGCATGAGGTAGTCGTTCAGCTGCTTCTCGATACTGGCAAGGTTGATGCAGGTGCTAAGGATGAGAATGGGTGGACAGCGCTGCATATGGCGGCAGAGAATGGGCATGAGGCGGTTGTTAAACTGCTTCTCGATACTGCCAAAGTTGACGCAGATGCTCAGGACCAGTATGGACAGACAGCGCTGTATATGGCGGCAGAGAATGGGCATGAGGCGGTTGTTAAACTGCTTCTCGCTACTGGTAAGGTTGACGCAGATCCAAGGGATAGGGATGGACAGACAGCGCTGCATATGGCGGCAGGGAATGGGCATGAGGCGGTTGTTAAGCTGCTTCTCGATACTGGCAAGGTTAACGTAGATCCTAAGGGCTGGGATGGACGAACAGCACTGCATATGGCGGCGAAGAATGGGCATGAGGCAGTTGTTAAGCTGCTTCTCGATGTTGGCAAGGTTAACGTAGATCTTAAGGATGAGGATGGACAGACAGCGCTGTATATAGCGGCAGAGAATGGGCATCAGGCGGTTGTTAAGCTGCTTCTCGATACTGGCAAGGTTAACGCAGATCATAAGGGCTGGGATGGACGGACAGCGCTGCATATGGCGGCGAAGAATGGGCATGAGGCGGTTGTTAAGCTGCTTCTCGATATTGGCAAGGTTAACGCAGATCCTAAGGGCTGGGATGGACGGACAGCGCTGCATATGGCGGCAGAGAATGGGCATGAGGCGGTTGTTAAGCTACTCAGCCTTGCATTCTAAGAGGCAGGCTTGAAGGACAACTCCACCTCGAGTGTGACGAACGGCAGTCTGATCTGCCCAAGTAGGATCGCTGAAGGTTGACACTATCAGAAGACGTTCGGTGAAGCCAAAGGGTTCACAACAAGTATGGTAGCGTTATACTAGTCTCGGTAATAATGATCAATTGACTACTGTCGAACTATCTGACAATCTGAGTTCTCCAGTCGTCCCTTTATACTCTGCGTGCCTATCTAGACTTCTCATGCCTCAAGTGTCTACTTGCTTGCGATGTTGGCTCACTCATGGTGTTGGCTCACCGTGAGCACCGGCTTACTAGTAAGCCTGTGCATGCAGCGAGTATGCTCCTGCGCCCTTCTGGTCTAACCCTGATTCTGAGGGTTACACCGTCCGTGTCGCTTAAGTTCGTAACATCGAGTCAGCCTTTTACGATCTTTCCTCCTACAAGAATTGATCTTGGTTTACTCCCAAATCTTTATTGTTTACTCCCTAAATAAAGATACTCTAAAGGTAAGGGAGCGTACAGTCGTATTGACTTCTAAAATTAATTAAAATTATAATTCCCGACGGATATAGAGTGTCGCGCGAAGGTTGATGGCATGGGTATAAAAGAAATAAGACTTTAGTACGGTCAGGATCAACAAAGTAAAGCCATACTGGAAGTCATAGTAAAAAAGAAGGATGTTGTGAAAGGGAGGAGGAGGCTGTCCCAGCCAGCCGTCTGCACGCGAAGAATATCCTTTGCTATCACAGGACAAGGCGAAAAGGTAGGAGGTAGGTTGGATATGCGTAGTTGTATGAGGAGAGTAAGGGGAGGGGGAGTGTGTACGGTCTGGTAATATAGGGTAGGAGTGAGCCACAGCCAGAGCCCGAGCCACACCAGACCTACTGACACGGATGCACGAGTGGTCCCATGGCGGGAGCCGTGCATGTGCCAGGCACAGTCATAGGTAATCCTGTGACACAAGATCTTTCCAATCAATACCTAAGTCTGCGATGGACACGCAGACTTTCCCACGGAAATGGGGATCTGTTTCGAGTTTGTGAAGGTTGGCAATGAGATTGAGTCCGAGGTCGTCTTTAGTTAATGGCTTAAAGGTATGATGTCCGATCTTGTCAAGATTTGGGATAGGATGAGGACCGGTGGTATTGGTTAAGTATCGTATCGATGGTAGGTATATTGAGGATGTTGAGGATGTGGTTGTTAATTCGTTGAGCTTGTTGTCGATACGATTCAATACCTCAAGAACTTGTTGGATGGCGCTAGAGATGACGTCGGTTTGAGTGGAGGAAGAAGAGGGGGTGGATTGTTGCAAATTGGTTTCAGTAAATTTGCAAAGGTGTTGGATTTGGAGTTCGAATAATGCAATTTCGCTCTTAAGCGCCTCCATTTTGAAGCAGCTAGAATTAAGAACGGAAGAAAGGACGATGGTTGTATGTAGTGGGAAGATGTAGAGATGGTGTTAAGATGAAAAGAGGGAAGCAAAGAATTTAGCGACAAGGGTGCCAAGCCTAAGGCCTACGATTGTATGACCTGTTAAGTGCCAGGGGTAAATAACTTGGGATGGTCCCAACAAATAGAACCTAAATGCAGGTAACCATCGTATAATGCATTCTAACCGACCAGTCACAGCACCGCCGAGCACTGAGAGGAAGTTTTGCCCAGGAGCGTGGAAGGGCCGGGCGGCGTGTCATTCCGTTGAGATAGTTTCGATTATAGCCGTGGCTAGAATTCCCGAAAGAGGCTCTCCATCGCAATTGGACCTCGCTATCTATTGCTGAAAGATTGAGCGTGTCTAAGTGTCTGAGAACCGTTCCGAATTGTACTAGCGTAAGAAGATTCCAAAGGAGAAAGACACTCAACGTCTGCGGTATGACTAACTCGGAGAAGATTGTCATTGACAAAAGATTCTGAAAGGGAAGAGTCAACTTCCGTAATTTCTTCAATTTGGTACTTCTTCAAGGCGGGCTCCTCGCACGGCGAGGGCTCCTTTCTTCATTCCGCCAGTCTTGCAAATCCACGATTCCCTGCCGCACGTCATACCCCGCATCCACGACATAATATCGACCATTTGGGACCCGAAAAGATCGACGGGAAGCTTGAGCACAAAGCGAGGCATTATTACTAGAACCCTCCGCGCCTGCCAGAATATATGAGAAGGTTCTATCACTTTTGACTACTACGAATATATTCTACGTGATATTGCTATTACGGACCTTCCAGCGTTGCTGTTGAGATGTACGACGACTAGGGGAACTCCCAATACGATAGGAAGCAATAGGGAGTAAATAATAAAGATTAGGGAGTAAACCAAGATCAATTCTTACAGGAGGAAAGATTGTGAAAGGCTGACTCTGTTACGATGCACCAGCTCACGTAGTTCCGTATCGCGTAGTTGGGTACAAAATGAATAAATAACTAAAGCTAAAGAAGAAAAGAGGGAGAGATTGAGAGCTGGGTTCTAGAGTGCATCCTTATATGGGATGAGCCCAGATTCTGCCAGTCTCTACCGCCTTCCTTATCTAATCTGTGAGGGTTGCGGGATCCATATCGTCACAGACTCGAGGTGGAGTTGTCCTCCAAGCCTGCCTCTTAGGATGCAAGGCTGAGTAGCTTAACAACCGCCTCATGCCCATTCTCTGCCGCTATATGCAGCGCTGTCCGTCCGTACCGGTCCTGAGCACCTGCGTCAACCTTGCTAGTATCGAGAAGCAGCTTAACAACCGCCTCATGCCCATTCTTTGCTGCCATATGCAGCGCTGTCTGTCCATACCGGTCCTGAGCATTTGCGTCAACCTTGCCAGTATCGAGAAGCAACTTAACAACCGCCTCATGCCCATCCACTGCTGCCATATGCAGCGCTGTCCGTCCATCCCTATCCTTAAGATCTGCGTCAACTTTGCCGGTATCGAGAAGTAGCTTAACAACCGCCTCATGCCCATTCTTTGCCACCCTATGCAGCGCTGTCCGTTCATACCGGTCTTGAGCACCTACGTCAACCTTGCCAGTATCGAGAAGCAACTTAACAACCGCCTCATGCCCATTCTCTACCGCCATATGCAGTGCTGTCCATCCAAGCCGGCCCTTAGGATCTGCGTCAACCTTGCCAGTATCGAGAAGCAGCTTAACAACCGCCTCATGCCCATTCTCTGCCGCCATATGCAGTGCTGTCCATCCAAGCCGGCCCTTAGGATCTGCGTCAACCTTGCCAGTATCGAGAAGCAGTTTAACAACCGCCTCATACCCATTCTTCGCCGCCCTATGCAGCGCTGTCCACCCATTCTCATCCTTAGCACCTGCATCAACCTTGCCAGTATCGAGAAGCAGCTGAACGACTACCTCATGCCCAGTTATCGCCGCTTGATACAGCGTCGCCGTTAATCCATCTCTATCTGTCCTATCTCCATCGACCTTGTTAGGATCGAGAAGCATCTTAACGATCGCTTTATAGCCTTTTTGCTCCGCAAGCCACCGTGCCGTTCGTAGCTCCTCCCTATGCAAGTTGACCTTGCCGGTGTCGAGAAGTAATTTTACGACCGTCTCATGCCCGTTTCCTGCCGCCAAGCATAGAAGCGTCCATTGGCCCTTGTCCTCAATAAGTTGATTTATCATTGTTTCTTTTGCATCTTCCTTTTCTGAATCCTCGGGACCTAAGCAAGTCTTTTTTAGGTTGCTCATGCTCCTCAATGCCCTCTCAAGAACCGCCGTTTCTTCCCGAAGATTCTTCACTGCAACTCCATACTGTTTCACCTCTTGTAACGCCAATCTGACATTCCGTATCCTAGTCGCCACATTTAGACAACTTTCCAACCCTGTCTTTGAATGCTTTGGTACTGGAATGCTTGCAAAGTAGTCATGGTTGTTTTTATCTTGCTGCCTGTCTGGATTTATATCCCAATCCCAGATAAGTAGAAAATTGTGTGGAAAGACTGTTATTGATTGTAAAAGTTCTGACCACTTGATATCTCCGGTGGTGATTTGTGAATCGCCTGCTGGGAAAACTGCAATCATTATAACCGCCCAATGATCGTTGTATGGCCTGAGGATCGTGGGGCTCGACGCTCCTTGAAGAAGGCAGATAACATCTCCTTTTTGGACGGATTTTACCGTGGTCGGGAGGGTCCAGCAAGAACCCCATGCTTCCTTCACGCAAATATAGCTAGGGGCATTACTCCAAGTAATGGCCACATCTTGTCCGTCTTCCCAAGTAGCATTTCTCTTGACCGAGGACACTTCGCCAAGAATGCAGCCCTTGCCCTCAATGCAGGCAATCTCCTTATCGTCCGAAAGGCCTACTACAGAGACCAATTCAGATAAGAGGAAGTGGATGAGTTTGTTGAAGAGTTGTGCCCACTGAATCTTGTAGTCGGCGAATAATCCTGCTGCGGTTGGATTATCAGAGCTCATACCGAGTAAGGCATATACTTTATCGCGACGATCCGTAGCTTCGCGGGTGTGGTACATCTCTATCAGATTACCCAGAGGGCGTATGTTAAGAGAAAAGTTGTCTAACTGACTGGTCGCGTATTTGGGCCGGAAGATTGCGCCCCTTATAAGGTAGGTTACCGAAAGGATTCGAGCTCGCAAGTCTGCGGGGAGTTCATTGAACAGGTTCAATACATTTAAGCCTGAACAGAATGCAAATCCGTCAATCTCAGCAGAACCACACTTAATTAGGATATGGCGAGCCGCGGCAACTTCCTGAAGCACCTACATCAATCTGTCAGTTTCCTTAGTCATAATACTTTGACATCGGTTCCCTTACCCAGATGCGCTGAAACCACGGTCGTTGAAGCAGTGTAAGGATTTCCGCTTTATTGTCTGATCGTCTTGTAGACAGCTCGGCTGCGATGCGTATTTCTTCAAGCGTTTGGTCGCGCTCGGCTACGATGCGTATTTCTTCCAGCGCTTGGTTGCTACCGGCTGCCTCCTCTCCAAGCCAAACAATTACGCGACTTGCTTTAGCGTAGATTTTCGCCATAGATTGAACTTGGTGTCCTCTTTCTTCTAGGTCTTTTTGGTTAATGCAAATGGCATCTATCCATATAGTTCGTTCAATGGAGTGATCTCGAAGATGTAACAGCGCTGCGTAAAGGTTTTTTCCGACGGCCAAGTCGTACCCGTTTATAGAGATGGAACAAGGCTTGTCCTCGGAGCCCCACACGTAGGATAAGGCCTCGTACGGACGAGTGCCTTTTGCGTCCAATGCGGTGCAGAAGAGCTGACAGTGTATTGCGGCGTTCTCGTTTTCGGACGGTAATAGTTGAAGCAAGCGAATAGGCTACGTGATATGGGAAAGTTATAATATAGATTCTTTATAGGTGTTAGCGTCATTCTGAAATGTCGTAGGGGGAAAAGAAGTAAACCTACTTTCACCTGCTTCGTGTTATCCACGCTGGCGGACGTCTCTCTATCGGTGGAACCAGTAGCCGAAGCGGCTAGGGGCTGTAGGGTGGACGTCTCCATATTGATAGAACCGGTAGCCGGAGTGACTGGGAGTCGTGAGGTGGACGTCTCTACATCGGTAGAACCAGTAGCCAGAGCAGACGGGAGGGGGAGGGTAGACATAGAGGTAGTGACGGGGATGTGCTGTGCAGGGCAAGACTGCCCTTGGTCCTTAGAACCTTCCCTATCCTCCGCATTTCCGTGTCGCTTGGAACGCGTCTGGAACCACGAGCGTATCGTAGCTTTGAAGGAACGTCTTGACTGAGGTGACATAGTGAGGCACTCGAGGATGATCGTTTTGTCTAGGCGTTTTGTCTCGAAGGTAGCGGATGCTATGTTTGATAACCAATGGATCGGGTTTATTGGAGTGCCGGAAATTATTCTCCTGCTATCTGGGACAAAAAAAGGAAAAGAAACTAGAGCCCTATATTTTCTCGAGGCTGTGATGGACCATGGGGCTTTCTGTGTTGTTACCTTGTCAGGCGCGAGATGGCTGGCGGCTCCCTCCCAACTACAAGCCAATGGCCCAAATGACATTTTTTAGAGGAGTAACCCTCACACCAGCAATGGCGCAAATTCCATCCGCATCTTTTGGACCGCTGAACCAGGGTCTCCAGGTGGGGCAGAGCTACGCACCGATCAACTTCCACCTGCCGCCGGGTAAGATTAGCACCGCTCGAGCCGAGGGACACCCCGCTGACGTCCTTAGAGCGACTCGAAACGCCGCCGCCGCCGTTCGCGACCATTCCTTTCTCCCGCGACCCTGATTTTGTCGACCGTGGAGACATTCTCGACCAGATCGACCAACGATGTTCGGAGCCGGCCGGCCGTGTGGCCCTAGTGGGCCTCGGTGGCGTGGGCAAGTCGCAACTGGCTATCGAATACGCGCACCGAACAGCGGCGAAGGAGCCTGACAGATGGGTATTCTGGGTCCATGCCGGCACACAAGCACGCGTCGAGGAAGGGTTGAAGGCGATCGCCGATGCCGTGAAGCTACCAGGCCGGAGGCAGCCGAAGGCCGATGTACCACAGCTTGTGTATAGCTGGCTGTCGAACGAGCGAAACCGCCGATGGATCGTAATCTTCGACAGCGCCGACGACGTCGACGTGTTCTTCGGCGCTGGCAGTAACCCTAAACGACGTCCGCTAGCTACCTATCTTCCGCAGAGCCCAAACGGGTCTCTTCTCGTCACAACACGCGATAAGGATCTAGCTTATAGGCTAGTAGGGGGGTACAAGAATACAATCAAGATCGGGCCAATGGCGCAGAGTGATGCTCTATTGCTCCTAGAGAGGAAATTGAGCTTGCTCTCGGACAAGGATTCAGCAGAGGAGCTTGTACGGGCGCTAGAATACGTTCCACTAGCTATCAGCCAGGCGGCGGCCTACATTCAGAGAAGGTCGCCACGGAGCTCGGTCGAAAAGTATTTGGCCGAGTTCCGCAGGGGGGAAAGCAAGAGAGCCTGGCTTCTAGGTCATGACGAGGGCGAGTTTCGGCGAGAGGGAGGGGCTTCGAGTGCGATCCTTACGACCTGGCAGATATCCTTCGAACATATCCGCTCTAAGAGAGCTTCGGCGGCAGATCTGCTCTCACTCATGAGCTTCTTCGACCGACAAGGCATTCCGGAGTCATTGCTAAGGCCGCCTCACATGGACGGGGCAATACAGGAGAGGAGATCCGACGTACAGCACGATTTGGAATCCAATAGTAGCGATGACGAGATAAACAACGACGAGACGGACAACGGATTCGAAGACAATATAGCAATGCTAACAAACTTTTGTCTCGTAACTGTAAGCGAGAGCGGAGACACGTTCGAGATGCACGGCCTCGTACAGCTGTCGACGAGGACGTGGCTGGAGGCCTGTGGGAGGGAGAAGGAATTTAAGCATCAGTTTGTGTCACGGATAGCCGCGCTGTTCCCACCCGGAGACTACAGTAACTGGGCGACGTGTCAGCGTCTCTTTCCACACGTTGAGAGGGCCGTAGACTACCGACCAGTGGAGAGCAAACTGGAGGAGGCATGGGCAACGCTGTTATACAATGGTGGATGGTATGCAGAATTGCAGGGTAGATATGATGTGGCAGAGCAAATGGCTCGTAAATCGAGGAGAAGCCGCAAGGAAATACTGGGAAGAGAAGACGAGCGAACATTAGCTAGCACGTCGCTATGTGCAGAAGTGCTTGGGGATAAAGGACTATGGAAGGAGGCTGAGAAGCTGTTTGTGCAGGTGATGGAGACGAGCAAGGCGAAGCTTGGGGCCGATCATCCCTCGACGCTGACGAGCATGGCCAACCTGGCGTCGACGCTTTGGAACCAAGGCCGGTGGGGGGAGGCCGAGAAGCTGGATGTGCAGGTGATGGAGACTCGCAAGGCGAAGCTTGGGGCCGATCATCCCTCGACGCTGACGAGCATGGCCAACCTGGCGTCGACGTATAGGAACCAAGGCCGGTGGGAGGAGGCCGAGAAGCTGGATGTGCAGGTGATGGAGACTCGCAAGGCGAAGCTTGGGGCCGATCATCCCTCGACGCTGACCAGCATGAACAACCTTGCTTTCACGTGGAATAGTCAAGGTCGACATGAAGATGCCCTAGCATTGATGCAAGACTGTGTTGAGGCTCGGCAGCGAGTCCTTGGGCCTGAGCACCCTGACACGCTGTCGTCCTTGGCTACTGTGTCGGAATGGAGTAGCTAGGCTCATCTTAATTCTTGCTGTATAGTGCAATCTGAAGGCCTCTATTCGGTTACATGTAAAACTACCGTAAAAGTGTCTACTGGGGGACCGCCATAACGAAGGTACCCGAACATTTAGGGTGATCACTCAAATCACCTGGCCAGGACAGTGACTTGGTTTATGAATGATGGAAGGCAAGAAGCGAAGTAGCCAAGGTGAAGATGACGGTCAATTGAATCTTATGCTATCTACCCGCCAACACATTACCGCCCTTCCGGGCCTTATCCTTTCCTCCTCTTCGGCTCACTGAATGAGGTACCTGGAGTGACCGCCTGCTGCCCGGCATTGCTCGACTGGCTGCCCCGCTCGTCAGGCAGAGAAGCGCAGCTGGCATCTGACTGCATCAAGTTCCCCAAATCCTGGGAAAGCTCGGTCGCCTCGGAAAGCGGTGGGACATCAAAGTTCAAGCGCTGCGAAGAACAAGTACCTTGATAATTTGATGCCGGTGATGGGAGCGCCCTTTGGGCCGCTGTTTGAGCTTGAGTGTGGGCCATGGCGATGAGAATGGGGAGGAGAGCGAGGCCCTAGTTATGTGTCCGGGGAAGAGTCTCGAGATGGAGTGACGTGCCGTGCGAGGAATGGATGGCTACGAGCGTGCAGGAATGGGATCCACTAGTGCCGACCAATCGTTAAGCGTCATAGTTATTGTGAGGCCCACAGTTTTCATCCAACAGACGGGCCCGTTGCCTTTAGCTCCGCCGCCTAGAGCTGAACAATGCGGGCCGCGGCGTTGTCACTTGTGCGATCTCCGCTTTCAACCTTCTGGACCCACTTCCCGATTCTTGCTGTATTTCGTGCAATCAGACATGCACTCCTTTTTCCTCCTTCTTACACAGAAGTCCTCACAACTATGATAAGCGTCGTAACACTGAGCGGCTCCACTACCTCGCAATGAGCATTCGGGTTGACCTGTTTACAAAGCTGCAGGCGTTTACTGGCGGGGTTTAGTGTTTGGCCGGCATCGGCCCACCCGAAATCATCAGACGAGAAACGGCCCGGGCCGCGGCAGGGCTCCACACCCTCCCGGCCCACCACCCGCATTTGAGAGCTTTGGAAGGGATCTGTATAGCGAGGTTTTGAGGCTACTGGACGAGCTTCACAGATTCCTCGGAGATTGTTCGTATATCAATGACTTCAGAAACTCACGTGTGACGATTCCCAGCTGACCATCACAGTGATGCAGATTTTGAATGGCACCCGGCAACAGCGAAGATGGGTCAAGAGTTCCATAAACACACCACCAGATGATATGGATATAAGCTCTTCCGAAGATTCAGACGGCGAATTTGCAGACTACATCAAAAAGAATGAGCTGGAAGCCGCAGACTCGGAAACCGTCACCGAATCGAACGAACTATGTCGGTGGATTGGGGATACCATCACTAGTCTTATGAGGATAGCGATGCAAGTTGACGACTCAGTACTTCACTCCAAGTTTGATTTTTGCCGACTCAAGAATGCCGACTCTGTGGAACCAGATATCATGCATGTGCGTGAGAAGTTCCCTTTGCTCGATTGTAACCACCCCCTGGCCAGGAAACTGGGGAAAGCCAATGCTCAACGAAGGAAGTGGCTCGAGAGTAGGCGACAAGATCACTTCTACGACAGCCCTTTTCGAACATATCGCTACGATTCGAACTTACACGCGCAAACAACCAGTGCCAGCTATGGAAACAATAACTTGTCTTCCTCCGCAAGAGCCACGGTAAATCCTGATGAGGTCGGACACTCTGGGATGAATCAAGAAGATGCAGAGACGACGGTGGCTACCGCAACGGACTTTGGCGGGTCATCTTCCGTGGAAATAGATGAAGATGAGTCTGAATCATTGGTTCCGGAGCCTCCCGAGGGGCTGACTCCAGGAAAACCCTTCCTGTGCCCATACTGCTACATCAAAGTCGAAATATCAAACACGACAGAATGGCAGAGGCATGTGTTTGATGATCTTTCGTCTTATACCTGCACCTTCGACAACTGTCCTGCGCCCCTTTTCGAAACGCGGGAACAATGGTTGCAACACGAGATGGAAGTCCACCGAAAAAACTGGCGGTGCGATATGTGTGACGAAATCCACTACTCTTCCTGGAATATGAAGAGACACTTAACGCAGAAACACTCGGACATCATCAAAGCAGAGAATGTCGAAGCCCACACGCAACGATTGGGGAGACCACCAGAGAAGATCGGTGCTGAGGCTTGCCCCCTATGTGATTACAAAGGAACTCTACAACGACGAAGCGGATCAAAGCCCAGTGATTGGGAACTGACACCTCAGGCGTTTGGTAATCATCTGGCCAAACATTTAGAGGAATTATCATTACTCGTGCTGCCACCCACAATTGCCAATGAAAAAAAAGGCAAGGTTACTACTAGGCTCACTGACTTCAACCCGTCTGGGACGGACATGAACTCGAGTCAACGGCCTGATGGCTTCACCCGTCCCAACGGGCGCAGCGACTTCGAAGTTGCGATAATATGCGCGCTCCGTCTCGAATTCGACGCCGTATGCCTCCTTATCGATAAGCTGTGGGACGAAGACGGTGATCAGTACGGCAAAGTCGACGGAGACCCGAACATATACACGACAGGTCGGATGGGGAAGTGCAATGTCGTCCTTGTCCTTCTACCGAACATGGGAAAAGCGAGCGCCGCCAGCGCAGCTGCAAGTCTTCGATCGAGCTATCCGCGAGTGTCGCTGGCCCTTTTGGTGGGCATTTGCGGGGCGGTCCCATTCGCAGGACCGGAAAGGGACCCCATTGTCCTCGGCGACGTGATTATAAGCAACCTCGTGGTCCAGTATGACCTTGGAAGAGCGCTTCCGGATCGCTTCGTTCGCAAAGACACCGCCCATAACAGTCTTGGAAGATCAAACAGGATCATTCGCAAGATCCTGATCAAGCTCGATACGGACATCGACCGCGAACATATCGAGAAACGGGCGGGTGACTTCCTCAAAGCTCTTCAGACGAAGAGCGAAGAAAAAGCCAAACGGAAGCGAAGAGGCAGGCATACCAGCTACAAGTACCCAGGAGCAGCCAACGACCTCCTATTCCCTGCTCGGTACCGACACAAGCATGCTTCTGGTTCCGGGTGCAGAACGTGCGAAGACTGTCATGGCAACGCGGATCCCGCTTGCGATGAGTCTCTTACGTTGTCATGCAAAGAGCTGGAATGTGATACGAGCTGCGTGATACGGAGGGAGCACTTGGAGTCAGCCTCAAACGACCCCATGGCCGACTCGGATTCCGAGGGTGTCTTCTTCTTCATTGGTGCGATTGGATCTGGAGACAGCGTTATTCGGTCTGGCGAGCACCGTGATCAGATCGCCAAGCAGGCCGGGGTTATTGCTTTCGAGATGGAAGGAGCAGGCGTATGGGATGAGGTGCCATGTATCGTGATTAAAGGCGTGTGTGACTATGCCGATAGCCACAAAAACAAAGGATGGCAGAATTATGCTGCGGCAACCGCGGCGTCGGTAGCGAAGGCGGTTATGGAGAGATATGTCGCCTCTGCTAGGGTTTCCGACTCTTCGCAGTCTTTGAATGCAGGCCCGGGCGGTGGCCAGATGTTCTTAGAGCGACTGGAAACGCGGCCGCCGCCGTTCGCGACCATTCCTTTCTCCCGCGACCCCGATTTTGTCGACCGTGGAGATATTCTCGACCAGATCAACCGGAAGGAGGCCGAGAAGCTGTTTGTGCATGTGATGGAGACGAGCAAGGCGAAGCTCGGGGCCGATCATCCCGACACGCTGGCCGCCATGGCCAACCTGGCATCAACCTACAGGAACCAAGGCCGGTGGGACGAGGCCGAGAAGCTGTTTGTGCAGGTGATGGAGACGAGCAAGGCGAAGCTCGGGGCCGATCATCCCTCGACGTTGACGAGCATGGCCAACCTGGCTGCAATAGCACGTCTAGGAGACGAGAATGGGGATGTTAGAGCGGCTGCCTTAGGTGTCTTGCAAGCCCAGTCCAGCTTATCCGACGAGCGCCTTACGGCTGTAGTAGCACGTTTAGGAGACAAGGACTGGAGTGTTAGAAAGGCTGCCTTAGTTGTCTTGCAAGCCCAGTCCAGTGTTACGATCCAATCAGGGATCACTAATGTAAGCTAGATCAGATAGAACCAACAGACCAATCAGGTTAGACCCGAGACAAAGGTTCAGGTCCACGGGTCCGCTCTATCGGGTTCATGAAGGCCGGTATATAAAGACGGCCTTCCCAAGCCTCTTTAGATACTGGCTCTTCAGCAAGCAATAGCTTCTACAACCGATCAGTACCTTTCGCCTACTGTCATGGGGCTGGCGCCCAGGGGTGTTTGCCTGGCTTGAACCCTGTGTAAGCTGTCATGGCATGGCTGGACAGGTCACCATGACACAACGGATGGAATGAGGCTCATGTTCTTATCGATAAGACCGTACGGAAAGGGAAGGCGGGAACGAGTGGCAGTTCTGACTTATATGTTGTTGTTGTTGTTGTTGTTGTTGTTGTTGTTGTTGTTGTTGTTGTTGTTGTTGTTGTTGTTGTTGTTGTTGTTGTTGTTGTTGTTGTTGTTGTTGTTGTTGTTATATTTAACGTCTACTTCCGCCTCCCGTAGGGCTTGAGACGTGCCACATCGGTGAATCTAGCGTACAAAAATAGGAGCGGTGCCCTACCTGTCCACCAAAACCATTAATCCGAGGGCAACCCGAGGCCTATTGCCAGTGCATATCACGTGTTGCCCATAGCGTAAACGCGGCCCAACACCTCCAATCGAAACGCCCAGTGAGCGAGCCGCCAGTATATGGCGGAACCTGTAGAACAAACGAAAAGACGAAAGAAAGGGAAAAACAAAAACACTCTACTCCTCTCCGCTCTCTCCCTCGTTGTCGCCCCGCACGGCTTCCTCCCGCCGTCTAACTCGATGGACCAGCCTGTCCAAATCCGCCATAACCTCCTGGATCTCGTGGCTTTGGCCAACTTCTATCCCTTCGTCCCGTAGGAACCCGGTAAGGTTGTTAGCGGTGCCTCCATTATCGATGTGCTGTTGCCAGAGTGTCTGGCGCCAGGCCTTCCTTGTGCAAGTCCACGAAAAGAAGTGGGAGGTCTGTATTCTAGCAATAAATCGTTGCCAGTAAATACCGATGGCAAGGGAGAGATTCTCCCGCGTAGCCGCCTCGCCTGTGACCGGGGAAACCGCGTACGCCCTCCTACAGAAAAAGGGGTGGAAGGGATTCTTCCAACTTCCACAAAAGCATGTTAGCAGGGCGTCCTCGTGCTCAAAACGCTCGTGGTAGTCCTTGAAGTCCCCATGGCCTGATCTAGCCGCCAGAAGGTGGTGCAGGGAGCGTCTGTCCAACTCTTTTAGTTCGTCGTTAGGCTTGATAGAGACCCCCAGCCGGTAGTCCGCATACGACTCTGGCTTGTTCGCGGCCCACCATGCCTTGAAATCCGTACGCGCCTCCCTCTTAGAAAGCCGCCTTGAATGCGCAAGGGTAGCCAAGCCTTCATTGACTACCTCTCCCCCTTCCGCTCCCGCCTTAGCGAGCTCGTCAGCAATCTCGTTGCCCGTGATGCCCTTGTGGCCAGGAACCCAGCGGACGCTGACCAGACTGGGGCCATAGCCCTTGCGGGTGGCGCGGAAATCGAGGAAAGCCGCTTGTGATGACGCAGCTGGGGTTCCTCGGAGTCCTCTGATGACGGACGTGTTATCAAGGCATATCGTAATGCGTGGCCGGGCCTGTGCCTCCGGGAAGAGCGCCACAGCGGCCTTGAGACCATGCCGCGCCCCTTCCGCCTCCGCATCGAAAACTTCCGCATGTTCTAACTGACCGCATCCGCGGCCAAGTTCAGTCTGTCCTTGGAAGATTACGTAGCCAAAGACTACGCACTCGCCCTCTAGTCTTTCTTCTTCGGCGTCGGGGTCCTCCGCGTGCGCTGGAAGGCCCATCTGCTTAGCTATCATAGAGCCGTCGGTATAAACGACGATCTCTGAGGGATCTAGTTGGAGAAGCCATTCTTTGAAATCCTTGGCAGCCCTGTCTTTAGATGTGGGCGCTGGATCCTTGTGAGTGTCTCCGTTATAGACGGGCGGCTGTAGAACCGGCCGCGGGAAAGGCAAGGCGAGCTGGGCAGCCGTCTGTAGCGTTGTAGGGCGGCGAGGCAGGCCATGCGGCGTCATTCGGGGTTCCGAAAGACGCGGGACAAGCGGGTGGGCGGGATCTAAGGTGAGGAGGCGCACAGCGTGCCGCCGGCGGGCCGCTTCCAGAAGAAGGGGGACGGGGGGCAGGCTAGCTTCGCGGTAGAGAACAGCTAGGCGCGTCGTTCTCCACACCGGTAAGCTGGCGCGGATGGCAATGTTCACCGCTGTCTGGACTTTATAGACGAGGTCCGCCAGTCCGTTGCTAACAAGTGGAAACTCCCCTTGTTTACGGTGAAGGGCGTGCTTCTTATAGCCTGGCCACCAGATTTCAGAGCCAAATAGGGCCTTTGGCAGGACGACGGCCTTCATAGCCTTCACCATGGAGCCTGGAGGAGCGCCGTGGTAGACCTTGTTGAGACCGCGGATGTGACGGACCACCTGCTTAGCGGAGGCGAGCCTATGCTCAATGTGATGCTTCCAGTTCAGCTTGCTATGGAGCCAAATCCCCAGCCAACGAATTGCCGGCTGTGCAGCCACCTCGACTCCTTCGTGCGTAATGGTCGGGAAAGGCGCAGTTAGTCTTCTCCTGGAGAAAAACTGAATTTCTGTCTTATCCGGGGAAAAATCGACAGCGTTGTCTACTCCCCATCGGACCATGGCGTCCAACTCTCGTTGGGCCTTCCTTGCAACCTCCTCGTTCGAAGAGCCAGTGATAAGGACTGCACAGTCGTCTGCATATCCAAAATGCTGCGCTTCGCTCTCCCCGAGGCGATGTACTGGCTCTGTGTAGAGCAGGTAGATGATTGGCGAAGCTGGTGAGCCCTGGGGGAGCCCGCATCTAAGACGGCGCATAGGAGTAGTCACCCCCGAGTATCGAACGCGGGCCATACGGTCCGTCATAAAAGACTCCACCCAGCGGACCACGCAGTTTGGCCACCCTTGCTCCCGCAAACGTAAGACTAGCCTATTCACTAGGACGGCATCAAAGGCACCTTTGACATCTATAGCTACTAGCGCAGCAACGAGTCCCTTGTCGAGTGCAATTTCGATATCGTGAACCAGAGCTTCCACAATATCAACAGCCGAACGCCTTGGGAAGGCACCAGCCTGCTGGGGATTTAAGACTCCGTTAGAAATAGCCGTCCAAGCGATCCGCCTACCAATAAGGCGTTCAATGCCTTTCCCAAGGCAGGACAGGAGTGAGATGGGCCGCCATCCCTTGGCCGTCGTTTGGTCTTTCCCAGGTTTCGGTATCATCACCACTTCCGCCTGTCGGAAGACTTGGGGGTGATAGCCGGTAGTGACGCAACCCTGATATAGCTGCTGGACAGAGTCTTTAATAGATTCCCAGGATGCCTTCAACATACGGACCGTAATGCCGTCGGAGCCGGGGGTCGTATTGCCAGTACCGCAAAGGGTTTTGTAGACTTCGTCCGCGTAGACGACGGACGACCAGGGTAGGCGACGGCGTGGTACCGTGGGTACCCAGCCCGTTTCGAGGTCTTCGTCTTCGCTGTTCCTTTCTAGCAGGGCTGTGCGGAGGGCCTCCGCCTTGGCCTCTGGCTCGATAACGGTCTGCCCATTGATGACTAGCGGGGGTGCCTCCATTCGGTCACGGGGCTTGTGCCACGCCACGATCCGATAGATGTCCTTGTCATTTTGTGCCTTAGTGATAAGGTCGTCGAAAAACAGCTGCTTTGCTTCTTTAACTACCCTTTTAAACTCTTGCCGAAGCGCTTCTATCCGTTGGGGGATAGGATTCGGGTTGTTGTGCCGATAGTTGCGGAACAGTCTAGATGCCTGCGCACACGTCTTATTCCACCACTTTGCGTTCTTCTCAGGTCTCGAGGGCCTGCAGGTGATTTGGAGGGCTTCTGTAAGGACGTTGCAGAGGGCCTCGGCGAGCTCGTCGAGCTTTTCGGGAGAGTCCTCGCCTGTAGGGGGGAGCGGGACCAAACCCATGAGAAAGGAGACATTTTCAGCATAAAGCTTAATAGCCTCTGGGTCTTCCCGAAGGACTAGTCGACGACGGGGAGGTATTACCAGCTGGGTAGGGATGTCTGTAATACAGACCTGGTGATCAGAACCGCAGTCCAATTCCGGAGCGACCCTTGTTGAGCAAAGGGGAATATTCGAAAAAGTAAGGTCGATGGTATTTCCACGATTATGAGTAGGAATGCCGGGCACCGTTAGTAAATCGAGGTCGTGCTCTACGACGTAGTCAACAATGCGCGTGGCGCCCTCTGACGTCTCTGCGCCAGGTTGCCAGGTGTGGTGTTTAGCATTGAAGTCACCAGCGAGGAGTGTCTTAGCTGTTGGTTGCCAATTCTGAAGAGTTTCAAGGGCAGAAACATCATCGGATCGTCGGTAGATATTAACGAAGGTGATTCCTTGCGTCTTTACCCACAGAAGATCCCTTGTAGACCCGAGAGTATACCCCCCGGCTGCCACATCCTTACGAACGTAGGTGGCTAAGCGTGGGTGGGTGGCTGCTTCCTCTGTCCATGTGCGGACAGGAGTGTAAAGAGCGTAAAGGGGGTGCCCGGGAATACCAAAGCGGCCCTCGTAGAACCACGCTCGTGGCTCTTGGATCATAATTACGTCCGCTCCAGCCTCACTAGCAGCTTGGAGGGCAATCTCGTGCGTATCTCGTGCTCGTGCTACGTTAGCCTGAAAGATACGTAGTCTAGAATTGTTCAGGCTATCGCGAGAGGGGGTTGAGTGTCCACTCATAAGCCAGCGGCCCTCTTGGAGGGCGTTTTGTGGCGGTTGGAGCGGCGGACTGCGGCGTCGGAGGACGAGTCCTCGCTCAAATAGACCTCTATCATATCCTCATCAGCTGAGGGCTGGGTCTGGCCAGTGCTGTCGGAATTCTCGGGGCTGGAGGGGGCGGAACTGTAGCTGGGCAGCTCGCCGGAAGACGTGGAAGTGTCTTCCTGGCTATCGGGGGGAGCGGGGCGGTCATGTGCCTTGGAGAAAAGGTCACCGCCGTCGCGGCGAATCTTCTTCCGTTGTTGAGGGGTCGGGCGGATGACGGTATCTCCTTGGCGCTTTGGGCGCATGGGACACTCGGCGTGGGTAGACTTGAAGGGGCCACGGCAGTTGGCGCATTGAATGTGACGGTCACACTCACCGTGGGCATTCTGTCCGCATTGTGGGCATTTAGCAGCGCGAGCGCACCCTCTACGGCCATGCCACTCAAAGCATTCTGTACACTGGTCCAGCGGGCGGCGTTTCTGGACGAGGCGGCTACTGTTGCTCACGTCGAAGAGGCGGAAAGGGGAGACAGGCCTGTCAAAGGAGATAAGCCAGGTTGCATAGGCCTCGCCAGGTTGATAGTACTGGGAGGGACGGAGGGCGACAGGCTCTTGGCCGGTTTGGACGAGGACCTCGTCCTTAATGGTAGTGGTAGTGTCAACAGGGACCATACCGAACCGCATCGTCATGGGCACATTTTGGACGGCGTAGGTGACCCATTTCTTGGGCACTTCGACTTGGAGGCAGCCAATACGGGCACCAATCTCATTTTTATGGGCTAGGAGGGTTTGGCGGACAGTGTCATTCTTGGGCACGAGGGCAAAACCAGAGGGGACCTTGTGGCAACCAGGGATGTCGGTGGGGGCGAGGCGGAGGAGTGTTTGCACTTCTCTGCGAATAGCAAAGACATCTGTATTGGCGAAAGGGGAGTCCCTATCTAGTCGAAGGAAGACGCGGCCGTCACTTTGGGGCAGCGTAGCCTTGCGGGTGGGGCTGGAGCGGGAGCAGGGAGCAGAGCGGGAGGCGGAGGCGGAATCGGCACCGCGGGCGGCAGCTTCTGCGAAGGAAACGGGCCTCTTCCCTTTGCTGGTCGGGGCGGAGGGAGTGGAAACCTTCTTGTTTGCTGGGGCGGTGGAGTCCGGAGTAGGCGAGAGCAGGGAAGCAGAACTTTTCTGCAGGGCAATGGAGATGGTTCGTGCGAGGCGGTCAGCTTCACGTGCGTGAGCGGGCGAGATGACGGAGGCGCGGGCGTGTTCGGTGTCAAGGGCGGTGGCGAAGAGGCGGTAGACCTCCAAATTTGCGTGAGCTTCAGAGAGGAAGGTCTCAGAGGAGGACATGATGGGACCGGAAGCAGCAGGGGAGGCGGTGGTGGTGTGGGCGGGACGGACTTCCTCGTCTGCAGTCCGGGCTCTCTTGGCCGACTGCGCCGTCGTGGAGGGCGGGGGCGGGACGCAAAGGGTGTCCGGCAATGGAGTTACCGGTATTAAAACCGGTAGAGGCGGTTTGGGCGCCCCAAGGGGTTCATCGCGCCAGGCGGGCAGGACCCACCTTTGTGATGCAAGTCATTGCAAGCAGGTGCAGCCTGTAACAGTGGCCCCTCGCACCCACTGGGCAGCGCCTGTATTCGCTCTGGCAGCCGCTTCCTTCGTCCCCAGTTGGGGTCTTTGAGCATTCCTTTCCATCTTCCACAACAACTCAACCATGGAGACACTCAGCAATGGCATCACCGCTTTTACATTTGGAGACAAAAGATGCGTCCTTCCAACCTTGGATGCGAACGAATTCCGAGCCTGCACTATTTGGAGCCGTTGAAGCAGTTGTTCATTGAAGGTTTATCGCGGTCAAACAAGGTGAGTCGATCGCGCCCAATTTCCAGGCCCATAGCGCATCTTCCAACGCTAACGCCAACCCAAGCTACGTAGTGACCGACTACCCTCATCACCAGACTCAATTTCTTCTTCCACACCTTTCTAGATGCCTCCCTCTACTTTCCGATCCTTCCTCGTCCACGGTCTTCCTCTCTGGAACTTCGAACCTGCGCCTCATATGCTCAGACCCGATACCCACCCACGCAACAAGACGACCGTCGTGTCTCCCCCATCCAGCGCCCCTCTGTCTTCCAAGATCTCTGGATATCGTAACACCTCATGTCCACCAATTCAGTTCGGCAACCACGTTATCGAAAGCCCGCCTACTTCATGCCTCGTCCACCGACATCCGTTATCTTGCAATAACATTACGCCACATGGTTCCCATCGCGAATGGTCTGGAACGGAAGAGCAATCGACGGAGCAAGCGAGGCGACATAAAAATCGACCAATATGGTGGAAATGACACGGAATCCGGAGAAAAAGGGTAGCCATCAGCTACAGCGACGGATTCGTTTCATGCCGCCGGTTCTGATCCCAATGTCAGCTTCGATCAAAGCCCGTATAACATGAAAGGATGGTCTCCTGATTGTCAAAGCAAGGTGTCTGTTGAGTAATTATTGAAATGGATGTAGGCGAAGATGTCGAGGGCACAACAGAAATGATGTGTTTTGGCCCAAAAACCCAACCCAGGACTCGGTGCTGGGAGGGGCGGGGCGAGGGGTGACCAGTCATCTTATGTTCAACCGAAGATATACTTCCGGGACCGAAACAAACACCGAACTCTGCGAGAGAAGCTCGAGGGACCGGGGGGTTGAAGGGACCTTGGGAGAAAAAGCAACGAAGGGGCTTGGAACAATGGCCGAAGCTGACTACGAAGACGTCGGAACATCTCCGGAATTTGTTCCGGGACATTCTCTGAGGCTAACCGTGCAGCCATTAAGGCATACTCAAAACGAAATTCCGAAGGCCGTTCTCGACCACATCTTCCGCATCACCGACTCCACCAAGATTTCGACGAGAACATCGCTATAGAATCCAGAGCCGGCATAGTCTCGTAACTGCTCGCAAACTGGACGAGTCGGCCATCGATGTCCACCCCCCTGTCACAGTACCGCGCTGATGTTTGCCATCTCCAACCAATGGGTGACTTATCGAACATGTCAACGGTCAAGCCACCCGAGTGAGGGGTGTACTTACCCCTTGGTAGCGTTACTTCGCAGGGCGGCGCACCGGCGCCATGTGGTTACGCCCCGAATGTCCCACTACGAGATCGCTCTACGTTCACGATCTTAGTCGACAGCCTACTGAATAGACCGAATGGCTATTGAGTTTCCGCTTCTTTTTCATTGAATCAGTCAGAGTTTAGCCTCTTTTCTTTTGGGGCTTTCGTGTCCGTACGTAACTACATTAAGAAGAGAAGTATATTTGCCGTTTGTAGAGAGGTAGTCCTGTGGCCTTGAACGGTAGAGTCTGTTAGTAAGTATCGAAGAGCAAGTATACCGTCTAATACACATCCTCAATAAGACTAAAGGAGTTTGAATAACGACATTTCGTTTTACAAAATAGACGGAAAAGTATGTATCGAAGACAAAAGCCAATGCAAAAAATACGGAATCTTTACCCTTCAAAACAAATCGTCTTCCTCATCCATCTCCTCATCTGTCTCTATCGCGGTCTCCATCGGCTCGGCCTTGCCCTCCACTTCAGGCTGATCTTCGACAATTGTCGTGCTCCTGTTGCCCTCAATTCTTTTCACAAACTTGTTGACGGCTTCGCCAAGCTCAGTGTCCAGTTCCATTCCGAACTCCTTTCTATTCTCAAGAAATCTAGACCAATCGGAACGTTTGATCCTCCATTTCAGGTACTCCATGATTGAGATCAAGAAGGGTGTTCGCTTCTCCATCATGCGCTTTTGGTCCTTTATTTCCTTTTCATAGAGGTACCAGCGTTTTTCAAATGCGGATTTGTTGTAGTCCATTATTTTCTTAATCTTATACCCCAGTTCTGTTGTGAGACGCTCGACATCGCTGAACACCGGGTTTCCCGTGGAAAATAGCATGCCGATAGCCAATCCGACGTTGGCCAAGTATTTCCTGGTTGCTTCCTTCGATACTGTCGTCAAAACTGTCCACACACATCTCTCGTCCGCCTCATCCACATGGCCATTGTTCAGTAGATATTTGATCGTGTCCAAGGAGCCAGAAGAATATGTGCAGGCTGATCTGAGGAGTCCAACGCTCATGTCCACCTTCCCAGAGGCCCGCATACAGTGTAATGCCTCAATTTGCCCCTCGGCAGCTGCCGCTTCTGCCGCCGTGCGACCTTCATTATGGGCCCCTTTGTTCGGTTCTATGTCGGCTTGGTGCAGAAGTAGATCGATTATTTCGACATGACCCGCTTCTGCTGCTTCATGTAATGGCGTACGACCATTCCACAAGAAGTTTATATCCGCTCCACTTTGTATCAATAGCTTGCAGACTTCCAGATGGCCCATTTTCGCTGCTTCCCGAAGTGGTGCACCTGAACCTTTATCGACGATCGCGCCGTGGGAAATCAGTAATTCACAGACTTCCAGGTGACCGTTTTCCGCTGCGGCTCGGAGTGGTGCTCCTTCGTCGATGTCGACGAATGCGCCGTTGGAAATCAACAAATCGCATATTTCCTTACAACCCATCGCAGCGGCGATGCTAAGTGGGAATCCCACCTTGGATTCTGTGCTCCACCTATAGATATTTATTGCGTTCTTCCCCGCATCGGATTCCAGAAGCTGTCTAACTCTCCCGATGTCGCCTCTCCTACACGCTTCGTGGAGGCTGCTCTCGTTTGAGTCTCCAGAAAGGCTGGAGGACGCTTCTAGTTTGGGAAAACTGTTGGCGTCGTTTTGCCGAGCATGCCACTTCCCATTGTGCTTCTGAAGTTCGCCGTTCGTGCTGAATCCCAACTTGAATCCAATGCAGTCCTCATATGCACACCGATGCGGAAATTCGTGCTCATCAATGTGCTTTTGTCGGTTTGCCTCGCTCACGAGTCCCCCCTTGAAAAAGTCACACCAGGGTTTTGAGCACTTGTATGACGTTCTGGGCCCGTGGAGGTTGTCGAAGACTCTCTGCTCTTCCGCAGTGAAGGCTCCAAAGTCTAGTTTGGCGATCTTTTGCCGAAGCGACTCTGTTCGAATCTCTATGCAGAGATAAGCGTTGCGCTCTCGGCCATGAGTTGGGAGGTGCTTGGTTATTGCATCAGTAAGCCCCGTATAAGTCTCTGCTCGAAGGAATTCTGCCATCTTTTCCCGGTTTCCATAGGACCTCAGGAAGATCAGGGCAAGGTCGAAAATATCTTGGCATTTGTCCACGTTTGTCATCGGGTCGAGGGATTTGACGCATTCGAGGAGATGCTCGAACCAGTAATGGACCGTGTAGTCTTGCAAGGCGTAGTATCCCTTTTTTGCATACGACAACACATCTTCCTCCGAAATGCCGAGAGTGAATGGGGGCGACGTGAGGTATTGAAAGCAGAATACCGAAAGCTCAGCAGTCTGTTGAGCGATGTCCAGTCTTCTTCTCCGTATCAGAAACCTGTTCGACGGAACCGCTTAGCAAATTTACTCAGGTTACCATTGATCTGCATCCTGTGGTTGGTAGTCGGATGATGAAGGTTGATCACTTACTCGCGGGCGGTTTTATGTACCAGTCGGACCTCATCTTCGGGGCCAGCGTAGTTGTCTCTGATGGTATCTGAGTCCAGAAAAGAACTACAGAGTTCTTTGTAGCTCCAAGCTAGTCGCCTCTTGTAATTAGCCTCCCTTTTTGTGACATCGGTACAGAAAAAAGCTTGTATCTCCCGCCAGCACAGTGTTCGCCTGCAGCAGACAACATAGCTCAGGATCTTGGTTGCAGCTTCGCGTTTGGAAGGTGGAGAGTTCGTGAATACGCGATGCTCGACCTTTTCATATCTGTTTGGAGAAAGTCTGTTAATGTACTCCTTCAAACGGTTTCTGAAGGAATGAAAATAAAGTGCAGCGATGGTCCTTACGCTTTTTCTAGAGTGTTTGGGAACACTCCTGGTTCCAGTTGCTCCTCCAACGCAGCAATGGAATCTTGATGAAACAGATGCTGAAGGACCAATTTTGCATAGAGAAACATGCCTGCAAATCTAATTAGCATTGGGCATTCCAAGTCTCATAGCAGAATCCCTGCAGCGTACCTTTAGCCCCTGCGGATACGCGAGCTACAATATCTTGCTCTAACCCATGTTCCGCCTCGAATTGGCTTTGTATTCTCTTGCCCCAGGCTTGGCAATAGCTTGTAATATCTTCTTGATGTTTGATTTCTTCATCGAGGGAAAGGGAAACAGTTGAGAGGAGAGAGAGCAGCCGACGGTCCGACACGCCGTCTCTTTGACCGGCACAAAGGATACGTAACTTGCATCCAATGGAGCCATTGCCAAAGGATACCAGCCAGTCAATTGTTTTCTCTGCTTCTCCATCAGCACACTCATCCAATCCGTCTAGGACCAGAAATACCGTCTGGAAGGCTTCGATTGCTTTGCTAACGAGTCCCTCCAGTTCATCTGTTTTTTGGAGTTTTATGGTGTCCTTCTTGGATATTTCTTCCTCAAGAGTGGTGGCCAAGTCGGGATACCTGTCAAGTAGCTGTGCTAGGATTGCGCGCAAGAGCCCGTTAAGATTATTCTTATCTTCCTGTAGGTGCCGAAAGAAGAAGAAAGCGATAGCTACGTCGGGCATGTTGTTGCCCAAAACTTGTTCGATAGTGGCGGCCATCAACGTAGATTTTCCTATTGGTCCGTCAGTATAACCTACTTAAAGAAATCTTGGGTTTGTCAAACTCCTTCCATGGGTAAATAGAGGTGTCATACCACTGCCAGGTGCTCCGTGAATATAGAGTAATTGGCTTTCTCGAGCGTTGCTGTTCTGCCAAGCTTGATATCGGAGGTCGGCGAAAAACCACTCTCCTGGAGAGCGCTTCAGCCTGTTGATTGGGATGTCCCTGGAATTGATGAAGGAAAGGTGATCCGTTTGGTATTTCGGAGGTCCCAATCTTCGGTTGATTGACTCAATTCTTCTCGCGTGCCGCTCCCGCCTTGCTGCCTCTTCGTTCTCGATTTGATCTTCTTGTAAATGTCCGATCTTCTTATTCATTAGCTGGATCTCGTAAAGTGCTGCCGATCCTTTTTCGCTGTCAAGCAGTTTCCGACGTTCTCTCAAACTATGGAGAATCTGGCCAAAGTCCGATTCGAATGTCTTCCAAGCTGCATTGAACAACATCTTCCATTCTGTGACAGTGTTAGCAAGAGGAAGAACGAAAATCCAGTCAGGGCACGGCGCACTTGGTCGACTAAAAACTTTGAGCGCTTTTTCGTGAAATACGAGAATGTCGGAGTACAAGTTTTCGAGCACGTTGTCCAAAGGTTGATATTGCTCGAATGTCGCTTGGTAGTGTAGAATGCCAGGAAAAATGAGAGCAATTTCTTCATACGCATCGAGTAGCTTGTTGAGTGACTCGAGGTGCGTCTTAGCAGTCTGTAATGTGAGGTAAAAAACAAGGTGTTAGCAAGCGAGTTATTAGATCCTCACCCGAGTGCATTGAATCTTGAAAGAAAGCTCACGGCGAGAAGGAATTTGATGGGTCCCTGTAATCGACCAACAACAAGTAAGTAAGACGGACAGAGACCCCAATGCATTAGCTGACTGATTCACTTACCCAGACAAAGCAGAGGAAGACAGTTGTGTTCGTGAAAACTTCAATGACTTTACCAAGCTGGGTCATCGCCTCAAGGAAGGGTTCAAGACGTTCGAGACCGCGCAATTCCCGGTTTCGTCCCTGTTCATCCTGTATCTTTTCCATTTCCAAGAATACATCTTCCCGCGTTGAGGCCAGAAAAGCCTGGGCATGTTTTGGATCGAGGCTTTTCTTGAACCTGTCCAAGGCGCGTTGGAAACTATCCAGTCGTGGCGGCATTGCTGGTGTTGTTTGTCGAAGCAGCGAAGGAACAACAAGAAGCGGCGCCTGGCGGACGGCGGGTGAATGCCACAAGAGACGAGACCTTCAAAGCAGCTTCGGGAAAGACCAGAGTATGAGATATCGTTAAACCCTAGAACAATGCACGGCATCACGCTCCAGACGGAACCAACTGCGGCGGTGTTGGGCACGGTTGTCGCGTTGTGTAACGAGGCAAGGGAACATTCCATGGCAAGGCAGACTCACGTGAGTCAGGGCAGTTCGCAGCCTACCTAGAAGTACCTTCTGCACATTTGGCCGAATCATGTTGATAATCCAAGACTACACGGTCGGATTGGGGCTGTGGTGATGCGTGGCTTCCTCTAATTGACGAAAACTTGTGCGCCAAGGCTCACGTCTTCGTTCGATCTCTCCTGATTTGACGATACACTCCTCCATCTCACTCTAGTTGTATTATTCTACACGCGTGTTTAACGCGCCTGAACCGCCACGGGACACAGGCTGAACTACACAATCACCATATCTTCAATTCCACGATTATCTTTAGCTGGGGAAACGGAGAGAAAACAATCTTCGGTAGCTCTAGTATAACCCCAGAACCTCGACCACGAACCGATTGATGACCACGGATTGTTCGAGCATTACTACCTGTAATGTCGTCAAACAATAGCGCTCCCGCGGCAAAACGCCGTTTCTCACTTACTCTTGATGACGGTTTCGCCAGCTGCACGCTATCGCCTTCTACTACCACCCAAGTTTGCTATGGTGCCGTAGGTTCTCCAACTTTCGTCAATTGCATTTTATGTCTTTATAACTTTTAGCTGCCAACCAACTTCGTTGAGCTCTCAGCTAACTCGACACGACCGGGCCCTCAGCTATACGACGGCAAGGCGAAATGTCTTGATGGCTGGAAAGCGATTGACAGCAAAATTCAAGGTCAAACAAAGCGCTCATCATTTTTCTCCTTTCCCGTGAGGAGAATGGGAACCAGTTTCTATATATTCTTCGAAGACGAGATCGCGCTGGCCGTCGTTGACCAACGGACACAAAAATGGTTGGCAGCCTTGGATCCCGTGCCAAATGCCCGATTTGAGGCGTTGTTCGCTGCAGGATCTTTCACAAAACGAAGGAACATTCCCAAGAAGGGAGTAGTGTTGGATGGGATGTCAGTCAATATCTTTGGCCCACAGGACGGAGTTGTCGAAAAGGACGCCGGCAAGCGCTTGAGGCAAGTCTCCGCATTCCTTCAACATCCGATGGAACTGGCCTCGAACATTCAATACTACAATCCTCAGTTCTTTGTCAGACCTGGCCGTGACAGGAACATAACCCATCTCGTTGGAGCTTGTCGCACCGATAACTCTCTTGTTGCAGTCGGGGCGAGAATTGCCCACGAAGTCAACGGCATATTGGAGTCCTTAGGAGGAGGACCATTCGACGAGGGACTCGAGTTTATTCCCCCCATGGGTCTGTCCTCTGAGCTGAAAAGGTATGCGTTGCTACCTACATATCCACTAAAACAACAGGTAGGCTACTAGCTGACTTGAACAGGCACCAGATACAAGCCCTGCTCTTCGTTCTCAAACGAGAACCTGGAAACTCTTTCTCCCAGAAATCACAAATCGGTGTCCTTACATCAACAAAGTCTAAGTAAAAGCCCAGCTTCCGGCAAGCCCCTTTGCTCCTGATGCACCAGACAAGAGTCATGATCCTGACAGGCAGCTACCACTTCTAGTTTTCTGCCGAAAGAGACTCCTCAAGGCAACTTTGGTGGGCTAATTGCCGACGTGATGGGAATGGGCAAGTCACTTACAATTCTCACAACGATCCTATGCACTCTAGAGGATGCTCGCAACTTCCCCCATTTCTCTTTTCAGTCGCAAAACGTCGCTGAACCAGACCGAAGAACACCAACACAAGCCACTCTGGTTGTTGTACCCTCAGCGCGTGAGTTTCCGTTAACCCCCGTGTTCCGAACTTGTAACTGATCGCTCGAAGAGCTTATGTACAACTGGGTAGCAGAGATAGAGAGGTATGCAAATTGCCAGTACGTATCTCCAAGTTGTAGTTTCCTTGGTGAGCTAATGGGAACTACGTACCTCTAGTCACATGCCTGGAGCCCTGAAACTCATTCTGTTCCATGGTCAACGTCGACCTAAGAACCCTGAATCGCTGGCGTCAATTGATGTGGTTCTTACAACGTACGGAACGCTTGCTGCTGATCACAAGAAGGCTCGCTTGCTTCAGAAAATGGAGTGGTATAGAGTTGTTTTGGACGAAGGTTAGATCTGAACTTTTCATTGCAGTGCATGTGGTAATCATGACGGACATGCTAATGGGACGATAACAGCCCATTGGATTCGTAATCCATCCTCACAACAATTCCGAGCGGCTACCAGTCTCAGCACGAGCCGACGATGGTGCTTAACTGGTACTCCCATACAAAACAAGTTCGATGACCTGGCGTCTCTCGCCCAGTTCCTTCGCGTTCCGCCGTATCCTGACAAAAACGTCTTCCGGAAACATGTGCTCGAACCCCTTGAAAAGGGGGATCAAGGATGTGTTGATCCCTTACGGTTCTATCTTCGCCAGAATTGTCTTCGTCGCACAGACAAGTGCCTCAACCTCCCTATGTTAACCGAGGAGCCCGTCTATCTGCAACTATCAAATGAGGAGCAGGAGGCATATGACAGGATTCTGAGCACCGCGATACGTGCACTGGATGATATTGTCAGTAGTGCCGACAAGACCAAACAGTCCAAAAATGAAAAGATCACTGTACTTTTCACAGCTCTTACAAGGTTGCGTAGGCTTTGCGACCTCGGAACGTTGCCGCCTATACAGTCTTCTCCGGGAGACCCGGGACAATCAACCGAGGATTCCGACATGCTGTGTGAGCTTTGTTCATCGCAAGATGCGGATGGATCTCTGTTGTTGAAGGATGAACAGTTCTGTCCTGATTGCTCGCGACCTCTTCGCTCCCAAAGATCAGCAAGGAACACTGGCTACCTCACGCCAGCCAGTCAGCCAGACGGTGTTGACGATCGCGCAACGAGCCCCTTCATCCTGTCCATGGACAATGGGCACTCCACAAAGCTCTTGAAGGTCAGAGACAACGTGCTCCAGGCCCTCCAAGTTCAACCTGGCATCAAGCAGTAAGTACGGTATTTTGTTGCAGGCAGCACCTTGACTCAGTTAACGCTCTTTCAGTCTAATCTTTTCCGCTTGGACATCATCCCTCGGCTATCTCGCCCAGCTCATGCAGCAAGCTGGAATCGCTCACGCGCAGATCAACGGACGAACCAGCAATGCAGAGCGCTTGAAACATCTCAGAGCTTTCCAGGAAGACTCTCAAGTCTCTGTCCTCCTCATGTCAATTGGCACAGGGGCTGTCGGGTAAGCAATCACTCACCTCGCCATCTCGACATTTTGCCAGTTACACCTGTGCTCACGTACCTCTCCTTACCTCTCCTTACCTCTCCTTACCTCTCCTCACCTCTCCTCACCTCTCCTCACCTCACCTTTCCTCACCTTTCCTCACCATACAACTTCACTTCTCCTCACCGAATTACCTCTCCTTCCTCACGTCCTCTCTTCCCCACGCTCTCATCTCCTTTCCGCCGAGTAATACTTACACCTCTCCAACCCACAAAGCCTCACACTCACGGCAGCCAGCCACGTCCACATCGTCGAACCGCATTGGAACCCCTCAGTCGAGGAACAAGCCATCGGCCGAGCGCGCCGCATGGGTCAAACCAAGGAAGTTGTGGTGACGAGGTACATCACGACGGGGACCGTTGAACAGGTGAGTGTTCATCACACATTCCCAACGTCGAAAAAAAAAAAAAAAAAAAAAAAAAAAAAAAAAGAGAGCACAAAAAAGGTGAACTAACACAACAAACCAAAAGAACATCCTCTCCCTCCAGCAAAAGAAGAAGAACATCGCCCGCTTCACCTTCGATGCCTCAAGCGGTGATGCAGTGAGCGAAAGACTGGATGTAAGCAATGCCCACCTATCACTCACCAGAACAAATGAGAAAGCAAACGGTTTGTTGACGTTCTGTGGTTGAAAATGCGTGCAGGACTTCAAGTTCGTTCTGGATGCCAAACTCCCCTCCTGAAAGCTCGTGTGCGCAGCGGGAGCTCAATATTGGGGTAATGTAGGACGGCATAGGGATCCTTTTGGCAATTGTTGTAGGTAGGTATTACAGGATAAGGAGGATGTAATAAGATGAGCAAGTTGTATGTAGCGGGTTGTGCGTTAAAAAGGAAGTGGACACCTATAGAGCTAAGGAGAAAACAAAATGCGGAAGGGAAAAAAAAAAAAAAAGGGGCAGAAAGAAAAGAAAAAAGACAAAACTCACCTGGTCCGTGCTGTGCGACACCACTGTATGCACCGCACTTCCTTCCTTAGCTTCCCTCCTATGTTCAAATAAAACGACAACAGAAACTCAGATTCCATCCTCCCCTGCCTCCTGTCTCCAAACTTTTGGTTTGCAGCTCAGAAGACTCATCCTCAACCAAAGGTGGTCTCAAGGCTGTGGAACGTGGCGGATGTGCCACCGAAATGTGCACATTTGCGACATCAGCTGTTGATGCCTTTCAGACCAGCAGAAGTGTAAAGAAGCCCAATGAACACTACCTATTAATGCCCAAATTCCCAGTCTAAAGTGGGCCAGCCACCAATCGCATGTGTCATTGGTAGTGTGAAGATATCCTCTCGGGGAGAGCTGAATTTGATGCCTGCACCGACAGCTGCAAGTAAGACGCCACTCACCTAGACTGTACCTTAATTATCGTCACTTCGAGAGAGGTCCCAAACGAGTTCGGCCAATCAGACGTGTCCATAGACAACAACAGCAACCACCTTCAAGGCTCCCAATCAAACCCACCGAGACATACGCTACGAATTTTGTCAGTTACTTATGGTAAGTAGTTCTCGTCTGTCGAGCAACTCCCCCAGTTTCAACTGCTGATTTACTGTACTTACAGTCCCGCGAACATAAGCCGTCCGCTCGCGAAGCCTGCAAGCCTTTTCCCACCATCGAACATTGTATGATTAGCTGCCGAGGGAGCTGAACCTGGCGGACTCTGCAATGCGACTCCTGGAGCGTGACGATACCGGCGGGGTCCGTCTGACGAAGGTCCCCGACAACAAGATTCCACCGTATGCGATACTTTCACACACATGGGGTCCCGAAGAGGTCCTCTTCAAAGACATGACGGACGGTACAGGCAAGAACAAAGCAAGCTACGCTAAAATTCGTTTTTGCGGAGACCAAGCCTGGCGCGATGGATTGAAATTCTTCTGGGTCGATACATGCTGCATCGACAAGTCTGACAGCGCCGAGCTTCAATACGCTCTCAACTCCATGTTCCATTGGTACCGCAGCGCGGTGAAATGTTACGTGTACCTAGCAGACGTCTCAACCCATCAGCACGGCGACGGCCCCGGTTGGCAGCCGGCCTTTCGAAAGAGCAGATGGTTTTCCCGAGGATGGACCCTCCAAGAGCTCATTGCCCCAACGATTGTCGAATTCTTCTCTAAAGAGGGCGAGCGCCTGGGAGATAAGGAGTCTCTGGAACACGAAATCCACGATATAACCGGAATTCCGCGAAAAGCCTTCCAAGGTGTTCCTCTATCTGATTTCAGCGTCGCCGAACGGATGCGATGGATCGAGAAGCGTGACACACAATACGAGGAAGACAAGGTGTACTCTCTATTCGGCATCTTCGATGTGCACATACCGGTTCTCTACGGTGAAGGAAGGCAGAAAGCATTGAAGCGGCTGCAGGACAAGGTTTACGAGGATTACCTCTGTCTGGCAAAATTGTGGCCCACGGACTCGCGTGACCCGCACGTCGAAAAGGAGCGGATCGAGCTGGCGAAGGGTGGTCTGTTGGCTGATGCTTACCGCTGGGTCTTCGACAACCCCGACTTCAACCGATGGCGCCAGCTGCAGGAGAGTCGCCTGCTCTGGATCAAGGGAAATCCAGGCAAAGGCAAGACTATGTTGCTATGCGGTATTATCAACGAGCTAGAGCGGCGTGTTACTGCTGACGGCGGCAACTTGGCGTATTTCTTCTGCCAAGCTACCGACTCGCGCATCAATAACGCAACTGCCGTGCTACGAGGCTTAATCTATCTACTTGCCCACCGGCAACCACGCCTGCTCTCACATCTACCGGAGAACACATACCCTTCTGATGACGCAATGGCATGGATCGTCCTGTCTAAGGTTTTATGCCAAATGCTAGAAGACCCGAACTTGAAGGTCACCTATCTGGTGATTGATGCTCTGGACGAATGTGTGACAGACCAACTGCAGCTTCTCAAGTTGATCGTCCAGATATCATCTGTGTCTGCTCGTGTCAAGTGGCTTGTATCTAGTCGTAACTGGGTGCAGATCGAAGAACAGTTGGCGATCGTTGCGCAACAGTCCAGACTCAGCCTCGAGCTAAACACCGAATCCGTCACCACTGCCGTCAGTGCATATATCCGCCACAAGGTCCTTCACTTGTCGCGGCGGAAACAGTATGACAGCACAATGCAGACGGTTGTACATGACTATCTCTCTTCTAACGCGAATGGGACTTTTCTTTGGGTGGCCTTGGTCTGCCAAGTACTTGCGGACCCGAGCGTTCGGAGGTGGCAGACACTAACAAAGTTACGGGCATTCCCCCCCGGGTTGGATTCCCTGTATGCGCGGATGATGGAGCAGATTACTCAGGCCGATTATGCGGATCTGTGTAGGCAAATTCTTGCCGTCTCCTCTATCGTTCGCCGACCCATCAGCCTTCAAGAACTGACCACTCTCGTGGAGATGTCAGACGATATCTCAGATGATCCGCAGTCACTGGAAGAGCTTATAGGGCTTTGCGGCTCGTTTTTGACTCTTCGAGACCAGACTGTTTATTTTGTCCACCAATCAGCCAAGGACTTTCTATTGGGCAATGCTTCTGATAAAGCTAGTAACCAAGCTTCTCAAGAGGCTTTCGACTGGATCTTCCCTAAAGGGAAAGAAGATGTGCACTATATTATCTTCCTGAGGTCACTTGAAGCCATGTCTACAATACTGCGACGCGATATATACAACTTAAGGGCACCAGGATTTCCGAGCGACAAGGTCCAAGTACCGGATCCGGACCCGCTAGCGACGGTGCGGTACTCGTGCATCTACTGGGTTGATCACCTGTGCGACTTGGTTTCCAGTACAAACACAAACCGGAATGATCTTTTACAGGACAACGGGATTATCTATACATTCCTCAAGACGAAGTACCTTTACTGGCTGGAAGCTCTAAGTCTATTCCAAGCTATGCCTGCGGGCGTTGTTGCTATTAGAAAGCTCAAGGACCTGCTAGTAAGTATGAGACTAACTGTGCACCGGAAACTCGATCTAACTTAAAGATATAGGGTGGCAATGATCAGTGGCAGTTAACAAAACTTGTTCGGGATGCTCACCGATTTATTCTATCTTATAGATGGATAATAGAGCAAGCTCCGCTTCAAGCTTATATATCAGCGCTTGTGTTTGCTCCGTCCAGCAGCTTAATAAAGAGCAACTTCAAAGCAGAAGAACCTGACTGGATTCGAAGTAAGCCGGCTATAGAATCAGATTGGAACGCATGCCTCCAAACCTTAGAAGGCCATAGCGGTTGGGTTTGGTCAGTAGCATTTTCGCCCGATGGCCAACGGCTCGCATCCGGTGCGCGCGATCACATTATCAAGATCTGGGATACGGCGTCGGGGAGCTGTCTCCAAACCTTAGAAGGCCATAGCGGTTCGGTTCGCTCAGTGGCATTTTCGCCCGATGGCCAACGGCTCGCATCCGGTGCGCGCGATTACACTATCAAGATTTGGGATGCGGCGTCGGGGAGCTGCGTCCAAAAGATTAATATCAGCACTATAGTAGAGTACATATCGTTTGACCATACTAACCGTTATTTACTTACCGATGTTGGACATATTGATATAGCTACAATGACTACCGAAAGCCAAATTGTGCTTGATAATCCAGAGAGACATAGCTATAACTTAGGACCAAATAGGTCTTGGATTACTTGCAACGGCCGGAATGTACTCTGGCTGCCACCAGAACGCCGAGCCCAAAGCTCTGTCTTCCAAGAGCGGATAATATTCATCGGCAGCGCAACGGGACAGGTTTCATTTATCGGTTTCTCGCGAGACATATAATGTATTCTAAGTCTCTCCCAATTACTTTCCCTCTATTTCATTTTTCTAGCGTGCTATCAGAAGGGTATGGGAGGATAAGCTAATTTATAAGAATCTTACAAATTCTAGCATCTTCTACTGATATTGAGATGATGTTCTATTACGAGGAGGCAAGACTATTCCATCCCTTCATTCTCCTTTTGCGAGTGCCTGCGCGAACCACTTCTTTTCCTTTGTTCTACGGGTCCCGCCATATACTGGCGGCTTGCTCACTGGGCAATCAATTGGGTGTTGGGCCGCGTCTACGCCATGGGCAACACGTGATTTACACTGGCAATAGGCCTCAGGTTGCTCTCGGATTAATGGTTTTGGTAGACAATTTTTGTACGCTAGATTCACCGATGTGGCACGTCTCATGCCCTACGGGAGGCGGAAGTAGACGTTAAAAATAACAACAACAACAACAAAAGCTGTCGTCCCGCACGGCTTCCTCCCGCCGTCTAACTCGATGGACCAGCCTGTCCAAATCCGCCGTAACCTCCTCGATCTCATGGCCTTGGCCAACTTCTATCCCTTCGTCCCGTAGGAATCCGGTAAGGTCGTTAGCGGTGCCTCCGTCGTCAATGTGCTTTTGCCAGAGTGTCTGGCGCCAAGCTTTCCTTGTGCAAGTCCACGAAAAGAAGTGCGAGGTCTGTATTCTGGCAATAAATCGTTGCCAGTAGATACCGATAGCAAGGGAGAGATTCTCCGGCGTAGTCGCCTCGCCTGTGACTGGGGAGACTGCGTACGCTTTCCTGCAGAAGAAGGGATGGAAGGGATTCTTCCAGCTTCCACAGAAGCATGTCAGCAGGGCGTCCTCGTGCTCAAAGCGCTCGTGGTAGTCCTTGAAATCACCGTGGCCAGACCTGGCCGCGAGGAGATGGTGTAAAGAGCGTCTGTCCAACTCTTTTAGTTCGTCGTTAGGCTTGATAGAGACCCCCAGCCGGTAGTTTGTATAAGACTCTGGCTTGTTCGCGGCCCACCATGCCTTGAAATCCGTACGCGCCTCCCTCTTAGCAAGCCGCCTTGAATGCGCAAAGGTAGCCAAGCCTTCATTGACTACCTCTACCCCATTCGCGCCCGCTTTAGCGAGCTCGTCAGCAATCTCGTTGCCCGTGATGCCCTTGTGGCCAGGAACCCAGCGGACGCCCACCAGACTGGGGCCATAGCCCTTGCAGGTGGCCCGGAAATCGAGGAAAGCCGCTTGTGACGACGCAGCTTGGGTTCCCCGGAGTCCTCTAATGACGGACGTGTTATCGAGGCATACCGTAATGCGTGGCCGGGCCTGTGCCTCCGGAAAGAGCGCTACCGCGGCCTTGAGACCATATCGCGCCCCTTCTGCCTCCGCATCAAAGACTTCTGCATATTCTAATTGACCGCATCCGCGGCCAAGTTCTGTCTGCCCCTGGAAGATTACGTAGCCAAAGCCTACGCACTCGCCCTCTGGTCTTTCATCTTCAGCGTCCGGGTCCTCCGCGTGCGCTGGAAGGCCCATCTGCTTAGCTATCATAGAGCCGTCGGTGTAAACAACGATATCCGAGGGATCTAGCCGGAGAAGCCATTCTTTGAAATCCTTGGCAGCCCTGTCCTTAGACGTGGGCGCTGGATCCTTGTGAGTGTCTCCGTTATAGACGGGCGGCTATAGAATCGGCCGCGGGAAAGGCAAGGCGAGTTGGGCAGCCGTTTGTAGCGTTGTAGGGCGGCGAGGTAGGCCGTGCGGCGTGACCCGAGATTTTGAAAGACGCGGGACAAGCGGGTGGGCGGGATCTAAGGCGAGGAGGCGCACGGCGTGCCGCCGGCGGGCCGCTTCCAGAAGAAGGGGGGCGGGGGGCAGGCTAGCTTCGCGGTAGAGAATGGCAAGGCGCGTCGTTCTCCACACCGGTAAGCTGGCGCGGATGGCCATGTTCACCGCCGTCTGGACTTTATGGACGAGGTCCGCCAGTCCGTTGTTAATAAGCGGAAACTCCCCTTGTTTACGGTGTAGGGCGTGCTTCTTATGGCCTGGCCACCAGATTTCAGAGCCAAATAGGGCCTTTGGCAGGACGACAGCCTTCATAGCTTTCACCATGGAGCCTGGAGGGGCGCCGTGGTAGACTCTATTGAGACCGCGTATGTGGCGGACCACCTGCTTAGCGGAGGCGAGCCTGTGCTCAATGTGATGCTTCCAGTTCAGCTTGCTGTGGAGCCAAATCCCCAGCCAACGCATTGCCGGCTGTGCAGCCACCTCGACTCCTCCGTGCGTAATGGTCGGAAAAGGCGCAGTGAGTCTTTTCCTGGAGAAAAACTGGATTTCGGTCTTGTCCGGGGAGAAATCGACAGCGTTGTCTACTCCCCATCGGACCATGGCATTCAACTCTCGTTGGGCCTTCCTTGCAACCTCCTCGTTCGAAGAGCCAGTGATAAGGACTGCACAGTCGTCTGCATATCCAAAATGCTGCGCTTCGCTCTCCCCGAGGCGATGTACTGGCTCTGTGTAGAGCAGGTAGATGATTGGCGAAGCTGGTGAGCCCTGGGGGAGCCCGCATCTAAGGCGACGCATATGAGTAGTCACCCCCGGGTATCGAACGCAAGCCATGCGGTCCGTCATAAAAGACTTAACCCAGCGGACCACGCAGTCTGGCCACCCTTGCTCCCGCAAGCGTAAGACTAGCCTATTTACTAAGACGACGTCAAAGGCACCTTTGACATCCACAGCTACTAATGCAGCAACGAGTCCCTTGTCGAGTATAGCTTCGATATCGTGAACCAGCGCTTCCACAATGTCAACAGCCGAACGCCTTGGGAGGGCACCAGCCTGCTGGGATTTAAGACCCCGTTAGAAATAGCCGTCCAAGCGATCCGCCTACCAATAAGGCGTTCGATGCCTTTCCCAAGGCAAGACAGGAGTGAGATGGGCCGCCATCCCTTAAAACCTCCCCCTTCTGAGAAGGTGTCAGGAGTAAATGGCAGGGGTAAGCACCTTGTGTAGTGTATGCCTAGCCCACTCAGCTGGGCTTGGCGTAAGTGGAACGGTGCCGTAGGTGGATGATCAGTGATGATATGGTTGCTCTCGCTCTACGGGGACGACTCAATGCAACATCCAAGGTTCCACCGGTACCTTCCGCTCCCAAGTTCATTAGCACCGCAGACTTCAATCTCATTATGGTGGCGAAGGTGGGCACAACGGTATCCGCCAGGGACAGTGAGCGCTTGACACATCTCGCACTTTCCTCAACGGGAGCCTCCTAGTCAAAAAAACCTGTAAATGCAAATGTAAAGTTGGAATTGAAATCTGGGATGTGCCGTGAATGATAGATATGATTAAGTCCAACGGCAATGACATTATGTCCACCTAGTGAATAGCCTGAGAGTAACACAAACACGATGACCATCAGGAAAATCGTAGAGGAAGAAAGTCAATGGGTATCTCTGCTCACGCAAACTTCAAGCACAACCATACCTCCCCTGCTCACTTACTCGAGTCCTCTACCACCTCCACATAACTCCTACACATCCTCAAAAACCTCTGCCGATACTCCTCCGGCGTAGTCGTAATACTCATAGGCCCCCTCTTACTAACCAGAAAATTCCACAGCTTGATCAGAACCGTCATCACCTTCGGCTGTAACTTATGTTTCACCCAAAAGAAGTCCAAAATCGACGCTCGGTAGATATATGCCTAGCCCACTCAGCTGGGCTTGGCGTAAGTGGAACGGTGCACTCGACGGCGAAGGCAATGGAAAACGGTTCAAGAAACGGCGGCGGCGGTTTTGGCTGTCATCCAAACCCCTGAAGAAACGGGGGCGGCGTTTTTGGCTGAGTCATCCAAACCCCTATTGAAATCTACAAAAAAACGGCTCCCATAGATAAGCCACCGATTGGTGGCTTATCTATGGGAGAGCGGACGGGATCCCGAGTTTTCCACCATCTATGGCCGTATGTGCTTGTATAACTCCAATCAGCAGCTTATCAAGTCAATGGAAGGCTGCTCCGGGTGGGGAAAGTCTTAAACCGCTATCTAACCACTTGAAGAACAGGCTTCTCTATCCAGCGGAAAAACCCCCCAAGTCTTGTAATCAGACGTTTGATCCCCTCCCCTCAACATTCTTATTCCCGGAAAACCACTTCTTAGCCCTTGTTCGGAATCCATTCGTGGTATTGGAGGCATGAGGATCATCAGTCTGCTCTTCCGCTGCGTCAGGGTGTCTCGGTTGGAGCAAGAGGAAGCTGTGCCGTTTTTAGAGATTTCTCTCTGATATATTTCTATTGGAGACGATGTAGATCTCGTTCCAATCGCGCAATCGCCCTATAAAGCACGTTAATAGTGATTCGACCAAGGTCGTTCATGAAATCCCTTCTTACACTTCCAATCTAGGACTCTGGTTCTCTGTCGGGGTCTGTGATGAGGTTTTGTGTGTTAGACGCAGGCAGAGTATACGAGGAGGTCTTGTCCCGTTGGGCGCAGCCCCAAAAAAGGAACTGCAAGAAGTGTATGGTGTGGGTGGACAAAGTTTCACTTACTGTCTCCTCTGTGACTTTCACCTCACCAGATTTCTGATCTTCGGGTATTAGGCTCCGCCTTCCTCTTTCGTATCTTTCCCATCTTTCTTTGCTTCTAGCAAGCATAATCCTCATATATTCCGTCTGCGCTTTGCGTTCGTCTGCATGATCACGTTGATGAATTTCCGCGGGTTTCTCTTTTCGGCTCTGTAAGCTGTGGTAGATGCTCGTAAGCCAGTACTCTTGAGGCTCTTCCGCGGGTTTTTCGTTTTCTTCAACGCGTTCTTGTTTCGTTTCGCGAAGGCTCTTAAAGCTGCGGTAGATGGTCGTACACCAGTACCCAAAGATGAGCCACTCGCTTGGCTTTGCGTCCTCCCTGCTCAATGGTACCTTTGACATTTCCTCGCCGAGGAATCTCCACCGTGTGTCCCTCTCCTCCATCATCTTCTTTACAAGACGCTGCCTAGGTGTGTTGAATAGCAGTGAGACACCGCGTTGGAGGGCACGCACGGTTGTCTCAAGGTTCGCAACCACCGCATAGGTTGCCAGCCCGATGCAAATGGTGACAATGACGAGGTTGGTGGCGTTGTAGTCTTCATTGATACTCCACATCGACATGCAAAAGCCCAGCGGGAGGTAGAAGATACTGACAAAGGTCAATAGCTTAACATTTTGGCTCAGTCTCGTTGCTTCCCGGGTCTCGATGACACTGCTGGCATTGAAAAGCTAAGTCTCGGATTAGTGAAATGCCGCATCGAGTTACGGTGTGTAGATAGTGTTCAATGAAGGGGAGATCCAGATGTCAGACATGTGATGCTTGCGAGAGAAAGTCTTCTTCAGTGCGTGAGCAGGGACAATGTTACTTACCCCGTCTCTGTACTCGATGATCTTCTGTCTCCTAGATTCGAATCTCTGTCGAGTATTCTTTAAGCTTTGGATCCGTAAAAGAATCGAAGCATAAAAGTCATCAACGGATTTGTCGCCAATGCGTAGCTTTCCTTTGGTTTTGTCCTGCTTGTCCACTAGGTGCCGTTCGCTTCTGTGAATATCCCATTTGTTCTCATCCCAAAATCTCTCCCACCGTTCGATCGTAACGTTTATATCCTGGATAAATCTGCCAAGACTGTTGATGGCCCAGAAGTAGAGTCTTGATTGAGAGAAGTGTCTGTCGTCAAAGAGAAGGCTGTCGTGTTGCTCCGGGTTAAAGATGAGCTCACGCTTGGCATCAAGACGATCGAAATAAGGATCGAGTTCTGCCCATTCCTTTGCCGCGCGGCCCAAGACACGGTCGATAAACTCCAATATCCCAGTTCGCAGACTGACTGATGAGTTCCAAAAGTTATCTCCGGGTTCCTCTGGAAGGACATAAAATTCAGGCGGAGGCAGAACGAGCATGGTCCAGTATGGCCCAGACCCTGCCGCAGTGTCAGCCGTATCGAAGTTTGAACAGTATATGTGACACTGAATGATTGACGGCTGAGAAAGTACCCTTCCTCTAAATATAGAGGGCCGTATCCCCAGCAAGATTTGTAAGGTTTTGGAGACACGCGATACCACGAGATATGAAACGTGTCCCATTGTCCGTTCGCGGTGATCGCAGTCCCCCAAAGAGGGTCAGCTTTCAGGTGTTGTGTGACAGCCAGCTCCAGATGACCTGCTAGCGAGAGGCCTGTTTTTTGGAATTTAAGGTCCATTCCAGGCGTAGAATTGGAAAAGAGGAAGTGGACGAAATTGTGAGCAACGTCAGGCAGCGGTCGTTATAAGATAAGATAATTCAAGATGGGTCTCAAATTGTTTTATCTTGCGTAAAAATGCCAGAATTGAATTGGTTAAATCTGAAATTGCATTGAATTGATATCTTGAATTACATCGGCGGATAGTACTTCCGGACCGCCGGCACCACATACGAACCTCCAAACCTTCGTTGACATTCGAAATATCGTCACGCACTGACCCGAGGCCCGAACGTACGTTTCTAGAAGCAGGCGGGAGGTTGTTACCTGCATTGAAGTAGTTAGATTCTACAGCAAAACCACGGCAACCGCATGTGTACGAGCAACACCTCACCTATATGACGAAACAATTTAGCCAAGATAATACGGGGTTACGATTGAATTACACTTGACTCCCTGAGCCCAACTTGAATTGGATAATTCTGACTGGATTTGAATTGAATCACTAGTCTTGAATTGCGGGGACCGCTGACGTCAGGCCCGTCAATGCGCTCCAGTCCATTGACGTCTATTAAGCGATACCAGGGCCTGAAGGAAGGGCTTGAATCAGTACTGGACTTTTCTTGGTCTTGTTAATGATCATCCGCCGGTCCTGTTGTTCCTCGTCCATGTCCTTTTCGTCGAGCGTGAGAACATACCTAGTTGTTTGGGGGTTGTTATCAAGGTGCGCAGATACACCGTCACCAAGCCATTTCCGGGCACGTGTAGCCCAATCGCTGGCATACCAATGTTCTCGGGTCGTCAGTAACTTGAAAAACTCCAGGTATATGTCTTCGGGAATCAACTTGTAATATCTGTCAATGCGCCGGTGCTCATTGTAACGGTGCCATCGAATGGAGTTGTATGTAACGGGGAACAGGTCAAACAGTTCATCTCTGTCACTCCACATCATATCTGACGGGTAGTAGCAGAAGTGGTCACCATAAGCGTCATAATCCCATATTATGAAAGTCCCAGCAGCCTTGTGTAAGTTTTCCAGAAACTGAGTTGCCTTAATGAGGTAGTCAACTAGTCATCCAGTTCGCTCGTGCTTCTCATGCGCCGGAGTGACAGCGGCTCAAAGCCAAGGGGAAGCCTTGCGTCTGTGGGTACAGAATACAAGTTGTTCAAAACGTCTATTATAATGTCAGCATAATCCCCGAGTCCCATGCTTTCTGCGCTGCCTTTGTCTGGGTTTTTCCAAGCCTTTACTCGTCCTGTCATGCTAAAGGAATAGGGCACATGAAAATATTCTGGCCAGCTCGATCCCAGATATTCACCAGGCTGGTGCAGTAGAGGGTCGAGAGGTCGCGGTGTTGTGAACAAGTGATCATCGATGTGATACCCCTTTTGTTCTTTTTTGAGACGCAGTACGTAACTGTCCCGCAGTTTCCACTCTGGACGCACTTCCCATTTTGGTATGAGATCGGGTTCTGCCTTGGCGTAGAGAGGGGGTGTTGTTTCTCCAGGCTGTTCCAGTTTACCACCTGCCCAACGCCAAAGTTAGACCAGAGCTTGATCGATACGTAGGAGTAGGAAACTGAAGTACTTACTGTCCTGATGGGCCTTGGCTTCAACGTCCGGAGGCTTTGGTGCGTCCTTGTTCTTCGGTTGCACCGCGGCCAACCTCTTTCCCGCTTCCTTCTGATTCAGTTCTAGAAGCGCTTGGAGCAGCAACGAGTTTGTCTTGAGGTGCTCGGTTTGTGCAGCTAGGGTGTCCTTGATATCTTTGAGAGCATTGACGAGCTCCGTGGCGTGGTCTGTCGACATTTCCGGTGTGAGTTTGATGTGGTGAGCTCCTGGGTTCTTCGAACATGAGGCAAAGCTTTCACGAAGAAAAGTTCATATCTGGAGGAAGAGGAGCTGCGAGCTGCTGCACTTCTCAAAGCTTGCATGCCTTCCTCCTCGGCGTTATTAGTGTTGCAGTGAAAGTGCTATCCAAAAGCTGCCCAATCACTGCCACTGAGACGCCTAACAATAGGGCCAATGCAACCCTTTTCAGCGCGATTCTAGTTCATTGGTCACCGATGAGGCCTTTTGATATGCAGCTAAAGCTTTTGTTCTTGCCACCATGCACATGTCTCGGAGAAGTCACGATCAAGCGACAAAGCGGTTGACTGCTGTTGCCTTCAACTCATGACTCCCAGATTAGTACAGCCCAAGCTTGAAGATTACGAAATCGTTCTTGCCAAAAGAAGGGATCTCCCCAAAACGTCACTCTCTTAGTCCCTCCCCCGCGGCCCCCGCCTCAACCTCACCGTCAACCCCTCCCTTGCCCGCCCCAGAAGTCAGCCTTACCCCTCACCCATCATCATCACAGTATCCTCATCTATGTAATCTTCTTCTTGACTTTCGGTGCTTCCATTTCACACCCTTAACCCCATACTCGTTCAGCTCATGCTTTACATCAAGAATTGCGTCTCCTTGCCCCCTATCACGTTTCCGGTCTTCCCTCCTCCCCTTCTTACCACCCCTTTATCACCAACTCCGACAGTCGACCATCTGTCAGAAAGAGAAGAGAGGCATATTAAATTTCTGGAAGCCACTTTGGTCTTGAATCGGCGGGGCAGCATAAAACAGTACATAATACGTATAGGGATAGACCGCCTGTGAGCCTCATCAGCCACAGCCGCTTTTCGGCACGGGATGTAACGAGCGACCGTTGTTGGCGCGGCAGTTACCGACATTCCTGTCGTATTGGTTGTACTTTTTGACAGAGTAAGACGTCAACTTCTTGACGTCGTGACTGACACTGTGTTGTGATTACCGTTGAGCTTCAGTTTGAAGCCACACCTTGATAATTTCCACCCAAGCTTTCAGTGGCTCTCGAGGAGCAACCCAGCATTTGAAGGGAACGCCGGTCATACGGCATACTAGTTCCGAGCCTTACAAATTCCACCGCAAAGTTGACTGCTGTGCAGCTTCAGGCGGTGCCTGTTTTGGCTTTCTGTCAGACCCAAGAGACATTACACGAGCGGGAGATGGACCATCGAGAGAGTTGAAGCATAACGGTAACACAGCGTTGTGTCAGTTGTTCATGAGAAATGTAAGACTCCCTCCTCCATGCCTTGATCACCCATCATACCCTCAACTTCCCACCCCAAATCAACCCTACAAAAGCCAACAACCTATGCACCGTCCCAATGCCCAGCATGACCAGGATGTTGGGCCACTTCCGATCCAGTTCATATCCCGTCTCTTCAGAAGCAATTTGGACATCATACAGATACCCAAACGGCCTGACCAACTGGCCGAAGTACAGCTCACCGAGCCACACGCCCGGCCCGGCCCTCCACAGCCATTCAACGTGCCACTCCTTGGCCTGCTTCAAGCTCGGCGCCGCACCGCTCAAGATGCCGACAATGATAATGAACATCGTCGCAGCCAGTGGCGCATCCTTCCGTCTCACCACCATGCTCAGGCAGCTAGCCAGCCCGTAGATGCAATACATATACAGCAAGTTGGCCAAGAACGCCGTCCAGAACGGAATGACAGGCACGCTCACCAAAAACAACGGGGCAGAGAAGTGTAAGCAAGCCAGTGTCATCCTTGGAAGGACACTGACCGTCTTTGCAAAGAAGTATGCCACTCGAGAGTGCCCGGCCTCTGCCTCACGACGGTACACGAGTATCTCCTCGGAGAAGACCTTGACACCTGGCGCGGCACTGGAAAAGGCAATGGCCAACGTGTTGAGCATTTCCATCTGCGGGGCCGCGGCATAGTCTGCTTTGAGAGACAGGATTTCGTATGGTTTGTGGTACTGGCCTCGGAAAAAGGCGCCATTCTTCGGCTGTTGGGCAAGACCGAGCAAGGAGCCGGCAAGCGCGTTGAGACCCATTTCGAACCAATAGTTGGAGCGGGCACGGTATTGCTGAAGGATAGAGCGGGATAGACATAGCAGGGTTTGTCGCCAACGAGGAGCGCCGCGATCCTTCAAGATAGCTTTGAGCTTGCTGATGGACATAAGAGAAGATCGATTGTGGCGGGATGTGTCGGTGTCGCTGCTTTCATTACCGACAAGGGTGGTGTCAGAGGGGTTTCGGGAGTGGGCACGTTGCCAGGACCTGTCCTCGTCTTCTTCAGTGAGGATGCTCACCCTGGAGCCTTTAGCCCAGTGGCCAATGAGAGCTTCTTTGGATACATCTCCGTCCTTCTTGTACGGCCGACCGTTTCCTGTGATGATGTCGGTAATGACGTCGCTGCAGTTGGCTCCAGGAGGGAACACAAAACCCATCTGCTCGAAGAAGGTCTTGGCTTGACTCTGAGGCCCTTCGTAGATCTGTTGTCCATTTCCTAGGAGGATCATGTCGTCCAACATCTCAAAGATTTCCACTCGCGGCTGATGGATGATGACTATAACGGTAATACCGAGTCTTCCAAGAGCCTTGAGTGTACTCATTATGGACCTCGCTGAAGTCGCATCGAGACCGGAGGTTGGCTCGTCCAGGAAGATGGCCATGGGAGCAGCCGCCAACTCCATACCGATGCTCACACGCTTGCGCTGACCACCGCTAATGACAGGCTTCCCAACGCTGCCAACCAAGCTGTCACGTACGTGGGAGAGTTCCAGACAGTCGATAACGGCGTTAACATGAGTTTCGATGTCGGATTTGCTCCAGGTACGCGGCAACCGAATCTTGGCCGAGTGCATGATGTTCTCATAGACGGTGAGCTCAGGCAAGACAATATCGTCCTGAGGCACGTAACCAATAAGCTTCTTGTACTGCTTGAGCTCCCCAGGGATGTTGTTGACGGTGACGCTGCCTTTAGTGTACTGCGTCTTGCCCATGAGAACGTTGATGAAGGTTGACTTGCCATCGCCTGAGCCACCCATTACTGCCGTAAGGCTTCCGCTGTTGATAGATCCAGTGACGTTCTGGAGAATTGGCCTCTTGCTGTTCTTGAGTGCAAAGGTCAGTTGATTGTAGCCAAACGACAGACCAAACTCGGAAGCAGAAGTGGCTCTGCGCATCGAGTCGACGAAGGCTCTGGCAGAAGGCGATATATCTGGGTCAAGGTGGTGGCGGACGGTCTTTTCACGACGAAGAGGAGGCGCTTGCTCGTGTATCTGATCGCCGAGACCCCTAAAGGTGTCTTGACGCTTGGTTCGTCTCCGCAGTGCCGTCTCATAGTCGACTTCCTCATGGCGTTCCTCCGCAACCTGCTTGTAGCCGCCAATGACAGCTACGTAGCTGTCCTGTTGAATGGCTCCGGAGGACGCGTTGCGGCGTCTCTTGCGGATACCGAGATCGACCATACCAAGGATGACGTCAATAACTATGACAAGGACAATGGGGATAAGATAACGTTCAAACAGAGACCCTTCTGGGCACCAGCTCCCAACCGCGCATGGCGTGGGTGTAACTGCGCCCGCCTGGCAGTAATGGCCAGATGGACACTTGAGGGTGACCATCCCCTTTTCTTCCCGAGGGCAGTACCATCCAGCCTGGCAGACGACGGGCTCAAAAGGACCCATGCCGATACTGGCGCCATTCAGTTCGCAGGCGATGCCCCCTAGTCTGGCAAGCTGGCATTCGGTGACGGGAGGACAGTACTGTGGTAGTGAGTTGACGGTGTTGTTTGAACCTGTGAGTAGCGTGTTAGTCTTTGCCTGGGAGTCGACAAGGGAGAGGTGAGGGAGGGCATCGGGATCAACGTACAAAGGAACCCATCTTTACACCCATGCTCTTGCCAGTCTTTATAGTCCTGTATTTGGATGGGAATCGCTCCGGGTCTCCAGCACGGTGCCGCATCGACCGGTGTCTGGTTGGCCTGCTTCTCGGCGGCCGCACGATAAAGTGTGGTCGAGAAGAGGGTGTTGTTCTCCGCTGTGCAGGCGGTATCCCACACACTGAGACCTGGTGTCCGATCTCCCGTTATCGTAAGTTGTTGCTGGTTGTCATCCCATTCGAACCCTTCTGCCGAGTCTGGAGGATATGATGCATCGTAAATGGGACCCAGAGTGCTGTTGGTGTCGAGCTTGAGTCCATCAACATTCTTAGCTTGGAACCACTTTCCTCCCGTGTCTGTTATGGTGAACTGGTTTCCAACACACTGCCACCATACCGTGCCGCCCTTTACGGGTTCTGGTCGAAGTTGGCAAAGACAGGCCTCTGTGTCGAGGAAGCGTGGACCATCGACAGCGTCCACTGGGTAGAAAGGGTCTTGAAATGCTCCGCTGCGAATACTAGAGTCGAGCATGGAGAAGAGCGCGATTTTGGTAGGTGTCGTCATGTCGTCAACCACGTCTTGTGGTATTTCTTGGGGTATGTCTTGGGCCATTGTCGGTTCTGGTGGCTTGTCTCGAGGAACTGTTCGTTTGAGTTCCCGTTGAGGCGAGGAAAGGTGCTTTTGCTGTATACCAGAAGACCTTCGCACAAGGTCATGACGAGTTTTGTACTCTGCGGAGTGGAGTTGGTGTGCCATGATATACAACGCAAACACTTCAAGTTGATCACGGTACCAAAGACAAGTACACGGCTTTTCCTCCGTGATGCTGGTGTGTCTCCGTCACCGGGGTTTTGGTGCCAAAGGATTTCCCCGGTCAGCACTGAGGATAAGCCTCTACACCCGTCAGAGTGATGATCTGAGGCTCAGTTGGATTGTAGCACCAAAATTACCATCCTTATAGGGCGAGGCACGGGTATTCCTACCGCTTGGCAGCCCTGGCAGCTAATTTCCGGGCTCGAGCCGGGACCCCAAGCCTAATCCGACGTCAAAGTCCGACCTCGCGGGTGGCTTGTCAGGCTTGTCCGAGGTGATGGGCACCGGGCGAAGGCAGAAGAATTATTCGATCCACTAGAATATGGGTTGGGTATAGCCACTTGTTCGTCCTACGTTGAGCTAGGCAGTATATTTGAGTGGACGATTGCGGATAGCGGTGGAAGTTGGGTCGGGACGGGATGGACTCGATGGATTCGATAGCGTCGTTGTTGCGTCGGAGGTTAGTAGGTTAATTTTGTAGCAGGGGAAAAGATGTTAAACGAATGAGTAGGTAGAAGATAGTATGTACTATCACAAGTCCGCTCCTAGGAGGTATGCCTAGTGGCATTCGTATGGCAATAACGGGACGAGCAGAGGTCGTCTCGACCAAGAGCCGATCAAGAGCTGGACAGGAACATGGCGTGGAAGAACCGTGACACCAGGATTTGGGTAACAAAGAGGGGATGCTCTGAACCGGCATTTAGGCAAATGTCAAGAAACTTGGAAGAGACGATATCGAGCATAAATTGCACACAAACAAGGCATTGGAGTCTCGTCACGGACGCAGCTGCTCGGCAATTGCAGAGGGCATTTGGGCAGGTGCAGGCTTGCAACAGGTACGTGCGGCAGGCAAGAATGGCAGGTGCAATCGGGTCGACCGAGTGTCCCCGGCAGGCAAGTCTTCACTAACAACGAAGCCAGCAAGCTCGGTGCCTCGCTGATAGTGTACACCACTTTTTGAAGTGCAACCATGAGGGCCGCTTCCATTTTGCTACGATCTTCGTGACGCGCCTGCTTTATTTCGTTTTCTGAACAGTTACGAAGACACGAAAGAGTCATGTGCGCGATTATTGCGGGGTGGTGCACTCGGGCATGAGTTGCACCTTCCTCCAAATGTTTTCTTAAGGGCGTGATCCGTTGGCTTTTTTTGGACTTGCTCACCGGGAAAAAAGGTACTTCGGGTGAGCGAGTTGCACGAACCCTTTCTCACCGATGCATATCGAGTGTTGAACAACCTCTTCGTCGAAAACCCGGGTGAGAATGTTGAAGATGGATGCGAGCAATTTGGTTGGCTCAAAGTTTAAAAAGTGGACTAATTTTGCTCACCCGATGCACATCGTGCTCACCGGGTGAAAAAGGGTACAAAGGTGTTGATAGAGTTTCCGGATCACGATGTTCACCAGGCTTTCTCACCCGGGTGAGCAAGTCCAAAAAAGCCAACGGATCACGCCCTAAAATCGGCGTTTTGGTGAATGAACTTTGGAGGGTGCGGTGCCGTGGACAGACTACCATGCTTACATCTTGCCGTGCAAATATCTTCATCTGCTTAGGAACACATTCACTGCTCCAATACCTTGGGAATTCAACTATACTCGATGCAAAATATCAGGAGCGACGTTCTGGAAAGTTATCATCACAAACTGTCGGCCGTGTCAAAAAGCAAGGAGGTAAAGTAAAGGCAAAAACAGCAAAACGATGGGATTGCCCGGAATCGAACCGGGGTCCTCTCGGATTCGTTGTATGTCGAATTGACCACAACGAGAAGTACTGACCACTATACTACAATCCCTATTGGTTGTTGCTGAATTCGGTTGCAACCTTTTGCTCATATCACCCAAACCAAACGCCGCAACTGGTTGAACGAAATCCGCTGATCCGCACCATCACGGCATCACCAGACATCATCAAGACACTCGATATTTAGAATGCAACTATATCCACAGAAAACAGCATCAGTTCATTATCTTGGAGACTATCAGCTCCTAGGTACACTATGGTCTATCCATGGAAACCAGCTAAAACACACAGTCAGTGCCACCCCTCAAGCAGCCAACAACCCCTCCCCCTCCAAATACCCCTTCACGACCGCCCTAACATCCTCCGTCACCAATCCCAACTTCTCATTCGCACTCTCCTCCTCTCCCAGAGCATTCCCCGCCCCATCCGCCAGAAAATGGACCTTCAAAAACTCCACAAACGCGCTATAATCCCCCCTCTTCAACTTCTCCTCGCCCTGCTTGAAAATATCCTTCGAGCTGACATTAGCAACCTCCAGCTTCTTACCCGTCAGCTCCTCGACGATTTTGAGCAGTTGGTTCTGCGACACGTTGAACGAGGCCGTGGAGAGGTACTGGTTCCTGGTGAGGTCGGGGTGGCGCAGGATTTCCGAGACGGCGCGGCCGACATGAGACCTTAAGGAAGCGGGCCAGGGTTCGGTGCCGGAGTCGATGATTGTTGCTTTGCCGTTCTTAATGTCAATTCCACCAAGTCCATTCGACAACACCTATTGACAAAAATGGTGTTAGCATCTCCCGTCAATCCCATTCCCATTCCCATTCCACAACCATTTGATCCCACAACCCTTCAGAACGACGAGAGAGTGTCACATACATGCACCGGATCAAAAAACAACCCCGTCGACAACCCAGTCCAACTAATCCCATCTCCCTCTTTACTAATCAAATAATCGACAAACCCCCTCTTCCCCGCCAACAACTCCCCAATCCTCGTCTTTTCGATCCCTGCCTTGCGCGTGTTCACCCCAAACTCGCTCGGCACGAATCTCTTCACCCCGGCCTCGACGGCCGCATCGATAATCTTCTTTTGCTCTTGCACCACAGCGGTAGCCAGGACCGAGACCACGGCGTCTTGGCCTTGGAATGCATCTCGCAAAGAGGAAGGGGAGGAATAGTCGACTTCGGTGAACGGGACGGTGTACGGGGAGAATGAAGGGCGCGGGGAGGTGGAACCGGGGCGGGTGAGGATGGTCACGGTGAAACCGCCGACTAGGAGGGCGCGGACTATGTGGGTGCCTAGGTTGCCTGTACCCTATTTGGGTAGTAGGAAGGGTGTTGTTAGATCGCTGAGTGGTCTTGCGGGTGCAGACTGAGAAAGGGTAGTTGGAGGTCTGGTGGTGACTTACACCGAGGACAGCGACGGTGTTGATGGTGGAAGACATGATGCCAAGTTTCAATCGGTAATTGAGATTGCTCGTGGTGCTGTATGTCGCTTTTGGTACCGTATTGTTAGTTGGATTGCTAAGTGCCTCAATACTACAGTAAGAACTGCAAGTAAAGACGAAAGTTCGACCCTGAACAGTGACGACGGCGCACCTCAACTTGGTACTTATACTTTCCCCTCCTCCCACCTTTCCGTCGACATGCCGTTCTTGTGAACCGCGATCAAAGACATGATTAATCAGGCATTATGCATCATGATGTTGCAAGCTTGGCTCGGTATGGCATGCATGCTCCAGGTTGGTCAATGAGAGGCACAGGACCAAGACGTTCGAGACGCAAGCCCATCGAGAACCTCTTGATCAAATCTTGAATCTGCCGACAATGTGTGGCAGCTCCTCAATTGCGTCTTCATTGACCGAATTTCGCAACATGCACCAAGAGGAAGTGGTAAAGTGCGTTACTTCAACTCCCAGTCGCCGTATTACTGTCCATGTCAGTCAAGGAAGGATGACGGCTATCAAGAGAATGTTGGAGAAGCGACCTGCGAGACTGAAGCCGAGTGTAACCCCCGCTGGCATGTTATGTCGATATCACATCATGTCGGACGATGTATCAACGATCATCATCTCATTCGGAAACCGCAAGAGTTTTCCTAAGCTATACTAGAAATGACTATACTTCGCTCGAGTTTCTCCCGCTCGTCACTGTATGTTAAAACCATCATCCTCTCCCAACCATCTGTATCTGCCAATTGCTCTGCAACCTTCGCTGCTGAATGATACATGCAGAAAGATCGGACACGAACGAAGGCCAACATGAAAACAACCACAATCACTTCTCTCCGCCGGATATATCCATCAACGAGGCTTGTGCCTTCTCCCTCGCCACAGACGCAAAGTGCTCCCTCGGGCTTATCACATCTTTGCCTTTGCCTTTCTGATCGTCATCGTCTTTAACAGAATCCTCATCAGAGTTTCTGCGTGCACTCGCCCTGGCTGACGCCGCAAAGTACTTACGTCTCGTCGTCGCCTCCACAAAACGGCAGTCGAGCAAGAAGTCCGCCAACATAATTAGTCCGCGGATTTTTTGCGTGTTGCCCAACGGGTGTTCACAAAGAAAGCTGTTGTCCTCAGGGATTTCAGCATGCATGTCATCGTCTTCGTGCACCACGTCAATAGCAAAACGCGCAAAAAGCTGAAGGCGATTCACTGTACGGACAAATATCGATTAGTCACTGCGTCATATCCTGGCGAGGGAAAGTCAAACTCACAATGCCCTTCAAGAAACCCAGTCTGATCCTCTTTAATCAGAGCAATCAAAGCACGACAACCAATGTTGGTTGCTTCGTCCACTTCTGCCTTACTCAGACGCTGCGCGTAGTTTGACCAATCCTTCATATAAGGCTTGTAAAACTCATCAAAACTCCATTCAACGCAGCGCTTGCACCACACCTTGAAGGCATCATCATCCCGGAACCCAAGCGCTTGAGTCACTTCCCGAAATCTCTTCGTAACGTTTATGACTGCGTTTAGGGAGTCCGAGATTAATGGAGATGGAATCATTGGCAAGGGACCGGGCAGCAGCTGTGAAGTTGCTCTAGAACGGGTAGAAGCTCTCGACCTTGGACGCGAAGATGATGCACTCCCACTTCCACGAGATGGTGCGGTGTCATCGATCGGAGGGGAACCTGAGACTCCGGTAACGGGAGCTGGTCCACCCTCGGACTCGGTGGCGAGTGTTTTCACACCGGCGGGAGATTGTTCGGTTCCGTGAACTGAGGGCGAGGACGGTACCACAGTCTTATCCTGTGACTGATCGACCTCAGCAAAGCGAACTCGGCGAGATTCCTCGACGGGCTGTGAAGTTTCTGTCTGCATATGAGCATCAGCGGGTTGGGGCAAGAGGCTGGGCAACAGGCCTTCAACGGCGTTCGATCTTTCGGGCTGCTCTTGACGGCCGCGACGTTCAGCGAAGGCGCCCGAGGGTCGTTCGATCCTGGTCACTGTCATAGGAGCGGTCGCGGGAACTGTAAGATTCATGGGGTTTTGCTGATGAATGGCTTTTGGAGTCGAAGGCGCAGGACTCCTAATGCTTGATGCCAGCGAGCCTGACGCCACCGAGTTTGTGGGGAACGGGGTAGCTTGACGACCCTTCACTGGGAGGAAAAATTTGCAGACCGATGCCGGTGATGCTGCTGATACGACGGAACCTGTAGTTGGGCTTGACTTGGCGGTGACTTCTGTGGATTTTGGCTCGATAGTGTTCTTTCCCATCTCGACAAGCCTGCGAATATCCGACTCCCTTGTGACAAGTGTCTGAACCTGGTGTTCAACATCGGTCTCTGTCAATTTAAGGAACGAAGGAAGATCCGGAGATTCGAGCTGTGCATTCGTCAGCTGCTGGTTGACCTCGCTGATGACGATGAGTTGGTACATATGCACTCACATCTGCTGGCTGGAGGCCCATTCCAAATGCTTGGGCTTCCCTGCGGATTGCCTCGCGAAGTATATGCAACTCTGCCGCTGTTCCACGCGGAGAAGCTGCAGCTGGAGCAGAGGGGCGTCTTTTTCGGGAGGGGTTTTGATCACTCATCTGCGACTCAGACATGGAGGAGCGTCTTGAGCGTCTTCTGCCTTGGAAGTGATTCTGATCACTCATCTTGGTGACGGTTTGAGAGAATGATGTTGTGGTTCGTGTTCAAATGATGCAGGGGATCTTGCCCAGAAATGATGCTTTAATGTCCAAAAAGACTGGCGACGGTGATAGAGATGTGTGATTGTGTTGCGGGTGGAAGAGAGAAAAGAAGGAGAACCAAAAGACGAGTAGCGCGGAATACTTAAGCAGCTCGAGGCTCATCCTCGATTCTGGGCCTAGAAAGAGCAATGATAACAGTCGCCATCAACTTATACCTCTAGGTAAGAACCAGGCAGTCTATTGCAGATGCAGACCCATATCCGACCCAGCCACTTCCCAAGCCTGAATTCAGCCTTGATGCTCCCGACATGGCCACTCTAAATCAGGCACAAGCCACTTCCTGACAGTCCATCCAACTGAAGCCAAAGACTCCCGACACCTCAGGTCCACCCCATCCCCAAACATCAGTGGAGTCGGGTACGGTGAGAAACACCACCGGGTGTGTTCCTCCACCAAGACAGGACAATCAAGCCCGCCTTCCCCTGTCCCCTGAAGGTTCTAATGGATAGTGGGCCATTGAGACCTAGCCTTACAGACAATCAAAGTGGAAGCAGCGATGACATTGAGGATTTGGAACGAAGACCTTGCCCCCGTAAGGGTGCTGGTGCATAATAGAGGAAACAAGAAGGAAGGAAGAAGCCGGCCATTCTTGGTGCCAAGTGCCGCCAGAGCTTTGTTCACAGGCTGTGTTATCTCGGGAAGGCTCGATTTTTCCGCTGGTCGTGGTTCCCCGCTCTCTGTGTCTGCCCGGTAAGGTAACTTGGTCTGCGAGACTGTTCCGCATCAAAGGACATTGGGAAGCTGCGGCAAGCTACCAGCTACCATGGCTAATTAGGCAGTAACGCTGCATCGCAGTGCAGCTGTGTTGGCCAAGGAATGCGTCGATAAAGTACCTAGAGGTAATAGGAGATAGAGCAGGTTATCGCAGGACGGAAAGTGGGAAACCGCCTCCATAATAAATGAGCAAGGAAAACAAGGTAAATCCAGGTTACATGATGGTACCGTAAAGACTCGGGAAACTCGTTTTCCAGGCTGTGCAGAAAACGCAGGGTTAAAGATCTATCAGATGCTTTCGGCGGCCGTCAGAGAGCATGTACTTGGTTGCCGGACACCTTTAACCCTGCAACCTGGAAACCGACTTTCCCAGGATTATACGGTATGTCTGAGGAAAAGAGGACAAGGCGATGAGCTTCTCCAACGGTCTATTGAATATGAAATGTAGTTTCTGCTTTCGATCCAAACCAACCACCACAAGCTGGAAATGAAACAGCAAATGACCTTGTCCGGCTCTGGCCGCTCCGTCAAGATTGCCCCGAGTCTAAAGGAGCGGTAATCTGCAAATTGACTACTGTGGCTGACAACATAGGAAACAGCCCCTGTCTCCCTCCTCCTATTCTAGCCATCATCTTAATTCTTTGGTGGGTTGTGCCGCACGTACCGACAGAAATGGCTTAGAACCAATTCTGATTTTCGCCCGTATTAGTACCGTAAGGAAAGAAACCAGCACCAGTATACTGCACATCTGGTCCTGTTGTCATGTAACCATTGCTCGTGTAGCTCGGTGCAGACCCAACCGGGTTGGAGACAGTGATGTCAAGATCGTCGAGGGAAAGCATATTGTCCATATCAGATGCGACCGAGAAGAGTGCATATTCCGGAGCAGAGGTATTGGGAAACAAGGGAGTAGCTGACTGTTCGTGGATATATGGTGGAGGAGCCATAGGCGTTTCGGACCAGGTTGTTGATGGCATGCTAGTCGAATGCCCGACCTGTGTAGCCGGTGTAGCCGGGAACTCGCGCATCGAGATGGATGGGCTGATGTTCGGCGGAAGCAGACGTCCTTGTAATGTCCATGTGTCGTAGGCCTGTTGCAGGGTATCTTCAATGATCTTGTTGACGTCGTCAACCCGTAGCACCACTTGATCTTGTATGTGTTGCCCGGCGTATTCGTAGGCCGCTTGCGTGAAAAGCCGGGGCATTTCCGTCAACAGGTAGTGTTGGAATTCGAGAAAGTTTCGAGACTCGGCTCCCATAGGCTGGAAATCCTCTGCGTATTCGGGATCTGTTGACACATCGGTCAGTTGTCTGTCTGGACGCTGTGGACCGGAGGTCCTAGGAAGACTCACAAGGTGACGGCACAATATCGTTGGGGAACAGCAGTCGATAAATCTCTCTCCATTTCTCTTCGTCGCTCTGGCGCCGATGTGTATGCTTCCTGGACTTGAGCTGCCGTTCTTGTGATGTGGTAATGTCTCCAGGCGGTTTGACATCGAGGAGTTCGCAAGCTTCCGGGGCCATCTCGTGAATCGTGAGCTGTCTCGCATCGCTGAAAGTTTGCTTGCACCGTTGACAATGGATCTTGTAGTGTCTCCGATAGAGATGCTCCCTACAAAGAGTGTTAGCGACGTACCATGCATGGGGCGAGGGCTAGGGATCGTGGTTGGTATATTTACTTTAGCCTTGGAATGGTCGGCCAGTCCTTGTTCGCGCAAATATCATAATCCACACGGTTGTACTTTTCTGGATTGTGCTTACGGAACGGGCAAGCAAATCTCTTCGATGTTGCGGACCCAGGCCTGGAAGCATAAGGCGAGGGCTGACTGCCGTCATCATCGTCGTCATCGTCATCGTCGTCGGGGGTTCGCCGAGAACTTGGAGGTCGGAGGCTTCCACCCGGCCTTCGCCGAGACGGGGTGGCCTTCCCTGCTCGATATGGATCCATCCTGTCGATGTTGCTGCTCCCTACACTCCCAACACATGATCTGATCAATGCATCCCAGTTTTGGTTATACTGGAACCAAGTTCGTTGTAGCACCGTGTTGATGGCCTGCTGATAGGCTTTGCTCCAGACTCTGCTGTTGTCATTGCTGATGTCGTGTTCTGCCCAGAGGTCTGGATCAGATAAACTGTCATCTGAGACACGTTCACTAGTGCTATCGTCAAGGGTCAAGAATCTGTTCCTAGGGTTACCAGATTGCATGCTCGAGACAGACGGCGACCCAATGGAAGAGCCGCTCCCTGGCTTCGGAACAAGCAGCCAGTCCTTGCGAACGACGTTGTTCCTGGGAGCAAGTTCAAGCAAAGCATCTGAAAGGGAGGGTTGCTGACTGGCTTCTACGCCATGTTCCGCAGATACTGCGGTTGGGGGTCCGGTGTAATCTGAGGCCAAAGCAGTCCGTGGACGTTGAATATCTTCCCCTCGGGCCAAGTCCGCAGCTCCAGGTTTGAGAGCATCAAGATGTCTATCGCTATCTATCCGACGTAGCCCTTTTCCCATTGGTGATGGACTCGACTTCAAGCGTGAAAATACATTGGTCTTGGTCACAGGAAAAGAAGCGCTCTCTGTGGTGTTTGGCGGGCTTGTGCGATGCGATGCGATGTCCGTTTCTCGAATTGGGCTTGCCTTGGATTGGGCGCGAACGTAGGGGTCCCAAGCGGCAAATAGTCCGGATTCTACGACAGTGGTTTGAGAAGGAAACGCTGCAGTGAAAGCTGCCCTAGTCGATGGCACAGGAATTGGGGAAGAATCGGCCAATACAGGATTGTCCGGATTCATTTCACTGGTTTGGGGCGATGATGGCTCGAGGTTTAGGCGGCCCATCCCATCGACTAGAGATGAACTGATATCGACTGGACTCTCCGTCAACGGGCGCAAGCCATGGGAGTAATACGCCTTGACGAGGCTGCTGACGTTCTGTTCGGTCCTTATTTGAGCCACGTTAAAGGCGTATTGCGCGATGCTCTGGGGATCCGAAGAGCCATTTGCGAAGAACTCGAGTATATCTTGCAGCCGAGAGGGATTCTGCGCGTCATCATCCTCCGTGGCCGCGTGTCGTCCGGTTGTGTGTTCGTCCCACGTAAAATGCAACTTGGTACCTCGGTCCCGCTCGTGATTCAAGACCAAATGATTCCATGCTGCCACTATCTTTGGCTGTTTTAGGAGGCCACGAATCACAGAGGAGTGCTGCCAATGGGCTCGTTGCATGCCTTCTTCGCAGTGCCTGCCGACGTGATCTAGGTAGTCAGGACGTGACTGCACAAAGGCACCGCAGAATCCACATCCCCAAGCTCCTCTTGTTGGTAGCTTGACTATGTGTTCAGTCGTTGGGGGAGAAGCAAGGTTGTGGACATCTCGACAATGGGATGCAAGGGATGGCCGTTCTGGGAAAGAATCGTGGCAAATGGAGCACAGATGCTCCTCGGGTCTGTCGTGGTCCTTGAGTTCGTGATCCCTCCACTGTCCAGGATACGCAAACATGGCGTCGCAAAATGTGCAATAATAGCGAGGTGGGTAGTCGTCGGTGTTGAAGCCGTCATCGCATTTCTCAGAACTACAAGGTGTCGCAGACAAATTAGGGTCCGCCGAGTCCAGTGAGTGTTGTCGAACTGAGTACCGCGAGTATACCGTCGAGGCAGTGGAAATTCTTAGGCCAGCAGTCGAAAAGATGCTGGGAGCAGCTGAGCTCCGTCTAGATGTCGAGGCGAGTGAGGCGCGTGAGTTTTTGCTAGTGAGATCATGGTAGGCAGTTGGAAAGTAATCGTTTTCTTCCCAGATGTCGTCGGTATGTGTCTCGGGATAGGGATTCATATTAGATGTAGAAGTCGGCACCTGATACGAGGCAGCATCATTTTCTCCGACGGCGTAGCTGGTGAGTCCTTCTTTCACAGGGTCTACCCTTGGCTGATGGTGATTCGGAGCCATGAAGAAGGCTTGGGCGGTATTGGTCTGGTGTGTGACTTTTGTTAGACAACAAAGGTATAAGCTAAAGTTACCAGTCAGGAGCAAGTCTGGGCAGGATGCCGTGGAATGAAGGCAGGAAACGGGCTACCTCCAGATTGGCCTTGTTCAAGAAATGGTGTCGTTCTTATTTATCGAAGCTCTAGGGGTGTGAGATCATGTCTTGTGTCCAGACCTATGCTCATTCGACCAATTGATGAAGTGGATTCACGAATTGACTGCGCACAGGGCTGTGCAAGACTTTGTGGGGATGGTGAAGCCAAGAAGCTCTCAAGGGTCAAACGTGATCCGGGTAGAAGTAACCAAGCTATTGGGAGACGGAACGGTTCCTGGAGGAGGCGGTGCTTTCATCTTCTATGCCGGCCTCTAGGGTGACGCGGAGGGACGGCAGTATCATGTCAGAAGAAGGCGAAGTCGCGGTCCTTGATGATGGTTTCGTGGGGTGTCGGTGCCGGCGCGGAGCTTGTAGGCCGGCCATTGTTCCTAGGTAAGGTAGCTACATAGCAGACTAGGCTCGCAGGGTAGGATGGGATTATGTCGTACGGAGATGCCGCTGTATAGCGACGTGACCCCGAGGGCATAAGGCTGAATCCAAGGGGACGGATAGACAGATACTGCAGAGTACCTTTTTGATAGTCTCATAGCTTGGAAGGTCGGTGTAGAGGGAAGCTCATCACAGCTGCGCACTGGTTCAGGCTACCAAATATACAAACATATATACAAATCACTATGCCAAACACCACTATCGATTTGGCATTACTTGAACTGTCGGAGGAGGCTGATTCGACTGGGGTACTCTGTAGTATCGTGGTGGTGGTGGTGGTGCTGTCGACGCTGCGAGACCGAAGTGGAAATGATACACGGCGGCACCACATGCATGCGACGGGCCGGAGTGGTGCGCCATCGACCCGGACGCTTCTGATGCGCTGAAGAGCGGGAGAATTGGGGCGATTTGGGGGTGTCGTGCATCCTGTAGGGCTCTTCCGCCACTGTTATGTATCATCACTCGAAGTCCCGGAGTTGGTATGTCGCTGATTGGATGTCCGGCTGGACGGAACCGTTTGGCGACCAATCCCGCAGAAGCCAGAGAGGCTATTCTTCCATGGCTTCTATAGGAAGTGAAAGCGACGATGAACGACCTGCCATATTAGTCTAAACATCCCAAGTCTTGTCTGTCTGTCTGTGTCTGCCATGTTGCCCCCCGCCCTGACGAGAACATGGACGTCGTAGTAGACGATGCATTGAATGTCCTGAGACCGGGCGGACGACAATGTTGTTGGCCTGAGTCATTCGGCGTTCCGGTCAGGTGGTAATCCATAATCCCTTCTTGGACGCGAGTCTTGCTTGAAATGCGAAGCTGTCGACACTTGTGACAGCCAAAGTCCGAGGTGGTCATGTTTTTGATCTGACTGCATATCGTGTAGTGCTGATATGGGATGTGTCTCGGTCGACGACAAAGGAAGGTAAGAAAGACGAGATATGGCCACTGCATATGATATCAGCAAATTGGCATGAAAGTGACAGGAGAAGTAAGGGATTGTGGCATTGCCGCAATGAGAAGAACAAGAATTCATCATGAATCATCCGTCTCCCTGCTCTCCCGGAAAGCCGTAAAAGGATCGATGAACGGACTGTTACCGACACCGCCAAACAGTCCAAGCCTCAATCTCTCCCATTGTGCAGGGTCAGACATGCAGATCGAGCCGATAGGGCTGATGTTGATGTGAGTGAGGGAGATCGACCATTGGCCAAATGGGAATAACAGGGTGGGTGCGATATGCGATCTGGTTGAGTGCGATGCGAAGGTCAAAAGGAAGAGTGTATGTGGTGTGGTACAAAAGTGGGCAGCATGTCCCGTGTGGGAGCCGGAGGACGATGGGCACTGGACAACTTCAGTTGAGTGGACGGGAAGTCGAAAGACGAAGTGTTGATTTGTGAGACTAAAAATCAGACAGCTGTCCATCAGCTGGCAGTGCTCTCTGCCATATTATTCTTATCAGAACTCTTATCGACACCAAAATCTCAACTCCGCACAATCGGCGCCAAGCCTTCCCAACTTACAGCGCTCCAATCGAGTCCAATGGGCCAATGGGGTCGCCAATGCGGCGTCAATTGGGGTAGAATCCCCACCCCGCATGGCCGTGGCCCGTGCTCCGTCCTGAGCTTGCCGCAAAAATTTCGAAAAAACTTGTCCAGGGCAAAAGTGGCAGAGCAAAAAAATATCCAAACACAGCGACCTTCTGATTCCCGGAGACCCAAGACTGAGTTCATGCACCGGTGGCATTGAACGACGCCCAATTGCGCACAACACACGAATCCCAGCGCACCGGTTACACAGTCGCCCTTTTATACAGAGTCATCATCCGACATCATAAACAAGATGGCCAACGTCAACTATCTCTTGTTCGAAAGCGCGGTCGGCTTCTCGCTCTTCGAGGTCGTCCACCAGGCCGACACTGTCGGCTTGGAGCTGCCCGAGGTCAAGGATGCCATGAAGGATCTCGACAAGTTCGGCAAGATGGTGAAGCTCCGCAGCTTCAACCCTTGGAAGTAGGTGGCCAGAAAGCACATGTGTTTTGGGGATGGTGGTTTGGGATACTGTTGGTGGTGATGAAGTGGTGGTGATGTTGGGAGGACAGAAACATATTGAGAAGATACCAGAAACTAACACTCCTTAACCTCCCAGCTCTGCCGCCCATGGTCTCGAGGCCATCAACCTCATCTCCGAGGGTATCATGCCCGACCACCTCAAGAACACCCTCGAACTCAACCTCCCCCAAACCAGCGGAAAGAAGAGCAAGATCGTCCTCGGTGTCGTCGACAAGAGGCTCGCTGGTGAGATCAGCGGAATGTTCCCCGGTATTCAGTGCGAGTCTGCCGATACCTCCGAGGTCGTCGCTGCCCTCCTTCGCGGCATCCGCACCCACGCCGGCAAGCTCCTCAAGGGCCTCCAGGACGGTGACATCAACCGCGCCCAGCTCGGTCTCGGTCACGCCTACTCCCGCGCCAAGGTCAAGTTCTCCGTCCACAAGAACGACAACCACATCATCCAGGGTATCGCTACCCTCGATGCTCTCGACAAGGGTATTAACTCCGGCGCTATGCGCGTGAGGGAGTGGTACGGCTGGCACTTCCCCGAGCTCATCCGCATCGTCTCCGACAACGGCACCTACGCCAAGGTCGTCATCGCTGTCGGCAACAAGAAGTCTCTCAGCGACGAGTCCCTCGACGAGCTTGCCAACGTCCTCAACCAGGACGAGGACAAGGCCAAGGCCATCATCCAGGCCGCCAAGGTCTCCATGGGTCAGGACATCAGCGAGATGGATCTCAACATGGTCAAGGACCTCGCGGACAACGTCGCCAAGATGGCCGACTACCGCCGCATCCTCGCCGAGTCGCTCGACAAGAAGATGGGTGAGGTCGCTCCTAACCTGCAGGTCATCCTCGGCACCCCCGTTGCCGCCCGCCTCATCTCCCACGCCGGCTCGCTCACCAACCTCGCCAAGTACCCCGCCTCTACCCTCCAGATTCTCGGTGCCGAGAAGGCCCTCTTCCGCGCTCTCAAGACCAAGGGCGCCACCCCCAAGTACGGTCTCCTCTACCAGAGCACCTTCATCGGCCGTGCCGGTCCCAAGGTCAAGGGCCGCATCTCCCGCTACCTCGCCAACAAGTGCTCCATTGCCTCCCGTATCGACAACTTCTCCGAGAACCCCACCAAGCGCTTTGGTGAGGTTATGCGCGAGCAGCTTGAGCAGCGTCTGGAGTGGTACGCCAAGGGCATCAAGCCCATGAAGAACACCGAGGCCATGGACAAGGCCATCAAGCTCGTCATGGACGACGAGGGTGACATGGACATCGACACCGAGATGGTCGACTCGCACACCGCCGCCCACGCCGCCGACTCCAAGAAGGACAAGAAGGAGAAGAAGGACAAGAAGAAGGACAAGGAGGAGAAGAAGGAGAAGAAGGACAAGAAGGACAAGAAGAGGAAAGCGACCAGCGAAGACGTCGAGATGGTAGACGCCCCCGACGCTGCGGAACCCGAGAAGAAGAAGAAGAAGAAGAAGTCGAAGTCTGAGTAAAAAGCCGAAAGAAAAAGAAGCAAAGCAGCGTCACCACTTGTGTCTTTTTCCCACGATTTTTACTTTTTTTCTTCACTCATCTTGTTTAGAGCTTCTCGTCTCGCGCGTTTTCACGTCGTTCTTGTTTGTTCGCTCTGTTGTCGTTGTTATCCTCGGGAGTTTCTTATAATGTATGGGTTATGGGTCAAATCTGGTACAAAGGAGTTTTACGGGTCTACTTGTTTCTTGCAAGAATCATAAATAGTTCGTCGTTGTCGTCATTCACATCTCTTGCCATCTACGACTGATCATAGAGGGTTAGCGCAAAAAGTTTCGAAGGATGTGCGTGTGTACTAGCATCATACCCATGGAGCATCATATGGCGGCGGCGATATGGGTATAAACAAAGGCTCATTAAACGAACGAAACGTCTTTACCTTGTTGGTGTGATATGTCATGATTCTATGTACTCTTCCAACATCGCATGCAGATCGCAAAACGCCCACCGACACGCCTTCCCCTGATTTCCTCACCAGAATAATATCGTCATCATCAAGTAAGTCTTCATAACAAACATGTGCATACCGCACGCTATGTGCTACTAACATAAATAGGGGCGAAAGTGAGCCCCAAAGTAAAAAGTACCTAAAACATCCAGATACCCGCCGCCCTCTGTACACTACTCCTTCGCTTTCCATGGGAGAACCACCAAAGAACAAAAATAAACCACACGAACAATTGACCACACCCCCCACTACACTGCGGCAGGCATCTCTTACGCACCCTCACTACCAAACTCCTTTGTCCACTCCTCATTCCTGTGCAGATCTTCCGCCGACACAGTCGGCCTGCTGGCCTTGATGGCCTTGATAAAGTCCTTCTTGTCGACAAACGGCTCGAGCAGCTCGTCCGAGGGTACCTGCTCCCACGTCATTTCGATGGCGTCCGGGTCGCCTGGCGAGCAGGGGGTGAGCATTTGCTTGCCTTCGTGGACTACCTGTTTCGTTGTTTCAACAATGTTAGCAACCTTACATACATTATACAATGGGAAAGGGGGAGGGAGGGAAAGGGTTGAGGAACGAGGATGGAGAGAAAGAAAGAAAAAAAGAAAAACAAACCTTCTTAAAATGCGTAGCCTGCTGAATCTTCCTCACCGGCTGCATCAGCGCATCCTGCACCACAATACTGATATCCGAACCCGAATAGCCCTCCGCCGCCCTCGCCAGCTCGCGAAAGTCTTCCGAATTCAGGGCCGTGTTGGTGTCGCCCACCGCCAGCCGGAACATGGTCGTGCGCGCCGCCAGATCGGGCAGAGTGATGTGCACGCGGCGCTGGAAGCGGCGGCGGATGGCGGCGTCCAGCTGCCAGGGGATGTTGGTCGCGCCCAGAATCAAAACGCCCTTGCTGTCTTTGCCGACACCGTCCATTTGGACCAAAAGTTCGGTTTTTATCCTGCGCGAGGCTTCCGACTCGCCTTCCCCGCGCGGACCGCAGAGCGCGTCGATCTCGTCGATGAAGATGATGGAGGGCTTGTTTTCTCGGGCCATGGCGAAGAGTTGCTTTACTAGACTGTTTTTCGTAAAACCGTTAGCTTCCCATACACGATAACGGCACAAGAAACCAAGACAACAGAAGAAGACATACCGTTCACTCTCGCCCATCCACTTGCTCACCAAATCCGAGCTGCTCACGCTAAAGAACGTGCTCTTGGCCTCCGTCGCCACCGCCTTCGCCAAATAACTCTTTCCCGTTCCCGGCGGGCCATACAGCAAGATGCCCTTCCACGGCTGCCTCTTCCCCTGGAACAGATGGGGGAACTTGATGGGCAACAAAACCGCCTCCTTCAGCGCCTCCTTGGCACCCTCTAGTCCAGCCACATCATCCCAGCTGATATTCGGCCGTTCCTGCAGAATCGCTCCCGCCAACGCGCTCCTCAGCTTCTTGCTATCCTCATCTAATGCTTCCCCTCCTCCATTAGCGCCATCCTCCCCAGCCTCCTTCCCCTTCCCCGTCCCGCCCGTCGACCCCCCGTTCGCGCCCACCATCCCGGGCTTTTTCTTCTTTGCGTCCGCGTCCGCCAGGTGCGCTTTGAGCTTCTCGGCCCGGTCCATGTACTCGCCCGTCTTGGCCCGGATCATCTCCTTGGACTTGGGGTTCTTCTCCCATTTCAAGGCGAGCATGAACAGTTCGAGCGATTGGTAGTACAGCTGGTAGGCTTTGTCGTACTGGGCGGCGTTGTCGGCTTCGATGGCTTTGCGCACTTGCTCGATGGCGCGGCCGAGGAAGTCGGTGTTGGACATTTTGGCGGCGGCGGCGGCGGTTCGAAACGTGTAGGTGGTGTCGCGTGAATTCGTGGTTTGGTCAAGAGTGTACAGTTTGTGGTTTTTGGCGCGTCGCAGTAGGCGTTGTGGTCATTCGTTCCTATGTTTGTTTGTTTGTTTGTTCGGTGATGTTGATCTTCGCGCGCCGAGGTTGGAAGTACAAGTCAACAGATGGCCCTATGCGAGGGAGGGGATTTGTTGATGACGACGCTGTTGTCCTAGGCAGAGACGAGGCGCTAGAGAAATCGGGAATTGGTCGTGTCTTTCGGGCGTCGCCTGGTATTGACAATGGCAAGATTGTCGTCTGGCGAAGAAGTTGGTGTCTCGCGCCCTGGTCTGAGGTGGAATTGGAGAGGGGAAGATCGTTGGTCTTGTCCAGATCTTGGTTTCAAGCAACACGGTCGACTTGGCCGTTGACCTAGAAGCGCTAGCGCGGGGTCCTGATTCCTGGGGCCACTGACGCCACTCGTTCGCGCGTGAGGAGTGCGCTAGTCCTGGTTTGTTAGTGCATAGCTGGTAAATACACCAGAACGCTAACTGACCTGGAGATCCGCTCACCCCTGATGATTGACTGCACAGCGAGCTCAGTTCCCCAGAATAGAAACATCCCAAATTCCCCATATTGGAGCTCATCCGTGTTTCTGTTCCTGCTCTTGATCCATCATCTTCCTTGACTTTTTCCAAATCCTCAATTTTTTTCACTTCTCGGCGTCACCGTCGAATAATCTTTCAGCCTAACCCTCACCTCACATCATATCTGAAAAGAAGCAATCATGGCCAGCCCCCTCCAACTGAAGCTCCAAGCTCTCTCTGATGAGTATCAAAACTTGAACAAAGGTGAGCCCCCTTTTTGGTGATATCTCCAGAGTTCATCCGCTGACCATACCTTCAGAACTCCAAGAGACTGTTCTCGCCAGACAAAGGCTCGAGGCTCAGAAGCAGGAAAACATCGGTGTGCAAAATGTCAGCAACGCCCATGCACCTTTCGAACTCGACTAGCCCCCTTCTCTAATGCTGCCCAACGAAAAGCTGGACTAACTGAGGAGCGTGTAGGAGTTTGAGAAGCTCAAGGATGACGAGCAGATCTACAAGCTAGTCGGCCCAGTGCTGCTGAAGCAGGACAAGATGGACGCAGAGAACACGGTCAAGGGCAGACTGGAGTTCATCAGCAAGGAGATGTAAGTGGACCGCTGGCATTCAAGGGACCTCGAGGTCAAGGACTCACAAGCAAACTGGCTGACTCTCTCACAGTACTCGTTTGGAGGAAGTCATCAAGGAGACACAGGGCAAGATTGAGAAGAAGAGGACAGAGATCATTCAGGTCCAGACGAGCGCCCAAGCTGGTGGTGCTCCTCAGGCTGTCAAGGCTTAGAGGTAAATTGAATACGTACGGAAAGAATGTCCACGATACCCAATCGAGATCAGGCCCAAAAGCGATCCATCACAGAGCGAACCGGGCAAAGTGTCTCTTGAAGGCGGACGCAAGTCAGCTTCTTACCGAACGGTGATTATTACATGATGTATCCCCCGATTAACCCCTAGATACCCCCATAACGCCTTGCTCTAAAATCATAGAATGGAGATAGCCAAAACACAACTTACACCCCCCTCCCCCTTACTCACACACAAACCGCAGGTCTCATCCCGTCCAACCTCAGTTCAGTTCAGCGCCATAATCGTAAAACCCCACGGCAACCCCATATTCTTACAACTCCGATCACTAACCCACGCCACACTATCGCTCAACAAATCCTCGCCCACCGCATTCAGCGGAAGCAGACTACTCCCATCCGCATGTCTCGGGTGCGGCACCCGATCCTCCACCGTCGCCACCACAAAGCTCACCAGCTCGTCCTTGGTATAGCAATGACTCAACAGGGACGTCCCGCCGACGCGATCTAACATCGTCCGGCGCTGCTCGCTCTCGGCAAAGAGCTGCAGTTCCCTTGAGAAGAGGCAGGTCGTCAGGTCTTCTGACCTGGAGTTTGCGTAGGAAGAAGAACGAGAAGAAGAAGAAGAAGCAAGCAAAAGCCGCTCAAAAACCATCGCCATCCCCGCAACGGCTTGCACGAACAGCGTGACCTTGTCGTGGTCGTCTAGCCCGGCCTCGATGCGGAATTCCTTGTCGGTGACGAAGGCGAGGCAGGAGGTGTCGAAGATGGAGTTGAGGATGCGGTCGAGGCTGGAGGGCTGGGAAAGGAGGAGGGCTTGAAGGCTGTCGGGGAGGGCGTAGGTGGTGGTGAATTGGGTGAGGGTTTGCTTGAGGAGGGAGGAGAGGCAGGTCTCGGGGGGGACAAGGAGACGGCCTGGGTCGAAGGATAGGTGGTTTGTTGCTGCTTCGATGCTGGCTGTTTACATGGGGAGATGGGGTGTTAGTGTGGGTGTGAGGGTTGTGGGAGGATATGAACTTGCCTTGCATTGGGCTTACGGAGGAGATGGTGGACGCCATGGTGAATCTGTGGGAAGGTGAGGGAGGGTATCACGGAGATGTGGGATTGGTATCAACAGCAGAGGGTAAGCTGGTATGAATGGATGCTAGATTACTACAACAGATGGCTAGAGGGTGAAGGCAGGATTATAAGCAGCAAGATATCACTCGGGAACGGAATACACCGAAAGTCTCGCCGCCACCTATTTTCCTGGCTGGATATTAGCTGTGTACTATCTTGGAAAAAGGCATTTCCGTATATCAGTCTGCAGCCGAAGTTGCACCGCGATCGAGGTCATGATGGCGCGGTCGAGATCGTGAGGAACAAGGACACCGCATCGCGTATCGGTCAGCCAGTTGCCAGTCCTGGTTACTAGTGTATCTGTCAGGGGCACACCCTCATCACACCCTCACAGGGCCGGCCTCACTTGTGGCATGTCCTCACTCCTCGCCTCCCCTTTTGGTCCCGACCCCCTGGCGGATTCCGTGAACTCCCGGTTTTGAGGCTGGAAATGGTTCCCGAGTGGTTCGACTTGCATTTCGCTAAATTGCTTCTTTGGACCTTCTGGTGCATTGGCTGGTCCCGCCGTGTCACCGAGTGTTATTCGCTGATCCGGAAACCGGCAGGATATCGCCGCTGCCATGTTTGAATATGATGGCAACTCGCATGGGAATCAGACAACATTTGACTTTGGGATGTTTGATCTGGTCAGAAACATCGAAGCAAACTCTGAAAAACGGGCATCTTTGGCCGTGGGGGTTCAAATTGGATTAGATGTATTAAGATTGTTACAATGAAGAGGAGCCATAATCCAGCCGTCTAACACAACCGAGTCTCGACATGGTCAGTCACCAGCTGGTTGGACACACATCTAAATTGAAGAATGTCATCCATCAATCCCTCCATCTCGCCATCCAAAGTTCAAACATGAAAATGTCCAAGAACGTTAAGGGCGTGATCTGTAGCGATTTATTTTGCGTTTTCACCGTTAAAAATGGCCGGTGAAAATCGTGTTCCTTATACTTTTTGACATCTTTGTACCTTTTCACCCGGGTTACACTTTTTATTCACCCGGTGAAAAGAATCGCCCCGCTTTTTAACCTTCTAGCCAACTAGAGCTCAAAACCACTTTTTCACCCGGTGAACAGGAAAAAGGGTATTTTGCAAATTGCATCAACCACTGAACACGCTGAAATAGTACTGAAGCCGCTATAACCAGCTCAACTCCAACGTCAAGATAATAGAATTACCATTTTTACCCAAAACTATCACAGAGTTTGGTATCCCGGTGAAAAAGCCGGTGAAAAAGCCGGTGAAAATTGGTCCGTGCAACCTTTTCACCCGAAGTACCTTTTTCCCCGGTGAAAAGGCCCAAAAAAAGGCTACGGATCACGCCCTAAAAGTCTAAAAAGACGGTCAAAGTGGCCTGTGCACCCTCCAAGCTGACTCGGCTGAACTGCCCTGTCTCAAGCCTGCCCCGTGAGCTGTTGCCCGCCCGCTTCTGTCAAAATGCAGCCTGGCGGCAGGCATCCGCTCTCGCAACTGCCCGCCGCGCGGCCCAATGGCGGGGTCGAGGCCGCCAAGGTTCCAGCTTCCAGGTCGTCCTTTCAGCAGAGGAGCCACTGAAAGGTTCCTGGACGGCATGTGGACTGCTTCCGGGACCCTGTGACTGTCATGACATGGACAACGTCTTTGACCAAAACAACAAGCAAGCCAGAGACCATTCCGTGTCTCTTGGTCATCTCCCACGACATCCGAAACTTGACCGATTCCAAGGAACAAACAATGAAAACTGGATTCCCCAACATCGATAACCCATAATCATCGCCCATCCGAGTTGCAAGTACCACCTCCGTTGCGATAGCTTCGAGTAGCTGTCATTGTGGTTACAACAACGGCGACCAATCCATTCCCGCGACGACCGACAAACAGAAAGATATACAACAATCATGGGAAGCGCGACGATAGAGGCCGGGAGCCGGCCCATGAATGTCAAGGAGATATCCGAAAAGGCAAAACAATACGACTGGAATCCCCGGATTGGCTTCAAGTTTTGGGCGCGCGCTGCCAACACCATCCATCATGAGGTTCGTCACAAGTCTGTAATGGTCGCAATCCCAAGAACAGTAGCTGACTATAATCCGGTGGTTAAAGGGTCAAATCTACCTTCAAGAAGGAAGCATAGCTCAAGCTTACATGTTTCTCCTCCGCTACTGCACCCTCGTCCTCGATGATATGGCGAAGCACCCCGAAGCCAAACACCCCGAAAACCGAGTGCTGATGAGGCAACTCAACGCACGCATAAACACCGTGGTTGAACAGCTTGAACAGCTCAAGCCCCAAATAGAGGAGGCCTATGAGAAGTGGCAGCAGCTCACGGCCAGCGTACAAGACAGCAGGGAGAAGCGACGATCTACATCTTCGCAATACGCCAGGCACGCTGCCAACGATGCTGCCCTGTCATGGAACCATATTTCGCAGGCTAAGATCCTGGATGCTGGACAAAACCAAGAGTTGGCAGTCGACTTGGCTAGGGAAGCGCTGCTTAAGCGACGGAGACGTCGACGACAAGAGAACGCTGATGAGGATGAGCGCATACACAGGACGTCAGATGGTTACAAGGAAGAGAGAGGCTATAATGTGGACAGGAGACAACAGTATCCTACTCCCCCACCAACGAACAATCGCTACTCGGAGGATGACGACCTTCGCCGGCAAATGGAGGCCACAAGACGACAATTGGACCGCTCAGGAGGCTACGGGATTTCGGAAACTGACAACGGCATCAGTGACACTGACAGCTATCGATCTGTAAACTATCACTACCCAACCATCAAACCAACATCTACTTATACCTACGACTACCCGAAACCGGCGCCGCGGCCGGAAAGCCCAAGACCACAGCCACCACTCCCGCCCAAGGTGATACCCTTTGAGCGACCAGTACCCGTCACCAGACCTCCTCCTCCACCGCCACGCCCGCGGAAGGGGTCGGGGTCCTTGAGCAGAGATTCAAGGAGGAGTGGTATGCTTCCTAGTCAGACCATTCGACTGGTAAACGACGAGGACGATGTCGACGAAAAGCCCGCAAGACCGCCCAAAGTCAGCGAACCGCCGCCGCCAGAGGAGAAGCCGAAAGAAGCGAACAAAGTCACCTTCCGCCCGGTTGCCTACCTCGAAAGCGGCGAACCGCTCCGATCCGTATTCCTCCCCAGCGGCCTCCGCCGCCGTTTCCTCGAACTTGCCCGCGAAAACACCATCAGGGAGCTGGAGATGTGCGGCATTCTCTGCGGCACGCTAATCAACAATGCCCTGTTCATCACCTGCCTGCTCATCCCGGAGCAAGAGTGCACCCCTGACACGTGCGAGACCATCAACGAGGAAGCGTACGTCACGTACTGCATTGAGAACGACTTGCTCGTCCTTGGTTGGATCCATACCCACCCAACGCAGACTTGCTTCATGAGCTCGAGAGATTTGCATACCCATGCTGGATACCAGACTATGATGAAGGAGAGCATTGCCATTGTTTGCGCGCCTAGATATGATCCTTCGTAAGTTTTTCCGTCCTCTCACCCCTCCCCTTCCGAGCATCACCAGCTAACGTACCCCAAAACAAACCAGATACGGTATCTTCCGCCTCACCGACCCTCCCGGTCTCCCGCACATCATCAACTGCAACACCCCCGGCGTCTTCCACCAGCATGCCATTCCCTCAGACGAGATTTACTGTAGTGCTCGTCATGCGCCGGGGCACGTGTTTGAGTCAAGCAGGGTTGACTTTGAGGTGGTGGATCTCAGGCCTGAGGGGTCCAAGGTACCGCAGTTCAGGAGGTATTAGGGATCACCTTCGACTCCCTCGGCCACGGCAATGGAGATGGAGAGGAAGTTGAGAAAGAGTGTGAGTCATGGGTTTTTGGTTGGGAAGTTTTAGCGCTTGCTTTTGGTTGGCGCATGTTGGACGAGTTGTCGTTGCTGAAGAGCTCCATGGGCAAAAGCATATTTGAGGGCTGGAGTTCAAGACTAAGTAAGGTAAATGGGTAGCATAGCGATGGCGTTCATGGTTGGCGCAACATATTGTCAGGTCCAAGGGGCCATGAAGGAGCATAATCTCGGACTCCTGGGAAGGCTGAAAAGAGATGGCGATGGGATGGATGACGGCAGGTTTCTCAATTTGGCTTTGGTTCATATTCTATTCCACACGAACATAGACATCATCCATACGGTTATAAGAAGGCTACTTGACAGCCAATTCTGGTCGGAAATTGTGGTCTGAGTGACCTCTCGGCCTCTGTCGTCAGCCGTAGTGTATGATGGGCGATTATCGTCCAATGTCAACCTGTAAGCCAAATCTGTATCGGAATCAACGGTGTGTCATGCTATTTATGCGCTTGAGCGGTTCACGGTCGAGAACGTTCAAACCGATCCCAAAAGTCTCGGTGTTCCTTAAAGACACCCTCGGTCTCTTTGTCCACTACTATCTGTCGCACTTGTCAAGCAGAAACGAAGTTCCGAAAGTGCCACGAAGTAGTCATCATCGACCAATCCACAACGAGAGTGACACCGTACAAGTACAACAGCCAAACAAAAACCCACCAAATAACAACGGCATGCAAGAAGACGGCTCAAGCGACATGTTTCCTTTGCAACACCAAAAGAAAAAAAGAAACAATGCCCACACAAGGGGAAACAAGGCAAAACAGAAAAAAATTGGCAAAAGATTTGGACGAGCTGGGAATCGAACCCAGGACCTTTCGCATGCTCGGAAACATGCTAAGCGAACGCTCTACCAACTGAGCCACACGCCCTGTGGAACCTTATTGGTTATTGTTGGAGGATGTTGCCGATGGTGGCATTATGAATGGATAAGGTATGAGAGCAGGACGGGTGGGAGGGACTGTCGGAGCAACATTGAGAATGAAGGAATTGTCCTGATGTCTCATTTGCAACGGTTATGTTGTCCATCAAATTATTGGCCGAGATATTATCTATGGTGTCGTCGAAGATCGGTCGTCGTCAACTCGTGGAAGAAGGACAGGACAAGTTCGTTCGAAGTTCGGGCGATGGTGACCCCCGATGCCCGGTGAGGTGAGGGGAGAAAGTTAATTGTTAGTGCATCACCACCCCGTGATCGGTTCCCCGACAACATTTTCTGGTGTTCTCCCCTCTTGGCGATGTTGACATTCTCTTTGCTTGTGCTTCATTATTCACACCAGAGTATGCAATTCTTCGAGTTACCCATCCGGGGGGCATCTATATTTCATATTTTCTCCTCGACCTCAGGTTGTCTTGTCCTTCCTTCTTATCGATCGAGGTGATCCCGGGCAAACATTCTGCCTGCCGCCTTGCTGTCTCTGAGCTTTCAGCCCAGCTTGCTGCCAAATCATCACTGATACTGATTAGTAAGTACAGGCTCCACATTTCACCTCCACGGTGCTTCCCCGCGGAGCATCATGATCAAGATACAACCGCCAATTCAGGGGTCGAAGTTTCGAGAATTGGTATTCGCTCGAGAGTATCCATTGGTTCCGGAGAGTTTCTGCATTGAGCTTTTGGTTGTCTTTTTTTCTGGGGTAGAACTGAAGTGAAGACGAAACGAAGCAGACGACAGGAAACGGATCACAGAGTGTCTGTCGACAGTGTAACCCATCCCATTCTTCGTTGCCAAAATGCCAACTGGCAGTGGCGCGCGGGAGTTGTTATCCCGTCAATCTGGATGAAAAGAGCTGAGAAACGCCGAACTGATTGCTTTTTGGTGCGCTTTAATCCCAACGTCGTCCGAGTTTGCTAGGACTCTCAACAATGTTGTTGTACACTGCGACATATGCGATGACAACATATCAACAGCAAACAGTCCATACACTACAAGTCGGGATGAAACGTGGTATTTATCGAGACCAGGCACTATCTCGAGCTTGTTTCACAAAAAGGGTCTCGTCCATTCGGTGGAGTCTTTTCGCCGGCACTTGAGGAGAACCTTGTCTTGGCATTTTTTTCAGGAACACTTTGCACGACCGCCGATTATAAATGGGCGTTTTGAAACCCACCTGGCTAACCTAACCGCTGACTAATTCTTTAGATGAGTGACGATCCCCCAATGGAAGCTGATGGATAGTTGCAGTCTGGAACCGTCTATCCTGTAGTTTTGGTGAGGAGAGGAGAAGTGACTGTGGAGAAGTAGTAAGAAAGTTTCCGATTTGGCCAGTTTTGGTTTATGCTTGACAGCATCGAGGGCGATGTCGATCCGCTCGGTTGCTTCCGAGATGGAGACACAATAATGCTTGACAAGCTTGACAAGACTTGACAAGCAAAGACACAGGGGTCCTTTTGTCCAGATATATAAACTTACTTCATCACGCCATCCATAACTCGGATCGCAACATCACATCGACTCTCTACACCTAATACCTAATACCACAACACCCAACCAATCCACCACAGACAACAAACATCAAAATGGCTCCCTTCGCCACCATCTACACCTACCCCAACAACATCCGTGTTCAGCGGGTACGTCCACCCCTTTTCCCTTCCTTCCCATTTCCTTCTCTTGTCCCCCCTTCCCAACAGACTGCAACAGTAACTAACCCACCCCCCTTAGGCCCAAGCCGTCGCCAAGCTCAACGGCCTCGAAGTCCTCGAGGACAGCGACTTCAAGCTCGCCACCCCTTCGGACCCCAAATGGGCCGCCATCCTCGCCAAGTTCCCCTACGGCAAGGTCCCCGCCCTCTCCACCGCCGACGGCTCCCTCAACCTGACCGAAGGCCAAGCCATCGTCCGCTTCCTCGCCGACTCCGGCCCCAAGGCCGAGCAGCTTCTCGGTCGCACCGCCGTTGACCGTGCTCTGATTGAGCAATGGGCGTGCTTCTCCGAGCAGGAGCTCCTGGCGAACTTGTACCCGTGCATGTTGATGGTCATCAGGCCGGATATGGTGCCGTATACCCCCGAGGGGTATGAGTCTGCTGCTGCCAAGTTTGAGAGGGCGGTGAAGAGAGTGGAGACGGAGTTGGCGAAGGGCAATGGCAAGTTCTTGGTTGGTGAGGAGGTCACGGTTGCCGATGTGATGGTTGCTGGCGCCTTGATCTTGGCGAGCAAGTGGTTGTTGGATGCCGAGATGAAGAAGAACAGCGCGCCCAGTGTCGAGGGATACCTTAACGGTTTGTTGGAGATTCCTGAGCTGAAGGAGGCGTTTGGCGAGATTGTTACTGTCCAGGAGCGCGTCCGTCCCAAGACCGAGTAAGGAAAGCGTTGATGGGGTTGATGCGTGGGTATGATACCATGGTTAGAACAACAAAAAGTTAATGAAAATGGCGATTATCAAGTTATAGATCATGTTCACGGCGAGTTTCGCGATTGTCTCATGCATGGTGTGGGGAAGGCAACGAGTTGATTGAAACTATGTGTGATGAATAGAATGGAAGCCCGTCCAGAAGTAAAACCTCCATGAGACTTCGATCTCCGACCACCCGTCAGATATCAATGCACAAGCGCAAGATATACTGACTACCTGTTCAAACCAATCTCAGATTACTTTGATGTCCCCAATCACCTGTCATTATACCCAGCCAGCATATGCATCCAGTCCAGAACACCCGTTCCCAAATGTCAACATATGCCATACGAGAAACCCATGTTTGCCGAACCCAAGCATGCTATGTGTCCCATGTCCGTCCATGCAAAGAAAAGTGAGAGTGTCCACCGTGAAAGATTCCGCCGCCCCAGAAATGAACTCCGACGCCAGTGAAATCAAGTGGTGGTGCTGCCAGCAGACGCCCAGTGTACTGTAGTGAGCCATTGGTGACGAGCTGCCTGCAGCTTTCGCTCAGCGAGGACTGAGCTCGAACTCAGCTTAGGTGTGGTAAAGACCGTAGATGGCGGGGCTCGAGTGGCCAGGAAAATCACTAGGGCAATAGGCGTAGCCCTCGGCGCCGACAACTAGGCGGCCATCGGGCGTGGTCCAGCGGAAGTTGTCAATCGAGTAGTGGATGAAGTCTTGAATGTCCTTGTTGCACATCTCGATCAAGTCACCATTCGGATATTTGTCAAGCTTGCTGGCAATGTTGACAGCGCAGGTGCCGTGGCTGAGAATCTCCCTGGGAATGGTGTCGTGCCAGGACCAGCAGATGGGGGTGTGGTCAAAGTCGGGGATGATTACGTCCGCGATGTAGCGGCAGTCCTCAACGAGCGGGGAGGCGGCTGTAGTCTTGGTCACGTACTTGTCCCCGGAGCAGTCGTGGAACAGCATGTGGGGCAAGCCATCGCCCTTGGTGAGAACGTTGGTGTCGTTGTGGTCAGCGTCATGCTTGAACGCGCCGAGGGCGGGAGCAGCGCTGGCCAGAGCAGCAAGGCTCGGGATGAGGGCGATGAGTGTCTTGACGAGCATCTTGACGAGATGAGACAACAGAAGAGTGAGGTAGTCTTGTGATATGGCTCGCTTGTTGTTTTGTCGATGGTCAAGGTGAGAGAGTGGTGATCCAAGTTTTGAGCTTGAGAAGATCCGTGAGAGGAGTGGTAATGGATGAGGGAGGAAGAAAGAGAAGAAAAGTTTGTGGGAGGAAAGACCCCTCCTTTATACCTGCCCGATGGGTTGTTTGCCCTCGACTCGAGGATCATCCAGCGGTACGTTCCTTCCAAGTCTGGAATCTTTCCAAACTTCAGACGAACGATAACGAGTGATTTTCTCTGGCAAATGACCACCCCTCATCCGACTTAGCGGGACTTTTGTGTTTCATCTTGCTGCACCTTTTATCTTTCCGTCCAGCAAGGTTCTCGCCGCTTCCATTCTCTTTTCTCGATCTGGTACCGCATCGGGAGTGACATGATAGGGCTTGGCTGCCCTCCTCCCAGGTCTTGGAGGTGACAGCCTCGGTTCTCGAGCGAGACTCGAGCGAAACTGTGGTTGTACCAAGGATCGAACCACCCATACCATGTTTTGGTGTCATCTCCGTCGTGGGACGACATGCCCAGAATGGGATGGGTCTGTGGCCATTCGGAGAATCCCAAAGATAGCAATAGGGCCTTTGCGAGTTTGCGGTCATGTAGTTTCCATCACCCTGCTTTCACTTGGCGATCACACCTGGAAATGCTGTACATCTTGGGTCGTGAGAAATGCAGACGGCGCTGCCACCTCGACGGAACAGAAGTTATGCTTAGATTATTGCCCCGTGTACTATCCCACAAGCTCACTATCGCCATCATTAACTAGTACCTCCCCGCCAAGAATCGCGGCCTGAGCCTAAAGGCTAACTAAAATACAGAAACACAAAGACGCGGATGATAGTTAGCCGCAAGGTAGCACAAAAATCGACTGGTGAGATAATTCTCCGAATAATCCCCCCCATGACTCACACTACCTCATTCCGTGATACAAATGCGGAGAGATTCTCATGAACAGAGGCGTACGGATGCTACCAGCAACCCGGTAAGAGACCGCACGTAAGGGGTGCGGAAGATGTGAGCTGAGACCCGTCAGATTGGCCTCATTTCTCCCTCAGACACTGCCGTGTCCTGTGTCCCTGTCGGCCGAAGCTGCCTCAGAAATCATCATCAGAGTGGTAGATGCCCCAGATAACTCCATCCTGCCAGCTCATCAGGCTGTCGCACCAGAACTCGCCCTCTGCTCCAACGTGGTAGTTCCCGTCCGCATCTTGCAATGCGAACTGGGCGACGGCCTCGTCGATTCGGTCAATGATGTCGTCATTGCCGACTTTGAAGATGTCGAGGCCGTCGAAGCCCCAGACTCCGAAGACACAGGTGCCATACGTTGCAAGATTGCGGTGGTGGCTCGACATAGTCCTCCACTCGCCGTCCTTCGCAATGTTACGTTGTAGATGGTGACAGTCTTCAACGAGTGATGATTCAGGGGTTGTCTTATTCTTCATCCAGATGCTTCCCTGGCACTTGATGACTTGGGAATTTTGCTGCGGCGATGTGGAGGAGGCAGTACAGTTATCCTGCGGAGAGGTCGGACCCGAGACTGCCGCCGGGATGGAAAGAACGCTGGAAGCAATGGCCAGGATAGCCCCAGCAAACATGATGGCGAGATGCATCTTGAAAGTCTAGATCCCGTCTGTATGAAACAGTTAGTGCCCAAGACCCCAAGACCAGACGTCATACCGGTCGATATGACGATCTCCCCAGAGAATGGAAGTCACCTACCTAAGGTACTTCTGAATGCGTGGTCTGGTATTATGGCAAAGAGTGTATATGCAGGGCGCGGTACCCGTAATTGAGACAAAGGAAAGTCCAAAATGGGAGACAATCAAGGGGCTTGCAGGTTGCAGATGAGGCTGATGTTGTACAACAGGGCGAAGAGAGCAGAGGGAAAAGTCCGACGCAGACAGACGAGCGCACGTCCGTTTTATCTCCGTGAAGTCAACATGGGTGAATGGCCTTCCAAGCTCCCAGAGAAGGTCTTTGTTTCCATTTATTCTTCTCTTGGTCCTCCTAGGCAGATTCCACTTGGAATTGCCTTCATCCTTGGCGGTTAGGTGCAGCTGTTTGTTGTAGAGCAGGAGTGTCAGGAGAAAATTCGTCCATGTGGAAGGCGTGATGATTGCCAGTCTGTCCAGAGTAGGTGGAGGACCTTAACTTCCCGAACTGAGCAAACATGAACGCTGACCGGAGACGGAAAGAACAGTTGACCGCCACAGATGGACGCTCTGAGATTCGTAGAGCTGTTCCCTTTGAGATCCACGATGGAAGGAGGCAGGTGGTAGTACGGGAAGGCAACCCGTAGAACTGGAAGGAACGTGGAGGGGTAACATGGTTGTCGACTTCTCGAAACTGGGAAGGCGCAGTCCTTCCTCATCTGCGGGCTCCCTTGCAGTGATGCCTTGCTTGGTACCTCGCAGATGAGAATGCGGCTGGGAAAGTGCGTCGGGAGCGACAACTGATGAGGCCCGTTTGGCAAAACTGCCCCTGAGGAGGCAAGAAGAGGAAGGTAATTCTTGGAGGAAGCGAGGCGTACCTTTCAGAGAAACCTCGGGTTTGCTTCTTCCTTCACGTCTCGGAAAGTCCAGCTTGATCTTTTCACTTCCATTGTCTCCGGCCATCCCTCCCTTCACGCCCACTGGGACTTCCTGCCAGATTATGCAGTCCGCAGCACGCATCCGACCGATGTGGCAATGTCGGGCAGTCTGCACTCTGCACTGCCGGGATCCCAATTACCGACGTTGTTACCTTCCACTTCGCCGAGACATCTCACCGTGACCTGACCATCCGGGACCGCACTTCCACGAAGCGGACACAATCATGGAAATAGAAGAGTAGACAAGTGCGACATGCGTCTTTTCATGTTGTGTCGACACTGCCATTGCAAGCTTACTCGCACCGCAGCGATGCTGATGGAACCCATTGGCCGCAGAGAAGCTGCTGATTCAATTGTCCCACCCACTTCCAACTCAGCTTCGCCCTCACCGTACCACGCCGGATACAATCGTTTCATTCTCAGTCAAGAAAACAAGCTGGTCCGTTTCAGTCCCAACAAGCCTAGACCCAAAGGTCAGCATCCCATGGGACGAAGTGAAGCAAACTGGCTGATCGTGACGAGAATTCAGGTCCGTACACGAGCAGCTCATCACTAGTCTTGACATGAGCTATTTGCATCGCGTGGTACCAAGAATGCTTCTTTGCCATGTGGTAACAAACACCAACGGGCAACGGCTTTGTTTACTTTGTTCCAGGGGGCAGATGCCATACCCCTGAATCCAACAATTGCTGTTGTGACAGGTTGTCTTGGCGTAGCACCGCAGCTGCCACCACATACAACCCCAAAGTAAGAACAACCCCTGCATAATATTACTATTATCGATATTGACCAAGCCACCTTTGCCTTTTGCAGACGTAGTCCTGGGTCTGGTGGGTAAGTGAGGGGTTTAGTCCTTGGCCAGCTTCTTCCAGCCTCTCAGAAGTCGTACGAGCGAGGTAAGCTGACGCCGTCCACTCCCCAAAAGTATCACCAACTTCAACACTCTGACCACAGGAACCATGGCACAGGAAAAGAAACTCATCGTTGTTGTCGGCGCCACGGGCAATCAAGACGGTTCTGTCGCACGCCGCTTCCTTCAAGACCCCCGATATGCGGTCCGCGGCCTAACCCGCAACCCTTCGTCTGCAGCTTCCCAGGCCCTTGCGGCACTGGGTGCGGAGATGGTAGCCGCTGAGCTCCATGACCCAAAGACTCTCGATGCCGCATTTGCAGGAGCGAACATCATCTTCAGCGTCACCCAGTACTGGGAACCCTTCTTCCGCCCCGACTGTCGCGCCACGGCCCAGGAGCTCGGCATAACTTGCCGTCAATACGCCTACGATGTTGAGTATCGCCAGGGAAAGAACATTGCCGATGCCGCGGCCAAGGTAGTGGACACGTTGGAGGACAATGGCTTCCTGGTATCGACCCTGAGCCACGCCCGGAAGTGCAGTGGCGGGAAGTTCACGGACTTGTATCACTTTGACTCCAAGGCCGATATCTTCCCCGACTATGTGCGGGAGAACTACCCGGCACTGGCAGCAAAGATGTCTTGCGTGCAGACGGGCTTCTTCATGACCAGTCACGCCATTCTTCCAAACTCGTATTTCCAAAAGGTGTGTTGCCCCTTTTTGTTCAGTTGCTTCTTTGAGAGAAACTCACCAGTTACGCAACAGCAAGCCGATGGCTCTTTCCACATGCGCTTCCCATGCTCGCCCAACACGCTGATCCCCCATCTGGATGTCAACGGCGACACTGGAAACTTTGTGTATGCCGTTCATCAGATGCCTCCGGGCAAAGATTACATCGCCATGGGCTCCCACGCGACATGGCCCGAGTACCTGCAGGCATGGGCAAAGACAGCTGGAGTTCCCGCGGAAAAGACCGTCTACGAACAAGTGTCAGTCGATGACATGATAGCGGACACCGCGGATAGAGACACGGGCATTGAGGTGGCGATTATGTTTGCCTACTCTGATGATCCCGGGTATGGAGGTGGCATGGATTTGGTGACGGCGGAGGATATGAGGAAGGTGAGTTGATCATGAACGAGAAGCCCTACAGGAGAAGTTCGTACTGACAGCTATAAACAGGCGGGGATTGAGTGTCCCATGACGAACTTGGAGGAATGGATGAAGAAGCAGGATTGGTCGGCTGTTCTGAGCAAGTGCAGTTGCAACACCTAGCAGCGCCAGAAGCAACAACATCGGAAATGGTGGAAGCACTGGCAACGACTGAACATCGAATCTTCAGCGCAAGTTATTTGCCGCGACGTTTACTTTACATCAGTCAGGCTCCAGACACTTGGGCTCTTTCCAGGAGGGGGTTCGTCCCAAACCAAAGGTCCAAGGTGAGGTGAAGCCCAACGTGGACCGATACCGATAAATGTCACATGGTTGGATTGACCAAATGCAGAGGACCGGCGTCCCGAGAATACGGGACGACGGGACCCCTGATCAACCGTCCCGTGGTCCCTGGATTTGGGCCCTGGGGTTCGGGATACCAGTGACGTCGGAACGCGGGAAGAAAACCGAATATGAAGGCATAGCCTAATGTTATGGGTCATTCATGACCACGAATAACCCGAAAGTATACGGTATAAGGACAGGGAACCACGGCGTTGAAATCTGGCTTGCTCTTTCGAACACTCTGTCGCGCTGAATGTTCCTTCCAGACCAATGACTCGGCCACTGCTCATACGTCAAACGGGCGGCCTGAAGAACAGAACCGCCTTGAGATTGCGCGCTGTATCCCGTCATCACCATTAGACACTCGCGCCGGACGCAAGACTGACGTACCTGGTGATGATACCCAGGCTCTTTCCCGCCCGCCGTCGTCTGGTCAGAGTCGGGTGCAGATGTCAAAAAAGGTTGAAGTTCGGACGACCGCCAGCTGGCCACTGTGGATCACCACTTCTGGAAAGAAGCCTCCACATTCTTGGAATCCACACAGTCTAGAGAAACCTGCATTCACCTCTTGCTACTGTGTAGGTTGTGCGGGGACGGAACCTGTAAACCATCAGATGTCGACATTGATCCAAGATATGAGTGGAAGAAAGATCTTGGGGAGTGGTCCTTCAGAGATTTTGACATATCAAAGTTGGGCGTTTGCCCGTTGTTCTTGTTGTCAAACTGGAAGGTCATTCCGACGGGACACAGTGCAAACAGCTTATCTTTGATGCGTCTAATGGCTTTAGTCGCCCCTAACCCTCCTCTGTTTGGCTGGTCCGATAAGGATTTGCTCGCACGGTGACGGCCAAACTGACATCCAAAATCGACACTCCTCTGTCTCAGCTCTCTCCACCGAGAACTTCACTCGAGTTCTAGAATCACGACGTTAACCTAACCTTTCTCTTTTCCTTCAGGGATTCCTCTCTTGGAATTTTTCTTTTTTTTGCTTTTACGCTGATTGCCTTCCTTCTTTCATTTTGCATTTTCTCTGCTGATACTCATCTTGACAGCAGTGCGCCTAGGTACCAGTTTGCTGTCCAGGACCATACCGTCGTCCAGCTGTTCTCGAGTCTCGACAGTTCGACGCCCACTTCGTCAATGCGAGCAAAGTCCGCGCCCTCTTCTAACCGGCGGCGCTGCGGGGCCATCAAAATCTAAATCACAACACAAGCAGCGTCTACGACCTCTGTCAAGAGGGTGACGTTGCCGTCAGCCATGGTGTCTTTCAACCGGCCCCCAGTCCTTTACGGCTTTGACCCGGAGATACAAGAAGATCACCCTTTCGACGAGGTCTGGTCAGCTGGATTCATATCCAAAGCCTACACTGATGAGGAAGACCCCGAAGTTCTGCGATTTGACGCGGACCCGTCGCTCAAGACAGAACTTAGGTATGGCAATAATGTGTTCGTACTCTTCAAGGCCCTTTGCTGGTGCGGCGAGTTCTGGGGCCAACAAAACTTCTGGACTGCCATGGCTAGAGGCTATAGCGGCACCAAACCTAGCTACGTCAGGGAGTTGGTCTATATGCTTGTAGACGCGCGAAAGACTGCTCTGCAAGGCCTGACCGGTGTTCACAACTCACCCGTTACCCATGTTGTCGATGACTTCATTAACTGGCTGGACCAGTACGGCCCTCAACTTACCAGCCACAACGCCGGCAAACCTACCGATCCAAACCTACTCTCCACTGCCGACGCTTTCTTCAGCAGTATGAGGGGTAAATGTATCAATTTCAACAAGATACCCGTCTTACTCATTGGGCTAAAGCCACGCCTCCAGAACCCTCAACGGAACAGGCCTCAAAACCATCGTCAAGACCCGCTTGACCACCAAAGGCCGCCGAACCACTTCCCGCCGGCTCGCTCGAGGTCGCCTCCCACCATGCCTGTCAAGCCTGAAGCACGAACTGGCGGTACGGGCTGGGAACTAAACAGGGAATTCACACAACATCCCATGCCGCTGCGGAAGCGATCGGGGTCACCATATGCCCAGGACGAGTTTCACCCGCCCAAACGGCATCACAGCTCTGGACGGTACCCAGAGCAACACTCACCACGACAATGGCATCCGGAGCAGGGTCCTCCATCACGACAGTCATATGAGGATGAGTACCGTGGATGGCATCAATCCGGAGAACGGCTGCCACCACGGGGCCCGCGCTCCGAGGAGACGTTCCCGCCTCGATCGCCTGCCGGATTGCCGCCTCGACCACCTACCCCGCCCCGTGCTCAATCCCAGCTGGAGAAGCAGCAAGGTCACGATCAACAGAGACACGATCAACAAAGGCTCAAGCAGCAGCAAATGGAGGACCAGAAACTCAAGCAACGGCAGCTCGAGGACGAGATGCTTAAGGAGCAGAAGATTCAGGAGCGTCGGCTTGAGGTGCAAAAGCTCGAACAACAAAGAATCGAGCTTGAAAAACAAGTCCAAGAACACCAACAGTTGTTGGAGAAGCAGCGACTCGAGCAGCAGAAACTTGATCAACAGAAGCTTCAGGAGCAAGCGAAGCTCAAAGAACTCCAGACTCTTGATGGACAACAGCAAGAACGAATCCGGCTACTTGACGAAAGGACTCAGAAGCAGGCTACAGAATCTCGGAAGCGACTCGAAGAGAAACGCAAGCGGGTCGAAGCTCAACAGGCGGAAGAAGCTCGGAAGCGCCTCGAAGAACAAAAGCGACTCGAGGAACAGAAGAAGCTCGAGGAGCAGTGGAAGCTTGAAGAGCAGAAGAGACTCGAGGAGGAGCGCCAGCAAGCCCAAGCTCAGAAGCAGGCTGAAGAAGCTCGGAAGCGACTCGAAGAGGAACGCAAACAGGCCGAAGCCAAGAAGCGTCTTGAGGAGCAAAAGAGACTCGAGGAGCAACAGAGACTCGAGGAGGAACGCAAGCAGGCCGAAGCTCAGCAGCGACTCGAGCAAAAAAGGCTTGAAGAGGAGCGCAATCAAGCCGAAGCTCAGAAGCAAGCCGAAGCTCAGAAGCAAGCCGAAGCTCAGAAGCAAGCCGAAGCTCAGAAGCAAGCCGAAGCTCAGAAGCAAGCCGAAGCTCAGAAGCAAGCCGAAGCTCAGAAGCAAGCCGAAGAGCAACGCAAACGCGAGGCGCACAAGCGAGTCGACGATCAGAGAAGAATGGAAGTCGAGGAGCAGGAGAGACTCAAGCAAAATCGCCAGGAAGAACGCAAACTTGAGGAGATGCGCCACTCTAAACGTATGGATGAAGGCAAGGGCACCGCACATCTTTCAAGCTCGACCATATCAACCGTTCAAGCTCCAGCCGCTCCGCCCTTTGTTTTCGGATTCACACTGAGGAATCAGTTAGAGCAAGCCAATAAGAAGAGCTCGGAGTTGCATGGGTACAGATCCCAGTCTAATAAAAAGGGGAGTCCGTTCAATTTAACTCGGGAGCGTCTCTTACTGTGGAGAGGGCGCTTGGTAGTGCCAGAGGGTCCGCTGCGAATGAACGTTATACAGGAATGTCACCTCGGACACGAAGAGGTACATTTCGGGAAGCAAAAAACTAGAAAAAAACTTTTTGACCAGTACTGGTGGCATGGCATAGAGGTGGACATGGACCGTTTTCTTGACAATTGCCCTGATTGCCAACATCACAAACAAGTCTCACAGTATAAGCCGAAGGAAAGGGGACGCACAGCCTCTACTACTCAACTGAGCAGTCAATCATTTGCTCCCAACAACCAGGATCAGCAGCGCGATAACCCTAGGACTGCCAATAGCACAGGCCCATCGGAAAGCAGTGGCACTTCGCTCAGCACAACCAACTCCCCTGCACCTTCTCACCCTCCTGAGGCCGTTGTTTCGGTTCCGTCTGTCTCAGAAAAGACCGACACTCCCGGACCGCGACCCTCACCCCATCCGTCCGTCCTGTCTTCGGACGAAGAAGTTGCTGGGTGGAAAGAGATGGTTTCCACGCTCGAGAAGAAACTGGCGGACACTGAGGGGCAGCTTAAGGCGGCTGCCGTGATTCGCCCGCTTGAAAGAAGCATTAGCAAGTTCCAGTCGGATGTCAGCGCTCTCCATGGAGAGATGAGCACCCTCTTCAACTCATTCCAGTCCATGGTGGACATAATGGCTCTCGTACAGGAAGATACCATGTGTATCAAGGAAAATGTCGAAGGCAAACAGCAGCAACACGGTGGAATTGACGAGATCTCGCTTTCTGTAGATGATGTCAAGGCGAACGTCGCATTGGTGCTGAGCGAAATCTTCGACCTCCGCCTGCAGCACCAACAGCTGGAAAAGAGGGTTCTTGCAACACCCTTTAGGGCTGCTCCGTCTAGGGACTCGGAAGCTCTAATGACTGCCCTGGCTGCCATCTCGCAAAAGGTCGACGCCTTGAACAACGAGGTGTCCGATTTGAGAAAAGAAGGCCAGGCGCAACGGGATATTGCACCTCCACCTACTGCGAACCCTGACGACCTCAAAGAGATCATGGGTGTCGTGAAGATGATTTCTGATAATGTTGACGTGCTTAAGAGTGAAGTGATGGACTTGAAGAAGGATCGTGCTCGGACGGACGACACATCCAACTCATCAGCAACCACCAGCGTTTCCGTCGACGCCGGGCTTATCAAAGCACTGTTCGGGGAACAGAAGGCTCTGATTCAGAGTCAGAGCCAAAAACTGGCCAGAATGGCGAACGACATATCGAGTCTACGAACTCAGGTGTATGCTTCTGGTAGGACTCAGCCTCAGCCGAAGAGCTTGAAGCAAGCCATGGCGGCTGCAGAGAAAGACTTGCAGCACCATCTCATAACGATGCAGAATTACCGAAATAAGATGGCCGAGCGAGGGAACCCGCCACCGACTGTCGTAGCTAACATGGCCGACATGTGTCAGACGTTGGAAGAGTGCATCCAGTATTCCAAGACCGGACAGAAGTAACGACACCAACAACACTTGGCGAAATGGAAATTACGACTCCACGAGATGCTGTTGTCATCCTTTACTGGAGTACTTTGAACTATCAATACATATTCCACTGGGTTCTCGCCGCCGGTAGCTGCCTCGAGCATTGATACGCATACGAGCACTCCCATGAAGTCTGTTGGGACCATCCGGACGGCTCCTTTTCACGACCAGCACGAAGTATGGTGTGCACGACAACTGAACAACTTTTAATGTGAAGCTCCAGGTCTCCGTGCTATTCATGGTTACTCCCTAATACCGTGCACGGAGACACTGGTCTGTAGTTTGCCGACCATGTTACGAGCATGTTTAGAAGCTACTATGAAGTTACCATGAAGTTACCTTGCCAGATATAGAACGCCATTATCTTGGAAGGCCGCAAGCCGCATCATAGAGCCATAAGTAGACCAGACAAGCGGTATATCACACCTAGTTACCAATAGACGACCTCATTGCTAATTCGTTTGCGCCATATGGGCTATGCGGAGTGTTGACGTTCGATCAAGTCAGCCGGGCCGCCTATGAGATCTCAAAGCGATCTTTGACAGCAAATGTTCCACGAAAGCCACTAACGGATTGGTGCACGCACACTTCTGAGTGGATTTAAATGCTCTGGTGCCATGATAAACGGTGATAGTTATGAAGACCAATGCTGACTAGAACTAACACAAGGAACTAAACAACAGTTTGCTCGCCTGATGGCGCACCAGACGCCAGACGCAACCTGAAGTTGCAGAACAAGCAGAGTTTCACGTAAGTGAGATATCCTGTCTCATACAAGCAAGGCTCCATCCGAGGGCTGAGGCCTATCTCTTGAGATGGCAACTGGCACCTACACCCGGACATTCACTTCAAAGCTGAAGTGAAACGGTGAACTTCATATTCACCCAAGAGTGACTCATACCTTTTGTGCCCTTCCTCGAACGCCGACAGCCCAGGGGAAAGTAAACAAGGAGACGCACGGAGATGCCTACAATGACGTCATATGGGCCGCCTGGGGTCTGGGCCAATCGGCAGTATTTGAACGGAGCCCTAACTCTTTTCTCGCTTGAAACCTAGTCATTCTCACCAGTTGCCATTTCTGTTGGGAACATTCTTCTTTCGGTATTTCGTTTTGGGATCTTCAGTGGAATGACATTTCTTTGCTTTGGGATTTGCGGCGTGCATTTTGTTGACTATTTTGAACACCAACTCGGACCACAACAGTTCTCGCAAGATGCTGACTCGCGCATGAACGCACCCGAATAAAAACACCACTATACCCACGGCGTCAACAAGTTGACAGGGCACAAGGATTAAGGCTTCAATCAGTACCAACCGCCATAATGGTAGACGACACCTTTCCGCGCCTCATCTTCATCCGCGTTTGCATCCTCCTCCTCCAATACGCTCCCCTCATCGAAACCGTCCTCCTCTTTACGGCTGTCACCCTCCGCTACCCTCCCTCTCCCTTAATCTCCTATGTGCAGCAAATCGCCTCCTTCATCCCTCCCTCGCTCCTCGCCCTCCTCACCTCCCCCACCACTATCCTCCTCCTCTCACTTCTCCTCACAACCGAGCTGATCTACATCACCACCCTCTACCTCCCGCACAAGTTCAGCCTCACACATGAAGCCGTACACCCCCCCTTACCCGGTCGAAAGGAGCGGGAAGAGCTCTTCGACAGGGCCTTGGACAGCACGACGGATTGGGATGAGTACCTGAAGCTATGGTTCCTAGGAGCGGATGTGGAGGAAGTGAAGAGGGAGAATGTTCGGGAGTTCTTGCTCTGGGCCTTCTTTGACAGGGACGGGGAGACAAAAGGCGACAATGAAGATATTAAGGAAGAGCTGGAATCGTACCTGGCCAAGATCGAAGGCCTCCTCGGTCGGAAACTCCCGCCAGGCCGGGGTACTGCTACTTCTTTGCGGCTGACGTTCGATGCGATCGATACCCGGTACCGAAGTGTGGTCTGGTACGGCGTTATTGCGCTGTTGGATCTGGTTACGCATTTCATGTTGGCGTGGTGTGGGTATACGCACTACCGACCGTCTCGGTCTCGGTCTCGGTCTTCACGGTCTCGGTCACCAACAGCAGAAGGGGCAGCGGCATCCCCGACATCAACACCAGCCAAGACAACAACCACCCTCTTCCCACCACGCCTCCAACATTCCATCCCCCTGATCCCCTCCAGTCTCCGACACCACACTTCGCCCACCCAGCACCTCAGCTACTACCTCCGTCCGCACCGATCACGCACCCAACCGCCGGTGGTCTTCATCCACGGCATCGGCATTGGCCTCTGGAGCTACACTACTCTTCTCAGCTCACTCAAATCCTCGCACGCCCTAAAAGGGAAGGAAGATGATGGACAAATAGGCATCCTAGCCATTGAGCTCCTCCCCATTTCCTCTCGACTTACGGGCTCCGGACCGGAGCTGCCGGCTGTGCTTACCCACGGGGAGTTTTTGAGGGAGTTGGAAGCCGTTCTAGCCTACCACAATAGCGGAGATGGCGGGTTTCCGCTGGATAAAGGCTTCACGCTCGTGACGCACTCGTACGGGAGCACGCTTGTGGCGCCTATACTGAGGTCGACTAGGCCTTTTATTGTTACTCCATCTGATCCCTCTGCGAAGACGAAGGAAGGTAGTGGAAAAGGCAAGAGTCTAGCGTCCCTGACGAATACCCTCATCCTCACCGACCCTGTTTCTATTTGTCTTCATTTACCCTCGGTAGCGTACAACTTCACCCGCCGCGCGCCGAGGAGTGCGAATGAGTGGCAGCTGTGGTACTTTGCTAGTACCGATTTGGGGATAGCGAGGGCGTTGGGAAGAGGATTTTTCTGGAGGCAGAATATTCTGTGGAGGGAGGACTTGGTTGCTTTCCTTGAAGGGGACGGGAAAAAAAGGGTGGTGGTTTGTCTGGCGGGAAGGGATCTGATTGTTGATAGCAAGAGCGTGAGGGGGTATTTGGGATGGGGGGGATCTGGAGATGATGGTGGTTTGGGTGAGGGTGAGGGTGTTGAGTGGAAAGGGAGGGGGAAGGGACAGATGATGCGCAAGAGAATGGGGAATGGGGTGGAGATCGTTTGGTATCCGCGGTTGGATCATGCGCAGATGTTTGAGAGTGAGGAGACGTTGAGGCCGGTGTTGGAGGTTATTGGGGGGTGGGATGGTGGGGGAGATGCGGTTGAAATAGTGTCTTGATGGATCTTGTTTACCAAAGGGGACAAAAAACAAAGGGTATATTAACTTTCCTCACAACCGCACCGCACTCCTCGCTAGATATCATCAAAACCCACATTAAGCAAGCATAAACAAAATCACCAACTCAGGCCCTCGAAGGCGGATACTCAGCCTTCCCCCTCCCCCATCCCTTAAGATGCACCTCAACCGGATGACCCCCACTGCGAATAATCACCCAATGCGCATCCTGCTCCGCCGACTCGTTCAAAACCTGGTGTTCAGTCCAAGCCGGGACGGCAGCAAAGTCACCCTGGCCAAGCTCATGCCGTTCCGGTTCGCTGCCTTCCACTTCGTCTTTGGGCGCTGTCAGCAGCACGCCGCTGCCCGAGGCGACGTAGATGATGGCGTCTTGTTCGCCGTAGTGGCGCACGGTGGAGTAGGAGTTGGGGGAGAGGATGAGGACTTTTTTTTCTCTCGCTATAGTTACCAAGTGACCAAGTGCAGCAACAACATAAGTTTATGTGATGGACGAAAAAAAAAAGCATACCCGTTGAGCAAACCTTATCCAACTTATTAACCACTGCATCCCGGCTGTAAACGCGCACTCGATGACTTTTTCCGTCGGCGGTCCCGATGACCGGGGGTATTGGGGGGATTATATCGGTTTTTCTGGTGACGGAAATGGAAGAGGGCAGGATCATGGGGAGGATGTCGTCGATGATGGGCAGGAGGGAGGCCATGATGGCTATGAAACCCATGCGAATGCGAATGGATGGTGAGGAGATGCGAATTCGGAAAGTGGAGGGAGGGAGGTTGGGGATGGGGTCTAGATCGGAGGTCTTCTTATTCGGGATGGAGAACGATGGTGTGAGGAGGACGGGATGGTTGGCGGCAATGATGCATCGTGATGCACCGTGATAGGCGCCGTGATGGAGTGAACCCTTCCATTTGATGTGATGGGCATCTTGCATTGCTATTGTTAGAACAGTACCGCTGTAGGCAGCTGTGCTTTGAGGGAGTAGTGTAGCACACTAACAGATAACATCCTGCTGCCATCCTTGCTCGCCATGCGTCTGTGTCCCATTGATCACCAACACGGAGCGGGCAGAGGTGGGGTAGCGGAGCGCCTAAGCACTAACAAACACTTACACGCTAAAATCCCACTTCGTCACCATTTCTCAATTCATTTCCATTCCTACATCTCTGCGCTCGTCGCCAGTTCCAAATCATAACAATTGTGTAACCTCGTGTACTCCTTCTGCTTCTCATACGGCCTCTGATCTACGTAACTGTAAAACTATGGAGGGCAATCCCGCAACCCAGTCGTGGCCTGCGCCATGGCACCACATCCTGCCGTCACCTACGCAACACACAGATAATGCTGCCGCTGCCGATGAAGACCCCCATCACCGCCAGACGCCTCGGATACACGCAGAACCGCTGGACTTGGACGTTTACACCACCGAAAGCCAGTCCTTCTGCTCGGCCACAGACTCCAATTCCGAGCGCGTGGCGGAATACATGGCGTCGCAACAACGTTTGCATCCCTTCTCTCCCCTCCTCTCTATACTCGGTAGAGTCGATACTGACGAGAGGGACATTGCAGATCAAGTTAATAACTTGCCCGAACAAACAAGTCCCCTCGTCCATCTCCCTCCCGAACTCCTCGAAGGCATCTTTGACCACCTCTCCGCCATTGACCTCGTCGCTGTCTCGGCCACCTGCCGTCATCTACGCACCATCGCCACGTCCGAGTTCCGCTGGCAAGGCCTCGTCCAAGAAAACGTGCCCGGGTACAGAGTAACCTCCTGCTATCCCTACACTTTGTTCCGCCAACTCTACAAAGCCCACGACCCGCGCTGGTTCCTGCCCAAATACAAGATATGGTTCGCCGACGACAGCCTCTATGGCCGTCTAATCATCGCCCGCTTTGACCAGCGCCGCGGCTGCATCGAAGGCTACCAACTCGTCGCCTCGGTGCCCAACAACGACCTCTGGGACGATGACGTCCTGGACAACGGCACCATGATCCGCAAGCACGACTTCCGCGTGGGCCTGCACCTCGACCAGCCCGTCTTCCAACTCGATCCCGAAAACCAATCGCCCGAAAGCGACAACGCCACCGTCCGTCTCTGGCAAGACCTCGACTCGGTCCGCTACAAAGACGACCCTACCAAACCCAAACCCCACTTCAAAGTCGAAGTCCGCGCCCAAGGCGGCTCCTCCATCTCGGCCGGCTCCCGCAGCCGCTCCTTCCACACCAACTTCTTCCTCGCCAAAGCCCAACGCCTGCGCAACGCCATCCACGACGCCGAAGAGCTCATGGACGCCCACGACGTCCGCGACCTGCTCCACTCCGACCTCAGCCGCTCCCTCTCCCCGCGGGACTACCTCATCCGGAGCGCCATTCCGGGCATCGGAGGCGGCGACGGCCTGCGCAACGCCGTGCCCCACGGCATGATGACCATCCTGCGCGACAAGTACTGGCCGCCGCCCACCATCGAGGCGCCCCATAGGGTGGCCAACGTCGGGCCGGTGGGTGTCAACGGGGGGTATAACGCCGAGGCCACGTCCAAGATTCTGCAGAGCCCGCCTGCCACGAGGGCGGAGATCAGCGATCATGCGTTCCACTTGAGGAGGTGGGTGGAGTTTGGACGGGTGATGAGGGCGCATATTGGCGAAGAGCTGGTGACGTATTCGACGCTGGATGAGAGATTGTATACACCCACGCCTGAGAAGCCATACAGGGGAATCTTTGTGGGGCATTATGGGCCGCATGGGTGCGAGTTTATTTTGATGCATCAGCCTGATGATGAACCGAGAGTACGAGATGCGCAGATTGAAAGGAGGGAGAATGAGACGGATGAGGAGTTTCAGAAGAGGAATCAAGAGTCCAAGGTTTATAGGGGTGGGTTGGCGGGGATTAAGCTCACCGGTGACCCGAATGTGCCGAGGGGGGAGTATACCTTTGTTGCGAAGGATATTGGAGAGGAAGGGTTTGTAAAGGTTGCGGAGGAGGAGGAGTTCGCGGGGGCGAGGGTGGTGAAGGCCAAGGGGCATGTGGCTGAACATAACTTTCGGGATGGTGAGTTTCTTCCGAGTTCCTTACATGACATGTATCTGCTGGAAGACCAGGAAGAAATACTAACGATCAAACAGACGACTGGATAGACTGCGACCTCTTCCTGGCCTCTCACAATCGGCTGGCCCTCCACTGGCACCGATGGGACATGACGAGCGTTTTCGAGCGGGTCGATATTGGCAAGTTTATCGTTCCCGAGTAAGTACTGCTATGAGAGATGATTTTGTCTTGGGCATTTTGAAGCTTTTTTTTTGTCTCGGTATCACGACACGGTAATGACTCTACGAGACGATGGTAGGCTGTATGATGGGCCATGGTTTATGTTGTGAAGTTGATGGCGATGACTGTCTGGTGAATTGAAGGAAGTCTGCATAGCGAGGGTGATGATTATGAAGTGGGTTTCAGGGAAAAACAGGACTGGCTACTTTTATGGTATTGATGAGGAGGTTACGATGGATGAACTGGGTACATATTTGGTGAACGGCGTTGGGGGTTTTCTTGTCGGTTGGTTGGTATAGGAGTATATATGGGTTAATACAAACACGCCGTGTTATTTGCACTTTGTTCTCGCTGTGATGTTCACGATGCCGCCGACTTCCCGTAGACGTTAACACTGGTCGCCGATAACCGCCCGCCCGGGCCCCCCGGCCCCTATCTTATCAGGCCCCTGTTCTCCCGTCCCAGCGGTCATGGCGCCAAGACCAACCCGAAAGTCAGGCGGAACAAACAGCGGATGCAACGCTACAGGATCCGCCCAATGGACCCCCCTGACGTCAAGCGATCCCCCGACGGCAATTGACGGGTCAAGCACTTTTATTCCAAGCACCTTGTTGGCTACAGCAGCCAGCCAGCCAGCCAGCCATCATGCTTTCCCATTACCCAACGCGATGCAGGTACAGGTACCATCTTGACCGACTGGCTGACTGACTGGTTGTACAAAGGTCGGAAGCATGCGTGTCTTGTCGAAAGTGGTTGGATTGCCGGAACTCGTGACCACTTGTTGATTTGTTTGTTTTCGTACGGCGGTGTAAACACTGGCGTGTGGTAGGTAAGGAGAAGTGAAGAAGGAAGGAATTCTACAACTCTGGACGTTGATCTGTGATGACATCTGGATTCTGGATGGGACCTCTTATACCAACAAGTACTCCCAACTTCCAACTTGCGGGTTGTGCTACCTGTCGGACTCTTCGGTCTCTTCTCACTTCTTCCTTTTTCGTTGACGCACTATTCCATTTCCTTTTGCCATTCCTTTGCTAACGATTGCGTGCTTCATCATCGTCGACATTCGGTTCTCGGTGACTAACTGACGGGACGGAAGATCACGGCACTCGGAAGACAACATATCTGAACTTTCCAGGAGAAACCAGACGACATCGAAATCGACATCGACGTAGCCAGCACACAGCTGTACAGCTTGCAGCACCTCGCACGCAATGGCTTCTGCACGGCCTGCCGCCCGCCTCGCAGCCGACCTTCTCCGACTTACACCTCGCCGACCTACACCATTACTAGTACCTACACCACAACCAACAACGACAACCGTCTCGACATTATGTCGGTCCTTCACGATACGCACCCGCTTTCTTCACAACGGTACCTTTTTCACTCCTACTCCCACTCCGCCAAACCCAAAACCGCCAAAACATGACGCTTCTCGAGGTCCAAAGGATCAACGAACCCGAACCCCTCCCCGACAGGCGCGCGCCGCGCCCACTAGTCTGGCCGTAGGCGCTGGCGTTGCTGTCTTGGCTTCCTACCTCTATAACCGTGATCGCGAACGCGACAGCAAGAGCAAGACCAAGACCAATCTCGACAGCAGCAGCCGCACCGACCGAGACGACCGAGACAGAGCGAAAGATCCAGATCCAGATAAAGAACCACCACCACCCTCTCCAGAGCCAGAAACTTCCCAACAACCTGACGATATTACTGCCAAAGAAGACACCCGCGAACCCCTCTCCCTCCCCCGCTACCACCTCTCCGAAATCCGATCCCAGCACTCCTCCACCTCTTCCTCCCCCTGGGTTACCTACGCCGACAAAGTCTACGACATCACAACCTGGGTCGGCGCCCACCCCGGCGGGGACGTGATCCTCCGCGCCGCCGGTGGTCCGATCGAGCCGTACTGGGACATTTTTACGATCCACAAGACTTCGCCCTACGTCCGGGACATTCTGGAGCAGTTTTGCGTGGGGTATATACTTTTGGATGATTTAGACCCGGTGACAAAAAGGCCGAAGATGGAAGAGGTGGAGGACCCGTTCGAAAAAGATCCGGTGAGGGATGAGAGACTGATAACGCATACGGCGAAGCCGAGGAATGCGGAGACGCCGTCGGACTTGGTGGGAGCGGAGTTCAAGACGGGAGAGGACGTGTTTTATGTGAGACATCATATGTGGGTGCCTGTTGTTGATGTCGAAGACCTAAAGAAAGGGGGGAAGAAGTTTGTGTTGAACGTGGAGTTGCCGGATGGAGAGACACGGGGTTACACCCTAAAAGAGTTGAAGGAGAGGTTTCGGAGACATAAGGTTACGGCGACGCTGCAGTGCTCGGGCAACAGACGGAATGACATGACGCGCCACGCCGGCAAGACGAACGGGCTGCAATGGGGCGTGGGAGCGATCAGTAATGCGGAGTGGGAAGGGGTTTTGTTGAGGGATGTGTTGAAGGATGCAGGGTTAAAGGTCGCTGACCCATCTACTGCTACCGCCGTCGTCCAGCCCCCATCTGCTCCCTCCTCCTCCACCTCCGACGAAGAACTGACCTCCCAAAAAGACCTCCACGTGCAATTCTCCGCCCTAGAAGCCTACGGCGCCTCCATCCCCCTCTCCAAAGCCCTCGATCCCACCGGTGACGTCCTCCTCGCCTTCGGCATGAACGGGCGCGCTCTGCCTCGCGACCACGGATTCCCATTAAGGGCCATCGTCCCCGGCCACGTCGCCGCTCGCTCGGTCAAGTGGCTCAACAAGATTGTTGTGTCAGACGAGGAAAGCCCGAGCCAGTGGCAGAGAAGAGATTACAAGAGCTTTGGACCGAATGAGGGCGCGAATCCGGATTGGGAGCGGGCGAGGAGTATACAGGAGATGCCGGTGACTAGTGCTATTACGGGGGTTTGGGTGGGGAGTGATTGTTTCAAGAACAAGAAGAAGGAGGGCAAGCAGGAGCAGGAGGAGGGGAATGGGAAGAAGACGGTGGATTTGGCGGGTGTGGATGGGCAGAAGGTTGGCTGTACTAAGACTACCACCACCGGTACTACCACCACCGGTACCACTGCCACCCCTTCCTCATCCCCCGAAACCAAACCCAACAAAATCCCCATCAGCATGCAAGGCTACGCTTACTCAGGCGGCGGCCGCGCCATCGCCCGCGTGGACGTCTCCCTCGACAACGGACGAACATGGGACCAAGCGGAGCTGATTGACGATTGCAGTAACCCTGCGACTCCTTGTTACGGGAATAAGACGTGGACTTGGAAGAGGTGGAAATACTCTGGCAATTTACCGCCATCTGTCCTCCCTTCCTCAGCTTCCTCCTCTCCCAGCTCTACCTTCTCCAGCAGTAAGCCGGCTAGCGAGGAGGACAAGAAATGCACAACCCTAATAGTCAAAGCCATCGACGAAGCCTACAACACCCAGCCCGAGTCACACGCCGGCATCTACAACGTGCGGGGCAATCTGGCTACGGCTTGGCATCGCGTCAGGATTTGTCCCGAGTGTGTTGCTTGTCCTGATGGAGGAAAGGGAGTCAAGTGGGTGACTGGAAAAGTGATTGGATGTGGGTTTGAGAAGGAGGTGGAGGAGGCGAGGGAGAAGGGGGAGAAGAAGAAGAAGAAGGAGGAGGGGGAGAGTAGTGCGGTTGGGACTGCTGCTGGGAAGTGATTCATGGTATATAGGGGGTGGGATGGCTAGGGCAATGAGCTGTTTTGGAGTTTTTTTTTTTTTTTTTTTTTTTTTTTTTTTTTTTGGGTTGGATAGATGGATGCATTGGATATGGATTGATCGAGGTTAGTACTTGGAAGAAACTCGTGATGGATGAGACTTCACGGGTATGGTTTGAGAAACGAGCAAGCAGGCAAGAGCCAGAAGTACGAGGGTGCTTTAAGTGTAGATACCTGGATTCCGGAGTTGAGGGAACACATCGTTTTTAGATATAACACCTTTATGAAGTAACGTTAACATCTGGGTGGGATGAGCATGCCTACTTAGACACATGGACTAATTCGTTGGAACGAAAGAAACCTGACCTCAACTTCTTCACAAGTTCATAACTGGCGATTTTATTTTATCAGGGAAAGGAAGGGTAAGCAAAGCAATAACTGATGTCTAGAACGGAGAGCTAAACCAAAGTACAAGTAATACCGGATAAGAAATAAATAGCGGATAAACCAAACCGTAAGAAAGACCATTCAATCCAAAGTTCAAACCGACAAACGCCATCCATCCAAAACCGATGAACAAATCCGTTTACCTACATCCATTCTCACGTTTACTCAAAACACCACACCCCCTCCACCCCTTCCACCTCTCCCCAGTCTCCCAATCACAAGTCCAAAAAGCCCACTAAGCAACAGTACCAGGATAACTCCTCGCCAACGCCTCCAAATCCTCATCCGTCACCCTTCCCGGCGGCGGCATCTGCCCCTGCCCTCTCCCCTTCAACCTCTCCAGTGCCCGTTCATTAGCCCTCCTCCTCTCCTCCTCCTTCCTCCTTTTAACCCGCCTAATATACTCCTCCCACTCCTGCTCAATTTCCTCATCCTCATCCTCATCCTCATCATGCTCCACCTCCCTCTTTCTCTGAATTCTTTCCATCCGCTCCGCCGCCTCCACAGCCTCCACCGCCTCCGCCGCCTCCGCCGCCTCCCTTGCCTCCATCGCTTCTTGAGTTTCCGCCCGCTGCCGAATTTGGCGTCTCGCCGCTTCGGCTTGCAGTTGTTTAACTCTCTCAAACTCTTTCTCCAAATCTTCTCTTTCTTTCTCTTTCTCCTTCTCCTTTTGCTTTTGATTGTTGCGCTCCCTTTCTCTTTCTCGTTGCCTGTCTCTGGACTCAGTTTGTAAGAGAAGACGTTCCTCGCGCTCGATTTCTTCGAGAAGCCGGTCCTGCTCGTCCTCGATCTTCTGGTAGTACTTGTCGATTGCCATGGCGTAGTACTCGTCGTCTTCGCGCTCTTGCGACTCGGCCTGTTTTTGTAAGGCGGCCCAGGGGGAGCCCGGGTGGACGGGGGCGGAGGGCGAGGCGCCCGTGTAGGCGTCGCGCATCATGCGGGATTCGCGGGCGCGGGTGACGAGGGGGGAGTCGAATTCTATGCGGGAGGGAGGGGATGGGGGCGAGGTTTGGAGTTTGGCGTAGCGGGCTTTGAGGTGGTTGAGATGGGCGAGGCGGGATTGGGTTTGGGAGGAGGAGGAGGAGGGGGAGGAGTCGGTGCGGGCCTGATGACGGGTGCGGGAAGGGGAAGTGGGAGATTGGAGAGGATCGGGGGAGGTGCCCTTGCCGAAGAGGCGGGGGTTGGGAGATAGAGAGACTTTGGGGCGACCACGGCCGCGAGAGCGAGGCTTGGATGGGGAGTTGGTGTTGGTGTTGTTGCTGGACTTGGACAGGCTGCTGGATTCGCCGCCGCCGGAGCCGGAGGGGAGTTGCATCATTTTGGCGTTTAGACCTCTGCTCCGGGTGCCGGTGGCAGTGGGGGAGTCAGGCGCGCGGAGAGCCTTTACTTTCATTGCTTTTAGGGCAGGTGGGTTAGCCGGAGGTCCTTCTTCGTCTTCAATGTCTTGGTCTAGGGCGGTGGCGCTCACGGGGCTTTGTGCTTCTTCTCCTTCTTCTTCTTCTTCATCCTCCTCTCCTTCCTCGTCAGAATCATCCACAGCAGCGGCTTGCTTGGCTTTGCCTCTGGTAGTGACACGACCACACGCAGCAGCCTTCTTAGGCGCCGCCTTCTTGGCTGCTGCCTTCCCCTTTCCCTTCCCCTTTCCCTTCTTGGGCTCTTCATCAGAATCTTCCTCGTCCTCAGAGCTCGACGTGGTGGCGTCCGAGTTCGGTTCCCTGATGCCATGGATAGTCGGTAGAATCTTCTTCGGAGCCGGGAGGATGATTCTCTCGACGAAGGAGCTCTGTGCTGCCGCGGCTGCCTTGGCTGCGGCCTTTTGGGCTGCCGCTGTCAGGGCGAGGGTTTTGGCAGGCCTGGGCGGTTTGGTGGCTGTGATGTTCTTGGTTGCACCTTTGCCCTTCGTTGCTGGTGGTGGCGCAGGCTCCCTTTCCTCTTCTTCTTCATCTTCTGGCTCGTCAACGACATCGTCTCCAGGGAACTTTACAACCTCATGTGGCTGGGGCCAGAGCGAGATGTCAAGCGGGTCGGCGGCTGTGGTTGTTAGTCGGTGTGACTCCGAGCAATACCAAAGGAGGGTGATAGGAAGACATACCAACATCCGAGAGGTCAGACTCATCCAACTCATTCGAATAGCCCTTCGGAGGTTTATAACTAGGATCCTCCGACTGGAACGGCGCCAGCTTCTTCTTGCCTCCCTTGCCCGTAGGCCTGAACGAGACCTTTGGCGTGGTCTTGACTTCCGGCTCTGCCACCGTCTTGGCTTTTTTGGCGGCCGATGGGCGCGGTGCGCTTTCATCATCTGGACGCTTGTTGTTAGACATTGCTGCTGAGACCGAAAGTACAGAAGGCTCTTACCAGACATAAACTCAGAAGAATGATCTGACGGATCCCATGACCAAGTAGGTTTATAGGTCGGATCGTCTGACGTGAAAGGGGCACGCTTTCGCTTGCCACCTGCACGCGCCGGTCTGTTATGCCAATAATTGTTAGCACAAACATCACCTTCACACGGACAGACACAGAAAACAAACGCAAACTCACCGTTTGCCAGCCTTCTTCCCAGCCGGCTCATCCTCCGACAAAATCGACAAATCACTCATCTCCTCATCCTCATCCTCATCCTCCTCCTCAGGCTCCACCTCCTCCACCACATCCGCAAACCTCGCCCTCTTCGCCGCGGTAGTAGCTGGTCCCGGGCCGCCTTGTGTGGCATTCCCAAAAATGCCAGCAGGGACAACAGTCCCCATGGTCAAATCCCTTGCCCCAGCGGGTCCAACCCTCTCCCCCTTCTTCGCCCTCAACGGCTTCCTCTCCCCCACCCCGCCCATCGCCGCCGACCTCCCCAGCCACTGCTTAAGCGGGATCACGCCCTCCGGCACATCCACCCTCGCCGTCTTGGCCCCCTTGGGAACCCCATAGTAATAAGCGAGGTGAGACACAGGATGAATGGGTCCAAACGTCCTCTTGTCGTCTTCCGGCTTAGCGACGCACGAATCAATGTGTCGCTGCGCCGCCACGACGTCGATGGTCTTACTGCCGTTGCCGTTGCCGTCGGCGGAAGTAGAGGTAGTCATCTCCATCTCCAAACCGCACCAGGGGCAAAAGCGCACGTTGAAAGAGCTGCTGTTGCGGCCTTTGCCGCCGCAGTGCCCTCTACAAAAATGAGCGTGTTTCTCGCGGTCGGCCACCTCGAGCTTGCGCAACTCGAGACCGCACTGCGCGCAGAAATCGGGTTTGTAACCCGTTCCGGCGCCACGAGCGACGTCCGGGTGCTTGTGCGCTTTGGCCGAGGACGGGTCGTCCGTGTGGATGCGCTCGCCGCAGACAGTGCAGGCCTTCCACGGGTGGATCTCGTGGTGGGCGGCTCCCGGGTAGCAGACGAGGTCGTGGTGGAAGCGGTCGAGCTTGGAAGCCAGGACCGAGTGGTCGCGGCCGCAGCGGCAGCAGAAACCCCAGGTCAGCTCGCGCTGGAACTGGAAGGGGTTGGGGTGGTCGTCGTTGGCGGAGGCGCCGTTGATGGGGCGCGTGGTTTGGAGGGCGCCGAGGATGTCGGCGTGCTTGGACGCGAAGTGCTGGAAGCGCTGGGCGACGGTCCAGTGCTGGTAGAGCGGGTCGGCGCAGAAGTTGCATTTTTCAGCCGTGTGCGCGGCTTTGATGTGCCGCGCCATGAGGCCGCTGCTGTAGGGGAAGGCGGCGTCGCAGCCTGGGAAGTGACACTTTTCCTCGCGTTCGAGGATGATGGTGCGCATCTCAAAGTACTTTTGCTGGAGAAGGCGGGCTTCCGAGGGCGTGAGGACGCGGTTTGCGAGACGCGGGGTGCTGTCGAACTTGCAGTCTAGGAGCTGGTCGATGGGAGGGATATGGACGGGAATGCCCTTGACGAAGTCCACGGTGAGCGGGTTGGCATAGCTGAACTCCCGGAGGAAGCGGCCCTTTTCGCTCGGGTTCATGGCATTGAGATCCAGTTTCCTGGAGGCACTGAAGACGCCCGTATGCGTGGGACGTGGAGGTGGCAGGTTGGAGGCGAAACCCATTGGGTTGGTGTTATGTTGATTCACCTCCACCGCTGCCTGTGGTGTCCGCGACTGCTGAGAAGCAGTAGTACCAGGGGCAGGCTGAGGCTGACGGTCTGATGGCTGGATAGTCCTCAGTTCGCCATGACTCCAGGGAACTTCTTCAGCCCAGAGCTGGTAGTCACGACCAAAGCGAAGACTGTTCGCGTTAGGAAGGTCGTCCTTGTTACTGAGGCTGCTGTAGAGGACATCTGCGTCCTTGGTCTTGTAGATATCGCGGTACCCAAACGGCTGGGCGTATATATCTCCAAACACTGGCACAAGGTTAGCAAACTGCTCTTCAAATCAGAGTCGAGAGAGTACTCACCATCAAGCTGATCATCATAAACCTGCACAACCAACTCCGGCCAAACGACCATATCTCGAATCTTATACCACTCCAACTCTGTCGTAGTAGGCAACACCACCAACATAGGCGCGCCCTCCAGCTCATTCTGCGTCAGTCTCACCCTTGAGCTCTCAGGGTAATAATCAACCGAGAACCTTCCCGGCGACCACAACTCCTCAACCAGTCCCCGAAACTCAGCAAGGCTCGTCTCCCTCGGATTCCACTCCAAAGTCTGCTCATGATCCTCATCACAGACCAGGGCATACTCCCGATACACCGGCTGCAGCGTGATGAACTGCGGGAACATATCCACGCCGTTCTTAGCCGGCGGCACGCCCGGCTTCTCCTTCAGCCAGTTATACCACTGCTCAAGAAGCTCAGCAAGGCGCTGGACACCCTGCTTGTCCAGCTTGCCGTTTGAGTCGACGGGGATGAGCACCTCCGACTGTTCCCGCGCATCGGCGAGGAACGACTCGCCGGGGAGGTGCACCTCGATGTGCTCGAGGTCCTGCAGCTGTTCCAGGCCGAGGCCGGACTCAAGCATGTTGCGGATCTTGGCGTGCACGAGCTTGGAGTCCTTGAACTCGGAGTGCAAGATTGCGCAGTTGTCGCTGTACTGGTACGAAACGCCGGGCACGAACATGTGCCACCGGTCGATGTTGCCGCTGGGCGACTCGGAAGTCCACGCCCGCAGCACGATCGGTTGGTTGCGCGAGTCCTTGTGGGCTTGCAGGATGGAGAGCCATTGGTCGAAGTTGAAGGTCAACCCGCCGTAGGTTCCGTCGTCATTGTCGTCGCCGCCGTAACGAGGGTCGGACGTGACTTTGACGCCGATGTACGCGTCGGGGACGAAGGGCTGGCCGGGACGGTTGGGGATGCGGCCCGCGCACAGGACACGGCAGACCTGTGCCATCCAGGGGGCGAACTGGTTGGTGTGTACGTCCACCGTTGAGGGATCTCCGGCGATGGGCATGCGCAGGTAGGCGACGTCCGGACGGTTCATGTCCGGCATGCCGTCCCACTCGAGAACCAGCTTGGCGACGTTGTGGACGTCGGTCGGCTCCCACTGGTAAGGGACGGGATCCAGGGGACCGGCAACGAAGAGCACCTTTTGGCGCGCCAAGGGTGATCCGTTGGTGTCGTGACCTAGCGAGCCAAGGTGTCCGATGACCCAGTTCCAGGCGATGTGGTCGTTGCTGTAGTCACCGGGTCCTTTGCATGCGACGTCGAGAGTGTTCCTGTTATTTCGCGAGAAGGCCTCCTTTTGGGCTCGGGTTTTGTACTCCTTGTTCCTGTCGAACAGGTAGAGCTTGTACGAAGCACCAGCTCGGACGCCGAAGCCCAGAAGACGATCGACAGCGTCAACAAAGGTGTTGAGCATGCCGATATGGAACCAGACGATGCCCTGGTAACCGTAGAGAGGGATCCACAGATTCTCGACGCCGCCTCTCTCGCCTTCAAGTCGGCTTTTGAGGCCATCCTTGTGGTTGTCTGTCTGCGCAAAAGCGTAGTAAGCCTCGGTGGAAAGGCGGTATTTGCCACGGTCGATGTCTTTGAAGACCTCGCCGATGTCTTTGAGAGGGCCTCCGCCACGAAGAGAGACGAGGGCGTTTTCTGGGGATGGGAAAAGCTCCACGGGTTCATCAACATCCATTGAGTGTTCTTCTTCCTCGTCGACGACTTCTTCGTCCTCATCATCAAAGTCACCGCCGCCACGCAGCCCGAAGCTGAAGTCCAACTTATCCGGCAAAACTGCACGTAGCGCATCAGCGTTGATGTAGTCTCCCTCCGGATCAAGCTCCCTCAACGTCTCAGGGAACTGAGGCAGAGCGTTGTACGTCTCCAGGACCGGATCCGGTTCTGTTTTCATGAACTGTCAGCAGCACATCCCACCTCCCATGTTCACACATACGTTCACCGGTAAGGTAGGCAGATAACTCACCTCTAACAGCATCCTTCTCAAAAACCCTCTTCCCATAACAATTCAAAAACTTGATCGGATCCTCTCTCGGCCTCCTCACAATATTCCCCATATCATCCTCCACCTCATCATACCCCGCCCCGTACCCTCCTTTTTGGGTCACCCCCTTCATCATCTTCTTCTCCCACCACCTCCTCGTCTCGCTCTGTTCCCACCCCATCGGCGCAACCGGCAATCCAAAGTACAAACAAGTCAGTTTGAACGCCAGATCGGCCTCCTTCGCCCAACCTTCGTTTTCCTCTCCCTCTCCCTTCTTCTTATCCCCCTTCTTTCCCTTGGTACTACTCCCCTTAGAGCTTGTGCTCTCCTTCTTAGTAGCCCAACCCTTCACCTCCCCTTTAACCAACCTGCTATACCTCTCGCTATTCTTCCCCTGCAACTCCGCCAACACGGGATTCCGCTCCCAATCAGCCGGCAGCAACAGGTCCCTGTCCTCGGGACTGAACCGCGCCTTGAGCAGCTCGTTCAAGGTCGAGGTGGGCGAGTCCAGGTGGTTGCGGATGGAATACAGGATAGTTTGGAAGACGTCGGACGACGGGGTCACGGTGGGGTCGACTCGCCGGTAAGAGGCCAGGCGGAGCTGGTTGTCGTGTTCTTCTTGCGCTTTGCGCTGGGCGAGGTCCGCTTGGCGCTGGTCACGTTTTTGGATGGCGAGTTCTGAGGGGGAGAGGGTGACGGCGGCCGGGTTAGGGCGTTGGAGGTTGAAGGAGGTGAGGTTGGAGGGATCGGTGCCGAAGAGGCGGGAGGCGTAGGGGTTTGTGATGGGAACGGACTTGGAGCTGCCCGCGGAGTCGATGGCTTTTTGGATGGTGGTGCTGGCGGACTTGGTGGACTTTTCGAGGTTGCCTGTTGAGCTGGCTCTGGGTCTGGGCTTGGTGACGCGGTTGGTGGAAGAAGAGTTGATGGGTTTGTTGGCGTTCTTCGGGCTCTTACTGCTGCTGCCTCTCTTCTTCTGGTTCTGGTTCTCCGTGCGGTTCCGAAAGAAGGGAATTCCCCAAGGCATGGTTATGGTGTTCCGGCACTTGTTGGGTTCGGACTAGGTTCTCTACAGATCTTGTAGATGAGCCTAGTCAGAACACATTAACACTTTTGATGATTGTTTAATTGTTGTTGTTGTTGTCGATCAATTGAGGAGTGTTGTTCATGAACGACGCATGGTCTGTTAGATGAATGAAGGATGAGAAAAAGAGAGGAAAAGAAGAAGGGGATTATTCGAAAGAAGAGAAGGAACATTGAGGGGGGATGGTTACCGTAGGGGGTAAACAAGCATTCTTCAAGGCATCACATCAGACAAAGAGAACCGAGGCCATTATTCTTCCTCTTGATCCTTTTGCCCTCCCCGATTACAGCGTTTGCGTTTGTGGAAGTGGGTGGCCATTGAAGGGTAAGCTGTATTGCTGGTAGTTTCTGTAGGTCATTCTTTAGCTAGAAGTAGTTTTCTTTGTCTTGGGTGGTGCAATGTCGAGGACGGGAACACTCGAGGGAGACTCGAGTCGCTGCATGCGAACATTGTGAACATGGAGACAAAGAAACAGCTCGGCAGCTTGAACCAAGCATTGACAGCCAGGTGTGTTTTGTTTGCTCCGGAACGGGCAACTGGCCCTTGACCAATCCGTCGGCAAGTGGAGAGAACAAAGGGATCATTGTGTCGAGCTCTTGTTGCGACGGGAACGTCGTCGTCCTTGGGCAACAGTGTAGACTGTGCAGACTGTGCAAAATATGTGCAGTCACACGAGAAGGACACTTGTCCGTCTCTCCTTCAGGCCCCGGCCAATTGCTGAATGAGCCCCGTGGTTCCATGTTAGATGGAATGAGTGATGAGAAAGAAGATGAAATCAAGGGATCAAGGGGTTGCGAGCGTTGCGCGGGCTGACAATTGGATTCTCTCCAGCTCTGCCGTGGTGTTGAATGTTGATGAGAGTGATGAGAAGTCGATGCACGTATGAAGCTGTGAGGGACAGCACAGGTCTGTGCTTGGCAGCGCTAGAAGAACGGTGCGCTACCCCTAACCCCTGATCCGGCAGCTTCATCAAAGTGACAAAGAACATGGACGCATCTCTGCATTCCAGCAACATCACAGTCTCCATTATTAGAGGTAGCAAATAGTGAAAGAATGACCTTCCTAGGGATAGCTATCAATGATCTTGTGCATATTGCGTTGAGCCCTAGGGAAAGCGTAATGGACAGCGAGCTGCGGACATTGTATGAAGGCATCAAGCGTAACCAAGGCATGAAATCTCGGGCTTCACCCCAATGGAAGCAGCTTGTTGTGTTCCTGACGCTCAAGGTAACGGGAATCAAGTTCCAGAAAAGACTATGTACCAGGCTAAGAGACTACCTTTTCGCTGTTTTAACCCTCTATTTCCTTTGCTTTGCTTTGCTTTGCTTTGCTTTGCTTTGCTTTGCTTTGCGCTGGATCGTACCTATGTTATGGTCCTATTTGTATCCTCAATCCTCATTGATCCCTGGCGCTCATGACTTTCCTGTCCTGCCTGTCTCCCAAATGACCCCAACGAGAGCCCGACTAACGTACACAAAAATAAACGCCTGACAACAAACGTGAAAGCACCAAATTACACCCTCCTACACCCTAGGACTCATCGCGGCCTCTAATCATCATCCGCATACCCCGGTGCACCTCCCGGCGTCTCCGCCGCTCCTCCATACGCTGGTGTAGGCGCGCTATAGTACGCCGCCGGCGTAGGGGCACCCAGGGCACCCGGCGTCGGCGCACTCACAGCATCACCACCACTTCCCCAACCGCCCTGCCAGGCGCCAGGAGTGGGCGCGCTGACAGCAGCCGGCGTCGGAGCCGAGTACGCACCAGGCGTAGGAGCGTTGAGTGCCGCGCCGGGTGTGGGAGCGCTTAGACCGCCACCGGGCGTGGGCGCATCGTAAGCTGAGGATGAGTTTACACCCCAGGCATCGCCGCTAGCGCCAGGCGTGGGAGCAGAGGCACCGTAGCCGGGGGTCTTGGAGCCCCAGCTGTCGGAGCCGGCGGACCAGGCGGGGGTCTTGGAGCCGTGGCCGAAGCCGTCGGGGGCGGGGGTACGAGAACCGGAGTGCCACGCGGGAGTGCGGGATCCGATACCACCATAGGCAGTAGCGCCACCGTAAGGGGTACGGCTACCGTCGTAGGGATTGACGGTACGGGAACCGTCGTTCCAGGCTGGCGTGCGAGAGCCACCGGCGTCGCGGTTCCAGGCGGGGGTGCGGGCTGTGGCTAGTGACAATGTTAGCTTCATGCAAACAGTGATAACAAAAAGGACAAAAACAACTTACATCTAGAAGAGCCCCACGCCGGTGTACGATCCGATCCGCCGGAAGCCATAGGGGTCCTGCTTCCAAACTCGCCGCCACCGCGTCCTCCACCGCCAAAGCCACCACGGCTGCCACCGCGCTGGTTGATGTCAATGGTCTTGCCCGTGGTCTTGTCCTTGAAGCTCAAATCAGCCTTAGGAATGGTGATGATCTTTCCCCTAGAGTGCAGCTCGACACGAGCGTGAGTGTCCGTTGTGTCTTTGACAATTCCGAGCAAGCCCTTGTGACCACCGCGTCTAATAACCACGGTTTGGTTAATGGCCCGATCAGGTCCGAAAGTCCGCGGGGCTGGCATTTGCTTGCCGTTCGCAGCTGGATTGCGCTTCAGGGCTGGGTTCATAGAGCTGAGATCTGGGCCCGCAGTGGCAGTGTTGCGACCACCCTTAGCCGCGACCGTGGTGACGCTGTTAGCCCGGGTGACGAAAACACCCGCGTTCTCGTTGGTGGTCGTGGTGTGAAGGAAGATGTAGGAGCGGTGAATGTGAATGATCTTGCCCTGGCGTTGCTGACCACCATGCTCACGGACGACGTCGTCCAGCCTGATTTCGGAGCCGTCGCGGTCAGCAGCGACAGCGAACTTCCTCTTGGGGAGCTTGTTGGTGATCTGCGACGGCTGGACCTGCTTGGTATCGCCGTTCTGGTCCAGCACCACGACTGACTCGCGATCGACCTTGACGATGCAGCCGACAGTCGTGGCATCCAACTGCACAAGATCCAAGAGCGAGTACTGCCCAAGAGAGCCTTGACCACCAATATCGGATGCCTCACGCAGGTCTTTGCTGAACACAGTGATCTCCGTGTTGGTCTGGTCTGTAAGGAGAGTAACTCGGTCGTCCACAATCTTGACAACCATACCAACTTCGTCGCGGAACCGACTGCCACCGATGACCTTGACGTGGTCACCAATCCTGAACCTCTTGCGCAGACCCTTGTTAGGGACGTCAATGGTCCGGCCAGCAAGATCACCCACGGTGACCTGCAGTGTGACAATGTCGCCTTGGACATTGGTGGCTTTGCCGATAACACCCTGTTGCTCGCCCTCATACACCTCGATAATATCACCAGGGACATAAGCGACACTCTTGGCGCTATCCTTGAGAGTAGCAGCAAGGGCCTTAAGATCGAGGTTCTCTGTGCCGTCCTCGGCTCCACTGGCGAACTTGGTGACTTCCTCCAACGTAGGGTTGACATTCTTGACCTCGAGTTGCTGGATCTTGATGTCCTTCACCTGGAAACCGTTCTCGAAATCATCGCCGTTGTAGTTCCAGCTGTTGGTCTGGGGGTTACCCTGGAGGTGACGGAGGTGTCTCTTGCGCGCTTCAGCCTCACTGAACAGGCGCTGGGGAGGGCGAGGCCCGGGCACACCAGGACGCTTGCGCTTGCCATCAGCCTGGAAGACGGGATCATCCCTGACACCATAGTCCAGTCTGGGAATGAAACGGACTCTGGCCTCAAGGCCGTTTTCTGTAACGTCGATGACCTGAGCAAGATCACCGGCGTGCTTGGCCGGCTTTTTCAGACGAACCCAGGCGCCGGGCTCCAGGTTAGGCGTCTTGATGACACGCAGGAGATCGGGCATGTCCTTGATCTCGACGAGGTGCATGTTGCTCCTGGGATAAACGTTGAGAATACCATCGAGAGCAACGAGAATATCGTTCTGTCTTTGAGCCTCAACGTAGATGTATCCCTTCATGACCGAGTTGACACCACCGCGTTCGAAGGCAGCCGTAATGGGGACCTCGTTCTTGGTGCCCATTCGTTCTTCAATGCGACGCATAATCGAGAAGATAACCTCACGCTCCTTCCCTTCTTTACACCTGACGGCCCAGATGCTGGGGTCCTCGACACTGGGCAGAAGCAAGCGACGAGGCACGATGGCCATGTCTCCGTAACCTCTAGCCGGGGCGCGCTTGCCGTAGCGCTCGCGCAGGATCTCTGCCTGTTTCTCAGCGTCGAGGCTGGCCTCCATCTCTCGGCGGCGGTCGAGCTCGCGGTGTCTTCTATCGTCGTTGAGGCGGCCGCTGTCGGCAATATCGTCAGGGTGGGCATTGTCGATGAAGTCCTCTATCTCTTCACCGTCGCCAACTTCGTCTTCTCCCTCGTCTTCGTCGTCAACTTCGGCTTCGATATCGAAGAAGGCAGCTCTACGGTCCTTGTTGCGACGCTTGCGACGGTTGCCCTGCAGACAGAAGACAGCAGGTTAGCTAGGGCACAGATGTGGCGGCACAGGTAGGTTGGCGGGGCATGTGTGCAGCGGGAGTTGTGTTTTTCGGCAAGTGGATGCAATGGTGCAGCAACAGTCGAAGTGAGGGGGACGTTGATGTGATGCGAACTTACACCATGAACATCATCCTCGTCATCCTCATCTTCCTCTTCCTCCTCCTCTTCTTCCTCATCTATCTCCTCGTTCTCCTCTTCATCTTGCTCTTCGTCCTCGTCATCGTCGTGGTGATCTCGACGCGATCGCTTGGCCGGGCGCGCGTCTTCCTCTTCGTCGTGTTCCTCCTCCTCCTCCTCTTCTTCGTCTGGCACCGGGCTACTAGCCTGCCTCACGGTCTTACCAGCGGGGCGGTGGTTGTGAGTGTGCTCTTCGTCGTTCTCGTTGTTCTCCTCGTCCGACATGTCGGCGGGGGCAGGGTTGAAGTTGTCATCGTCGGACTCGTCGTCGGCACCGGCGAACTGCCAGCTGTTTGACGCCATTCTGAATAATTATTAGACGAGGGCGGCGAGCGACTGGGGTGTCGTCGTACAGGCGTACTACCGGCGGTCGCGCGTTGTGTCGTAAGGTTCGCTGTGCTGTGGGCGAGAGATGCAAAGGAGAGAGAAAGGGAGAGATGGCCGTAGGTCGCGAGACGTGGGAATGAGGTCCCTTATATTTGTAGGTGATAAGTTGATGGATGGGAGATGGTCCGGCTTTTGAGGCGTCGACTCGCTGTGTTGCAGACTTGCAGCAGGTCGTGAGGCGGAAAGAGAGCACGGCCCACGGCTACTTTGGAAGCACGGACGGTCAAGCTCCTGTGGTTGCAGACAGGGGAGTGCTGCTGCCAAGCACTGGAATAAGCCGCTAGGCCATTCGCGGCCAAGGTTGGAAAATGGAACCTTGATTGGTTCTGCGGCCGGCAAGAGGTCTGGTCTGATCGCGGTGCAGGTAGATGTACGTCACCCTGCACCCAGATTTACATGTAGATTAAGTACTCGTACTTTGAAACATTCACAAGAGCGCCGCATCATGATGACCTCCCTTTCACTAGCACAATTCCCTTCACCTTCCTTCATTGACCGAGTTTTATGAGACTAAATGTGTTGTATCATGCAGACTCGGTACAATCACTCATCCTTTTCAACCTGTTTACAACATACTCACGGAATCTGTCTCTTCACTTCACCAACTCTTCGTATTTCGTGTACCATCTCTGAAGATCATACCAACTCAATGTCGAATCCACGCCCTTTTGCAATCCCATCTCATGGATGATATCAATCAATTGCGCCAAATTCATTACGCTCCGCCAAGTGCGAGTCAACTCCTGGCAGAGACGAAAACTATCTACATAATACGGCGCTCTTCCGGAAGAAAAACGATCACCTCACCACCTCCTTATCCTTCCTGGTAACCGTCTGGATGAAGCTCTGGTACTGTTCATCTTCCGTAGTCTCCAGCATGATTCTAGCATTCCGCCTGGGTGGAAGCTCCCTGATCTCCGGCTTGGGTATCTGCTTGTTTGCCGTCGTCCACAACACGCCTCCTGTTCTTGCCGCCTTTGGCGCTTTAGGTTCCGCCGCCGCCGCTTCTTCCGCCCTTGATGGAGCATCAATCATCACGACCTCCTTGTCCTTTTCCTTCTCTTTCTCCTTCGCGTTTTGTCCCTTCGCTGGCCCGGTCTGGGCCCCGTCCGGCGCCTTATCACCACTTTCTCCCTCGCCGTTCTCTGGCGTCTCAGTGGGTCTGGGCAACCTCATGGCTAGCAGAACGTATTCGCTTCGTTGCATATTATCCATGATATCGTCCATATACCTCTTGACCTCCTCCTCCGGCGCCACCACTCTCGCCAGATTATCCAGCAAGTGCTTTCCACTGGGAGCTGCCGTAAACAATCTTATTGTTATGGGCTGGTAGTAGTCAAGCTCCGGGTCCGCCATCGGGTATTCTGCCTTACTTCCCCTCCTGATGATCAAGAATGACGCCACCACTTGCTGTTGTTGCTGCTGCTGCTGCTGCTGCTGCCCTTGGGTACCGCTAGCGCTAGTACTGGGAATAGTCTGATAATCCAGAACGCTGAACTTGGGAAAGAGGTACCGATCACCGTTTCCTCCCGCAAACTCAAACACGATAGCCGAGTAATCAGGTTGTTTGGGCGGTGGGGGTAGGCCCTTTGAACGAAGCGCCTGTTGGGCGGATGACTTGTCGGCTTTCTCTCCCTTCTCCTTTGTGGCCTTTTCGGCCTTCTCCGTCTTCTTCTCCTCAGCAGCGTTTGTCTGTGTGGTCGTTGCTGCGCCACCATCGGTCCCATTGCTCGCGTCGTTGGTTTGTTTCGAAGATCCCGCTGCCGATGCCGTTGACTGACGTCGTTGCTGTTGGTTCTTTTTAGTGACGATATTAGATTGTGCGAGATCCAGAATCGCCTTGAGATCCGTGGCATCGGTGGGTTGAGGCTTGTTGTGGGCTATACGCCGGACCATTTCTTTCGTCTTTTCATCGTCCAGGGCTATCTTTACTAGCGAGACCAGAAGGGCATCGCTGTCTTTGGGCGGCTGTAAAGTAGATGACTTTTGCTTGGGGTTGGATGCTAGAACAATGTCAAGTATTGCGGCTACCTCGTCCGCAAAGTACTGAACCGTTTTCCCATCGACAAATAACTTATCCGCAGCCGGTGGCGCCGGAATGTTACTTTTCCGCTTGTTCTCTGACGTGATGGTGTCAATGATGCCCTGGAATCGCTCAAGCTCCTGCTTAGAGGCCTCTCCCTGGGCCACTCGCTTCATGAGATCTCTGAGTTGAGGATCTTCGCCAGCCTTCTCGGCTAGCATAAGAATGATTGGATCTGCCCCCGCAGCTGGCTTGGCTGGTGCGGCGCCATTGGCAGCGGGTCTTGGCGTGGCAGGAGCTGCTGGAGCTGCTGGCGCCCCTGTTGCTGGCCTTGGAGGGACACCGGATGGTATTGAGGGGGTGGCCGGGTTCGCAGCATTTGGTGGGACAGTTGCTGGGACGGGTACTGGCCGGGGTGGTTGTGCACCAACAACTGGTGCTGTAGTCGGGGCCCGCGGAGCAGCCTGAGGAGCTGCTAGAGATGGAGAGGGTGAGAGAAGTGATTCAATGCCTCTAGGCGTACCAGCGGGCTTCGCGAGCGTAGGTGGGACCGGAGCAGCTGGACTAGGAGCAGTTTGCGCGGGTGGTGGTTTGGTCGGCTGTGTCTGTGGCGTCGGGTGTACTGTCAGCTTTCCTGGTGTTTGGGGCTTAGCCTCGGTTTGTGGTGTTGTCTGAGAGGTGGCCTTTGGGTCCGTCTCTGTTGTGGTCGGTTTCTTGGCGTCTGATGCAGCTGGCGTAGGTGTTGACGACGTTGAGACCGCCACTGACTTGGGCTTGGGTGTAGGAGGAGGAGGCATGACCCCATTCGGAGGTCCGTATTCGAGGATCGGTCGCTTATCGGTTGGAGGTTTTGGCGGAGGAGGGTTGGGGTCCTTAACCGCGAACATTGTCGCCTCAAAGACATGCGGCTCAACCGTAATGGTCACCTGGCCCAACTTGACCATGCTGTCCTTGGGAGGATTATTGGGCTCTTCAATCACGGCTCCCCTCTTCTTTATGGGCTTGGTCCAGTACTTTTCGAATATTTGCTCGCTCATCCATTGGTTGCGCGATCGGACAAACGACTCGTGGAGAACACCGCTGTGAAGTGGTCATGTTAGAATCAGTCAAAGCGCATGAAGGCGCGGGGAGTGAAGAGGGTTGCGCACCTTTCTTGCAGAGTCTGGTAGTCCTTGGTCGAAAGGTCATCTGGCTGCGGTTCCTCGACTGTGGGAAGCGGCTTTCCTGCTGCGATGGAGCTGGGCAATGTCTGCTTGGGCGGCTCCTCAACAACGGGCTCTGGCTCGGGCTCCTTTTGCGGCGCGGGCGCTGGAGTGGAAGACTTTCTCGAGGTCGGAGGCGTGTCGGTTTGTCTTCGCTTGGCGGCCTGCTCAGACCTCGCGGCGGCGCGAGGAGGCAGCTTGCGCTTCTTTTCCGTAGTCATGGCTTCACGCACGCGACCCGACCCGGTACGTTTCTCGTTGTGATCTGGAAGTGAGAGTGGTGCACTATGCAATCGGCATCGGAAGACAATCGCGAATGTCGAGGGGAGGTGAATGTGGATGTGGTATCAAAGGCGTAAAATGACGTGTGTCTGGGGGGGTATCAATCGCGAAGAAAAAATGTGATAATGAACAAAAAGAGATAAATGCCAAATGGGAACTGTCGGTTGGGTAAGAAGCGAAAAGGAGGGAACGTGTCTGGCGTGATGGAGAAGTCAAGAGAACGGGGGGTGGAGGGGGGGGACGACGATCACGGCAAGCGTGTGTGGACGTGTGGTGTGTGGTCGGGTGGACGTGTTGCGACTTGCGAAGGTGAAGAGATGGAGGGAAGTGGAAGAAATATAGGTATTCGCAATCACTAGCAGCTGCAATGGTCCGAATGGTCCAAGGCACCATCCTCTACAAATAATAGCACCTGCCCGTAGCAGACGGGAGTAATCCTGGATAGGGTAATAAAAGGGGAAAGCGGCCTTGTGATTGGCCGAGCTCGAATGAGGCCCCCTCCAAGTTCCAACGCTTGCAACTTAATCTTGTCTACTCCCCGCCATCTCGGGTTAACAGAACCGTTAAATTTGAGGAAAAGACAACGGTCTAAGCCTTGATAGTCAATGTCATCTCGTCATGACATTCAAACAAACGCGTGTTGCGCATGCGCATGCGACAGAATGAGATGAAAGCCAATGGCGGCAACGTGAAAGAGGCACGTTTGATAGACGCTGATAGTAAGCAAGCCCATCACGGGATTGCGGCTGACTGTGCAATGGGTGGGACGGCGATTAAGCCTCAAGCGCCTGGACCCAATATTATGCTCTTTAGCAGCTTGACGGCAATATCGGTGAGAGCTGCATAGATAACCCTAACCTCGGTGATACTGGTTCTAACTGACCCCAACCCGAGTCCCGCTTTGCCATCCAACGTCGGCTCTTCCTTTGGCAATCTTGGAACCAACATTTCCAACTTTGCAACCAACAAACAACAAACTTCACAAGGCAGTTTGAACATTATGTTTCTCGCTCTTTACCATGGAACAAAAGCGATCTGATTCTATGAGTTAAACATATCAACAAAATACACAAAAATTGCACTCAACGACACTTTCATTTACATATTTCATTCACATGTGAAGGAATCATCATGACATCTTCGGCGGCCTGCCTCGTTCCGGCCCTCGCCGTCGGTGTTCCCGTCGGGATATACGCTCTTTTTCTCGGTCTTGTTTCAATTCCGTATATTCAACGATTGTAAGATTCATTCCGTAGAAAACACCACTCGATTATCGTGTTATAAGAAAGTGTGAACAAAATGTGCTAACCACTTTATCTTCGGTAAGTGCCGTATATGCACACAAAGTCAACACCCTCTGGTGGCCACCACATAACCCCAACCGTCCTGAACGATGGGGGTTTGCAAGTCAGTAGTCTCATCGCCATACCAACACTGGCAATCCCATGACTAACAAACAACCACACAAAAAAAGAAAACCAAGTAACCCCCTTCCCCCTCCACACCCTCGACCACCAAACCCTTTACGCCTGGCACATCCTCCCCCTGGGCCTCTACGCCCGCCACGAATCCGCCCTAGCCGCACAAGACCGCTCCGGTGCAACCGGTGCAACCGGCGGCTTTGTGTCAGACATCACCACCACCCTCAACTTCGCCCTCCTGCGCGACGACCCCGAAGCCCGGCTGGTGCTCTACTTCCACGGCAACGCAGGCCACATAACGCAATCCATCCGCCCGCGCTCCTTCCACGCTCTCACCTCCGTCTCATCCAAGATCCACGTGCTGGCGATTGACTACCGCGGCTTCGGCCTCAGCACGGGCTCGCCGACGGAGGAAGGACTGATTCTCGATGCCAGAGCGGCGGTCGATTGGGCTACCAAGGTTGCCCGCGTCCCCGCGGAAAGGATCGTTTTGTTGGGGCACAGCTTGGGGACGGCGGTGGCGGCTGCTGCTGCCGAGTATTACTGTTGTCCTAGAAGTACGCCTGACGCTGGGGCTGGGTGTAGGTCTTCCGACGATGAAACTGGAGACGACGAAACGAGGGAGACTCGGGAGGGAAGGGGAAGGAGAGAATATAAACCGATGGAGTTTGCCGGCGTCATCCTCGTAGCCGGCTTCTCCTCTCTCCCCACCATGCTATCCGGCTACGCCATAGCCGGCTGGATCCCCGTCCTCCGCCCGCTTTCGTTTTGGCCGTGGTTACTCGGGAAAGTCATGGCCCGCATCGTCGACAAATGGCCCAGCGCCGAGCGGCTTACCCGCCTGACAAAGTCCGCGAAGACGGACGGCCGGAGGCTGAATCTGACGCTGATTCACGCCAGGAATGACTGGGACATTCCGTTTCATGAGGATGATAAGCTTTTCAAGGGGGCGGTGAGGGGACTGGTGGAGGCGGAGCTGGGGATTGGGATGGTGTATGGGGATGGAAGGGATGAGCAGGAATATGAGGAGCGCGAGAGGGTCAGGGAGGAGGAGGAGAGGGAGGTGGAAAGGTGTGTGGAGAATCTGTTGGAGAAGGAAAAGGGGAAGAGGACGGTGGAGAGGTGGATGGGAGATGGTAGGAAGGAGAGGGACAGGGCGGCTGTGACGACGTGGGGGGATGAGGGGGTGGTGATTAGGCAGGAGTTGTGGCCTTATGGTGGTAAGTTGATCCTGGTCCGATGTTGAGGGTGTGAGGCGAAAGCTAATATGGTGGTACAGGACATAATAATCTCATGTTTTATGCGCCGGTGCCGATGGCTGTTATGAGGGCGTTCGGGCTTGTTGAGCAGCCTGAGAGCACCCGGGATAATGGGACGACGGTACGTCGGACGGAAAGTACTATGAATATTTAACGTTGATAAAACCGTGGGATAATCTAGATGTAGGTATGATATAAAATACGTTATTCTGTCGTTATGAACATTTGATGCCGCCACCAGATAATATTGGCCAGTTCTTCTCAGTCATGGAGCATGGCAAGAGCAAATGAAGGTCTAGGAAACAATTCCAGCACACCGAATTACTTCTCCCATCTACGACACCTCAAAAGTCATCATACCCCCAACCCAGCGAGCGGTTCACCGCATTCATGGCATTGACACCCGCCCTGACGAAGCTCGCCGCCCCATCCACCACCGGATGACCAAAAGTCTCCTGCTGGCCCTCCTGGCTGTTCAGCAAGTCCTGCTGATCCAGTGTGCACTGCCTCTTCTCCATCACCGCGCGATTGATCGCCCGTCCCCACATATTATACCACTGGTCCTCGCTGATACTGGCATACTTCCTTTGCCCATCCGCGCCCATGACCGAAAAGTGCCAGTCCGCAAACACGGTCTCGAACCTCTTGGTGCGCAAAAACAAGTACGGCCACGTAAAGATGAACATGAGGCTGAACATGCACAGCCAAATAATCCACCACGTCGTCCGCCACTTGTTGGTCTTGCAATCGTTGTACACATGCACGTACTCGTCCTTCTTGGGAAAACTGATCTCCAGACTGCCGCGGTAGTTGGTCGCGCGCACCAGGTCCGTCAGCTTCTGCACGATCTTCTTGTCGTCGAACCCGACCACGCGCCGCTCCAGCGTCAAGCATTTCAGTCCGGCGTGGCTGGCGCAGTACCGGTGGCACCACTCGGCCAGCGTCGGCTTCTCGGCTAAGCCGACCTCGATATGGCGACTAGCCCCCGGCGCGCGCTTGCGGAGGACGGTGCCGCGACGGACTTTCTCGTCGTTTTCGGCGGTGCGCAGCTGCATGAGCGAGGTTTGTGAGACAACGTCCGAGTAGAGGTAGGGTGTCAGCTCGACGTGAAGGTCGAAGTCCGTAACTTCTTCCGAGTCGTTCTTACGACGCCCGTTTTGAGGGTCGGTTATGTCCTTGCGGCGCTTGTGCGTGCCGTGGATGCGGACGAAGGGCCGGAGTGGCTGTTTGGCCCATAGTTCGATGTGTTTCTGGAGGAACTTGGGGTCACTGTCCAGGCGCGGGTCGAGGTAGAGTTCGGTGCCGGTGGGCTCGTCTCTTTTGTAGTTCTTCGCCCAGTCTCCGGGGGGAAGGATATTGTTTGGGTGGCTGATATAGGGCGGCACGCCAGAGGGGAGAAGAGGAGCACTACTACTGCTTCCCGGGGCAATGATTTCATCGTAGAGGGGCGGGAGGTCGTCAATGTTCAGCTCTGGGGCATCGGTATCCAAAGTCCCATCAAGTGGAACGGCGTGTGAGTGTTCACCGGGTTGAGTGTGCAGGGAGATGGCATCATTACTGAAGCCGATAGGTGGTGAGGGTTTCCCCATGATGACAATCTTGTATCGAGTCTGCGGTATGAAGAAAAGTGTATAGGTAAGATAGTTGTCAACTGGTATAAGACTGTCAGTAGGAAGAAAAGTAGAAGGATAGAGGTGAAGGAAGGAGGGGGGAGTGAGTGGGTGATCAACTGGTGATATAAAGTATTGAAGTTGAGGTTGTTGAAGAATGAGAGAAGATGAATGGTCAGCTTCTTTGACAGCGAAGGCAGCAGTGAGTGGCGCAGCAACAATCTCAACTGCATATGGTTAGTTCGAGGCATTTACACGGGCTTTTTGCTCGATTTCCTGTTGGATCCACCATGAGTCCAAACTATGTAGATAGTTAATTTCTGAAGACTAAAGTTCCAAGTTATGTGTATTAAATGTTGTACAGTACAGGAATGTCGTGACATGGAATGATCCGATGCCCGATGAAAGCCGTTGAGAGCTCCACTTTTCCCTCTCGGTGCGTACCGAGCTTGTCCCCTGCACCTGACAGCTTGGGCTGCCTTGCGTGGAGGACCCCGCTTGCCCCGCTGACCCCTTCTGTGAGACGATGGGGGAATGCGCTAACGGGGACACGACACGCCAGCAGGAGCTCATGGATTGGAGTGGAGCTGGGGTTTCGTCTGTCAATTCAACAAGAATCCAATCTCTCTCCTTCCCCACGTCTCTTCCAATTATTCGATCCTCAGATCATCTCAACTCTCACCTGGACGTGAGGGCAGTTTTAAAGTGCGCGACATTGCTTCTCGACTCTACGACGACAACGACGATTATCCCCCGAGTGCGCGTCCATCACTTTGTCAACAATGCCGCCGACCGAAGAGTCCAAGCCTGTTGACCCGGCCCAGGAGAAGCAGGCCGCCGAGGCTCTTGCTTCCCTCAAGGAAAGCCAGCAGCCCGCCGCCGACGAGTCCGGTTCCGACGATGAGGGCGCCGACGATGAGGGCGCCGACGGCACCGCCCAGGCTGGATCCAGCTCCACAAAGAAGAAGAACAAGAAGAAGAGCAAGAAGAAGAACAAGGACAAGTCCGCCTCTACCGAATCATCTGCTGAGGTGGGCTTGACGGAGGCGCTGGCGCAGGCAGACCCCAAGTCAGCCCTCAGTGGCTTGACCTCCAAGCAGATTCAGGAGTTCATCGACCTGAACCCCGCCCTTGCCAACGAGCTGCTAGCGGCGTCCGGTAGCTCGGGAACAGTCGACGTGATGGAAGCCTTCAAGAAACTCAAGATTCAGGATATCATCACCGGTCTTGCCAGCAGCGGAAAGAACCGCAAGGATATGGCGTCATACAAGTTCTGGGCCACCCAGCCTGTGCCCCAGTTCGGCGAGGAGAAGCCGGTCATCTTTGAGGAGGGACCCCTCAAGATCCAAAAAGTCGAAGACATTCCCGATGAGCCGATCCCACTTAACCTGGCGCCTTTCCGATGGGTTACCATGGATCTCACAGACGAGAAGCAAATGCAGGAGGTCGAGAAGCTCTTGTACGGTCACTTTGTGGAGGACGACGAGGCCATGTTCCGTTTCAAGTACTCGACCTCTATTCTGAAGTGGTAAGTGACTTGGTTAGGGTTGTTTCTATCGCGTCTATGTGGCTTGTGCTAATCACGTTGGGCTAGGTCGCTCATGTCTCCTGGCTGGAGAAAGGAATGGCACGTCGGTATCCGTAGCGGTGACACCCTTTGCGCTTTCATCGCTGCCGTTCCTACCGAGATCCGCATTCGCGACAAGGTTATCCAGGGCTCCGAGGTCAACTTCCTCTGCATCCACAAGAAGCTTAGAGGCAAGCGCTTGGCTCCCGTCCTCATCAAGGAAATCACTCGCCGCATCAACCGTGAGGGTATCTGGCAAGCCATCTACACCGGCGGTATCGTCTTGCCCAGGCCCGTCAGCACTTGCCGCTACTACCACCGTGCGCTCAACTGGCAGAAGCTGTACGAGGTTGGTTTCAGCCCGTGCCCTTCCAACAGCAAGCCGGCCTTCCAAGTTCGCAAGTACGCCCTTCCGGAACAGACCTCGACCAAGGGACTTCGCGAACTTCAGGCCAAGGATCTCGATGCGGTACACAGCCTGCTTGAGCGCTACCTGAAGCGTTTCGAGCTTACCCCAGTATGGAACCGGGAGGAGGCGGAACACTGGCTCCTTCACAAGAAGGATTCTTATGCCGAGCAGGTCGTGTACTCGTATGTTGTTGAGGTAAGTTTTCAGTTACAATCCGCTTTCCTGGCAGTTGAACTCGTACGCTAATCTGATGTAGGATGCCTCGGGCAAAATCACCGACTTCTTCTCCTTTTACCTTCTCGAGTCGACAGTCATCAAGCACCCGAAGCACAATTCGATCCGCGCCGCTTACATGTTCTACTATGCCACCGAGACCGCTTTCACCGAGCCCGTCGACAAGGGTGCCCTCCAGAAGCGCCTGAACGATCTGATGGCCGATGCTCTGATCCTCGCCAAGCGCCACAACTTTGATGTCTTCAACGCTCTTTCTCTCATGGACAATGCTCTCTTTTTGGAGAAGCAGAAGTTCGGACCGGGTGATGGCCAGCTTCACTACTACCTGTTCAACTACAAGGCAAACCCCATCCACGGTGGTGTCGACAAGAAGAACAGGCTGGATGAGGATAACTTGAGCGGTATCGGCTTTGTCATGGTCTAAGAGGCGGATTTGGGTTAAGGTGCTGTTGATTGCTTTCAGGGTGGCTTACTGTGTTTGAACAAGAGTTGCCTGCATATAAACAATACCTGACGGATACCAGCGGGGTTAGCATCAAAAGTTAGGAGCAAATGTAATACTATTGATATTGAGCCTGGCGCTGCCAGACGATGAAGGTCTACATGGTTGGCCTGGAACCGTGCCTTCTTGACGCGGGATTGGTTTTCCACGGGCCGAACCGGGGACTTCACCGACGACCTCTCCAGTCTTGAGCCCCAACATGTTCGCGATGCGAGTCTTCATCCAGGGATTGCGCCAACGCCTTCATGAATGCTTCCACGACATTCCTGTTACAGCCGGACCGATAAGCTTATCAATCTGTCCCACTTTTTATACGTTCTACCAATCGGAGTGTTTCGATGTCGGGGACCAGCACAATCACATGGGACGCTGGCCGACAAGGTGCCCCAATTCCCCTGAGCCGCCACCACGAACACCGAGCCATCTACCTATTTACTTGGCCTTAACAGCGTGCTTTGACCGTCAATCCCGTCTCATCTCAACAATAATCTATGGCCCGCCAGTTCATATCTCTTCTCATCACGAGCAAAATACCCCAAGATGTAATGTTAAGATGCTCACCCAAATACTATGCACTCACTAACACTTTTTCTCTCAGGGCCCAAACAACAACGCGCAAGCCTCAAGTGCCGACCGTGGCCGAGACCATCAAGCACCCAGCCTTTCCCACGGCGATATGGAATCTCGAGCCCGATCAAAGTGGCCTGACTCCGGTCGCTGTCGGCCGCGGCGGGCCTTTGAACGTGAGCTGGGAGATTCACGGTGAAGGGCCCATCAAGGTTTTGGTATGAGCCCTCGACTCAGTCTAGTCCTCACAACCAACACCATCACTAACACTCTCGCAGTTCATCATGGGTCTCGGAGGTCTCAAAACCGCCTGGCAGCGTCAAACCCTCTACTTCGGCCACCAAAACCGCGACAAGTACTCCGTCCTCCTCCTCGACAACCGCGGCATGGGCGACTCGGACAAGCCTCTCATGCGCTACAGCAGCAGCGAGATGGCCCGGGACTGGATCGACGTTCTCGTCCACATCGGCTGGCTTCCCGCTCCTCCCTCCCCATCTTCTTCCGCCACCAGTACCTCCCGTTCTTCACATTCCGGGCCACCCCTCCCCATCCCCGCCGAACGCACCCTCCACGTAGTCGGCCTCTCCCTCGGCGGCATGATCGCCCAAGAACTCGCCTGCCTCATCCCCACCGCCATCTCCTCTCTCAATCTCTGCTGCACAGCCGCCGCCATCGAAAACACCACCACCTTCACCGAAAACGTCGCCAACCGCATCCGCATGCTCATGCCCAAGCCCGTCGACCAGTCCATCGCCGACACCGCTCGCCAGCTCTTTGCGCACGCGTGGCTCGAACAGCCAGATGACTGCGAGGTCCCCGACCCGGCCACGACTCCCAAATGTGGTCCTCCCAACCCTTTATCCCCCAAAATCCCCCGCCCTGCCGGGCCGGAATATCTCAAGTTCGATAACAACGCGCAAAGGTTCGTGGCGCAGGAGATGCACAAACGTCTTGATCCCGCCCGCTTCGGGCTCAAGGGGTTTTTGTTACAATTAATTGCGGCGGGGTGGCATCACAAGTCAGCCGAGCAACTGGTGAAAATGGCGGATGAGGTGGGGAGGGAGAGGATTCTGGTTATGCATGGGACGGAGGATGATATGATTACCGTGCCGCATGGACGGAAGTTGATTGAGATTATTAAGCCGGAGGCTGGGCTGATTGAGGAGGGCATGGGACATGCGCCGGTGGTGGAGAGGACGGGGTGGTATCATGGGGTGTTGGTGGAGAGGATTGAGAAGGGGGAGGGGCTGGATGGGAGGGTGTAATGGGTAGGGGGAGGGGGTTGGGTGGTGATGAAGAGAGAGGGAGGGAGGGGCGAGGACGGTTGGTAATGGGTTATGGTGATGTTATTGATCGTTTAATGGGGGCGTGGAGTTTTGGAGCGTGTGATTCTAGCATGTACTACATCCTTTCGAAGTGGGATCTTGCCCGCAGGTGTTGGCTATAATGATACCTACGTTTCCACATACCACGTTTGACCTTGATTTTTACGTCCTGCGGAAGCGGCACTTCATACCTCAACAGCAAACTGATAAAATCTGCGAGTACACAAGGTTCATTCCAAGCGAGAACTCAAAACCCGTCCTTCGAACATGTATGGTAACTCAAAAGTCCAAATTCATATCCGTTTTCCACATGCTACACGTAAATCGTACACACAAAACTCTCCTTTCTCATTTTTTCACCACCCACCTCGAAGCAAAGACGTCCAGTTTACCGCCTTCTCCCATGAATCGTCCTACAAACCATCCCCATAAAATTATAAAACACCCCATACGCCGCCCTGCCAATGGCGCCCTTATACCTGAACCACAGCCACATCCCCCCAACCAGCAGCGGCAGGCCGACGCCGCCTACAAGACTGCGCACCAAGACCTGGCCCTGATGCTCACTCTTCCTCACCACCTCGGAATACCTCTCATTCCCAAACGACACCCTAGAATACTTGGTCTGCCACCCCAGACTCGGCACGTAAACCGACAACCACTCCTCCAGCGCCTTGCGCCACCTGTAAACGGGAGACAGCACCGATGACCTCATCTCGATGTAATTCTGCAGCGCCAGGTCGTTGATGGCGTGCGCATCCGGCACGCGCACGGCGCTGTACTCGGCCAACGCGATCTCCCGCTGCGAGGCCTCGAGGCTGCTGTCGTCGTTGGTCATGCGGTCGTGCTTGTCGAGGATGTCGAACAGGATGCGGACGTCTTCCAAACCCGCGTTCATGCCCTGGCCGTAGAAGGGGACCATGGCGTGGGCGGCGTCGCCGACGATGACGACGGACGAGGAGAAGTGGTAGGGTTTGCACTTGATGCTGATGAGCGGGAGGTGGGGGTTGGACTGGAATTGGGAGACGAGGTCGGCGGGGGCGATCAGGGAGGTTACGCCGGGGAAGTACTTGTCGAAGAACTGCGGGATTGAAGTGCCGGTGGTGTCGGCTTCGAGTTGCTCGTAGATGGCGGCTGGGGCGAAGAGGGTGCAGGTGAAGGAGCCGTCTTCGGACGGGATGGCGATGAACATGAATTCCTTGCCGGGCCAGATGTGCAGGTGGTTGGGCGATATCCTGAACTTGGACTTGGCTGATGATGATGAGGAGTCGGCTTTGGGAGCGATTTGGAACTCGCACCATAAAGTGTCGATGTACTGTTGCTGGTAATCCATGCGGGCAAACTTCATCAGGTGGTAGCGGACGGCGGAGTGCGCACCATCGGCGCCGATCATAAAGTCGAAGTCGATTTCGATTTCGCGGGATCGGTCTCGTAGGTTGTAGGTGCTCTCGTCTTTGACTTCGAACCAGGCCTTGTTCCGCTTGAAATCGGCGCCGGTGAGTTTGTGGTTGAAGAAGAAGGTGACGTTGGGCATCTCCTCGAGCATGTCGAGAAGGCGCTTGTTCAGGTCGCCACGGTCGATGGCGAGGATGCTCTGATCTATTCATCAACACATCTGCTCTGTGAGGGGATGCAAAAAGGGCGATGGGGCCTTACCCGTCCATGAATGTCGTAGTCTTGAGCTTCTTCATACAACTTTCCGTCGGGTCGCTTGCCGTGGATCATGCGGCCTCTCATGGGGATGGTCACCCCCATGACATAATCGATGAGTCTTGGTTGGTTGGCATGGCGCATAGCATTGAGGCCGCGTTCTGAAAGAGCCAAGTTAATGGACCTTGTGAAGTTGAGTGGTGTTGTTGAAGGATCGCGGAGGTCTGGTAGTCTGTTAGCAATGAGATCTTGAAGCTTGACTCATATAAGTCAGCAAATTGAAAGACTCACCACCGCGCAGCTCATAAATCTCAACATCGTGACCACGATTGGCCGCATAAAGAGCAGCCAATGAGCCGACCGGGCCAGCGCCGATGACGACAACCTTTTGCTTTCTCTCCTCCATTTTCGAAATCTGGTGTTTGAGAGAATTTCCTAGCCTGCCGCTCTAGTAAGCCGGGAATCGGAAAAGTAAGGTAATGTCGGTGGAAATAAAATATGTTAGTGATTGCATCAGATCCCATGCGATATACAGTCCGATAATTGTCCGTGCCAAGTGATCCACTGCCGACGCCTTCTTGGTGCACTAACACCACAAAAGGCTTAGTGCTAACGAACAAGGTGGTGTCTGGGCCACTTAGGTAAGCGGCCTGGTCCCTTGTCTGGGCCAATAGAGCCCCACCCGTCCCGCTGCCTTGTCTCGCCTGTGTCGGAAGGGCGCAAGACAGCGGCGCCAAAATAATTGTCCTGCCGCATCCCGTTTCGTTGTCACTTCTTCAGGTGTCTCACGCCCTTTGAACAACAAACTCTCCTACCTACCCAACACGAGGTCACAAAGGTACTTTTATTTGCTTCAGACCCTGTGCCTTCCGGTCAACCTCTACGCAACTTCACTCTTGCTTCCCTCCGGCACATCGTACTTTTCTCGTCGTCACAGAGCAACTCTGCCCGACATCCTCGCTTCCACCTGCGATCGTCAAGCTAACTTATCGGCCCCTCTTTCCTCTCGATAACCACAGACAGCAACACTATAGTTTAATACTACCACCATGACCGAACAACCCCCCGCGAAGAAGAAGTGCCTCGGCGCCGACTGCGAAAACGATGCCGGCACCCTCCAATGCCCCAAGTGCTTGAGCCTGGGTATCAAGGGCAGCTTCTTCTGCTCCCAAGACTGCTTCAAGAAGAACTGGGTACGGCGCATTCTCTTTGGATTTCCTCATCCCATATGTCTCCTCTCGGCCGGGTCTTATACACTGCTTGGACTTGGACTTGCATGTGAACCTTGATAGCTGACCCTTTGGTTGCCCAATAGAACACTCACAAGGAGCTTCACAAGCTTGCCAGTAAATCAACCCGCTTCCCCCCCTGCCAGAGCGCATATCTAAAACTCTGTTCCAGGCCCCGAAACCTACAACCCCTTCCCTTCCTTCAGCTACACCGGCCCTCTCCGCCCCGTCTACCCTCTTTCGCCGAGGCGCGTTGTCCCCAAGTCGATCCCCCATCCCGACTATGCCGAAAGCGGTATTCCCGGCGGCGGCCGTACGAGGTCCAACAAGATTGAGCAGCTAGACGAGAAGGGTCGCGAGGGCATGCGCAAGGTCTGCCGCCTCGCCCGTGAGGTTCTCGACGTCGCCGCCGCTGCCATCCGCCCTGGCATCACCACCGACGACCTCGACAAGATCGTGCACGACGCCTGCATCGAGCGCAACTCGTACCCTTCGCCCTTGAACTACAACTTCTTCCCCAAGTCCGTCTGCACATCGCTCAACGAGGTCATCTGCCACGGCATTCCCGACAAGCGCGTTCTTGTCGACGGCGACATCCTCAACCTCGACGTTACCCTCTACCACGAGGGCTACCACGGCGATCTGAACGAGACATACTACGTCGGCGACAAGGCCAAGGCCGACCCCGACTCGGTGCGCGTCACCGAGACGGCCCGCGAGTGCTTGGAGGAGGCCATCAAGCTGGTCAAGCCCGGCACTCTGTTCCGCGACTTTGGCAACGTGATCGAGGCGCACGCTAAGAGCCGCGGCTGCAGCGTCATCCGCACCTACGTCGGCCACGGCATCAACAAGACCTTCCACTGCCCGCCCAACATCCCTCACTACGCTAAGAACAGGGCGGTTGGCGAGTGCAAGCCTGGAATGACCTTCACCATCGAGCCCATGATTGCGCTGGGCAAGTACCGCGATGTTACCTGGCCCGATAACTGGACTTCTACCACCATTGATGGCAAGAGGACCGCTCAGTTCGGTAAGTGCTGTTATGATGCCGTAGGTGATGGCTGAGTGGTGGGATGTCGACTAATCCTGCTTAACAGAACACACTCTCTTGGTCACCGAGACCGGTGTCGAGATTTTGACGGCGCGCACGGCTGACTCTCCTGGCGGCCCGATACCAATGCCTACTGCTGCTGCTGCTTGAGTTGGGTCGGACGTTTAAAAAGTGAGGTGTGCATCGTTATTGGAATAAAAAGGCGTTTAGAGGGATTAGTGTTGTGGTATAGAATTGTGCCGTAGCGTTCAATGCCTGAGTTGATACCCAGTGATATAAGAAGAAAAGTGGGAAGCCCGAGGCCATGGCTACGGCGCTTTTGACTTTCATCCGAATCCAACTCTGGCTTTCAATCAGATTGGTTTTTGAGATCTGATAAGTTCAGATCTGAAAAGACACTGATTTGGGGTATGGCAGAGCTGGGAGGTACGCTGTGTTAAAATCGCTCATTTTGAAAGGCAGTTCGAAGACTATGATATCATGTGGCAGGACGGAGTTCCTAGATATTCATTCGGGGAGGGATTCGGGAAGTTCACGGCGGACTCGGCGGTGATTGTGGAGAACCGGGTCCGGAGCTCTCTTTCTCTCTACAGAAGCAGCTAGATTGTGACTGCTTGGATAGACTGCTAGACACTTACATAGACGTCTAATGTTTCGCCATACCTAATACTAAAGTGTTAGTAATTTCATGGTCAACTTGGAAAATGAGGACTCAGGAGAACTATAGTAAGAATCTGAGAAGTTATGTTGAGAAGCTGTTTGTTGAGAGCTCGAGGCTCTCGCCAACTCGATGCTTCCCGTCGTCTTCATGCCGCTTTTGCCCCACCTCGGTCGGGCTTATAGTGGAGCTTTGAGGGAGAGAAGCTTGGGCCAACTTGGCCGCCCAACAGGCTCCAGGGGCAGTCTTGGCAACTGGGCTCAGGCTGGCAGTTCACGGCGAAAAAGAGTGGAAGGAGGCTTTCATCATCGAGGAAGCCCCGAGACACCAGCTGCCTTGCCCCCCCGACCAACGCCGGAGCACCAACCACCAACAACCCTCCACTCTTCCAGAACCTCCAGCTGTCTCCACGCAACCAAGTGAGTCTTCCCACCACTGCCCCGAGTCCGCCAACTTGCGACCGCCTTTTTTCTTTCCCAAAACACCAAAAAGATCAACAAGACGGCTTTTCCCAAGTCTATAATCCCGCCTCTAACTTGACAACCAGCTCCAAGTACAAGCACCGACACCGGCGCGCCCGAAGCTTGACACACTTCCCCTTTCTCCCGATCGAACTCTATCGTCCGACTTCGATTCCATCATAATTGCGCACGCTATCTGTCGGGCACGTACAACATCTCGAACAAGCTCGCGCAAACCGAGTCCAACCAACTACACTACCGAAGCTCTAGCTATCATCCGATAAGCAAACAACCACCAAAATGTCGGGCGAGGCGTGGCTATACCTGTTTGCGGTGCTTATAAACGCCGTCAACCTCTTCCTTCAAGTCTTCTTCACCATCATGTACAGCGATCTGGAATGGTACGTTAGTTATCTATCCCCCTTCTCGAGGGGTTATTCGAGCTCACTGGACTCGGCACCCCGCGCGTGTTGTGGCTTGCGCCCCTTTCTCCAGCAGGCAGCTACTAACGGCATCTTGCAGCGATTACATCAACCCTATTGACCTCTGCAACCGCCTCAACACCTACATCATCCCCGAAGTCGCCGTCCACGGTTTCCTCACCTTCCTCTTCCTTATCAACGGTTACTGGCTGCCTCTCGTACTCAACGTGCCCCTTGTCGCCTGGAACGTCAAGAAGTAAGTTTTCATCCGTCTAGATAAACAACATCCACAGCTAGCACGAACCGAGTAACTAACCATGCGGTACAGGATCGTTGACAACGCCCATCTCCTGGACGCCACTGAGATCTTCCGCAAGCTTAACGTTCACAAGAAGGTACGTCATCTGATCAGCAAAACAAGCCACGTCCGCCGTGGTGGAGCCTCTAGGAACCACTTCTAACCGATTTGCGCGCTCTCTAGGAATCTTTCACCAAGCTCGGCTTCCACCTCATTCTGTTCTTCTTCTACTTGTACAGCATGATTGTGGCCCTCATCAGAGACGAGGCCCACTAGGAAACGGCCGTCGCTCGCTAAGCTGAACTGGACTTCTCGTTTCACACGATACCGCAACGAGGTCTCTCGGATTCGGGCGCAGAGTTCTCTTATCGGAGCTCGTGCTCGCATCTCCACCACCATTATCTTTCTCGAAAGTACATAACGGCGATGGGCACACTGGTACTCAGTGCCTCAAACACACACAAAAATCATATACAGAACAACCACAGGCAAGCAAGCAGGCAGGCAGGATCCTCGGCGACGGGTATTTGCAAAAGGACGGAAACGGTTCATGAGCGGAACACACGAAGACGACTTGATAGATGGAATGGGATGGCATGAAGCTATGAAGAGATGGCGGGAATGATTTTTATTTGATGGAGAAGAGGAGGACGAACTGGACGGTTTTGGCTTCTTTAATATGGAGGGAAACCCAACTGACGGTTGCCAGGAAGGAGGCAACCGCCTTGCTGTGCGCCTCGGTTGGCATGACAGCTGGATAGACGGGGAAAAGAAATGATTAAAAAGAGTTTACGACCTCTTTTGCGATACCAATGGGTGTACGCTGGGGGATGAGATGGAGAGACGCATACTGTATTTTACTGCTTGATCAAGTATGTAATGAAATGGGACGGGCTACGTCATGAAGATCATACTCTCTGCTGTCATTGTCAAATGTCAACACCGAGGGAAGGCAACGCGGGCCACATATGGAGAACAGAAACATGACTTTTTGGTTCATAGATGTTGGGTGCGTAGTTGGAATATGTACTCTTTTAACAAGCTGTTGTTTTCTTACCAAGAGACGGAACCGAATATTTAGGTCATTGAATACTCTATCTGAAGAGACAAGCCAGAAAAAAATGAGCTCGGCTCAACGCTGATCATTGTCGGCCCCTCCATCAAGCAAGCCTCAGCTCCAAAAGCTTGGTCCTTGCCGACCTGCAACAATAACCCAGTCGGTCGGTCGTATATGGTCCGTGCACGCGTGCATGGCACAAGCTCCACTCAGAATTTGAGGTCCACTGTTCCAGATGTCAACCAATGGGCCTGCCACTGACAACTCTAAGTCGCAACCATCTCCATCTCCAAAACAACAAAAACAACAAAACATTTTATTTCCATCAAGCGTGCGGCTGGCGAGCAAACCATCACCACAACTCAGCAAGCCGCAGCACAATCACACACACGAAAACCAAATAACCATGGCCGACTTCAACGAATACCCAGCAAACCTCTCCGTCAAAGACGCCCTCATCGTCCGCCAAGTTGCCGAACCAGACCATGCCGTCGTCCCCTACACCGGCGAGGACCTAAGCCGACCGCGCCTCGGGCCCGCCAACCCCTTCCGCGACGAAACCGATTCGACTTCTACCGCCGTCGGCACCAAGAGGAGGAACGTCCTGACCGGCACCGCGGCCGAGACCTACATCAGCGAACACACCTTCCGCGCCAAGCACCGCGCCATCGAGCGCGGCGGCGGTCCCGCGCGCGAACAACTGGGCAGCACCGCGAAGAAGGCGGCAGCTGCGAAGCTGAGGCAACAGAGAGAGGGGAAAGGAAGCGCGACGGTTGCGGATGGCGATGGGGCCTACGTCGGGCCGTGGGCAAGGTACAAGAAGCAGGAATATGAGGAGGTGAATGAGGAGGAGTTGGGGAGTGATGAGGAGTATGAGATTGTTGAAGAAGAGGAGGAGGAAGAAGATGAGGTGGTAGAGAGCGGGACGGTGGTCAAGGCGCCGACGAAGAACCTGGCGCGGAGGAAAGAGGTCGAAGAGCTGGGCGAGGAGACGACGACGTTCCACGGTACCGAGGAGTTCGATTATCTGGGCCGGACGTACATGCACATCCCGCAGGATCTGGATATCAGTCTCACCAAGGATGTCGGGAGCGTCACGAACTTTATTCCCAAGAAGCACATGCATACGTGGAGGCACCATGCCGGCAAGCCGATCACGGCGCTGCAGTTGTTTCCCAAGTCGAGTCATTTGGGTCTGTCGGGAAGTACGGATGGTACCGTCAAGATCTTCGATGTGTATCGCAATCGGGAGCTGTTGCGGACGTATGCGGGCCATTCGAAGGCTATCACCGACTTGTCGTTTAACAGGGACGGAACCAAGTTCCTTTCGGGCTCGTTCGACAGGTGGATCAAGTTGTGGGATACGGAGACGGGACAGTGTGTCAACAGGTTCAACACGGGCAAGACGCCGCATGTTATCAAGTTCAACCCGTCGGTTGATCAGGGACACGAGTTCTTGGCGGGTTTGTCGGATAACAGGATTGTGCAGTACGATAGCCGTGCGGGAGCGGATCCGGTGCAGGAGTACGATCACCACTTGGGCGCCATCAATACCCTCGAGTTTGTGGGTGAGAATAGGCGGTTTATGTCGACGTCGGATGATCGCTCGTTGAGGGTGTGGGAGTATGGAATTCCGGTGGAGATCAAGACTATCAGGTACGTATTATCTATCCCTTTCGTCCTTTTCACTAACCCCGAACACATGCTAACACCCACCCCAGCGAACCCGACATGTTCGCCCTCACCAAATCGACCCAGCACCCATCGGGCAAGTACGTCCTCTACCAATGCTCCGACAACTCCATCGTCGCCTACTCGTCGGCCTCGGACAAGTTCCGCCAAAACCGCAAAAAGTCATGGCGCGGCCACAACACCGCCGGCTCCGGCATCGGGCTGGTCTGCAGTCCCGATGGGCAGTTCGTCGCTTCGGGAGACACCGGAGGATATGTCTGCTTCTGGGACTGGAAGACGTGCAAGATGTACCACAAGATCCACGCGGACACGAGCGGCGGAGCTATCAACTGTGTGGCTTGGTCGGAGCAGGAGACGAGTAAGGTGTTCACGGCGGGAGCGAAGGGTGAGATTAGGATGTGGGATTAAAGCTGCCCGGTGCCATGGGTCGTTGGGAGGTGCTGGCGGTCAAAAGAAAGGACGACGACAAGGAAGAAGATTGGTGGATTAAAGGGACAGAGAAGCAAAGAATGAGCGAACGGAAAAGATATTACAGCATTGCTTGGCGTTGGGATATACATTTGGAACAGGTTTAGTGTACGATTTAGCTCGATGGAGCGGATACCAAAGAGACCGGCGGGTAGCCGAACTTTACCAACGCCCTTGGGCTGATTTCAAATTTTTTTTTTTTTTTTTTTTTTTTTTTTGGGGAGGATGATGCAGATCGGCAAGCCTTTACGCCTTCAAACAGCTCGAGTTACGGACCGGTGAACCGGAAATCTCACAGGTATGGGAGTGTGTTGACGAGGTCTTGTGGATGTTACTAACAGCATCTTAAGAGCCTCCGGTCGTGTAGAATAGTTCAGGACAACACCATCACACGAAGACGACGAGACGCTCAAACATCGTGATCGTATATCCGCACTTAGCTACGGTACTCCAATAGGACAAGCCAGGAAATTGAATGCATTACAGGAAAGTCATGTCAACGTTTCCTTGTTGTTGACTTGCGGTACTTATCCGCAGCTGATAATGCGCGAGGCCCACAGCGGCACATCGTCGGATGTCAGTCAATCCCAACTGCAGGAGTATTACCAGTGAATGGAAGCTTCGAAAACATCCGCTTGGCGTTGATCTGTCCCCGCACAGTCCCCCGCGCTTTCAAGCAGTGAAGCATGGAGGTCTTTTTAAGACATTCGTCTTGCTCTTCTCTTTCTTGATCCCTTGTCTCACCCAACCCGTCTTTTGGACCTGGTTCTGCACCGACTGGATATCAACCATCAGGCCTGGGACCAGAGCAGAAGATCTGGACGTCAGTCCCGTCCATCTCGTTATCAACTGCTGTCAACATCACTCAACCATTTCCTCGACATCTTCCTCCAGGCACTGTCACCATGGTTTACCTCTGCTATACGTGCGACCAGTCGTTCTACGATGAGGAGGATCTCCAAGACCATCTGGATGACTACGACCATGCGGCTGCGCACGACTACGTGAGGTACGGTTGTGATACTTGCCTCGCAACCTTCAACAGCGATGCTGCTCGCTGGCAGCACATGAACGCCAAGGGTCATGTTGGCCATGAGTGCCGTGTCTGCGACAACCAGTATCGCAGCGAGAAGGAGCTTATCAACCACGAGGTCGAGTACCACAACTATTGCGCCGATTGTGACAAGTCCTTCCAGAACACAAACAACATCAAGCAGGTAATGTTCCGCCCGGGGCTCCCGTCCCAAAGACACTTATCGTCGGCCTCAGCCCGACATCCCCTCCCCTTCCCTCTCCTCCCTACCTACACTAGCTAACCCCCCTTCCATAGCACCTCAACTCCCGCATCCACCGCGGCCAAAACATCGACTGCCCCTTCTGCCGCAACTGCTTCACTACCGTGGCCGGCCTGACCACCCACTTAGAGACTAGCGGCTGCCGCAGCGCTCCGTCTCTGAACCGTGACAGCATCTTCCAGATTGTCCGCTAAAGGGACCCGCGCGGCTTCATCTCCAAGAACCTGATCGGCTGGCACGGTGGCGAGTCTAAACCGAACCGCTACAGCTGCACTGACGGCGCCTGGAACGGCTCCGGCTGGGCGTGCGGTCTTTGCTCCAACAGGGTGTGCAGGTCCAGGGCGGACTTGGATAAACATCTTAATTCGCCTGCTCGTAAGTTTTTTTTGTCGTCTCTTCCCTTTCTTACTCCCACTCCTCCTCCTTTTTGTTTTCCTTCCTTTTTTTGGTCCCGAGGCCGGCCGCCAGCCAGCGGGGGACGGATGTCCATAGGTATCGAGCCGAAAGATTACGTTGAACTTTTGAACAGCAGCGAACTGAACGGGATTGCAAAGTTAACCTCTACAAATTTATAAACAGACTACACCGTCCTTTACCACTGTCCCAACCGCAACTGCAGCTCCGAATTCAAGACGTTGGCTTCTATCATCAGCCACTTGGAGAGCGAGTCGTGCAGTTTCATGCGGTTTGATGCTGTTCAGCAGCGCATGAAGCAGGTGGTTACCAGCAAGAATATGATCGAGTTTTGAGTGGCTTGGTCATTCAGCATAGGTAGCGCACCTTTTTTTTTTTTTTTCCTGTTATTGGTACGTCCGTTCTTTCTCGAAGCCCGACGTGACGAGACCCTGGGATGGCATTGGAACCTACTGGGAGAGCAGAAGGGAGCAAGAAATCTGTGGTGGATGATGTTCTGAGTGGCGATCACAGGGGGTATCTATCTATCTGAGGCTGGGAGCGATTTGTGAGGATGCATGATTTTTTCTTGCATTGCTTCGGTGAGCTTCTCTTATTGTTTCACATCCATGTCGGCCATCTGAGTGAAGGCTGAGGAAGTCTGGCTTTTAACGGTTCATGGCGTTGGGAGTTGGGAAGTCACTGTTGTTTCTAGATACCACCCGAGAGCCAAGGCAATGCATAAGACTGTCTTGTAAATGTGGTAGAATTAAGATTTAGACAGACTCGCTCGATTTGCTTCCTGGTTACTTACCTCTACCTATTCCCTTTGCTTTGACACTGATGACAACGAGATGAATGATATGTGCGAGACATGATGTCTGTTTTATGGTGTTGATTGCAAAGCGGCATCAACGATTACATTGTAGAAAATAATAACCGCCAAAGCTGAGAATGCGTCGTCACGTTTCCAGCAGTTGGCTCCGAGGACGTGATGTTGGAGATGCGGGGCTTCCGTGTCCCGGTCCCGGAGGCCGGCCAATTGTGTAAATCGGAGGTCCGTGGTCCTGAGAAAAAGGGACGACGGGACTTCCGGGTCCATCAGCGATTGTTTCAATATCTCAGCGACGTTCTCGCCACCGGAGCAAAACTGACGACAACTCGTTTGAGAAATGGGACACGTCTTGGGAATCGAGTCAATCGCTAATCACGATGTAAGGAATCACCTCCCTCTTTGTTGGTTTTAGCTATTGCAGTCGCTTGCAGCTGCCCAGTCCATTCAGGTTTCATGCGAGAGGCCCACCGTTCCCCGCAAATGATTTGGTTGTCCTTTAAAGGGTCAAGGACCTCGTTGTTTATTCCCTTTCGACATTTCCTTCATAGAAGCATTTTCCAACCTGATTTGTGAATACGGCAAACCGGCGCCGGCATTTGTCCATCAACTTGATATCTTGTGGACATACCCACGCTCACTGAGTCGCCAGCCCGCCACATTCACAACGTTCACCCTTCCCTTCTCTGCCTCAGTCTGCGATATATCCATACAACACCGCAAACATGGTCCGCACAGTCTACCCTTGCGCTTTCTGTAGCAGCTGCTACCTCAATGAGCGTGATCTCGACGAGCATTGCGAGGCCGAGACTGACTACTGGTCCAGCCCCCATCGGCCTGGTGACGAAGCGTTTGGCTGCAACATTTGCCATTTGTGGTGGGACGACGAGGACTTTTGCCTGGAACATATGGAGGAAGAGGATCACTTTGGCTTTGAGTGCCGTTGCTGCTACCATTTCTCTCGCAGCAAGGACGCCCGCATCAAGCACGAAGTTGAGAAACACTTCTTTTGTAAAGAGTGCGATCGCTTCTTCAACAACATCAACAGCATCAAGCAGGTAAGTTCATAACCAACTAACCACTAACACCCGAACCCAAAATTCAGACTAACTTACACTACGCTACCAGCACCTCAACTCCCGCACCCACCGTGGCCAAGAAATCAAATGCCCCTTCTGCCCCAACAGCTATACTACCGCCACGGGCATGACCCACCATCTCGAGAGTGGAAGCTGTCGTAACGCACCCTCGCTGAACCGGGACTCCATCTACAAGTTCGTCCGGTCCAAGGACCCGAGCGGCTTGATCTCGAAGAAACTCATCGGCTGGGAGGGTACCTCCCAAACGACGCTCACCTGTACCGATCGGGCCTGGAACGGGCGCCAGTGGGAGTGTTATCTGTGTCACAAGGGGTTTGGGACCAGCCATGGGTTGAATCAGCATTTGAATTCGCCAGCTCACCAACAAAACCTGTACCACTGCCCCAACCGCAGCAACTGCCGCCAAGACTTCAGGACCTTGGCTGCTATCATCAACCACCTTGAGAGCGAGAAGTGCGGTGCTATGCGGTTTGAACAGGTGCAGAGGAATATTCATGGGATGGTTAGTGGGAATCGGTTGATTGGGTATTGAGTCTGGGTCGTTGGCTACAGCTTGGGGGAGGGATGGAGGGGCGTTTTGGAGTTGAAGGTGTGCCGGGTCGGGGTGATGGAGCCTCGAAAGGGGCAGGCAGGATGCTTGTTACTTACCTTACTTGGCTTGACTCTCTCATGGAGAACTCCCTTGGAATGCTGCTGGATAGCACTTCAGGTTTCTTTGCAGTCTCGCATTTGACATGACTGTTTCGTGGAGGGTAAATAATGTGAATAGGAGCGACTCGGAATAGCTCTCGATTTTAGGGGGGTTTTGCAGGAGCCCATCGAGCATCAGGAGGGAGTATGGATTTAGGGCGCAATGGGCAACATGTTATGTTCTGTGTTAACGTATTTAGTTAGTCGGTTTTTTTTATGTACTTTATTTCTCCATGAGATTCTTTCAACTCAATCTTACCTGGCAGTGAGAGGCTGTAATGTGGACAGTTATAGGCTTGACCGCGTTGAAGTTATGGGACACCAGTCACATTCACAGCATCTTCACAATACCTGATCCGCATTCTTGTAAACAGTTACTTCTGCGCTCTATTCTAATGCGACGTACCAATCTCAGACATTACTTAACAAATGACAAAATCGCCGACAAGTCGCCATCCAGTGGCTATTTACCTACCACTGTGTTATTGGTGGTCCAGACCAGAGACAGGAGACAGGAGACAGGAAGTGGTGTGGTCTCCCTTCTCCCGCGGACGTCAGCACGGAACTGCCAAACGCTTGGCATTTATAGGGACTATTTTTGAAGGTACTAGTAACTTCTAAGGGGCAATTGGTCTAGGGGTATGATTTTCGCTTCGCATTCCAACAGATGCGCCTTTGTGAAAGGTCACCGGTTCGAATCCGGTATTGTCCACACTTTTTGACTTTTTGTCGGATGTCAACTTTTTTTTTTTTTTTTTTTTGATGACTAGGAAACCACCTCAACCTGTTGAACAATTTTTGTGGCTCCGATAAAAACTCGTGAAATTTTACAATGCCTCAGACGCAGTTTTGAGCACTTGCTGGGAGTTATGTCAGTTGCTTTGCAGGCGTCAGTCAGTGAGCATATGTACCTAGGATTGTCAGACATCTTCAACAACCATGCAATTCTATTCCAAGTGTTTACGAGCTTCTTCCGTGTTAAGAGTAACACTTTCGTGCTGGTAGTGTACTTTTGTGCCATCTTTATTTCAGGCCCGTTGGCAACCTCCAACGCCAGGTTTCTACCTGAATGAGTTCAATTCATGTTAATTGAGATTTGAGCAACAGGCCCGGGTATCTTTGTGTAATGAAGCGGACAATTTGAATCACTTACACTGGTGAAGAAGAACTCAGTCGATTAGCCACCGTCACATATCAAGACATGTTCCAGGACCATTGAGTTCATATCTTCTTATGTTCATACGTGGACTGCCGCGTCGAATCAACCACCATTTCTTTCCCTTCCCATTATATACATGTACAACATTAGCCCATCTAGTCGTTCGTTCCCGAGAACCGACCCATCGTACAAATCCTCCCTCCTGACTATGTCTCAAATCCAGGAGTGACACATCTTTCAGTGCCGGAGTCCCCAGTGGTATCTATGTCCGTCCATCATACACAATCTACCCACCCAACCATCCCAGATTATAGATCATTCAAACGGCATATTTCAGCAACAAAGAAAGATAGAAAAAAGACAAGAAACCCAAACCCAGACAACCCACAAAAGTCCTGTTAAAGGAGAACCCCTTTTTGTCATGCAAACCAACCCATACCCACAGAGCTAACGAACGACTCAAGCCTCCTTAACCGTTTTCCCCGGTCCGCTCTCCACCGGCCTGATATCATCACTACCAACCCCGCTCGCACTAAAGCTTCCCTTCTCCGCCACTACACCCGCGGCCGCCCCCTCCTTAGAAAGCGCCACGCCGGTAGGCAATCCCTCGACGCTTTGCTCATCGATATCCTCAAACTCATAGGGGATCACCAAGTTCAAGAACATCGTGAACAGCGCGGTAACAGCGAAGCCGGTCTCCATGATGAGCTCAATGGCGTCCAGGAAACCTTGGAGCGACTTGTTGTCGCCCTTATAGGTGAAGAAGGTGGCGAAGTAGGTGGGGACCAGCGTGGCGCCGTAGCCGAGGGCCAGACCGGCGGTCAGGACGAATCGGTTGCGCCGGTTGAAGGGCACGCCGCGGGTGATGATGGCGATTCCCGAGACGGCGACGGAGGTGAAGAGGAAGGTGGTCATGCCGCCGATTACGGAGGCGGGGATGGCGACGAGGGCGGCGGCGAATTTGGAGAAGATGCCCATGATGATGAGGAAGAAGCAGCAGCAGAAACCAGCGGTTCTGTTGGCGCATCTGGTCAAGGCAATGACACCGTTGTTCTGAGCGAAAGTGGTCATGGGCGTGATGGTGCAGAGAGCGGCGAGGATACCGTTGATGCCGTCCGCCAACACACCACCCTGGACACGGCTCTCGTAGATCTCGCCCTCAACCTCCAGACGGGACACATCGCAGGTAGCGGTGATGTCACCGACGGCCTCGCAGGCGCAGACAAGGTAAACGGCCAGCAATGGTAATACGAGTGGACCGTACACCGTGAGCTTGAAGGTATGTACCCACATGAAGGAGGCGACGGGAGCGGCATCGATGCTGGTGCGATCAAAGTAGCCACAGGCAGCAGCGACGATGCAGCCGACAAGCAGACCGAGAATGACGCTGGTGGACTTCATAATGGGAGAGCCGAAACGCTCGCAGAGGATGATGGTGACGAAGACGAGGAAGCCCAGACCCAAGTACTCGGCCGAGCCCCAGGGGAGAGCGTGAGGGGCGCCGACGTTGGGGCATACCATGAATTCGGGGAGGGGGTTGGCATCAGCGCAAGAGCCAGAACCGCCGGCCCAGTTCTGGAAGCCGGACTGGATCAGACTGATGCCGATTAGCATGACGGTGGGGCCGGTGACGATGGGCGGGAACATGCGCAGCATGTACTTGGGCGGCAGGAAGGAGAGCAGGACTTCGAGCAAGGCGCAGACAGCGGCTGTGCCGAGGATGGCTCCGTAGCCGTCGGGACAGGGCAGGCGAGTGCCGTCTTGGGCGGTGGGGCACATGCCGTTGGCGTACATCTGGTTAAAGCCACCGATGGCGACGGGAATGATGGCGAAGGAGATACCGACGACGGAGATCAGACCGGTGCCGATGTAGTAGGGCGTCTTCAGGATGCGGAACCGGGCTATTTGGATGCAGGACAGCAGGCCGGAGACTATGAGGGCGCTCGAGACGAGGTATTGCGAGTGTTCAGCGGTGAAGTTGGCACCAGCTCCTCCGGCAAGAATGATGGGGGGAGTGATGATGCCAGCCAACATGGCGAGAGAGTGCTGGAAACCGAGGATGAGAGCGAGGAGGACGGGCATCCTGTCGTTGAGCCCGAAGAAGATGGCGGGCTTGTTGATCTTTCTCATGAAGGGCAGGTTGGGCCGGAAGAGAAAGCCATAGTCATAGTCCCCTAGCCATCCATCCTTGGTGAGAAAGGTGTGGGCGAGGGTTCGTGTGAAGCCAGTCACTCGGTCGCCGATGGTCCTCTTTGGTATCGCATGAGGAGCGATGTGGGAGGGACCCTGGTCCTCATCCATGGCTGCGGTTTGTGATGAGGGTGTCGAGAGGGTTAAGTCTCAATGGGTTATCGGAAGGGGTTTATTGTCGATGGGAATGGTGGTGATGGTGGTTGATGGTGGTTGATATAGGATGACTCGGAGTCGATTCTGGTGAGCCAATTGGAGACGGCGACTAACAACAATGAGATGAACTAAGAATTGAAGAATGACTGGAATGCGGCACCGGGATGGTGATATATCGTTCTTGAATGACTGTCAGATGGCCGAGGGGGGGCAACCAACAGATGCGTCCAGACGGGCGCGGTGCCCCCCCTCGAACTTCGAAAGGAGGACGAAGATTCTCTCGCCGCCCTGGCTGCGTAAAATACTTTTGTCGTGCCAAGGCTTTCTCTAAGAGAGCCCTGAGATCTTATCGGCGGCCGGCTCCACTGCCCACCCACCATGGCCCCTCCCCATCAGTGCCATGCATCTGCAAGCAAGTGATAGCCCCGAATGGCCCCCCCAGATAAGCAATCCCCCGACACGCTAAAACACCAACGCTAACACCGGTTAGGCAGTGTCGTGGCCGCTGATAGGGACGGCGATAGCAAGTGATATCATTGCTATCGATTGACCTGCTTTACCTAATTCCTGCTTCTCACCAACCTCGCTGTTGCACCCTCGAATGCGCCCGGACCCAGCCGACCCGACGGATTGAGTCCGGCAACCATTACGCTCAGAGCCGTCTCGACTCTCGCCTAGACTATTACCCACACCACGTTGCCTTGGGTCCGTCGTTTGGGAACATGGACTTTGCCGGTTGCAACGGTGATGAAGTGAGGAAGATCTCTTGGGTCCGTCTGCTGCATTGGGACGATGGGGATGTCGCCGGGTCCCTGCATGCTCTTTTAAAGTCGCGGGATCTAACTTCACGAGTGTAACGATACTTTCATCTCGCCTCGTCTGAAGAGTACTGAGATGGTGTTGAACTTTTCGCAAAGTTTCAGCTTTCTCAGGCATCAGCACCGTAGAAAATATCACGATATCCCGTCCACGGCCGATACCGCTCTCGCCACCCGGACGGCTCCTTCGACAGCTTCATCAGCCCAAAGGGTCAGGTAGTATACATTGACTTACACCCAAGAACAGACCCCCCCCTCAGGCATCAAGTCTTAAGACCTTTCCATGTCAACATGAACAATACCACTTACCAACAAGAACAACAACGGTCTCGGCCCTCCTCGCTGTTTAGCTTTCTCAAGCTCTTCCAGTCCCGAGGTAACTCCCAAGTCCCAAGTCCCAACTGCCACGCGATCCGTTACCGTATGTATGCCCCTCCGTATGCAAAAAGCGTGGGGGGCACATTGGCGCATTGCGGGGAAACGACGCCTCGGCCGGCCCATTCAACCACTCCCGTCCCCTCGCCTAATCCTCTCTGAGCCGCTGTATCCAAACCATTGAATCCAAACGGAACCCAAGACGAGGAAAAGAAATACCGAATGAAGAAACCTCAAAACGGAAGGCTACCCTACCCTGTTCAGCTCCTTGGCCAGACAAGACATCCTCCCATCGTTATAGGTAGAGATAAGCAACCCAGCCAACCCGACCGTTCGGCCCGGCGATAGTGACCGGGGGCACTAGGATGCTTGGCATTTGTCACGTGCCAAGTCGCTTTTGGTACCTTCTCGGCACAGACCCCTCATGAAGCCCGCAAACGGCCGCTGATAGCCGTCATTTCAGTAAATTACATATTAGTGTTAGGGTTAGTTAGGGTTAGTTAGGGTTAGTTAGGATTAGGGTTAGCTCCGGGGGTGCAGGGGGCCGGTGAGAGGCCCCCGCGTGTGAATATTTCATCATATGTCAATCATATGTCTTCAATGATTACGGTAATTACACAAGATACGTAATTTACATCTGGGTATACATTCGGTACTTTCGGCTTAAGAAAAGTGGAGTATGCACGGACCAGTCTGGTGCCCCCGGCCACCCTGCCCGTTCGGCCCCGCCGGCTTGCCCAAATCAAGAAGATGAAACAAGGTGATTGGTCAGTTTGGGTATCAGTGAGGCTTGGCCTGGGCCCTGTACATACACGACGCGGTAGACTCCTGTTCAAGTCTTTGGGTGTACAAGGGTATCTACATACCACTGCTATACTAGGTACGCCCGGCATGTGGCGGACAGACGGGACTGGGGGCGCTCGGGTGTCTCCGATGTCCTATCCTTCCATCATATCAGCTCTTGACTGTGTGAGTGTACATCTTTGCTGATGGAGTGATTTTGCGGGTGGTTTTGAGCAGCTTTTGTTGATTGACTTGATTGATTGATTGAACAAAGAGAATCTCTTTGTTATTTCATGATGGTGTTCTTGACTGGACACAAAGCTGCTTCAATGTCGACTCTTTGTTACGAAAAACGCGAGTCTTCTTGGGGAGCACATTCGCAGACTCCAATATCCGCGATATTCCCTATTTACCTGCTACTCTGCTAGTGACTGATAGTTTGGTGGGTTAGGTTAGAAAGGGTCCACAAGTCAAGGGAAGGATTGAAACATGTCTGCATTACATACTACTACTACCCGGTACATCGAGGCCGTTTGGGAGTTGGTGGAAGTGGGAAAGCTGGAGCCTCCCGCTCGGGAAAGGTTCTTCGGATCTTTTCTCAGCCAGAACACTAGTCAGTGTATGTCATCTCTCCCTTCTTTCCATCGACCTGGTCTCAAGTGAACTTGCCCTGACTGACTGAGCGAATCGACGGTGAAAAACAGAACTCAAAACTACTGCTAACAACGATGTAATAAGTGGCAGCCCTTGACAAAGCTCTAGCCATCGACCTGAGTATAGTGTACGCAATCTGGAATCTCCCTGGCTTACTCTGGTTGTCGTTCAGGGGGCGCGGTCCCATTTTCATTGTGCTCCCGCTCGGCATCTTTCTCCTGCTTGTCATTTTGGGAAGCCTCCATCTTCTCCTCACCCTCCTTTTGGCACACATCAAGTGCTGGAGCGTCAAGCTGCTTCTCGTACTCGTCAAGCGCCAACTGCAAACGAAGTTCTTCCGACAGAAAGAATCGTGCTTCGTTCTTGGAAACAAACTCTTTCAACTCATCCACCCCCTTGCCACAAAGCTTGAGCTCAGCGAGATATTCTCGGTACATCTTCCGAGCATGTTGCACTTGATACATAAAGAGAACCTTTTTTTGTTTCTCCTCAAAGCCCGCCATGCGCTGCCTCCATGCCCTCCACATAAGCTCGCACAATTGCTCCGTATCCTTTCGTTTGATATCGAACGGATTTGCTGCTGCCCACTCACGCATCTTCTCTGGCATTTCGTTGATGTCAAAGAAGTTGTCGAGTGTGGAGACGACGTCCGGAAGGAGGTAGTCGGTAACGAGACGATCGTACTCTTTCTCTATTTCGAACCGATCGAGGAACGAACCCCTGCGCTGCCAGATCTCGTGAAGCAGTAGCAGGGCGTGCTCTCTCTTGATCCCCGACATGAAACTGCAGTCAGCAGCTTTGTATATGGCTGCTTTTGCCGCCTCGAATGTATTCGCCTTGCTTATCTCTGACGTCGAGTAGGCGGTCTCGGCTACTTTCTGCCAATTCAGCCATAGCAAAGTTTCTGCACGGGCAAGTTGCTCATGCATAATTTTGAGATCGAGCGGATTGTCTACCCAGCTGTAGGCTTTATCGTACGGGTGACCGAACGCCTTCTCCCGCTGATATATAACGGCAGCATACAGATTGACGCCGACCGGGTGCTCACCCTGAGCTGGGCAACAAATGTTGAGGTACCATTTGAGCAGGAACATGTATCCTGATATAAACTGCTCAGCTACAGCGCCGCAGATGCGTTCGGTTGATTCGCCATCAAGCAGTAAGACAAGATCCAAGAAGCCACGAGCTAAAGCCGAGCTAGTAACCTCCAGTCGCAAGGGTGAATCACGACCCCAGGGGCAGAGTACAGCAGGAAGTGTCTGTGAGCCAGGCAGAATCCTTTTGAGTTGGCCGACATTGTTGTTCCACAGGCTACTGTGAAGTGTGAGGCCAAAGGGACTCCTGATCGTCAGATGTCTTGTCTTGGTGATAGCAGGCCACGAGTCCCGGTGCAGGACATCCCTCATGAGCTTCATCCGCTCGGTTGGGGACCCGATCTTTTTGAACCGCCATCTTGGATTCGGCTCGGTTGTGCTTCCGGCAGCAGCTTGGAGCATTAGCTCTCTTTGCTTTGACTTATGGCTTAGGAGAGCGGTGGCATACTCCACCGATGGGTGCAGGAAGAGACCGGGAGATAGCTGCGGTTCCTCAAAAGTAAATAGCTCGTCAGGAACTGTTTTACACCATCAGCATTCCAGTTTTAGGAAAACGAGATAAGGGGAAGGGTGGGCCCGAATATGGGTCGTTTACGTACCGAAGCGTGTCCAGACCATCTTATCGGCCAGCCAGGAGAAGTATGATTCCGAGATAGCGGGCGGTTTCTTGTTCAGAGCCAGCAGTTGTCGGATTGTCGCATTCCTAGCGAGGTCGAAGAGAGCTTCAACTCCATCCGGATCCAGTCTGTCGTTCTTTGCCAGGAGCTTGGAGACAACTTGACTGTGTCGCTCCTGATTAGAACCACGGAGAAGCCAAGATGGGCCTGGAGGTGATAATGCCTTCGGGGCATCTGGAACCGACATTGTTGGGAACAGACTGACGACCGACAGTAGGGGTTGGTTGTTGACTCTTGCGAGATCCTTGGGTGAAGCTGTCGGCAAAAATTGGAATTGTTGCTTACTGAAGAAATGAAATCAAGCGTTGGATGGAGAAGCGAAACTAAAAGGACGTGGTTCGATGCTACTCATCGTAGGATAAATCAACAGCGAAGGAAGGAAGGAACGGTCTGAGTGAAAAATTTGAGCCACTGCACTGCCGGTCTGGGCCCGTCACTGACGAGAGAGCAGGTACGATTGCCTGATTGCCTGTGAGCAGTTGTGGCCCGTCGCGACTGGAGACTTCAAACGAGGAAGGAGCTATCTCTCGATTACCCCCACTTGCCTCCGGGTGCCACACAATGGCGAGACCTACTAACTTGAATGAACTTGACTGAAACTCTCCCGTCATTCCATTCCCAGGTGATGCGAACATCAACCACCCACCATTTCAGTTTTGGTCTTTGGATCCTTCACTATTCTCAGCATCGCGGACAAGCCGCCTCAATCTCACACCTCATCGTCGCGGACTGAGACTGGTGATCCTGTCCAGTTCTCTCCCAACAGTCTCTGCCCCGCGGGTCTGCACTCCGGCACCGTACCGTAGATGCACAGGCCTCTGAAATCCAAATCTTGACGTAGGTTTACACTCTTTTGACGCTCCAGATCATTTCCCTGAAATATTTTGGCTTAAACAGGTCCACTGACAATGGCATCTTCACAACACATTCAGCTCCCACACGAAGGTCTAGCCATCATTGCTCTACGACGATGAACCGCAAGCGAGACCTGGACGCGTTCCACAAGGGACAGCAAAATACCCATGGTTCTGCCAAGGACCAAGAGGAGGTTCCCAATGGTCGGCCCAAGAAGGTGTCCAAGATCGTCAAGACCGAACCCACAGACAATCGCAACGGAAGTGCACGGAGCCTGAAAGTAAAAGAGTATGTTGGTCCGAAACAAAGGGGAATACACTTAGCCTTTTCCCTGGAACAACCTCGGCATGTGAAGTCTCCGGGGGGTGCTGCATGTGCCAACTGCGGAGGGGATGACCATACGGCATCCCGTTGTATCGGCCCATGGGATCCGGTTAGCGGGACGATCAAAGTCTGCGTGCTGTGCAACGATGCTTCACACGGGCTGGACGACTGTCCAATCCTTGTGAAGCGCACCCCGTCAGACAAAAGATTCGTCTTGAGCAGATATCTGATCCTCTACCGTGGCGGGCGTGCTCCCATCGAGTCGAGTGTCTGCTGGGTCGACTTGCTAAGCTCTACAGAGTTCGAAGAAATGTTGCCCAGGCGTTCCCCAAAGGAGGGATCCTTCCTCTATCCTTGGACAAGAGAGTTTGCTATCAGTCAGCACAAGAACCAACCCTGGAAGTACTACCAATATGTCAATGACTGTCACGGAACTTGGACATGGTGGTCCGAGGACCCCAAGACCAACTCGGAAGCTGTAGTTCAGAAGAACCTCGAGTCACTCAAGAAGACTGAGTCCTTGTCAGGTTTGAAAGCAATGGCCTGTCAAAAGATGATGGAGAGCGAGTCAGAGAGGGAGTGGGAGTTGACTGCAGCCGGCCTGAAGGCGTGGCCTGACATCTTGGCGATTGCTCCAAAGTTGAAGGCTTATGTTGAGGAGGAAGACAATTGAGGATAGGAGAGGTCCTGACATTTGTAGCCATACCCGTATGTGCGCCAAGTTTTTTAACCGGAAGGCGAGGGTCTTTTCACTAGGATTTGACGAGCATTTTAGCAGGAGATGTATTGTAAGTATGACTTCTGTGCCGCGTTAAAGGGTTAAGGAAGGCATATGGTACGATGAGGATTTTGGGGCGAACAACGGTGGGGGTAACGGAGGGACAAAGGGAGCAAAACCCACTAAAGGAGCTGCTCGGAACGACCGTCCTCAGGGAGTACCTAGCAAACTAAAGAAACGTTAAATAAGTTCGAGCAAGCAAACCGAGTTATCCCTGAGACCATATAGTGGTACTGTGCACAGTTCTCCGTGAATTATTTCCCTTTATCTTGTGTTCTGGTCGAGTGTCTCATGGGATGAGTGCAGTCAGGAATGAAAGGGCGACCTCTGCTTCACCCGATGAGCGGGTAAGTGTGGTGCACTTAAGCAGGAATTTCAGCGCTTATCTTCAACAAGGCCTCATGGCGCAACGGTAGCGCGTTCGACTCCAGATCGAAAGGTTATCCGTTCAAATCGGGTTGGGGTCAGCTTCTATTTTTCGTGATTTTTTTCGTTCGCAATTGGTGTTCGCCGATTGCATGTGGAGTTAATCTGGTTTCTCTTTCCTTTTTTCTTCTTTTTTTCCTTCGTCGCAGTGATACACATCGACCCGGACGCGTGAATTTTGGCGTTACGAAGTAGAAGTCGCGAGGAAATGTGCTGGCTTGCTGGAGTTGATACAAGGTAATAACAATGCAACAGGAAATGGCTGCAAAACACTTTGAATATGATGAGAAACAGTGAGAGAATCCAACCCAAAAATAATCATGGCGCTGTGATATTTGTTCACGCATCAGTCTCCCAATGCTGATGCATGCAGTCGTCATGCTCCAAGCTTCGCTCGAGGTCGCATCCGTTGCCGGTCCGTCCGACTCTCCCGGCCCGTCGCTGGTGCATGCCCTGCCGAAGTATGCACTCCACCCCGCCCGATCGCGGCAGCCACCGGCCGAGCGATGTCATCGGACATGCTAAGCCAAAATAGGAAAACCATAAATAAACGACCCCGCCAATCTGAACATCCATCCCTCGTCAGCCTACAAAACATCAACCTCGGACTCTTTACCTCCCATCACCACAAATCCACGAACTCTTCCATCACATTGCCAAACAAAACCAAACCCAACCCTCATCCCAAATACCAAAGACAACAAAAAATGGAAGGCGTAGACCTCCTCATCCTCGGCGCCGGCTGGACCGCCACCTTCCTCATCCCCCTCCTCCAACAACACAGCGACTCCCTGACCTTCGCAGCAACCACCACCACCGGCCGACCCGTCTGCGGCGTCGACACCATCCCCTTCCGCTTTGACCCGGAATCCAAAGACCCTGGCCCCATTGCAAACCTGCCGCGCGCGAGGTATATCCTCATTACGTTCCCTTTGACGGGGGAAGGTCAAAGTAAATGGCTTACGGAGACGTACGAAGCTACGCACCCCCGCCGCGGGGAAAAACAGAAAAAGTACAGGTTTATTCAATTGGGGAGTACGGGGGTTTGGCAAGTAGATGGACGGAGGAAGAGACATGGGGATAAGGGGCGGGAGGCTGAAAGGGAGGCTAGAGCTAAAGCCGAGGCTGAAGAAGCGGCTGCTGCGCAGCAGGAGCAGCAACAACCCCCTTCGACAGAAACCAAAAAACCCTTCCACTTCACAACCCGCCACTCCCCCTACCTAACCACCGACCCGCGCGCCATCGCCGAAGACGAACTGCGTTTTTCGTCAGTAGTCGACGGCATGGTCCTCTCTTTGTCCGGGTTGTGGGGCGGCAGCCGCGATCCGCGCAACTGGGTGAGCAGGGTTGCTTACTCGAAGGAGGCGATGAGACACAAAACGAGTTTGCATATGATCCATGGGGTGGATATAGCTAGGGCTGTTTATAAGATTATCACTGCTTGTGAAGAAGATGACAAGGAAGGTTCGGAGGAGAAAAAGTGGGAGGAGCATGGAAAGGGGCAGAGGTGGATGTTGACTGATGGGTTTGTGTATGATTGGTGGGCGCTGTTGATGGGGTGGGCTACTACGGAGGGACAGGAAGACGGGGAGCCGAGTGAGCAGGCTAGGTGGGTGATGGAGTTGATGGAGGAGGAAGGGGTGCAAGCGCTGCCGAGGAGTATGGAGCTTATGGGAAGGGCGTATGATTCGAGAGAGTTTTGGAGGACGTGGGGGTTGGTGCCGGTGAAGGCGAGGGTTGGGGTTAATGCTCCTTAGATGGATGGGCCAAAGGCCGAGAAGTAGGAGGCATCAGGTTGGGAGAGAAAGAAGGGCGGCAGGTGGAGGGCCGTTGTACATTATCACAAGACACAAGCATACCAAAAATTGAGAGAAAAATAGAGAATAACCAAAACACCCGCTCAATACCTGGGGAATCTATTTTATTTCACACAAAAATGTCCACACATCTATAGCAACAGCTTCTTGACCTCCTCAGCCAAGCTCTCAATAGGAACCAGATTTCCCTCATCCTTCTGGCCCTGACCCTGATCAAGCTTCTTCAACCTAACCTGACCAGCCTTGAGCTCGTCCTCACCCAGGATGACACCCAGAGGCGTACCCTCGGCAGCCTTGAACTGAGCCTGCAGTTTAGGCTTGGCCTTGGCCATGTACTCGGCGCGGATGCCGGCGTTCCATAGTTGCTTGGCAATCTTCATGCGCTCAACAAGGAGACCGTCAAAGTCCTTGCCGCCACCAAAGGCCATGACGAACACGTCCACCTCGCGCTTCTTGATGTCGTTCTCGCCCCGGGCCTTGAGGATGGTGAAGATGCGGTCGATACCGAACGAGATGCCGACGCAGGGGATCTGCTTCTTGCCGTACATGCCGACGAGGTTGTCGTAGCGGCCACCGGCGGCGATAGAACCAACCTGGCTGGCAGGGTCGTCCTTCTTGCTCTTCTTCTTCTTGTCGCCGTCGGCCACGGGCTCGGGCTTGTTGATGACCTCGAAGATCAGGCCGGTGTAGTAGTCGAGACCGCGGGCGAGCGAGAGGTCGAACGAGACCTTGTCGGTGACCTCGAGGGCCTCGAGGTAGGCGGCGAGCAGCTCCATGTCGTGGATACCCGCCTTGATGTCGTCGTTGGTGGGCAGGTCGGCGTCGGCCTTGATGTAGTTTATTATGTCGGTGATGTTGCCGGCGTTCTGCACGTAGACGCCGATCTTGTCGGCAACCTCTTCGGGCAAGCCCTTCTCCTCCACCATCTCCTTCTTGACGTCGGCCCAGGGCATCTTGTCGAGCTTGTCGACGGCAGAGCTGATGGTGCGGATCTTTTCGGCGGGGACACCGGCGACGGCGAACAGACCATCGAGGATCTTGCGGTGGTTGAGCTTGATGGTGATGCCGAGCTTGAGGGCGTCAAAGACCTCGACGATGATGCGCAGAATCTCGGCGTCGGGGATCATGGGGTCGTAGACACCGGCAATGTCGAAATCGCACTGGTGGAACTCGCGCATGCGGCCGCGGGCAATGGCGGGCTGGTCGCGACGGTAGACTTTTGCGATGTGGTAGCGCTTGACCTGCTGGGTGCTGGTCATGGCGAGCCAGCGGGCAAAGGGGACGGTAAGATCGTAGCGCAGGGAGCAGAGCTCGCCACCCTGGTCCTGGAGGTCGTAGATGAGCTTGGAGTCCTCACCATACTCTGGGGTTAAGCGTTAGCTAATCTTGGTACGGACGAGTTCGGTCGGGTAGATTATTGTAGGTGTCGAGACATACTGCCAGCAAGAATTTCCCTGAGCTCGAAGACGGGAGTGTCGAGGGGAGTGCCGCCGTGGCGCTTGAAGACGTCGCTAACACTCTGGCTGTGGTTTGGGGAAAACAAAAGAGTCAACAACAAGAACGGAAAACAGTCGTCATGGGATGGCAAATGCGGCGGGAAGCGCATACAAGAGCTGCTCACGGAGGAGCATGTCCGGGCCGTGCCAGTCGCGGGTGCCCTTGGGGGTCTTGATCTGGAGGTTGGCAGCCGGCTTAGGCGCCTTGATGTCCTCCTTGGTGTCCTTGGTGTTGTCGGCCATGGTGTCGGCGGCGTTGTCGGTGTCGGCGGCGAGGTGTTGGCGCTGGCGCAATGAAGTCGAGAATTGGCGCGGGGTATTATTGTTGGCGACCGGGTTGGCAGTGGTGGTGCGAATCAAGAGTGATCCGATGGAACGGCTGGCGCGTGCAATTGGTATCGACTCTGTGCCTCGTCGGATCAAAAACAGCATGCCGCTACGGATGGGCGAGTCGAGTAGGTCGGCGATCAAACCAGTCGGAGACGGGACGAGGGTGGAGGGTGGAGGGGGAGGACGGCCGGGCGAGGGACCGGGTTGGAGGGGCACGGCGCACCGCACTGAGGAATTGTGCTTTTTGCTTTTGACTCAGTTCCGGGCCTGCTGTTCCCTGCCAGTACCTGACCCCAAGTACCTGGCAGGGGAATTTTACAGCGCCTGACGACCGCGTCCGGCAGGCAGTCTGTCGGACTGATTGCCAGCAGAATCTGCCTGCCGGCTACGAATCAACATTGTCCCGGCAGGCAATTTCCTCGACTTCCATCCAGACTTCCCCGGCCTTTCATCCCGACAGTGACCTTTTTGTTCCCCACCCTCCCGTCCTTACTTCCGTCTTCTCCATCCTCTGTCCCTCTTCCGTTCTCGTGCACAGCCTTGCCAACACCACCATGCCTCGCCCACAGCAGCCGGTAGGCTATTTTTGATGCGACTGTTGGTCCGCGATCCTTCAACGTCCGCCACCATGGTTCCAGCCTCAGACAGGACGGGAACGAGCCATGAGTCCATGACCAGTCCTCACGGCCTCAGGAGAGGTACCTGTCCTGCGCAATTCCGAACTCATTCCTTCGCGTCAGGCATCCAGTTCAATCATCAAGCAACCGGGTCGAAGTTGTTTGGCAAACGCTCCTCATCACAACATACGACATGGCTGCCTCTAAAACTCGCCTGATATATCACCTACGCCGGCTAGATACATTGCTGTATCCCTGATCACGTCCCGCGCACCTGCACTCTCCAGTAACAGACACAGGAATTGCAACTCTATACGGTGCTGAATGCGGCCAGACGGCCAGAGTTCTCTTGGGGGCCAGGATGGACTTGCGTGTAACATGGCGCCACCATACCTATCGTTCTTCAACAAGAGGAGGATGAGTTCGGAATGCTGCTGCAGGGTTGCCACGATGATAAGAGTGGTCATGGGCGGTCTATAAGATCATGTCCAAGGCCTAGCTGCTCTCTCCCCGCCAGCATCTCTTGTGTTCTGCAACTCAAAGGGCCCCCCTCCCTCATCAACCATGGATTTCTATACGGATCCAAAGTTTAACTCTCTAGTCCACCTGCCGCAGGTCCTTGCCAACTTGACCTTTTTGGATATTGCCATCAACATCCCGGACAACTGCACCGGCCATTGCGCTCCGGCTGCCGATTTTCTTGACTATCTCGAAGGAAGCTTTGATTTGAAGGACGAGGGCGATGTGCCCATTTCAAAATTCAGCACTCTCGTGAGAAGCTGTACCGCGCCTGGGCTTCTAGACCACGTTTCCAATGGCCAGATCATCGATTGGTACTTCTATCGCACCCTGAACGCAGAAAACGACATTGGCTGGATGTATTTGGGTATCGCTTTTCGATGCTTCAATGAGTTTTGCAACGGCCTAACGTGGGAAGGCAATCCTGATATATCCGGCATTGGGGTATGCTCCACACTTCCATCATTCACCCGACCCTTCCTGATATGTCTTCTCACATGTGAACCTCAGGTCAACATTGCCTTTTTCATCCAAGCAGCCCTTACCGCCGTCTTCTTACTCATCTATGTCAGCTTTTACATAGCCGAGACACATCACATTCGAAAGAATCCGGCACAGGCCAACCGGAAGGTAACTTCGTTGTGGCGCAAAGCAGCCGATGATTGCCTCGAAGTCTTCTGGTCAACATGTTACGTCTTTGCCTTAACCCTAGCTGTAGGCACCCTTTGCTTCAACGTTATCTACCATTCGCCTGGCCACGTTTACTCGGGCTACTTCGGATATCTCGGTACCGTCCTCTCCGTAGCCGTCCTTGTATGTCTGTGGACCTGGTTTCCTGGACGGTATCGATACCCGGTCCTCACTTTTCGGGCGTATCTGTGCTGTTGGGCCTCGTGGTTGGGGTCAGTATGACCTTTCTCAAAGAGGTGAAATCCGATGACAAGACCATCTTCGAAAGAGCCTGCCTAGAAACCAGATTTGACCTCAAGAACGTACCAGATTGGGAGCACCTGGACCAGGCCTTGGTCCCCGCACAATCAACAACCTACGTACAAAACTTCGTCATGTATACCCCTTACGGGACCCTGGCACTCTTTGTTCTCTGGGGCGGCGCGTTCTCGTTCATACTTGTACGGAGAAACAAAATTACTTACTGGAAATTGTACAAAATCATCACCGGGATTCTAGGCGGCCTTCTCGTCATTTGCTCGTTTGCCCTGGTTTGGATCGCTCTCGGCTTTTTCTTCCACCTTCGAACCAAGGTCGAGAGTCTCGCGGGCCCGTCATACGCTGAGAATGAATGGGGCTTTGGTCAAATCGTCGCTATCGTCGCATGGGGTCCACTGGTGGCCCAGATCGGCATGGTTCTCTTTCGTGAGTTTTGTCAACCAGTCGATCATATATGGCCCTTTGTTAACCGATCTGTCTAGGCTCAGTATTGAAAGACACCAAATACCAGAAGTGGTTCAACCCTGCCCCGGAGAGCGAGAGGTATACGCATCACCTGTTGGCTCAATCCCCAACCGTCGGCCCGCATCATGGTCATGGATCTGACGTGGAGAAGGAACCTGTCACTAGTGTGACTCAGCAGGATATCACGGATGCCGGGCAGCGGTAATCTGGTGCACTGAGACCTGTGAACGAGAGAGAGCACCCGGGTAGCCGTCGTTCTGCCTTCGTGTAGTGGTGGCTCCGCATCCCGGTGGAGAATGAGTGATAAAAGACCATCTTCCAAGCCAGGATAACCATCAAAGCCCGCATGGCTCAGTGGTAGAGCGCATCACTAGTAATGATGAAGTCGTCAGTTCGATTCTGGCTGTGGGCATAGCCTGATGAAGCTTGTGATCTTCTCTTTTTGGCTGTTTCTGGTGATGCCATGGAGTTGTGACTTTTTTTGTGGTTTGGGAAGTTCCATCATCTCTTCGCTGGACGGGTGGGCCAGGTGAATTTTTTGGGAGTATACGTAACCCTAACCCGGCGCTCATGTAACCTTCCTGTTCTTGACTTCCTTGTTGCACCGTCGGCTTGGCTTTTTCCCCCGGCTTTCAAGAAGTAGCAGTTCCTAAATCGTGTCCCTTACACCCTGTATCGTCACTCCCCCATCCAGTGCCTCAAGTAGAGACGACTGGATACACAGCGCTTCGATTCAATCGAGCCGGTTGAAAGTGCATGATAAGTCATCCATATGCCTCGTGCAAAGCCTCAGACATTGTCCTACCAGAAACGCGCCGGGTGTTGCGATAGCTTACGCCCCAATTACGCTCGCCGTGATACAGCTTAAAGAATGCCTGGCATCGATATCGCAAAGGGCACATCAGATATGGATTCTTAAGGATTCGTATTCCACTGCGTCTGTATACATGGCCTCAGTCATCATTGAGTACCCATTCAGGTCGAGCCTTATCTGACTGTGTGACACAAGGAATAATGATTTCGGCCGGAACCGAGTACCGTGTAAGGCTCTCGTGCAGTCTAGCACAGACCGGAGCCTTGTTATATTCCCTAGGTAGTGTAACTGTCCATCCCCTGCGATTTCGCCCCCTCGAGGCAACAAGACATCCCAGGCCGTCCACCCTCGATATGGATGCCCCGCTGTCCGTCTTTTAAGAGAAAGATGAGGCCGACTCCCCCGAAGGCAACAGTTTGTCCTCAACCGCCCGCCTCTTTCATATTCCCTACACACCACGATACCTATAACGTATCACACCCCTACGAGATTAGTAACCAAACCGGCTACTCCCCACCAGAAGAATTATGGCAGGAGAAGTTAATTGGAAAAATCCCGGCCCCAACCCTTTCGTTACCTCCAATCTCACCCTCAGGAGCTTTGAGAAATTTATTGGACCGGACTGTACCACCGACTGCTCCATAGCAGCTACCGAGTTTCTGGGTTATTTGCGGGGCACTCAAGACATTCTGAATCAGACAAACGGTGAGAGGTGGAAGGAAGACTGGGACATACCCATCTATCAGCTTGACAACTTTATTTGGTATTGTACCGAACAGAATTTCACCAACTACACACTGGGCCAGGCCGCCGACTGGTTCGCCAACAACGCGAATAAACGCTCCCGTCTAAATCATCTTGTCAACCATACCCTCAATGCGTGCCCCACGGAGTTCTGCAAGTCGCTGATATGGGAAGGTAATCCGGATGTTTCTGGCATTGGGGTGAGTAAAGTGCCCTCCCCAGTTCTCACTTCCCCACTCCCCAGCTCCTTCTGCCACGTTACCAACCCGCTAACATGGAAAACCTGGGCATGCAGATAAACGTTGCGTTCGTGGTTCAAGCCGTTCTTGCCAGTCTGTTCCTGCTCTTCTACATCGGCTTCTACATCACAGATGTAGTGCATTTGAACTCAGAACAAGCCCACCCCGAGCAAGGCAACCGCAACCCCGCGGACCCTCAACATGATACCCCTCAGCAACATAAACAAACCACCGCCCAGAAACCAACCAAGCTAATAGACCCCAACGCCCTCCGCGAAACAGCCGATGACTGCCTCGAAGTCTTCTGGTCCACCTGCTACGTCTTCGCCTTCACCTTCATTATAGCCGCGCTCATCTTCAACGTCGACGACACCAATCGCTCGGCCGGCCGGATCTACTCCGGCTACTTCGGCTACCTGGGCGCCGTCCATTCCATTGCCGTCCTGATTTGTCTCTGGCCGTGGTTCCCCGGACGGCACAAGTACCCGGCGCTGACCTTCTCCGGCCTTCTCGTGCTCCTCTGCATGATGGCCGCCGTCAGCATCACCTTCTTCAACGAGGCCAAGCTGACCGCCAAAAAAACCACGTTCGAAGCCAGGTGCCTGGAAGCGGGGCAGTCGACCCACTATGTCCAGCATCTGGTCAAGTACACTCCCTACGCCGTCTTTGCGCTGATCCTTTTCTGGGGCGGCTCGTTGCTGGTCATCCGGATCCGGACCCCCAAGATGACGGATCAGGGGAAGCATACGGTCCTGACGCTGTATCTGGTTTTGACGGGGATCTTCGGCGGGTTCCTGGTCCTCACTAGCCTGATTCTTGTCTGGCTTTCTCTGGGGTTCTTCATGTACCTCCGCCAGAAAGTGGCGGAACTCTCGGGGCCGTCGTACAAGGAGAATGAATGGGGCTTTGGTCAGGTCGTGGCTGTTGTTGCGTGGGTGCCGCTCTTGGGGCAGTTTTCTGCAATAGTCATTTGTAAGTTCAGTACCTGTACGGCTGTACCTTCACCGAAGCTACTACCTACTTACTGCCCGGTACCGTCAACGAAACACTACCTCATCCTGTCCGTCTGCTGAAAACCCGTGTCTTTTGCTAACTACATGCACGGTCTTTAGGTGGACTCGCCAAGCTGTTCCTTGTCGACGGGGCTAAGGAGCTGTTCAAGCCCGTGCCGAAAGATCAGAGAGGAACAGCACGAGTGCTGGCTCAAGCCCTCCGCAACAAAAGACATCACCATAAACATCAGCATAAAAGCACGCCGGCAGAAGCGGTACCTCTGTCGTCTATCCAGAGCACCACCCATGACGAAGAAGCTGTTGGGACGACATCGGCTGGGACTGGGAGTCATGCAGAATGATACTGTAGGCACTACAGTCCGCCCTGTCGAAGCGGAACCCAGTGAGGCGATGGAGAGTGTCATGCTACTTCAAGAAAATGTATGTGTATTGACATTTATCAACGCGTATTGAAGAATTAGAGACGGGAGATGGGAGATGGGATGATTCAGATCCAGATCGATCGAGTGATGAGCGAAGCGAGAAGTTCAAATCGGGTTGAGGTAATGGATGCTGCGTCATTTTGCCGTCTTTACTCTCACTCTTCACTGATGAGTGGAAACGCTGTGATAAAGGAATGACTCTCATTGAGGACGATGAGTCTAGCGAAGCCAAAAGAAAAGAAGAAGGTCGGCCCGGGGTCGACGGAGTTGGTCGATGACAGGCCTTATAGCCTGTGCATGTGTGCGCGTCAGACGCAGCTGCCAAGTTAACCAGCATGGAGGCATGCATGATGCCCCTCTACGAGGGATCTCGCGCCTGCATCATTCATTCACTCTTTAGTTCAGGAATAACCACCCCCTGGGACGTTGACCTGTTAGTAGTGTCCAAATAATACAAAGCAGTCCACGCTTGACTTCAACTGGCTCTCTCTTTGGAGCTGGTTATCCCTGAAAACGCAGGCAAATGGTCTTCACGTCCCGCAAAAAGTGTAAACTCTACTAACCGATGCACTTGTAACGGATTCGATTAGATCGAAGCGCAGTGTATCCAGCTGCGCCACAGTGGCCCGTGGCTATCTCAGTTTGCAGTCGAGCAACGAACCAACACAACGGGGACACTCCGCGATAATGCCCGCAACAACAATCCAAAATAAGTAATTGGAGTTTGCTTCTCATTAGTAATGGTACTCGATTGAGGTATAAACTCGAAGAATTACCTGCGAGCGGTGTGGAGCGCATTTATGGCAATGCGGCGCAATGAGTTGGTATTGATGAAAGCAAGTTGATAGACACAGCTTACTTTTCTTGGGAGTGCGATTATAAGCCCATGTTCTGAAAGATTTTAACAATCAACTCATTCTCGCGCCAGTGGTTTAGTGGTAAAATCCATCGTTGCCATCGATGGGCCCCGCGTTCGATTCGCGGCTGGCGCATTTCTTTTGCATTTTTTTTTTCGCGCTCCATCTTTTGCGGATCTCGCATGTTTACTTGGAAAAAGGGGCAGTATATCTTGACGATAAGCTTCAGTTTGTTTGTCCCTTTTACTAACTTGAGTACATATGCTCCGTGAAAACTTTTCAACCACTTCCGCTTCCCCTTCAATCCGTGACTAGCATGTTGCCTTTTTACATTTACATTCTCTCCTTCCTGTCCAGAGCTCTCTCCCGAGCCCCCGGATCGCAATTCTTCCACTCCATGATCGGTTAACCGGCTTGTCAAGTGGGAGTTACACAGTAACAACGACCCCAAGCCGGCGACTTTCGTTCTCCGACCACTCATGCTTCTGTAGACCGCAGACAAGATCCATCAGCTATTCTGATCAACCACTCGGAGGTTTCCGGTGCCCCGCCAGCGTCCGCCAATAGCGCACGTACCAAATGTTCGCTACATGGCGCTTGTGCACCACCCACCCCGAATTAACGCAGGGGCACGTTTTAGCGGGAACGGCCCGCGCCGACGGACGTTAATCAATCATCAATTCCATCTTGTCAGCGTATCGTAAAGGACGCAAACGAAACCGGAGAACGAAAGATCGTTGAGGAAATATCCCATAAATTCCCAGGTGGGTAGTATTCATTTTGTTCTTTTTTTCGCCCTGTCCAGGCGACGTACATGTAGGGTCGGTAGCTTGGACCCTGAGGGTTCGTGGGCGCTTGTGGCTTCTGCAGGTACACTACTGTAGCACTCAGACCACTGCGCCTCCGGCTATTTGCACAATACCACCACACTCCACAACACCAAGCCAAACCAACAACCAACAACTTCATGAGGCTCCTCTGACTTGCTGTCTACACAGTCACAAACCACCAAAAGGAACGAGGTAGGTAAACAGAGCAAAGGCGACGACAATGGTAAGGTATATATAGTGTAAAAGACCTTTGAAAGGAAGAGGAAGCTCTCCTCTGTTCTGTCCATCACATACATCACCGTCATCACTTCACCTTCACTTGTCAACTCTCCCATCCAAAACCGCCAACATGCTCTCCCTCAAGCTCACCACCATCGCCATCCTCGCGACCCTCACCGTCGCCGCCCCATCCCCAGCCTCCACCGTCACCTCCATCTCCACAGAAGCGACAGAAGAAGTAGCAACCAAACCCTTCAGCTTCTCCCAATGGGTAGACGACATCCTCAACCCCAACGTCGTCGCCCTCACCCCAGAGGAAGCCCTCGAAGCCTACTACCAGAGCATCAACGGCACCACTACTTCTGGGGCGGAGCAATTGTCCAAGAGGGGGAGTTCAACCGCAACCTGCGAAACCGCCAACTCCAAGCGCATGCCCGTCGCCGACGCCGTTTATCTAGTCAACACCATGGCCGCGGGCGGTCAGGAACTCGTCCACATCCCGATTCCCTTTTGCTCGAAATCTGTCTGCTCCAGTCCGAGCGGGAGGTCGAGCCTGATTGGGCAGAAGGATTGTAATCTGTGGGTTGAGGAGCCGTCGGAGTATTGGGCGAGGGCTGGGGGGTTTATTATGGGTGAGCTTCTCCTTCTTTTCCTTCCTTCCTTCCTCTCGTTATTTTCATGCGGAGTGGGAGCATGAATGGTATTATCTGCTTCTGTTTGTCCTGCGCAGTATGTATGCGGTTTTGCTGATTCGACGTGTGATGACAGACGCCTGCACATGGGGTGATAAGAGCGGTGGTAAGATTGTGATGCCTGCCAATCGGTATATTACCGTTTTGCTGTATGGTCAAGGGTACTAGAGAAGTTGAATGTGTTGAGGTTGTTATGACTTATCATGGGAAAGGGTTTCCGTTTATGCGGGGGTTTATGTGTGGTGAAAAGAGATGTCATGAATTCCCAGGTTTGCATTGCTAGGTGTATTTTTTTTTTTTTTCCCCTCTGTCCAGACGATGTACATTTACATACCTGACCCTGTAGGGTCGGGCAGCTTGGACCCTGGGGGTTTGTGGGCGCTTGCCGGAAACGATTATCCAGAAGACAATACCGTACCTCATCTGTACCGTATGAACTTGGGAAATCCGGAAACCACGTCAGGCCGGCAACGAAGGGTTAGCAGAAATGCTCTGCCCTTTGCATCAACATCCGCGCACATACAGCCAAACGCAACTGGCAAACCTTCAACGTTTTGATTGACTTGGGAAAGCCGGAATTCAGGATGCAGGCTTGAAGATGTCCGACAGCCGGGTAGTGTACGCTACATAGTACATGCGCTTTGACGGCCGCCAAAAGCAGCTGACAGACTTGAAACCCTGCGTTTTCTACACGACCTGGATTCCGGGTTTCTCGAGTCTATACGATAAGAGATATAGCTTGGCGGCGGCTAGAAACGATGAATCCAGCCAATGTGATGTAGCGGCGCGGGCGAGATGGGGAAAGGTGGCAGAGACAGTACGTGCCGGAACATCGCCTTCTTACTCGGCCTTGTGACCGCTATAGCCTATGGTTCAACATCAGCTAGAACCACGAAGGGAAGGAGGTAAACCGGCCTCTACGCGATGTCGGATCATAGAATCGGCCCGTTACAAATCAGGTCTGCATGCCAAAGCTATCCATATTCCATGTAACAGACGTCCGGGACCACGGAACACGTCCCCAGCAAGAAGTGGATGTCTTCTCAAGTACACTAGGTAGGTTCTCACTCCTCTTCGACCAGACAAGATTGAGACGGCGTCAAAGATGAGGTAGAGAAGGTCGAGTTGAGCTTGGGTGGCAGGATGAAGTCATGGAAATGTTGAAACTTGGGACTGTTGAGACCTCCAGGATTAGAGTTATCTGCGTCTTGGTCAGTTTACATGGAAACTTGTCTAGATGTAAACCCGGAGGAAGCTTGAGGAGATGCGGGAACGTTTATGTTAGGGGAGAGAAGGCGATACCAGGATAGAAAAGGCGGTAAACATGGGAGGACGTTGATGTTGTATCTGGCAGGGACAGCCTTAGCCGGGGATATCTCTACAGCCAAAGGGCATTTGTTGGGATTCGGAAAGGTAACCGAAAAGAGGAAGAGACCTTGCAGTAGTAGTTCCACTGCTCGGCTCCAGTCCTCGAAAGCGTACCTGTGTGAAGCCAACCCGGAATGAGGATAGGGACACTACCACAGTAGTAGAAGGCTCTTAGCCATGTCGTGAAGAGGACCTCTAGAGGTAGGGAAGATCGGAGTATAAGAAGGACGAAGGTCGGTCATTAAACCAAAGTAGAGAATTCCCTCCCCATCCTCACCTGCACTCATCAGCTTCTCTTTCTCCCTCACCAAGTCCAGCATCCCCATACCGTCAAAATGGTCGCCATGAAACTCGCCACCATCGCCGTCCTCGCGACTGTCGCCGTCGCCGCGCCAGCCACTACCGCCACCACCACGACGGAGGCTAAGCCTTTCAGCTTCTCCCAGTGGGTTGACGACATCATCAACCCCGACGTAGTCGCCCTCACCCCTGAGCAGGCCGTTGAGGCCTACTACCAGAGCATCAACGCCACCACGTCCACCCACGACGGCACCGTAAAGGCTAAGCGGGTCGAAAAGCATTGCTTCAATGACGATTTGGGCTGGCGGGCCGATGTCGACGCCGCTGTCAAGTGCGTGAACGAGGTGGCGGCGCTGGGGAGCAGTGTTCGCTACACCGTTAAGCCCGGCGTAGAGGTCTGCCGTGACATTCCTGGGGTGAAGATAAAGGTTGACCCCGGCTATCCCGACACTTGGGAGGTCACAGCGTAAGATGATTCCCGTTCTGTTCCTAGCATTCTCGACGCGAGTCGACGTCGTCTGCTCATGATTGCCTCTACTCCAAGAAGAGATTGATTGCTAACGTCTGGGTCCTCGGGATATTTAGTCAGCAACTCGCCATTGCTGGTGGACACATCATGGGTAAGTGGTCCAAGGTTGTCTGGGATTGACTACCTACCTATGCTACCTAATCCCCTTTCCTCTTACCCATTCCTGTTGAAAGCAAGGTGACCGAGCACGTTTCTAACAATTCTGGATCACCTGACAGACGCTTGTACCTGGGGTGGCAGAACTGGTGGAATGATTTTCGAGGAATGGAACCGATGGATGGAGATCGATTTGCGCAGCAAGTGAGAAATGTGTGAACAACCGGGCTGGGGGACGGAGATATGAGGTTGTGTGTTATCGCCAAGGGGTAAGGGACATGGTTACATGGATAATGAGGAATGGACATGCCGAGGGATAAGGAAAACAGTTTCGGAATACATACAACCTACCTTATCTTGGAGATTTTTGCGCAGGTTCTGACCCAATCCATCCGGACGCCCAATCGATAATCACTGTTTTGATGTCTGGTATATAGTTGTCCCGGCGGCGGCGGTAACGGCCCCATCGGACAAAATAGAGTGCAGCCCATTCGGCCCGGACCCGTCCTTCTTCCATATCCAAACAGTATAGCTTGGCTCTGACGTTCGGTGAATTGATGGGTGGCAGACTGGCAGGGGGCACTCAAAGCCCGTTGTTAGCTCTGGTGAATGAACTGAGCCGTCAAGTGCCAAACACAGTGGTTAACTGCATGCAAGTTGGCGTACGTAGGTACTTGGCCCTGCAGCAGAACGGTCAGGTCAGAAGCCGGGATCAAAATCTCTCGGGTCTGACGTTGGTTGAACTGCGGTTGGCCGCGGTGCGCCCGACGGCTATGTGACCCGATCTGGATTGCCTGGGCTGTTGAATGTCGGTACTGATGCTGGGACGGGGCCGGAGATGGGGTGAAATGCCGTGACTCGGCACTCGGAAACGCTAGGTGATGGAAAGGTGGGTTCCTGAACCGACGAGCTGAACGGCTTTGGCTCGATTCATAGGTAGGGACCATTGGGAAAGCTTCAAGTTGCTGTGAAAGCAACAAGGTATCTTACCAGTTGAATACTTTTCATGCTATTGGTAGTTTGAATGCAAAAGAGGAAGAAAACCAAGAGAATATTCCGGGAGTACCTCCACATAACATCTCTTCTCCATGTACGTACCATAGTGGGAGAATACGGACGGCACCCTCTAGCCCAGATGCATCGTTTGTGCCAGACGGTTGAGCAGGCCTTCTGACTGGCCAGAATGTTCGAAAAAAGGGCAAAAGCCAAGGACCTTCTATAACGGTCAAGACAGCTGTAGAAGGTTGCTAAGTTGAGAAGGTTGAAGGTAGGCGGATGAGGTAAGTGGTGAAGGGAAAGACTTCAATTTCGAAATCCGAAGTTATCGCAAAACTTTTTGCGCGACCGGAAAAACTACCGCAAGCGGAATCAGACTGGCAATCACAAGAAAAAGAACAAAGACAAGAGCCATGGAGCCACTTGCTCAATTGACTCCCAGGAAGGTCCTCTCATTTTTCTTATACAGGAAAGTATTTGATCCCGGGAAAGAACCATCGTTAGGGGCACTTGGGGGAAGCGGGAAGACTTGGGAAGGAACCGCCCTCGACTACCTCGAGCATCCCACTGAAGACAACGAACAACGACCAATCAGAAGCCTCGAACAATAACAAGACCAGACGATTCATCTGGGCCAGATGCCGCCCGCATTTTCCCGCTATGGTCAGGCCTCTTTGTCTATTTTCTGTGGCACTGTTATGCTGGATTCCTGGTGATGGGATCAGTCGGACTTGGAGTTGGCTCTAGACTTAGGCTCTAGCCGAGTTCAACTCAATGGCACTTGAATCGGTTGGAAAGCAAGGAGAGTGAGTGGCATGGGAAAACAACGATGAGAACATGTCAAGACCTGCGAATCTGTGATGGAGAAGACGTGTTAACTCGAAACAAAGAAACAGAGCGAACGGAAGTTCTCCTACCTAAGGGTACCTTGAAGGATAGACGACTTGGAAGATTTGACTATTGCCTGATGGTCCGACAGGTGATGGGCCATGGGCGGCGGTACGTGACCTTGATACCTATGACTGCGTTTGTTTTGGTATGGTTTTCGTATAAAGGGCCCCATGCGACCGGTTTTATACTCAAAAAGGTGGCCAACCCGCGAACTGTCCCAAGTTGAGTTGTAAGGCAGTTACAGTCTTGCCGTCGCAAAGCCCATTACATCGCCTGGTTATTTTCCGCCTACGCCGTCGTTTCCGACCTGGACGTTCTGTGGCTCTGATTCTGGGCATTGTCGATCATCCTAGGGGCAAACATTTAGGGGTTTCTTGGTGCTTTCTTGGACTGCTCCGCTTGGGACTTGGGTTGTGCCGATTTCCGCGCGAGGCGCTGATAGATCAACGGCGTCTCCGGTTGTTGCTCGAGTCTCCGAACGGCGAACGAGGCAATTGAGGCCGAGAGGGAGATAGGTCATGATCGATCTATGAGCTATTTTGAAGATGGGACGACAGATTTTGGATTCCATGTCAGGCCATTCATTCCCCGTACCAACTACCTACCTACCTCCCTACCTAGAGAGCACATGAAGAGCGTGAGGTAAGATTTGGAACCAGTTATTAGAAAGCCTTTTGATGACGATGAACCTTCATGCGCATGAAGGACGACAAAGGGAAATAAAGAGAACAACAACCAAGTCAACCGCGCAAATTCCAAGGGGGGGGGGGGGGGGGGGGGGATATCTCAAAATAAAACAACTACTGTCTAAAGCAACTAGAAACAACAACCAAGCAAACCGAAAAAAGCACACCCGACACGCCCCATGCAACAACGGTGCCATAAACAGCAAGAGCCGAAAACCACAACTTTCATTTTTTTTTCTTCGCCCAAAGAAGGATGTATAAGGACTTGGCGTCTCTTTCCCTCTAGCCCGCATCCAGCTCAAGTATAGCAAGCATGATATGATATACTTTGTGTTACCCCAGCAGCAACATTCCCTCACCCGTTCGGTTCGTCGTCGTGTCCTTCTCAAAATAAGAGCGGGAAATTAGGCAAGAAAAGCAGTTAGATGGTATGAAACTACAACGCCGTATACTCTTGAAATCGAGGTACCATTATCCGTGTCTGAGGCCAGCTTTCTCTCCAAGATCGGATAGGTCCTGCGTGCCTGGACGTATGGAGATGCATTACTAGAAATGCCGTTTCCTCGTGGGAAGGAACTTCTAGACTCCAGTCAAAACCCAGAGTCTGAGAATAACACGCATACCAGCGAGTGACGGGAGGTCCAACTCAAGGATGAAACTACTTCCGCACAACACCTCGGCTTAGCATCTCAGTAGAGACCAGCGGGTGGAAACCATTCCTGTCTTGTGCTGGTGAACCGAAGTCGTCACCCATCCAGGCAGGCAAATTCTCAAGCATCGGAAAGAAAAGCCGTTCATTGAAGGACGACCCAACTGGGTAATATGTAAAAGGGAGTAAAGGAGAGAACAGCGCTGATGCTGGCAGATTCTCAAGGGTCACACCCACTTTGTGCCCGAATAATCCGCCTTTCTCGCGCCAAGAATTGCCTGCCCAGGAGCTTTCGTTCGTGCGACCGATCTACCAGTGACAAGCCGAAATGTTTCCCTAACGCCGAGTATGCGGATGTGATGAAAGTGTATAATACAGGCAAGTCTTTTTTTTTTGTCGTCGATTGGTGACTTGATCATGCATTTGTGACCTAATAAAATCGTCAGTAAGATTGGTTGGGTAGATCAAGAGGCTGAAAATGCAAAATCACGTACGCGAAGGATCCTCCTGGAGTAATCTTGGTTGTCGGCGATGCTGCCATCGCTCAATCTCCTCTGCACGAGGACAGGGTCGAGTCGGGCGTCTGCCATGGACATTCCATCGCTGGTGCTGGGCGGCTTGCCAACGAAAGCATTGACGGCAGCGTTGCGGCGATGCTCATCCTCGATCTCCTTGTTCCGCTTGCGACGCATATAGAGGAAGACACCTCCGACCGCAGACAAGACAACAACGACTGCCACCACGGTGCCTGCCACGATTCCGGCCGTGTTGCTTTTGCCCTTCTTTTCGGGGTCCTCGGGCAAGGTTGATTCAGTAGTGCTGGCAGTCGGTTCGGATACGGCGCTTGAAATGCTGGACGTCTTGGCCGCAGCAGTTGAGCTCGGTGCCGCGCTGGTGCTAGAGGGCTTAGGCTCTGTGTTTGGAACCACTAATTGTAAGCCAGAGTTGTAAACGCTCCACGTATCGGCACCGCCGCCTGTAAAATGATTAGCGTCTTACAGGATATGATTCAACCAGTCTCTGTAACTTACAATAGTCCAAGTTATAGCCCGAGCATGGGAGATCGCAGTCTGATATGGCGGTCATGGACGACTTTGGCGGATATTCCATACCACACCAACACTGATCTCCTTGACTCATTGCGAAAACATTCATCTTAATGGAACTGCACCAATTGTAACAGAGGCCACTTGTCACACCAAGATCCTGCACTGGGCCTTGGCCGAAGTTCATTATTTTCTGAGTGTTCATGCGTGTGGTGTTCAGCTTCATGGTGCCTGAATCATTGAAACAACCCTGGTAGGTCATTTGAAGAAAGATGGGTTTTGTCGGTTTCGGGAATGGTGGTGAGTCGTCTCTGACGGATAGCGAGCCCAGGGGATCGTCTCTGACGTCTAGCGAGCCCAGGGGATGGTGCGCTGTCGCAATGGCGCAGTTGGCGGCGAAGGCCGTTAATAGTACCGATATCGACTTCATGGTGTATAGTTGAAGGACTTCGAAGTTTTAATGTGACGATAACAAGTCGTGGGTAACGGCAACGGTCGAGCAATGAGGTCGTCGTCGTGTTGTTGTCGTCGTCGTCGAGTGCTGACTTGGGCTTGAGGTTGGGTCAAACACAATTAACGCAGCACCCTTGGAGAGCCCTGGCGGTTTGGAGTTGAAAGGACAAGGAGGGATTTAGCCTCCTACGTGTCGAGTTGAATGGCGAGTGGTGAATGAAGCGGATGTCGATGGGCTGATGATAACGAGTGGTGCTGCCCCTTCTTCTTGTCTCCTGTTGTTCCCTTTGTTTGCGGATCCCTTGGTATTCCTTGTTGATGGTTGACGAGGTCACGAGTGGTTGGACATTGCCTTTGTTCCAATCGGTGTCGGTCGACGGAAGACTATGACTCGACGACGGCGCTGGAGCGGGCCGAGATGGTTAGTGTGACTTTTGGACGATGGTCAAGAACGGAAGTCGGGGGTCGGGATGCGACCGGGCAAGTGAGCGTGATGGTGTCGTTATCGTCGTTGTGGATAATGATTGTGTTGTGGTCGAATGATGGAAATTGTCGGACACGCACACACGAGAATAGGGAGCGCAATTGAAGGAGCGACAGTGTGGGTGTGGAGGAGGGAGCGGAAGTGGTTTTGTTTGAGAGGGAGCGGCCGGCCGAAAGTGCGAAAAGGCGCAATGAGTGGGAATGGCCGTGGAGTGGGAATGGGAGTGGGTGGGTGTGTGGGAGACAGAGCGGGAACACAAAATGGAAGAGCGGCAAAACTGAGTGGCAGACTGGCTGGGAGTAACAAGAACGGACCTGTGAAAGAGACGGACTGGAGAGAGCACTGAGAGGGGCAGGGGCCCTGGACGGCGCGGCAGGTGCAAACTGTGCAGTGCAGGTACCGTATTGATACGCACGAGAGGTTCTTTCGCCGAACCTGGCAGACGGAACTTTCAAGTTCAATTGATTTCAAGGAGTGGCCCGCGACTGTTGTTTGATTCAAAAACCAACCGCATCCCCAAAAAAGATGAGCAAAGAGTTTGAGAGAGGGGACAAGAGACCAAAGACCACAGGCGGAATGTCAGGAGCTGAGGACCTGAGGACCGTCGAGACCCGGACACCACGGCGAAAACGGGGGAATGCGCAAGTTGGGGGAGGACGACGGGGCCGCTGGAAATTGCGCGATGGAGCCCAATCCCCTGACGCCTGGGGCCTCGGGATGCATCATTCGAAAATCGAAACGAGAGGCACATGCATCCCGGTCATCTCTCACCTCTCACCTGAATTGCGGCCCACAAAAAGGGAGGCTGGGTGGGTCATTTGGCCAATGAGGACAGTCCTCTGCCAAAAATATGTGCCTTTCCGACCTGCCATTGGCTGGGTCATCACGCCCGTCTGGTGGAGTAACAAACTGGGGCAAGCACATTTCAGGGGTACCCGTCATTCTGTCGATCGCATGGAGAGAGGCCACCTCAGAAGGTGCGAAAAAGAGCGAGGAAGGGGCCACCACTTCATACGTGTATATGTGGAAGGTCCTGCTACGGTACTTGGGTTAGCCAGGACCTCGCTCGCTGTTAGTGCTCTCAAGGTTTTGCTACACTGACGGTATCTTTTGAAGAACCATTTCTACCAAGAGTTACAAGCACTCCTTTGCAACAAGCCTCTGCACATACGGGCGCCCACATGGAGTTTTATAGCCCAGCTTCGCGACCACTCTATGAAGTCAAAACCAAAGCATGGAAAACAGGAGATGAGACACGATCTGCCCAGAGATAGCAATCTTGCCCTTTCATTCGGGATGAACGACAAACAATCATGTCCTGCTTTCTGTACCACATCAGGGAGATGCAAAGCCTTTTCTCTGCAGTCATTTCACCACCGGGGTCCTGCCCCTTTTTCATGTGCCTGGGGGGGAAGATGAATGAAAGATGATGGTGACTTGCCAGCTTGCTTACATATGCACAGCATCGATGAAACGGGATCACCGCCAGCTTGAACCACGCGGGCATCAATGTTGACGGTTTGTCGACCACTCCCAACGGTCCAACCACGCATCCGCCGTCGCCATTGGGAACCATCTTACCACGACGATAACCTCTTGACCAAGAAACAGGGGATGGCAACATGAAACAACAAACACGGGGGTTTGCCAGACAAAGATTCCACCTTGACGGGCACCATCCTTTTTCAAACGGTCGGTTCCCGTCATTCCCGCCCTAGGGCACCGTAAGTCCGTGACCGAAAAAGAGGCCTCTCATTTGGGGGTCGTTATCCAACTGTCCAGGTTCTCCATTTCCATTTCCTCTATCGCCATCTGTTTTTCCAATGTCAGTCTCTTGCCAAGGAGACGAACCAGGAGGTGGTGGGAGGTCGAGCTTCGAGAGCTTCCTTCCATGTTCGCTTTCTCCAGTTATCTTGCTTCCATTCGGATACGAAAGGAGTCTCCACTCCAATGACACATGGACCGGTCCAGCCAGGCTCACTGCCCGCAAGCCGCAGCATTTTCAGCACTTCAGCCGAACACATGTCACCATCATTGATCATGATCTGTCGAGAGCATCGAGCAAAAGCAAAGCGTCGGTCCTTTGGGAAGCAGGAGCAGGTGAAGCGGCCAAATGCACCAAGATGGGAAGCATAGGCGACGAAGGGTAACTGTAGCTTCAACCCTAGAGGTAACGCTTTCTGACCATCACCGAACCAACCACAACCAATAAGTCATCAACCAACAAGCGAACAAACGGGGCATCAGTGAAAGTGTCAGCTAATCAGCCTGAAAACTCTTTGAAATACTTCAGATACGAAGTGTAGAGTGTGAGTGAAAAGGTGCCGCCTGACCGCAGGATATTCGTACCACGGAATCACGACACCGTTGCGCTACACACCATTGCAACCACTCTCAAACAAACTGCTACACTACCTCTATGTACGCATCGCCAAAAAACAAAACTCGGAACTGAACCACCTCTAGCCAGAGTTCATTCATCTTGCACCGTTTTTGGTTCCCAAAAAACCAAACAAAAAAAAGGCTCCTGTAGTCTTTATCTACCTCCATCAACCCCGTCAATAACTGCCGACCCGATTGTTCCGACAGCTTTTCTTCCAGCGCACGTCAACATAGCATAGTCAGCAGCGGAAAGTTCCGTGCTTCGCAATGGGATGACCCATCACTGCCTTTTGCAGTTCCCGTCCCTTCTTGACGGAAAAACTCCGGCGGAGGTGAGTGAGCTCTGGAGGTCGGATCGGGCAACAGGATCGATCACCTTTGTTCATGCTTCTCTTTCCCTATCCTCGTTCTTATCCATTCTTTTCTTTCCGGCTTCGTGATACATACACTAAAAAGGTACTGCTCGCTGCTCACTGTTTCGGTGCCGACACGGGCACTGCAACTGGCAACTACAACTGGCAACCGCATCACACTCGCACACTGGCAGCTACAAACTGGACGATCTCCTCTTTTCCGCCCGTACCTGCGTTCGAGCTGTTGCGTTTCTGCGTACATACCTGCGTACCGCTCGTACCTTACTGCGTACACAAAACCCCCTGCAAGACGTCCCTTCCCTAACCGGAGAAATTCCCCTGAATACTGCATAAGCAAAGGCCCTTTTTCTGTACAGCCACCTGCACTCATGAACCATATCGTTGCATCGATTGATAGACAGTCCAGCTCGGGATCCATCTCTGGTGAATCGACCCATCATCCTTCTTCTGCCTTTCCCATTCATCCATGCTCTCCGGGGGATACTCAGCAACGAATGCGTCATGACATTGGCCGAGATAGACGTAAAATGCTAAGAAAGATGGGATTAGTCTAATCAATGACCGACCGGTCAGAAAACCAAACCACAACATACCTTTCGGCTTCTTGACGAGCATTCACGCTCAAACCATGAGACTTCTTCACGGTGCCGTCCTTATCCACGGTCTGCCGGACAGCGACGTCACAGCCTTGATGCTTTTTAATGTGCTTAACGAGCGCCATGCGAGAGGAATATTGACGCTACAAAATTAATCAGTAACCACTCTCCAACTAGTTTGCATTATCTCCAGTTACTTACTTGGCTAGAACAAAGTCGTCCGTCAATAACAGCGTGGCAGTATCGTTTACCAAGCTGAATGATTAATTTTCCATTCTATAATTTTGGTATTAGTGGATTGGTCCAAGATTAGTCAAAGACTGGTCCATAACTAGTTCAAGACTAGTTCAGGACGAACTAAAATAAAACTCAACTTAATACGTACCTTATCTTTCTCAAACGCGAGAAGACCCTCCCACCTTTACCCATCGCTCCCCTGCTGATAGCGTTGAAAGGCTTCTGATTGTTCATAAGCAGTTGCCATAGTAGGTTGGTTAGTCTGAAATTAGTCTTGAAAAAGTCTTCAAAATATTTTGTAAAGTTTAGATCAATGATGGTTCAGTCTTGGTTCAATATTAGTTTAGTCATAGATCACTATATACAAATAAGGAAAGCAAAAGAGAAGAAAAAGGCATATCGAAGTGAGCAACTATGACACAATATATACTACTTTGAGGCTATATTGATATTATAAGTTTCGGATTACCTAAGCTCCCAAATAAGTCTAGTCCAAGATAAGTTCACTCAACTTTGGGCATACCCATCAGGCACCAATGCAGGATGTAGTACTCTAGGGCGATAAGAAACAAGTAGGGACCCATTGCACTTGTCGGTCCGCGCGCACGTGCCGCGGTCGGCGGTTCCTGGCAGGTTTGGCAGCTGGCGGCGGAGGCTGTGCTGCCTGCTTCCACTTTGCTTTGCTTCGCCATGCTTGATTTGCTTGGCTGACGGCTGTGTGGCCTGTGCGTGCACGGATTATTGATGCGCTCAATGCGGTGGAGTTCAGTGTTCACGGTGACGGGAGTTCCCCGCCCGTATTGTACCTTGCTGCCGACGCCGTGGAGAGTGTGACAGCCAGGAGACCGGACTGCAACTTCGGGAACTGCGGTGGTGAGATGTAGCGGAAAATGAGATTATGCGGCTTCGGTATTAAAGTACCATTGCATGCGATCCGTTTATTCCTCAATCCGTCCATCTATGCATCCACCATGCATCGAATCGACGGCAGTCAGATTGTTACACGTAGATGTGAACTATTTTGGGATTTTTGGGAAAAGGATATCCGAGACCTTGAATCGGGCGGGGTCTGAGTTCTAGGAAGCTGGAACCGAAGATGTCAGCAGCTGCAATGGGAACGGGGAAGCGCGCCGTGGAACTAAAGGGATTGGAATAACCGCTTTGTTGACTTCGTTGTGGGAAGTCAAAACAACGAGAACGAAGTCAAGTGAAGTTAGTATCTCAAGCCAAACAAATACCAAATTGAAGAGAGAAAACCATGCAGGGTTGGTCAAATACCTTCAAGCGTACATACATCCAACTATCATCAGCAAAGCTGACTTCCTTTTTGCCATGATTGCAAAATTGTCTGGCAGTACCTGAGACGTCACTGCACTAACAATTTCCCGTGTTAAAATACGAGCGCAGATGCTAGTGAACTAACCCTCCAATTTCAAACGCACGAACTTCATGACACTTTCATGACCATCCATCCGTGGTCACAAATACGTCCAACCATGGAAGTCCACCAAGCTCTCCAGTCTCGTTTAATAGGTCACAGAATTGAAAGCTTTACCGAACAGTCAGTGAATCACTGAAGCTTTTGTGATAACCCGGTCCTTTGTACATCGACAAAGCAGTATTACGATTGAGACCAGTCGGAACTCGGAAAATCAAGAGGAACAAGCGGGCACATGGGCGACACAAGGTTGTTGGAGCTGTCAAGCTAGATTGACAGAATCGATTTATAGGTACCGGTTGAACCAATAACCTCAAGACCAAGGTGATGAACGAAAAGAATAAGCATAGCTGATCTGGGCAGTGTCGCTCTTTCTCTTAAACTTGAGACCTAGAGTCACGGCAGGTAGTAGAAAGCAGGAGAATAAGTAACAGGTTGAGAAAGGGCATTGATTTCATCACCAACCCCCCATACGATGAACGATGTACGTCAATGCATATTCCGCCACCGAGTAATCGCTAAACTCAGCATGCTTCCTATCTAAAATTGCACAACGTTCCGAATGCTGCAACACTCAAATTGCAAAACATGCTTCACTACCTACACTACACTACTTTCCCCTCTCTACCCCCTCTCTACCCCCTCCTCACCGATGATGCTCCTCACTCTCCACACACTCCGTCCGATGCGTCTTCCAATCCCTCCTCTGACACTCGGCGCTACAATACCTAACCTTCAAACACCTCGCACACTTCCTCAACACCTCCGCCGTTTTCCCAGCCGTCTCCCCCCCCTTCGCTTTCAGTTCCTCAACCAGCTCCTCCTCCCCCTTCCCACAACACCTACACCTCTCCTCCTTTTTTCGGAGTGCCTCCTCCAGCCCGCGCTCCGCAATCTTTCTAGCCAAAACCGGATCGAACACCACCCTTTCTACGGTGGGGGAGCAGTACGGAGCGGAAATAGCCACGCGCGTGGCGTGCCGGGCTGCTGCTGACTCCCAGAGGGGTAAGGAGAGGTAGTTGGGGGGGAAATGGCCGGTGCCGCAGGTGCAGAGGACTGGTTCCCCCTTTTGGAGGCTCAGGGGGACGTGGCCGCCGGTGGTGACGTATTCGCAGGAGGAGGGGGAGTGGGACCAGGTACGGCAGCGTTCGGCGAAGGAAGGGAGGATGGATTTCCAGAGGGAGAGCTCGGCGTCGGTGACGGTGAGGTCGACGCATTCGAGGGTGCGGAGGAGGACTAGGAAGGATTGGAGGTCCTCCTCGTCGTCGTCGTCGCCGCCGTCGCCGCCGCCGCTGGATGCGGACTTTTTGGTGTTGTCGAGCAAAGAGCGGGTAAGCGGCAGTACGGCCGCATCGAGAATTATCCCCCCACCGGACTGGGCGCTGCAGTCGAGTCGGATGGCGGAGACGAGGATTAGGATGTGCCTACCATCCGATGACGATGACCCGGACCCGGGCCCAGAAACGGGGCTGAGGGCGAAAAGACCGGATTGTCCCACTTGCAGGCCGGCAGCGATGTTGATCATGGTGAGGAAGGATTCCTTGAGGGTTAGTCTTGCCGAGCCCCAGCTGGATTCATCTAGGCTCTGTTCGAAAGCGGCTTGACGCACACGGAGTTCGCGGGGTGAGTAGATGGAGGAAGCTAAGGGGCCGAGAAATGAGAGTCGAGAGGCGTCGGAGAGGGAGAGGATGGGGAGCGAGTCGAGGTTGACCGTGGCGGCGTTGAGGGGGACGGGGATGAGTTGGGATGACTCTGACGATGGGTCGGTGGCTTGTAGGACTGTAGGGAAAATGTACTCGTCTAGCACACTGGCAGGTATCGCAGATCGGGGGTTGAGAATCGCGGGCGCGATCACTTCAATGTACCCTGAAGTGCGAGCGATGCGCGTTTTGCTGCCTTCTTTTAGAACGGGGGTCGGGAAGACGAGTGGTTTGACAAGTGTCCCGGCGCCCAAGACGATGTCGATAGTCCAAGGAGAAGACTGGCGAAGACTGATGGGGACGGTCTTATCAGCCAGTAACCGCTTGTCCTCTTCCGTGATGAAATCCAGATGGCCGGTGATGGTCTTGAGTATACCCGAAGAGACATCAAAGCTTGCTGTAAACACCGGGCAGCCATCCGCTTCCGCCTCGGTTGCCGTCGTCGACTCAGAGCCAGATACCTCCTCCAACGCCTTTTTCAGCAAGGCATCCTGCACGGAATTGCCCCCGATCTTCTCTAGAATAGCCCGACGGAACTCCTCCCTATCCGTCTCAAACTGCCCACAAACCACACCCAAAAAGTCCAAAAGGGTCTGCCACAGACCCTCCCCCCAAGACACCTTGACCAGCTCCTGCCCCTGATGCACCACCCGCTGGCCCTCGATCTGGAAAACCACCAAATTCTGATAAACCCTCCACGCCGCCTCCGCCAACTCCTTTGCATCGACGACAACCGTTGGCTTCCTCCACTTTCCGCCGTGCTGCCCAGGATTTAGCCACCTAGAGTGTTTCCTCAACAGCCGATTACTAATCTGCAGTCCGTTTTCCTCCAACTTCTTCACCCTAGCAGCCGCCTTCTCCTTCTCCTTCTCCTTCACGCCAGCCCCTTCACCTAGTCCACCGCCAGCGGCATAAACATCATCATCATCGTCATCATCATCATACAACTGCGCAGCAGCCCCAAGACACTCATCCACCGTCGCCCTAACACTAGCATTACTCCAATATTCCACCGGCGTCAGACCCAGAATGAACGCGCCGGTCGTCGAGTTGGCAGCCTCAGCAAATCTGGAGTTATTAGAGTCCATGTCATCGCCATCAACATCAACAACCAGCGAAACCCCCTCCCCGTTGTCCATAACCAGCGTCGAAGATGGCCGGTCTTTAAGCAATCGCTTGGCGGCAACCATCAGCCCAAGAAGGCCAGGCGGGTCGGGAACGCCGGCCGCAAAGGGGGACCAAAACATGCTGAGGGAGAACGAAGGAGAAGAGAGGTCGGTGGTGTCGATTATGTCGAACTGTTTTTTGGTCTCTGCCGCTGGTGGGTGAAGTAGAGACTGGCAAAGCGGAAACCATCCATCTACCGCGAACCGGATCGTCAGTCTTTTTTGCTTCGCGGCCGCAAGCTCCCGGAAGGCAAGAGACCATTGAGCAAACTGGTGCTTTGCCACACCGAGAACAGTCGTGTTTCCATCGTCGTCATCATCGTCGTCCTCCTCCTCCTCCTTAGAAGGACGCAGCGGGGAGAGCTCAGTAAGCGGTGCCTTGGCCAAAGCGAGATGATAACCTAGTACGCCATTAGAGGGGTAGGCTAGACGGCGGCCCTGGCCCGAGGATTCGGACAACAAGCCGACAGCGAACGTAGGGTTAGGAAACATCTTCTTTCCCTCCGCGATTTCCTGGTCAAACTCCCAAGTCCACCGAACGTAGTTCCGTATTCTATCCTTTAGGACGGCTGTCAAGGGCGCGGCTGACGAGCCTAACGCCCAGGCCTGGCGCTCTGAGGGTGATAACTTCATACCCTGCTTCATTGCCCCCGCAAGCTCCCCAATCTTTTCCGTCCCAGGTGCTGACCTTGCTGCTTCGGCGTATTGTTCCCAAACACCCCTTACCGCGTCCAAGCTTTTTTGGTTGAGAAAGTGTATCATCCCGCCATATGGTCCTTGCTCCCAGTCCTCCATCGTCTTGGAAAGCTGATATAGTCTTTCCGCTTGGAGGGCTAGTAAGTCCCTGGTTTCCGGGTCGGGGAGGAAGCGAGTGTAGTAAATGTCCCATATCCTGGCGAGCTTTTCCTTCAAGGCCTTTTCGCTCGCAGCATCCTTCCCCTTCCCCTCCTCATCCCCATCCCCCTCCCCACCCAACTCCAACCCCAAAACAAGACTCAACCCCAACACATTCCTCGCCACCACGTACTTATCCTCATTACTCATGGTAATATCGATCTTCCTCTCCCTTAGACTCCTCCTCTCCCCCGCGTCATTTTGCTGTCCATGCTGTCCATGCCCCCCTACTTCGGAATAAGCCGTATACAAGATATGCCGGACATCCTTCCCTCCGATGACGAGGATATCGGCGTCTAGATCGGCGGGCAGGGGGGAGGTGAGGTTGGTTGCTGGGGTGGTGGCTAGGGGGTTGAAGAGGGTTTTTTTTTCGTTGGTGGTGGTGGTGGTGGTGGTGGGTGTCATTGTGTCATTTGAATGCTGAGTGGTTGTACTGAGTAGACTGTGTTGGGTTTGGTTGTGGGGTTAATGTTGATGTTGGTGATTTTAATGTTGAAGGTGATGAGGTGCTCCTGGGTTGTTGACTTTTGGCCTTGGGGGTGCTCGATTTAGGTTTCGGAGGTGGTGGTTCGGTTGAGATACAGGTGGGTTATTGAATGAGATATTACGACGGGAGTCGTTAAAGGAGTTTTTAGCTGCCCGCTCGTGCCAATGCAATGGAATCCGACAGTGCCTGATGGACGCTGCACCGCAGTGAGGTCGGCGAAGATGGTGGGGCCTTCCATGTGTTGTCACAGTAATTGCACTGTGGACGTTGAAGTTGTCAGATTCTAGGGTGGTATTCTGGCCAGATGTGGGCTAGATGCCAGAGTCCCAGCCACCTGATTTAACAGGTCTTGGCTAGGGGTCGATCGGAAATTCCTGTAAGCGGTAAGAAATGGAAATTTCGGTAATTGAAGTGAAAAATAAGGATCTCTTACCAGATTTACAGGTCACGTGGCAATACACGTGATAAAATTTTTCCTTTTTGCACCCAACAAGCTAAGTAGGGCACCAGAACTAGCGCTAAAATCAGTAAAATCTGTATAAAAAGATGATTACATAGATAAATATCGACTGGTCTTTCATAGTATTTATTTACTTTCTTCTCAATTAGGCAGTCTATTTACTCGTTTTATTGTTCTAGTTGATTGTCCGCTAGCATATTGTTATACAAACGTTCCTCGATCTCAATCAAACGTGCCTCTCTTTCCTCGTAAGTTAGCGCAACGAAAGAGCTATCTAAATCGTATAGATACTTCCTATTTATAAAAATAAAAGTAGCTTAATCCATCCGCTCTCCTAATAAATAATTACGTATAGGTAACTCTAGAAAGTTCATAGTCGAAAAGGCTCGGTCGTAAAGTACATTATTAACTGCCGTACTAAATACCCTCCTTATAAATAGCGTTATACCGGATCGATAGTCTAATAAATATACCTAGAACTACTTGGGCTCGAAATCAAACCTCCAGACTTGGGCATATAGCGCGTATATCCCTTCCCGAATCCTAAAATTAAAAAAGTCTTCAATAACTCGTACAATGAATACAATAAAGTAATAAGTATATTATTAAAGGAAAATAATAATTATTATTTAAATACTTAAAATATGAGGGCGAATAGCTTTAATTACTTCTATAATAATAATAATCGGTAGTAAAAGGTAGCTTAGCTAATTTAGGGGATTTAATTACTTAATCCTTCTAGCAATATAGAGGCGCTCGAACTCCTACTACTCCATAATAGGTATAGAGTATTAAAATTACTCCTATACCCCCTAAATTTCAAACTACTTCTTAATAACGTAACTAACGTACGTTCGATCTACCTTTAAAGAAAGTTAGACTTCGTAAAGTAGCAAAAAGAAACGCTCAAACTTCTCGAAATTACCCTAGAATTACATACTCTCAATAATCTCGAACATTTAATTATAACGTATAAAAGTAGCGCCTTCTTCTTATACGCCTAATACATCTTAATACCAATTATAGAATTACGCTTATATAGCGAAGGTTTATAATACGAACTTCGATTTTTTAATTGAAGTAACTAATTTATATTACGACCCCTATCGAGTATTTATACCAATTTAATTAATTTACTATACTAAATAAATAATAAAGGGATATACTTACTTAGCTAATAAGAAAATAATACGACCGCAATAAAGCATTATTAACGTACGTAAGTATAATAGCTACAACTTCGAAGCGCAAAAGTAATTAATTAAGCAACTAACCTTTTAAATAACGCTCTTAAAAGTAAGAATATTGAACATATCCTTTATAAGTAATTAAAGGGAGTAAAAGTTGTAAAGAACCGTAAAAGCATAATTAAAACAGTTATTTATAATTAAATTTTAAATAGTACGTCGTACTACGTTATAAATATCGGTAATAAACGTATTTACTTTACCTATTTATCCCCTTACTATATTAATAATTACCGCGGTAACTATAGCGGCGAAATTAGCGGATATATATTTAATAATACTGATATCTTTATTAATCTAAAAGAACAATAGTCCGTTAGGTATAACGAAGGAAATATTAATAATACAACGGCTAGCGTAGTCGTTAGACTTATTAAAAAAAATATTAATATATTAGGTGGGCTCGAAGAGGGTAATCTTCAATTAATTCTTTATAAAATTATGGACTTTAGGCAACTACTCATCGCGTATAGCTGCCGCGTTTAGCGGAGTATAAAGAGGAATTAGCGAGTAGAGGAAAGCCTTTATAGGACTACTCTCAAAGAGAGTAAATTCCCTACTATTAAAGAGAACTACTTTTACTATATAGAGGTCGACCTTCTCCTTTTACACGTCGATTAATAATAAAATATACCTTCGTATATCCTTACGGCCTTAGACTTACTATTAGGCACGGTTAAGGGTATACTACTTACAAGCAGCAAAATAGCGAAAAAGGCGGGTAATATTAACGGCTACTTAGTACTAGCAATAGCAGCAAGTGGCAATCTAATAAACGTTACCAAAATTATTAACGAGGGTAAATTCGCGTTAGATAGCTTAAAAGTGACGTTGGACAAGTATCGTAATATAAATAAAGAGCTAGTAATAGCGAGCTTAAAAAGCGAATCGATGTACAAAAAGGTTAGATTTCCAACGATTTACCCTGTTAGAAAGTGCCAGAGATTAACCAGATTTAATTACCAGACCGTAGATTGTGGGTGCTGTGCACGGACTCGTGCACGGACTCTTACCAGAATTTCGGTAAGGAAAAGTGTAAGGAAATGAAAAAATCCCAGATTTACGGAAAATATCGACCCCTAGTCTTGGCAAATATAGGATACCCCCAAACCCCCAGACCTTTTATAGAGAGAGCGTTCGAATTAGCTATATAGATTTAATTAATTATATTAGTAAATCTGATAATTAATAGTTTAATATACAACTTATTAATATAACAATTAATACGTACGAATAGTAAATAATAACCGGATTATAATGTCCCTCTTAAAGCTTACCGAAACGAAAGAAAACGTCGCTTACCTCAAAGACGGCGATGACTGGTCGTAATAGGAATTTATACTCTAATTGAAATATATCCTTAATGTTCTTAAGGATTAGCTTTAAAGAAAGATTAAGAAGCTATCCGCCCCGAAATAGCCTTATCCCAATTACTACCTTATAATAAAGGAGGTTAGAAGTTATATTACTAATACTGAAGCGGAATTTATACGTTTCAATAGCGGTATTAATTCCCAAATTGTTATTTATTAAGACGGGACTAACTATAAAAAACCTATTGAATACCGCGACCGAAACGAAATTGTAATCGATATTTTTATTACCGAAGACGACTTTATTAATAAATAATTTTATAAATTAAAGGTTAGCTTCTATCATAATAATAATAAAAATTAAAAGGAATTTATAATTAGTAATAAGGCTTTACGTACTTAAATAAAATTGTTAATTAATTACGGACTTTAAAATAAAGTTATAAAGGAAGAATATAATACTAACGAATAATATTAAAATTTTAAATAAATAACGAATCATAAAGCGGTCGATAATTAGATTAAAATAAGAAGAATATACTATAAGGCCGTCGCTATCCTTATAAAAGGATTTAAGAATTATATTCATTAATTATAAATTTAATTTAATATTATAAATAACGGTTAGAATAAAGAAATCGGAGAAATTTTCATCGTTAATTTATAGTATTTTAATTTTATCAACGCGGTTAAAATCGTCTGTCCGGGGTAGTATAATAGCGTTTAGAAATTCGATAAGGAAATAGCCATTAATATTCTCAAATATATAAAAGTCTATAAAAATTTTAAATAATACGGTATCGATAACATTTATTATAGGGTCGCCACCGGAAGAAGAGGAGTTTATTATAGTATTTTTAACATTAATGAAATTAGTATCGAATATAATAGTTAAAGATATAATAGCGAAAGCTATAATATTAGAAATAAGGATATTCGTTACAACGGTAAGAAATAAAAAGTTAAAGGGTCTTAGTATTAGGAAGAGAAAGCTTCCGTTAAATAAATCTAAAATTTAATTATATAAGAAGGGTAATAGTATAATATATAAAGTATATAAGAGAGGCTATTATTTTCTTAAAGATTATTAGTACGTTAATTTAAGCGTAAAGCTTTTATATTTTAAATTATACCCATCTATTAAATGTGTTATTAAAACTAATTTCGTAAGAAATCTAAAATTCGCTAAGGAAGTAATTAAATTCTTTAAAAAGGAAGAGAAAATTAAGAAGGAAGAATTAGTATAATTATTGAATTAGGTTTATGAAATAATTTTTTAAATTAGCGGGGTATTTAAAATTAGAAACGAGATTTACCCTTTTAAAAAATTAATAATATTTAATTTAAGTAGTTTATTTTACGTACTTAATAGAATTATTCGTTTCTTTTACTTTTGTTATACTAATTTAGATAATTTTTCATAAGTTAATAATATTTAAATAGAAATTAAAGGGTTTAAAAAGGTCAATATTATTATTAAGGGTAAGAATAGTCCTTTAAAGCTACGGTTGAAGGAAATCGCCTTCTACTTTAACTTTACTATTAATTTCGTTTCTTATTTTTAATTACGAAGGTAGGGTTTCTATTAGAATTATCAATTATTAAATAACTATTTAAAGAAGGTTAACAGTCTATTCTTTTATTATTTAAATATTATTTATAATTAAATAATTATTAAAATTATTTCCCTTTTATTTATTAGAGCTTCGTTCATAATACGTTATTATTAAATTAATTTATATACGCGACGACCTTCGAAATAATTAGCGGAAGTATAGTATTAACGGTTCGGTTACTTAAGTCCTTAAATATTTAATTATTTATAGAACGTTAACGGAGTATAATTATATAATACACTTTTAATTAAATACGACGTATATAGTATAGTAAAAATAAAACGATAAGTTAGCTGCGTTTCGAAAGACCGAGGCTACGGCCTAAGGGAAAGATTCGCCGTCGCTTTCTTTAATTTTAAATTAAGATTTAGAGGATTACACTACCTCTTTCTAATTATTTATTAATAGTAAGGATTAATTTAGGATTATCATTTATTAAACCGAAAAGTTATTACGATAATTAATACTTTAATTAGCTATATTTAAATATTTAAATATTAATATGATATTAATATTAAAATTATTAAGTATAATAACGAATTTATGTAATAAAATTAAGGATAAATTCGCCCAGTATAATATAGTTCTTAAATTTTCTATTCTTAATATTTAAATATAAAATGGAGGGGTAGAACGTTCAAGGGGTATAGCTAAAGAGAAATATTGTACGATATTATTAAGTTTGAAAATATTAAAAGATTTATAGTTAAAGATTATTTACGCAGCCGTTTATTTTATTAATCGTTCCCTTCGTTATTTATATAATTAGAAATCCCCCTTCGAATAATTCTACACCTATATTGTAAACTAATATAGTTAGTAAGAATTACGTAAACTAAATTTAAGCTACTTTCGAATTTATAAGTATAAAGTATTTACTATAATAAGCGCCGCTTAGAGGAAGGAGTAGAGATTTTAAAAGTATAACCTAAAGGCCTAAATTGGATATTTTATTGGTTATTTAACGACTTCTATCTATTGTATATAGAATCCCTATATAAATCGGATTGTTTAAATTAAGGATGTAATATTCGACGAGGATATTACTTACTATTTAAACGTTAAAAAGTTTAAAGATAATTTTAAAATTATTAACGAAGAGTTTATTAATTTATTTAATAGGATAAACGAACCCGCTAACCAACCCTCGAGGGTATCTGAACTATCTTATATTAAATGCTATACGCTATTAAACGACGTTAATAATAATAATATTAAACTTCTCCTGTCAAATCTCTTCGATTAAAATTAGGAGGATTATCAAGGGAATTAAAAAGTCTCCTAAAATAAGAGTAGTTAGCTATAGGAGGTACTAATTTAATAATTAATTAATAATAAAATATTTATTAAATGTATTATAAATTTATACCCATTGCTTCTATTTACTCCGTTAGCCGTACTCTATACTAATTATTCTATCGACCGAATTATCGATTAATATATTTACTATTCAGAATTATAGAAAGCTGCCTTTAGCGCTAATAAATTAGCCTAATTAATAAATAAAATAATTATAAAAATAATTATTAAGGCGGAAATCGAATAATTAATTGTAAAATACGGTCGTTTTAATAGGGTATACCGACCTAATCTCCCTCTAATACTTAAAAAGCATTACAATCTAAATAATTACATGTTTAGTTAATAATTTAAGGAATTAGAAGAAATTTACTTTAAGAGTTATAAAAATATAAAGACGTAGATTGAAGTAAATAAAGATATTCCCTACTCTAAACGTAAGTAAATCTTCGATTATATATAGGTTTATATTTATAAATTCAATAAGAATAGGATATTTAATAAGGTAAAAGCGAGGTTCGTTATAAGAAATAATTAATAGAAAAAGATAGGAGTTAATACATACGCGTCCATTTTTATAAGTCGATTATTTCGTACTATTATTACTCTTACTATTCGTTTTACTTTTAAATTTATTTAATATAACGCAGTTAACGCTTATATAAATACTTACTTCGATAAGAAGATTTATATACGTATATTACTAAGGTACCGAATACTTAGGAAAGTTCTTAAATTTATTAAGGCCCTATATAATTTCCGACGAGTTCCCTTATTATAGTATCGAAAACTAAACGGGGTATTTAAATCGATAAAATTTAAAGCAATCCCTAAAGACCCATATATTATAAAGAAAGATAGTATTTTTATACTATACTATATCGATAATATTGTCTTTACGTTTAATGAAAGTAAAATAAAGGAAATTAAAAAATATATAATAGAATTACAATTATAGTATTACCTAATAAGAGGAGATGAATTCTAATGGTTTCTAAGTATTAAAATTATACGTAATTGAGACTAAGGAAAAATCTAATTATTTTAAGAGGTATATATCGATAAAATTACTAAATTATTCAAATCTAGCTACAGCCTAACTTTAGTGCCTATAAAGTATAAGAAATTAGTTCTTTATAAAGGTATTGCCAATTACGTAAAAATACGAGCGTACTAAATTAATATTTGATTAAATATTGCGTTCTCGTTAAGTAAATTAATTAAATATAATTACAATCCTAATCCTATTCACTTAGCGGCGAGCGACAAGGTTATATAGTATTTAAAAATAATAAAAATATAGGCACTCTATTTTAGCGGGAATAATAAATTCGAAATTGCTTCTAACGCTTCGTTTATTAATAATAAAAGTAATTGCAAGAGCTTCCAAGGATTTATAATCAAATTATATAGTAGTTTAATTTATTAGGGAGTAATTAAATAGACTGCGGTTACTACGTTAATAATAGAAGTAGAGCTATACGCAATTAAAGAGGTGGCCAAAGAGACCCTCTTTATAAACCAACTAATATCGATATTAAGGGTAAATTTACTAGAGGATCCTATTCCTACTCTATATTATAATAATTAGTAAACTATTAGGGTACTTACAAAGGAAACGCCTACTTTTAATATAAAGATGAAGTATGTAAATATTTATAAATAGTAATTAAGGAGAGAGATTCTCGAGAAAAAAAACCTCAATATCGAATATTTAGAAACAAAGTTAATGCCAATAGATGGATTAATAAAAGCATCAAGTATTCTAGAATACAGGAAATTCAAGGAATTATTAGGGATAGCTAAAGTACTACTGCGGGAAGATAGCGGAGGAGGAGATAATATAATACCGGGAAAGGTAGATTTCAATAATCTAAATAAAATACTAGGACTAGAAACATAAAACAACGAGAGCAATATATAAATAGCTTCACTTTTGACCTCAAAGAGGTAAAAGAAGTCTACAAGTAAAGGGGTATATCAAATTCTAGGGTAGTATTCTAACCAAATGTAAGCTAGATGCCAGAGTCCCAACCACCTAATTTAATAGGTCTTAGCAAATATAGGATACCCCCAAACCCCCAGACCTTCTGCAGAGAGAGCGCTCGAGTCAGCTACACAGATTCAATCAATCACACCAGTAAATCTGACAGAAGTGCACCTTCTCCCGGTGAGGTGGCACGTGCGGACATATGTGTCTTGGCTGCAGGTGAGGCGATCACGACCCACGTGTTCACGATGGGACCCTCGATGGGCCGAAGTCACGGTGACGAGCAGGGGGAATGTGAGAAAACCAAAAAGCGAGAATTATCCCAAACAGCTCTAGCCAAAACTGAATACTACTACGTATGTAGGTAGGTATTAACCGCCGCCTTCCCAAACCCTATCTCCAACCCGACAGGATACATCAGTCCCTTTCTCCTAGGTAAACCGCTTCCCATTAGTTCCCCTTCTCCCTTTTCCCCTTGTTATTTTCCAGACACCAACGGCAGAGGAACCAAGAAATTAAATAACCACAAACCAGTACCGTAGTCGTACACTTCCCTCCCCCCTGTTCTCTCCGTTTGATCAGAGATGATTGTTCACAGTCCATTTGTTACCCCCAAAAGCCCCCCAAGGCGCCTTGGACCGTCGCCGGTCTGGCGCTTGTTGCCATCCCATTAATAACCTGCGGTGTGCATTAGGCCTCTTCTACCGATCAGAAGAGGGTAGGTAGATGTCCAGTCATTAAGTTAGCCTTTCCAAACGAAGTGAACCCAAAAGAGAACAAAAAAGCGCAAACAAAAACCCAAACCATAAACAAAGATGCAAAAGAATCATCAACCCAAAGCCACCACTTCTGGCTCACTCATCTCACGACCCAAAGTACATATTACCCCCACCGTGACCACTCCCATCCCCTTCGTGGGCATCCCCAAACATATTCACTTCCGCCGCTGGATCGTACCCCTCCATAACCTCGAATTTGGCCATACCGTCCAAGTTTCCGAGCATCATGTTCTGATCCATTTGATGCTCATACCCATGCAGAAGCATGTTCGTTGGATCGACGTCTGTGGGACCGACCGCCGCGCCCATCCCCATGCTTGTGGCGGGACCTGGAATGTTCGACATGCCACCATGGCTAGGATCCATATCATAGTACGTCGGTCCCTGACTGCCTTGTTGCTGCTGGGTATGCGTAGGCGGTGACGAGCTACTCGATAGCTCTGGCGGCGTATAGTGGCTCACAGCGCTCTTGGCTGGCGATGCAGCATTGTGCGATCCTGGAAGCCCAAAATCCGGTCCCGGTCCGTTATGTTCGGTAATTGATATCGACGGATGGCTAGCATGACTATAGTTACTCACGGCCGAAGGGGAATTGGCGTAATTTCTTGATGCCGGCGAGTCCACGTTCATGACTTCATTAACCCTCGGATCGAAGCTCGGCATTGGCGCTGAAGACACTGCCGATACCGACATAGTGGCTGCAGCCGGGTTCATCGTCGATGAACTGGGCATCGCACCATGCCCATGCCCCGCATGGCCGGATACGATGCTCGGCGGCAGATTTGGTACATTCCCCATTGGCATGTCCAGCAAGCCAGGAAACTGTTCATCGTCGATTATATGATCATAGTCGTTCCCGGGGGAGTTGGGCACCGAGCTATCCGAATAGCCAGAAAAGCTACTGACGGAGCTACTGGTGGAATGATGGCTCCGTGACCGATCTCTCGTGCGATCGCTCTTATCTTTTCTTTCTTCCATATCCGGCCTGTTCTTCCGTGGTCGGCCACGCTTGACCACCTTGCGCACGATGCCGTCAAAAGCACCGACGCACATGCCACGCTGCCGATGCCGTGTGAGTGCATCATGCCGCGCGAAGCTGTTGCCGCATTCGCATGGGTATGGCTTGATGCCCGTGTGGATCTTGGCGTGGCGTTTGAGGTCGTGTTGGCGCACGAAGCACTTTTTGCAGGTTGGACATTGGTATTGCCTGTCGTTGAGGTGCGTTTGTACGTGGCTCTTGATGTTTTCCTTGCGGCCAAAGCGTTTTCGACAGTCTTCGTATGTGCATACCCATTTGCCGTCTGCGGGGTCGGGACCTTCAATGTACTGGGCAATGTCGTCGAGAGTCACCCCTGTTTCAGTCTTGGTCTCTTCGATGTTGATGCTAGCAATGCTGGCAGCGCTGGCAATGGAGGCAATCGAGTCGGTTCGTCGGTGCGGCGAGCCACGGCGTGAGGGAGAAACTGAACTCTGGCGACTGGAGGCCTGCGGATCGGCATCGCCGTATTCTGATGGCGGTCCAAGGTCTGGCTTGTTGTCGAAAGGGCTCATCCCCCCAAGTCCTGACATCTGCGATCCCATCTGCGACCCCATGTCAGGGAAAGTGAACCCGTGCTCCAACTTGATGAACTCAGAGTGGATCCTCAACAAATCTTCGTCTTGAGGTGCAGGAAGCGCGTGCGATTGGAATGTCGTGGGCATGCTGTCGGCTTGGGACGTTGCAGGTGCAGCAGCAGCCATAGCTTCCGCCTGCTGACGCAGTTCTTGGAAAATGCCCGAGTTGCGATTGCTCCGGTGCCCTCGTATAGGTTTGAGTGTCTCCTCCATCGACTCGTCGTAATCGTCTGCAAACCTGCTGGGCCTTAGTGTTTGTTGCTGTTGCTGTTGCTGCTGTGTTGCTTGTTGCTTCATGAAGCGATCGTGTGGTGTTTCCATTGGTGTCGGGGGATAGAATCCTATCTCACTTTCAGTATTCTCGCTCAACACGTCAGATCCTGCATGCTTACCGGCGGCATTGTGCGTGGGAGGTGTTGCTGGTCTCTGCCCATTTGCCATAGGCTCGTACTTTGCAACTTTGTCTATGAGGCTATTGTTTAATCCACCGCTTACCCGCCTTGACGCTCGGCGCAACTGGGTGTTGGATGCCTCGCCCTCCGATATCCAGCCTCCTTGTCCCGTCCCCGCGGGGCTTTGGTCCGGAAAGCTCATAAAGTTTGGAGTAGAGAGCGCCGTGTCCGAGGCAAAGAAGTCAAAATTTGGGTTGGCAGACGATGATGAGGCCATGACATTGTTGTTGTTGTCATAGTTGGCCTGGTTCCTCTTCATCATGGCGTCAAAGTTGGAATCCATGTAGGTATCGTAGGACAGGGACAGTTCGGGTATCGGGCCCTGCGAGGCCAATCCATCCATGAAGTGGTTTCGTTGATGTGGTGTGCCATGGGGCGATAGTAGAAACGAGTCGCCGCTGTCACTCGACAGATCACTGTAGTCGGTTTGGCTAGAGGCAGGGCGTGCTATGAGGTGCGCCTGGTGTTGCTGCTGTGCTAGCATATCCTGTGGTGCCGCTGGCAGACTCGTGGGTATTCCCGTATCTGGGCCCGTCGTGCTGGCGAGGGATGAGTAGTCTTGCTGGGATGTGGTTGTGACCGTTGAAGACATGAGAGGGTGACGCCTGGTATCCAGGCTGAGGCCTCGTCGATGGGACATGTGCGGGCGTTGTTGTTGTTGTTGTTGTTGTTGTTGTTGTTGTTGTTGTGGGAAGGTCGGCAAGGGAGCGATCTTGACAGCCTCGAAGGCGGATGGAGTCGAGTTTTGACGCCGATGTAGTCGCTGTCGCGGGCGAGCGACGCCGGACAGAGGAGGATTGGACATCATTGTTGGTTATGGTAGCGATGGAGTAGAGGGAGTCGTCGTCGTCGTCGTCGTCGTCGTCGCCGCCGTCGCGATCGTATTTGCGCAGAGGGCTGGGCCAGACGGGGGTGTATTAGATGGAAGGTGTGGTTCCTAGACTATCGATTGATGCGAAGAGCTGTCAGCTGTTGTTTTCTTTGCAGTCCCCCTGCACTGTTGATGTGCGCGTCAGGTCCATGTGGGCCATGGGCAGCTTGCCAGCCTTACCTCACGCAGCGCAAGCCAGACGATGTAGCGCTTGTGCTCAGGACGGCAACGAGGTGGAATGATGTCTGGATGATGTCTGGATGCCCCGTGCAAGGCGATGCGATGATGCTGGACGGGAGGGCCACGCGGGCGGATGGTGCAATGCTTGGTGATGCAGGCACTCTAGGAACAGCGCTGCCCTCGTGTCTGGCGTCTGTCTGGCTGCAGGGCTCCTCCGTCGGTCGTCTACCTAGCCTGTCTGTCCTATAGAGCTCACTGGCTCGCGACTGGACGCGTTCGGGGCTTTTTGTGGGTACTCGTTGTACCTCTCTGGAGTCTGGGAGTGGTACGGTACACGATGAATGGATGGATAGTGTAGAGAGGGAAATTGTGGTGCTTCGGTTGTCTTGTCACAACAACCAGAACAACACAGCTGAGTGGTAAACGAAACAGACGAACGGGGATCCAAGCTGAATGGAAGAGTGGGTTTGACTGTGGGTTTTGCGCGGGCGTTTGCCGGGGATGAGCCAGGCCTGACGAGCCGTCGCTTGGTCAGTGGTGTGTGCTGACCACATTCGTTCACTTGCCGACGCCCTCCAATACCCGGGGTCATATCCACTGTTGGCTCGGATTTTTGTTTTCGTGTGCCCCCATCGAGTGTTGCCAGGGACAACTCCCAGCTCCAGCACACCTGAGCTCTTGGCGATTGGCCAATCACAGGAGCAGAAGCCCTTGAAAAGTGGCACCACGCTACCTCTAGACGGTGGAGCCGCCCGCTCACGGCACCATCCGGTTGGAAGAGTGAACCGCGCTGCGTTGGAGATCGCCAGCATCCAATTGGGGATCCGAGGCCTGGAGGAACCACCTGAGGGCCCTGTAATGGAGCTCTTATGTCGTTTCAAAACGTCACCGAGGAGCCATGACGGGACCTCGTCCAAGGCATCCAACAGGTCCAACAGGTCTCTCACAAACCTTGGTTTGGCCGGTGATTGCTTGCCGTATTGCTTGCGTTTCTGAATAATGGTTTCTTGCAAGTCTCGGCGGACAGGACGGTTTCGGAATGGCACAGAAATGGCACAGAAATGACAGACATTAGGCGCCCGTCTAACCCGTCTCTCCATCCGCCGTGACATTGGGAGCCCCCTGTCTCGTTCCACTGCTTGCATCTTTGTTTCGGTCTGTGGTATGTCGACTCTTATAACCGTCGCCGCCAGTCAGTCTATCTGCCGTCGACGTGTTTCGAACGCTGCCAATGTTTGCTGGCGACAGTCGTGGTTCGCATTGTCCTCGGTTGTGGGCGGTAGAGGTTTCGTGACGGCCATTGATGGACTTTTTCGCGTCATGTCGGTTCTCGAATCTCGAGTGAGACTGGCCATAGTCAGTAAGTCAGTCCTCCCAAGTAATCATGTTAGAGATAGAAGAGACATACTGATGGAAACAATCGCAGTCATTCCGATTTGTCTTGCAAAGAGTGTTGTAGCGTAGGTCGTTGGCGGTGTCAATGCTGTCGGCCAAATGACGCAAGTTGGCGACGAAAGACCCTACCTCTAAACATTGAGGCTCTACGATATTGAAGCGGGCCTAACCGAACTGTCCATTGTGACTTGGACAGTTCAAGAGACCTCCTTCCTAGAAGGAGAGGTGGAAGGCGTCTCCTCGTCCAAGTGGAAAGACCGCCTTCAAAAGTCAGGTGTCGCTGTTCGCTACTTCTGCTTGCGCGTGTGCGTTACGCAGACTGGATGCATAATTTGCACAACATGCACAACTCTGGAGCTTCTCCTTCGCTGACCCCCTCCGTTCTCAGCTCTCGAGGCAGGAACAACTCCCGTCCAAGAGTCCAACCTCATTTCTGACTCTTTCCTCTCAAAGAAGGATTGATGACTCAGCATTTTGCCTAGTGGCAGCCATCCTCTTCCTGTTCCTTAACAATTTCCATCCTTGTCCTTGTTCACCTCGACATTGATTGTCTGCCACCACTCTCCAACAATCACAGTCTTCGGCCGGCATTTCAAAAAGACTCTCGTCCTTCTCAGTCCATTGTCTACACACCTTGGACGGAACCGGAAACACTGTTGTCTTCCCCTTTGTTGTCCCCTTTGTTCACCATGTCCTCAATCCCCTTCACGGCCATAGTGCACCCTTCGAGCTTCTCACGCTCTGCTTTGTCTCACCGAGAAAGGACGTCCGAACAAAAGGGCCAGGGACAACCATAGCCCCCTCTCATCTGCAAGCTACGAGTGATATCTTATAGGGGAGAGAGCATGACTACTGGTCTACGTATGGCCATTCTTTTCAACCTACCTCTACGGCCAACAACACTCACACTCAGAATCTCTTTTCCAAAAAAATCGAGTGACAGATCCAAACGTCAATATGTCGAACGAGGTGTCTGAGGGGACTGACGCAGATCCTTGGGCGATACCCAAGTTCACCCAGGGCACCAACGTCTCCCGCGTCATCCCCAGAGCGAAATCCCCCAGCATCGTAGAATCCGATGCAGCAGTCCGTGCCTGGCGCAACAAGATCACCGAATTCTTCTTCAAGTGGCGCCGTCATGGAAATAATTCTCCCAGCGACTGGGATGGGGCAACCATGGACCGCCGAGTCAAGTCCCGCATCAGCAAAATCCCCATCAAATCCCCCTGGAAAGGTCCCGGCAATTACAGCGGCCTGGTCCGGCGTGGTATGAGAAGGAAGGTAGGGGCCTGGGGGTTTGGTGGCGGACCTCCAGAGAAGGAAGTCTGGGCACTGGCCAGAAGTAAATGGCTGGAAAAGCAGCTTCTGCGCATCAAAATGCGCCACATAAGGACTCTGGGATGGGGTGGCCTCGGTGTCGTCAACCTCTTTGAGCAAGAACGCCCAGATGGCCAGGTCATCAAAGTGGTGTGCAAGATAGACATCGACGGCGATAAGGGCTACCTTTCGAGCGAGATCGAAGCCCATATGGGCACTGCCGGAGCCAAGCATATCTCACAACGCATCCCCCCAGGCTATTTTGCGCGACCCAACGGTCAGCCTATCCAACCGGCACCCAATACTGTGCCTTCGTCCACCAGAAGGTCATTCGGCTCGGATTTGATGATGATAAGCAGCGACGATAAGGCCAAGGTGGGCAAGGGTAAACCCGATTCATCGCTCGACGCCATTCCTCTTTGGGACTCAAGACAAGTCTTGTTTCTCGAGTTTATGAGCCGCGGGGATCTCCGCAAGATAGTAGCACAAATTGCCGCTAATCTTACCACGTACGGCAACGCTCCACCACTTACTCTTTGGCATATTTTCGGCAGTCGTAAGTAGCTCAAGCCCCCTACATCATAATCACAATGACTAACACGAAAACACTATCACCAGTCTTCAAGGGCGTCGTAGGGCTGGCGTACCCGAGAGTATTTATGCCTGAGGAGTTCAAGAGCCCACATATGAGCGACTACATTGTGCCCCAAGCATCCGAAAGCTGCCTGCCCCTACCCAAATTGACACCATACTGCGAGCATAAAACCCTTGTCCACTTCGACCTCGATATGACCAACGTCCTGGTCGGGGACTATGACAGTTCTGAACACAACGCCACTCCGATAGCCAAGATCGCTGACCTCGGCCTGTGCCAAGTCTTTTGCGGCAACCAAGCCTCGTCCGAGTTTCGCTGGTCGTGCCGCAGGCGAGGCAAGAAAAGCATCTTCGCGCCCGAACAGTTCACCGAAGAGTGGGACCACGTCAAGGAGGGCCCGCGCGAATCCGGCGCCAAGACGGCGGGAAACTACAACTGGTGGACGAATCTCTACCAGGTCGGCATAATCATGTACTCGCTCATCACGCTCTTCGAGTTCGAGGCGCCGCCCACGCCGAACATGGCAGCCGTGAGATACCCAGACGGCTCGGAGAAGGAGGTGTGGGGATACGGCATGGACTTGCTCGTTTGTGGTTACAGTCACCTCGACTTCGACTTGGTGAACGCCGTTGCTGCGTGTCTCTGTTATGATCCGGCGGATAGGCCAGATCTGCACGACCTAGAGAAACTGATAAGGGCCAAGGTAACAGCGCAGCCGCCTGATGGTCCAGTGGCGAAGAAAGCGAGGGACTGGGGCAGGCGGTACTTCGAGGGGGCGCCGCCGCCGTCGTATAAGCCGGCGCCGTCGGGGAGGGAGAGACTCAGGCTTTGGCAGAACCCTGCCCCCGGAGGTGGCCGTGGGGGCCCAGCTAGACCGCCTGCAGCCTGGCAGCCTGGCGTTCAAGCTGGATTGGCGCAACAGCGTGCGGCTTCAGTCGCAAATTTTCCGAGACAACAGCGTGGTGATCCAGCCGAAAGGGGTCAGCAGCGTGCGGCTTCGGCCGCTGTTGTTCCGGGACAACAGCCTGGACTTCAAGCTGGAAGGGGGCAGCCACCTATGGCTCCGGCCTGGAGGGGACAACAGCCTGCAGCTCAAGCCGGAAGAGGGCAACCGCCTCAATTCCCAGCTTGGGGAGGGCAGAGGCCTCAATTTCCAGCAGGAAGAGGACAACCGCGTGCCCCTTCGGCGGCAATGGGTCCGGGACAACAGCCTGGCTTTCAAGCCGGAAGAGGTCAGCAGCGTGCGGCTTCGGCTGCAGTTCGTCCGGGGCCACAGGCTCGGTTCCCAGCCGGGAGAGGCCAGCAACCTGCGGCTCAAGCTGGGAGGGGACATCAGCGTGTGGCTTCGACCGCAACTATTCCAGGGCAGCAGCAGTCTCAATTTACAGCTGATAGGTGGCGACAAGCTGGGTTTCCAACCGGAGGGCAGCCTTCGGCTACGGGTCGAACTTCTCGAAGTTTTTTTCAAGCACCCTCTGGATTCCCAAATACAAGGGGAGGTTAGGCTACAGGTACGGTGTGTGCTGCTCAACTCGCTGGTTGAGACCGGGGTCATAGGGTGCGTTGAGAGAGGGTCCTTGGAGAGTGATGGGAGTTCGGTTTCTTTGTTTTTATGGTCTTGGGGTCTTGCATCTTGTTTTGGCTCAACCTTCACTCACATTGGCAAGTCTCGTTCTGCAATGTTCCCAAGTGCAAGTGCACATCTCCTTGCGCTGTTTGACTGAGGAGAGAAGGCCATGCGGACATGTTAGGAGGGGAGAATGGGGTCAAGCATGTTATGGAGTCATTTGGTTACAGGATGTCAATATTATTCTTTCTCGTCGTGCTTATGATCACCTTTCCGTCGTGGATCTTTCTGTGGATGAGCAATGAGCCTGGAGTGTTACTTGCATCATTCACGGCTGTTGAAGGCGGACGTAGGATGGCGAACCGTCCGAATCTGCAACCGAGCTGTACCAATGACCCTATTCTCGTGCCACTGGCAGTATTTTCAAGTTTTGTGGCGTGCATAGATATAACTGGACACAATCTTGGATGTTGTGTGTCCCACGGCTGCATGCATCGCGAATCACCCGTTAACGCCGTCTTCGCTTTCGGTATCATGGCACAGTCCGCACCTCTCCCCATCTTTGCTCCTCCGCTTTTCCCCAGCGAAACCGACGATCTCCCGTTGGCTGATTTGAAGTTTTCTTTAAACTGCTGACTCCATTGTCCGGGTGTGAGAGGGAATCGGGCACGGATCTGGCTTTCCGGACATGCAGTCGGGGGATGTCCGGCGTTGCATTTGCCTTTCCCGAACGTACAAGTCCATTTAGCCGTTTCCCCGACCCCACCCCGCCATGTACATCAAGTCCGAAAAGGGGGGATGGGCAAGACATTGGACTCACCCTCGTCACCCAAGGGACCAAAACATTGAAGGGAGTTGAGACAGCGGGGGTAAACAATTCGCTTCCCTTTGGTCGTTATCCCTTGGTACCGCCCATCTATCGCCAGACTCCCGCCAACAGCGACCGGGCGGGGACGCGGTGCGACCATGGACCGACCATGATCTGATAGACTACCGATATGCATATCGAAGCACTGCTGGCATGATATGCAGGGAGAACCAGAAGCATGATTGAGTGACTTCCGCCAGATGTCAATCTCGCAATAAATAGGATGGCGAAGCCGGACTCATTCCTCTCTCTTTCCTCCTGTTCCTCCCCTGCTCTCTGCATCCCACAACAACATCACTCCCATCCCATCACAACAAGCCACTCTCACCACCACCACCCAACTCAAACCCCCAAAATGCCCATCTCAATCCCCACCGCCTCCCTCGAAGGCAAAGTCGCCCTCGTCACCGGCGCCGGCCGCGGCATCGGGCGCGGCGTCGCCCTCGAGCTCGCCCGCCGCGGCGCCTCCGTAATCGTCAACTACGTGTCCTCGGCGGGCCCGGCCAACGAAGTCGTCAAAGAAATTGAGTCGTACAACAACGGCGCGCGCGCCATCGCCATCCAAGCCAACGTGCGGTCCGTGTCCGAAATCGACCGGCTCTTCGCCGAAGCCAAGCGGGCCTTCGGCCGCATCGACATCGTCATGTCCAACTCGGGCACCGAGTCCTGGGACCGCGTCGAAGACATCACCGAGGAGAAGTACGATTACGTGTTTGACCTCAACGCCAAGGCGCAGTTTTTCGTCGGGCAGGCGGCGTACAAGCATCTCGAACAAAACGGGCGGGTGGTTCTGATGACGAGTATCGCGGCGGGATTGATGGGGGTCAAGAATCATGCGCTTTATAATGCGAGTAAGATGGCCGTGCAGGGGTTTGTGAAGGCTTTTGCGACGGATTTTGGGGATAGAGGGATTACGGTTAATGGCGTGGCCCCCGGCGGGATTAAGTCAGATATGTTTGCGGAGAATGCGTGGCATTATATTCCCGGTGGAACGCCCGATTTGGGGAAGGACAAGATTGAGAGGATGATGGCGGAACATTGTCCGTTGGGCAGGTGTGCGGTGCCGGAGGATGTGGCGAGGGTGGTGGCGTTTTTGGCGTCGGAGGATGGGGGGTGGGTTAATGGTGAGTACCGTCCACTTTTACCTTTTACCTTGAAACTGGAAGGGTGAGAGGGAGACGTGATGCTAACGCTATACAACAGGCCAAATTATCACCATATCTGGTGGCTCTTCCCAGTAGATAATGTTCTCAGATGGGACGGAGCGTGGTAGGACGGTGGAGGATAAGTGAGGAGTGGTTTGTGGGGTGTTTGGTAACATATCGATGGAAAGGCATGAAAAGGTCGACCGGTCAAGATGATGATACAAGTAACGTGGATTTTGCAATACAATTTTGCATTTATTGTTCTCGAGTTCATCAAGGTACCTGCCTGCCTTGTTGATTATGTCCCTCCTTCCTCACTCGTGCTTCATGATATCTCTCTCCTCCATTAACAGTCATTCTTGACCCAATTGCTCCTTCCTGGATCCGACACTCGATCATAAATAACCCCTCTCTGGTTCTTGCCCGCTTCCTCCTCGACCTCCCCACCATCTCGCGGTCTCTCTTGCCTTTCCATGGGAAGTAACTACCCATTTCCTCTCATCAAATCATGAATGATCTCATCAATCGCCATAATCCCCTCCTCCCACATCTCGACCACATCTCTCAACTCCATCTCATCCATCTCCCTCAACACATTCTCCCTCTCCTCTCTCAATCTCTTCAGTTCCATCTCCACATTGTTGATGCGCTCCTTAATGCTCGCCTCGACTGCCGTCTTCTCCAGTGAAGCGAAATGGATGCGAAGTTCAGAGCCATACAGGGGTTTGGGTTCCTGATCTGAGGCGTTGCTTGGTGTAGTGAAGGCATTGCTGGGTGTAGCGAATGCATTACCAGGTGTAGCAAAGGCCTTGCTAGATGTATCGAAGGCATTACCGGGTGTATTAAATGCATCATTGGTAGGTGTAACGAAGGGCAAGCCGACGCGTGAAGCGAGTTGTCGCTGGCGGGGTTGGGAGAGGTGGCGCCAGTTCACGTCGTTCTCATCATCGAAGGGGAACTGCCCCTGCCCGTGACTCTCGCGTTTTTCGGCACTGCTATTGCCCCGTTGGCGCTGGCGGGAGGGGATGGGCTGGCGCTGACGCTGACGTCCCACTAGGGATGGGGTCTAGTTAACCCTTTCGTCGGCCATCTTGGGGACGATGTCCTTGGGGGTTTCCATCATCGCTTGATGATGGTGATTCTCAAGGTGACGGCGATGTGAGAATGCTCGCGAGACAACTCTGTCGTGAGATGTGCTCGACGTGTGTGTTGTCTTTGAGAAGTGGGGTTTGTGTTCTTGCGAAAAGACTCGGTTTGGGTTTGGTACCTTTGGTGATGACCGTGGAAAAGGTGGTGGTGGTTGTGGAAGGGGAGAGAAGTTGGAAGGGGAGAGAAGTAGAGAGACGGGGAAAGTATGTTGACAGCAACTCTTTTATTCTCCCCCGTCGACCCCTTGAAACACTCAACTCAGGTTCGAGGCTGCTCTGTCACGACCGGGATGCCCAGTTTAACTATTCACTCTCCAGAGCTCAGTCCTCAGCCAGGTTCGAATCATGGAAGGGTGAATGGTACCAGTACGGACACTGCCAGATCGTTGAACTGATAAGGAATACTGTGGGTAGAGGTAGGAAGGTTTCTTGTCGTTTCTATCTTGATTCTCGAGGTACGCTATATACTACTGTATCCCTCATCCTCATCCACTTCCCATTCGTCCCAAAGCTGATCTTCATTTATAAGCCGAGCAATTCGCCTGCGCGGACCACATACTATACGGGGTTGGCTCGAGTAGTGCCAGTTGACAGTCTCCTCTTCGTGGAGAGTATCCTCGTGCAAGCTACGATGCTGGGCGACGACGCGTGCTTGATTCTCTCGCCTAAGCCTGCCCGTTCTGGTGGATCTGGGGATGAAGCGGCAGACAGGTTTGCCGCTGGCGTTAAGCGGGGAGGCGTGACTGCGTGTGTTGTATTGAGAGGAAGAAGTACCGCTGGGCGCGGAAGTGGTCAAGGGATTGGCATCCATCTTTGGGTCAGTGACGCTGGCCGTGTCGGTGTCGGTGTCGATGGTATCTAGTTTGGTGGTAGTGTCGGCCTCGACAGCGGCTGTGACTGGCTTAAAAAGAGAAGGAGAAATAGAAGGAAAAATGGCCTGGCTGGACCGGCTAGCGCTACCGGTATCGGTGGGTTGGGTGTCGAGAACGTCCATGGCCGCGGCCGCAATGGCCTGTAGCAGATGTTGGGTTGAAGCCGACGCCGGATCAATGTGGCTGTTGGCAATGGTAGAGACGATATCTTTGAGGTCGTCCGTCATCTTGTCTTTTGAGGCGTCAACGAGGGTAGACTATGCAGCTGTTCAAAGGAGAGTGACGTTCTTTAGTCTTAAATAAGGTCCGAAAAAAAGACCAAGAAAGGAGTGGTGGTAGGGCAGAAGAGCAGTAGTCGAAAGGGCGTGCCTTTGACGGCATTTTATTCTTGTTCGTCAATCGACAGTCGCCTCAGGTCAAGTTTGTAAGTCGCAAACCTGGCGACTTCGAGCATTCACCATCCAAGAGACCACCACACTCAGGCTCGGCACGGTGCTATGGTAGGTCCATCACCACAACTTAACTTTGAACTGATGACTGACGCTAAACGGGCAGGTTTGTATTTGTTTTGGTTCATTAGAGCTCTCGCCATTCACCCTGTCTATTGTCGGCCTTAAGGAGGGGAGATCGATCCCCGTGAAGGGGGGAGCTCGACAGGCGCGTTATGGTCCCTTTGACGGATGAACTCATGATGTACGTCCAGCGGCGCTGCGGCAGGACTTGGACCATATAAGCCGAAGGTTCGGACCTTCCAACAACTCCCAGTAGCCGACGTGGTAGGTGTGCTGGTAGCCAGAAAACGCGCGGTATTTTCGTAGGTCGCAGCTGGGCACGAGTTCGACTCCTGCCCTGGGCGGCTGAGCTTTTTGACTTTTTTGTTCTTCTATTTTTGCATTTTGCTTTGTTGCCTGACTGATTATGGTCTAGAAACTCGTGATCAAGCGGTCTCATCGTGACTATTCCACTGGCTTGACACGGTCGCGTCACTCGTCTTCCGCAACACCTTCCTTGGTTTACATGTAGGCCGTGTCGCTCCTGCCTTTTTTTTTCATAACTTGATCATTCATTACAGTAACACTAATTCCGCTGACCTCAAAATCTCTGATCACGGAGGCATAGGTACCATCCTTTAACCCCTCGCCTCAACACGCAGTATCGACCTACACCACCTCTCATCCCCATCCTATTACTCCATCATCTCATCTTTCTCCCAAACTTCCTCCTCCACAGCATCTACCCCATCATCACTTGCCTCCTCCCACGACCATTTCGGAAAAGTCGTCTTCTCCCAACTTTCTTCCACAACATCACCCTCCCCATTGACATAAGTACGACTAATCTTCGCCCTCGGCATCCAAGCCTCTCCACAAGCTCCCATTCCCGACTCAGACTGCTTCTGCGCCTGACGCGCGGCTTCAGCAGCTTTTCCCGCAGCCACTCTCTCTTTGGTACGCCGAAGACAATGCCCGAAAAAGGCCATCGTCATCCTGTCCGTCTCCTCCTCCTTTGCCTCTTTCTCCGCTGTTGTGGTGTAGATGACTTTGGTGGTGCCGGGAACCTTTTCGATCATTGTTTTGTGCACTGTGGTGCCCATGGTGGGAGTCATGATTCCTGCCGGCTGGCGAGCCTGGTGGAAGCGCTTGCGTAAGGAGGGAGCAGAGCGGGATTTGGTGATGCGGTTGCTGGCTGAGTGACTGACGGCGTGGGAGTGGGAGTGGGAGTGAGAAGGGGAGTGGTGCTGGCTGGAGTGGTATAGGCTGAATTTGTAAAACCCGATGGGGTCGTCGCAGTTGAGGAGGTGATTTATGTCGAAGTCTTGGGACTGGGACTGGTGGTTGCTTGGAGCTGCGACGCTGCTGCTTCCGGCATTGGGGTTCGAGAAAGTGAGGCCTGTTGGGCTGGTGGCGTAGGCGTAACCGCCTGTTGGGTTGCCTGCTGCGAAGATGAAGGGGGCAGGGGGTGAAGATTGGGGTTGTTGTTGGCTGGCGACACTTTGAGTGTGCGAAGATGTGGTAGCCGTAAACGGCGTGACGACCCGGGCTTTGGGATTGAGGATCATATCCTCCATCTCTTGGGTAATTCGGTGGGTTGACTCCATGGTGGTGTTGGTGGTGTAAGGAGTAATGGCTCGGACTTTTGGCTTGATGGTTAGGCCCTCCATTTTCTGGGTGATATCATGCGCTGGATCCATGGTGCGTATATTTATGTCCTTGTCGGTTGGAGAAGTCTGACTGATTGGAAAGCGATGCGCTGGTCGCTTGTTGGAAATGGTTGAAGAGTGGGAGGAAGTACAAGCTGGCTTGCTCTGGAAGATGTTTTTGAAGAGGAAGAAACTGCCCTTGAAATGGGATTCACTGGCGTTCTCGTTTCTCTTCACCTGCCCTTGCAGATGGGGTAGAACCTTAACGAAAATACGGTGAATGGGACTCCGAAGCTGCTGAGAGGACGCAATTCCCACAACCTTTGTCAACCTGGTGCTTCTCCTCAGCTCGGTTTGGTACAGGCTTGCAATCCATGTTCCTTTGGTTTCTGCTGCCGGTTGCCAGGCTAACGCCTAGAGGTAAAGTCATGATCCAAGTGGCCAGTCATTGATTGCTTCTCTTCTTTCGAAAGCGGAAGGTACGTTACTGAAATATTGTTGTGGTGTTTTTCCTAGTTCCCTAGCTTCTCTTCTTCTCATTCCATTCACTGGCAACTAGGAGCAGGCTAGCAGCTCGCGGAGCCTTCCGAGGACTTGATGTCTCAACCGCCATCTCGCTGTCTCGGTTCGAGCTATTGCTGAATATCTTGACCATACCATTGTCGTACCTCCTCAATCCGTCATCACCGTATCCTCCTCCATCTCCATACCCTCCTCCATCTTCACATCCTCCTCCCCCTCCTCTTCCTCCTCGTTGATAACCCCCAAACTAGCCCCCTCCCTCTTCAACCCCAGCCTTTTCCTCAGGCCCTCACTAATGGCACCACCTCTATGGGCCCTCGTGGCCCTCCTGTCATGGCGCCTCTCCTTCTCCTTCAACCAACGCTTGAGCCCTTTAGATGCATCGCGTCGAAGAAATTTGTCGACGCCCATCCTCATTCTGTCACGGCATTTGGTGATGCTGGTGGTTCTGTGGCTGGGGTTGTTGGTGTTGCCGCTCCTGGCAAGGCTTTCGGCGAGGTTACGGGATATGGTCTTTAGGGGCTTGCGTAAGGGGATGTTGTCGGGGCTCTGAGGGCCGGTGGATGCTGTGAAAGGGGCGGCGATGGGGGTAGTTTCTGGCTTAGTGCTTTTGTCGTTGAGGTCGACTTCCGTGTTCTGTGTTTGGCCAAAAGACTGGCCATAAAGACCATAAGGAGTGCGGTTTGAACTAGGTGGGTGGGAGGCGTTGACGTCTTGAATCGGTGCTCGCATGGGAGGGTCGATGTTGAGCTTGGCCAGCTTCTGAACAACTTCTTTTGTCGAGTCCATTGCGTTTGTTCTTGATGACGGATCTTCTAGAGGGAGCTGAAAGGCTGCAGGGTTGAGCAGCTTGGTTTGGCGTGATTCCTGTCGGGATTATGCCGAGAACAGGAGCGGTATCAACAATGGTTTTAGCAGGAAGAATAGAAAGAATCTGTGGAGGGGAAGGATGGCCATGTTCCAAGCCCTGTGGCTGATACAATTAGATGCCTACCTAGGGCACCAGTATTCCATCCCATGATGCGTAGAAGCACCCACGGTGCAGAAACTTCAGTTGATGGAAAAAATACATGAGTTATGTGCAAATTCACTCCATCATATCTCCAGGACCGAAGTTGCTCATTAAGATCATAGGTAGAGGTAACTAACAAGTATCTCAAGGATTACCTCCTGTCCTCTCGCGACTGGAGCTTGACTTCCATTTGCATCATCAACCATTTGGTCACATGTCGTCCCTGCTTCGTTCTGAGATACCACCTTGAAGAGATTCATCATAGTTGTCCTGCTATTCCTTTATTCCTTGTCGTGTACTCCTGCTGTGCTTGACCCTGTCTGCGTTCTGTATGCCTCTTGCCCTCCTCTGATGTACAACTCTGGCGATCCTGTTCACTCCTCCATGACATCCTCATCCTCACCACTACCCCCCACGGACGCGTCCTCCCTCATCAAACCAGTTCTCTCTCGAATTCCCGCCAGTAAATGCTCCAAATCGTCTTCAGGAGCAGATAAGGTCTTCTTCGGCTCTTCCGTCAAAGAAAGAGAAGACAAAGAGCACAAGGTCAATTCTTGGTTGAGGGTGTCCACTCTGACGTTGATGTGCGCACGAAGTTTGGCAATCAGATCTCTGCGCTGCTCTCTCATGTGTTCGAGCTTCATTCTATTGCGAATACAATGCTTGGGAAGCGGATGGTCCATGTTCCCACCCATAGCCATTAAAGTCGAGTGGCGGTTGCGCATGTGGTGTTGAGCAGCGGTGTGCTTCTCGCAAGGGCGATCGCGGGCGGATTGGGAGATAGGGCGATGCCGGTGGGTCTTGTAATGCCCTGGAAACGGATGGGGGTGTTGGCAAATGTGAGGGAAGTGCTCAGCCTCCTGGGCTCGAGATGGGTGGATAAATGTGATGTTGACCTTTGGTCCCGCGGGGCTGCTGGACGGGCCGGGCATGGTCGGCTCGGTGGTTTGGGTGGACGGTCGCAGGGGCGAGCTTTGAGAGTGCATTGTAGACGGTCCAGGGTCGCTCAGAGCAGAGCGAACAGCGACATTATGACCAGATTTGGGAGACTTGATGGCCGACTGGTTTGGGGTAATGCTGAGCGCCTGCATGCCGTGGGCCATCTCGGTGGCAAACTTGCTGGTACTGGTGGGCTCCATCTTGACTCGATATTATCGCGGGACTGTTGCGAGAATGGTGAGTGAGTTCCTTTTCTGCGACGATGAAAGGATATTGGGCTGTTGATTCTTGCTGTGGCTTCGAATCAGGACCGCGAAAGTTGTGAAGAGGAGAAGAAAGGAAAGTTCAATTTCGAGAGTTGATGCGGTATCTATACGTTTGGCTAGGCAAAGAGTGAATGGTAAACCCCTTGGTGGAGTCACAAAGCCAAAAGCTGACGCAATACGTTCGGCGTTCAGGTTCTGATAGTGCAAGGTTGAAGTACGTACCGGAACCCGGATCTGGTAAATAGTATTTTCGCCACGTGTGGCTCGTTTGCAGGATCCTTTTGGTTCTATTGCCTACCCGTCCACCCGTTCCATCAACTCAGTGCTAATATTGGGAAGTCTGAACATCGGTCATTGAATTGCTAAAAGGAGCCTATAATAGGGCCACCAACCGTTAGAAACAACACATAGAGGTACATTGAGATTCAGGAATGACCCTAAGTTAGGCAACTTTGTATTTGTCTGGCCAAACCCTCCATCATTGATCAATCTAGATCCTAGTCTTTTCCTTCCACTTCATACTTCGCGCTGCGTTGGAAGCTCGATTGTCATAGCTACCTGCTAGGGTACAGTCATTGCCAATACATCGTCATCCAACTTGAGTCCCTTTCCGTTGCGTCCCCATCCTGCCTTTCGCTTCCTTCTCGCCCTGACATCCTGCCTACTCTTCCATCATAGTGTCGTCTGGGATATCTCCCAACACCGCCTCTTCTGTCATCAAGCCTGATATCTCCCACATCTCCTTCGTGATGTCTTCTCCCGCTACCCTCCCAAGCTCCCTCAGCGCTAGAAAGTATTCCACTAATTCCAGTCTAGCCCTGGCAGTATCTCTCTTCGCAAGCTTCCTCAGCGCCTCAAAGTATTCCAGTATAGCCCTGGGAATATCTGTCTTCGCAAGCTCCATCGCGTCTTTTCTGGCTCCCAGATGGACCCGGGTTTGGCATGCCTGGAGGCGGGCTTCGAGGTAACACTTGTGGTAGTAGAACCGGGTTTCCAGTTCCGGGTGAGTCGGAACTTGATGAGGGCGAGTAGAGGTCTTGGTTACGTTGTGTGGATTGACTGGACTTCCGCTGGAAGTGGTGTTCGCCATGTCTATGTCCTTGGTTGCGTCTGTGGCGGAGGTAGAGGGCCGGATGGGAGAGCTTTGTGTGGATGGAGCTTCAGCCTCGGAGCCAGAGGCGGCAGCAAAGCCATTAGGATGGTTGTGATGGCTGATATGGAGGGAGGCGAGGCTCAAGGCGGTCTCCGGTGTCTGGACTTTGTTGATGCTGAGACGCTCCATTTGTTGGACGACTTCGTTGTTCGCGCTGTTCATCTTGACTTGTTCCATAATGACTGCGCTTGACTCGAGGTAGTTGGTTTCGCCGATACGGTAGAAAGCACCTGCTAGGGACGTTGTTGTGTAAAGAAAGAATTTGCAAAGGGACAAGTTCAAGAGGGCGAACGCATGTATTTATGTGTTTCGCTTGGTTTCTGCTATGGAGTCTGCATGCGAAGTCGTGATGACCACGCACAGCGAAGGGTGCATTTGCTGTGCGATACTTCGCCGCTTTGCCGCATTCCCTGATTCCGTGCTTCCTGAAGTACCTCTATATCCGAAGCTGCGGGCCTACATGCAGAAGTCTACTGCAATCGTCGATAACCCTGATCCATCTTCAGCCTGTAAACCCTCGAAGGCACTGTTCGTCATGCAATCCTCCACCGTGCCGACGGCTTGCAACCACTGCCCCTCCGGCTCCTTCACCTTTCCCTCAATCCCACCATTCCCCCATCACCAACCTCCCTCGCGAATCGGGGCACCCCACCAGCCACAACCGCCATCTCCAGTCCCCTCCTCACTCATACTTCGCCATCCACTCATCCAATTCCCTCTGCCCGACAAGATGAGTCATCCCCACCTCCGCTACCGCACGCCAGAAGTCGCGCTCTCTCTCGGCTCTTACCGCTGCGGCCCTCTGCTCAGGGGTCATGACAACTTGGATGACGGGGGCTCTCTGTCTCGCCTCAAGCTGCCTCAACATATTGACTGTGGGTCTGTTGACCTGATGATTGACCTGGTGTATAGCCCTGCGAATGGCCTGAAGGCGCTGCTCGTAGTGGAGCCGGTTACGGAGGTTGGCGCGGTGGTTGGCAACACGGGGAGGGGCATGTCCGAGCGCGATAGCCTGGGCGCGGGTGAGGTTGGCCTGCTTGTTGGTGTTGACTCTGTAGGCGTCCTGGCGACGGAGGTGCGCCAAGTGGGTGTTGTTGGTGGTAGTTGAGGTGGCACCGGAGCCGGTGGTGTTTGCGACGTGGGGAGTGTTGTCGCTGGCAGAATGGGTAGAGTTAATCGAGGTACCTGTAGTGCTGCCGGAGGCATTGTGGACGACCTCGATGGCGGAGATGTGAGTCGAAGAAGCGGCATGGGTAGTAGTGCCCGTGTCAAGAGTCAGGCCCTCGAGCTCATGGGCGACTTGGTTGGTTGACTCCATTGCGTTTTTGGACGGGCGTTCGCCTGGAAGAGAGAATGTGATGCGTCTGCCGCGGTGCTGCAGGTGCGATTTGCAAGGAAAGAGGCGGTTTGAAAGTAGGGGGAGAAATCGCTAAAGGGAAAGACCGAAAGCGTTTTATCCTCGGTTGGTTGGCAGGTGTCTGCCGACTGATGCGTCTTGGCATCAATCGGAACCTGCACGCCGTTTGGGCATTCAGTGAATGCCATTTACTCAGATTCCGTCCGAATGTAGACTGGTATATACGTCACCGCAACCTGAATCCATATCAGTGAAGGGGTATATACAGCTTTTGCCGGCGGCATGTTAGGGCATAGGGTTTGGATGAATTTGTTGGAGACGGAAGACGACGACAGGAAAAGGCTTCATTTTACAGTGGTAACGGGAGAGGAGAAACCTGAACAGAAACAGGGCAGCCTAAATACCCAGGAAAGGAGTGCCAGTGAATGGCAAGCCCAGTGACTGGGCGCCCAGGGCACGTATCACCAACAGAATTGCTTGCTCCTCATTGCCGCTTGCGCATTGTTGGCTAGATTGGTGAATTGTGAAAGCGTCAGTTTGGAATCACCCTGTGTTTGCATATCTCCCTGCCCCGCTAGGTAGGATCAATGTTTTCGTTGTATGCCGTGTATTTCATCATCACAAAGCCAAGTTGACAGAGCTGTGTACAAGAGTTGCTGGTTAGAAGGCCAGAAGATGGGTAAGATCAATCTGAATGCCCAGCAACGTGCAACTCCAGCTCTCACTTCATAACGCCATCGCGATGCTGCTTATATCAATACCACCCCGTAACACCCGTATGCACAGTCTTGCAGTGATAAAATAAACCTTCCATTCTCTCGACACAATCTTGTGTAGCCACCTCAATGCTGGTTTAAACCCTCACCACATGCCACCTCACCCATACCTCACCACCCACTCCTCCAAGTGCCTTTGCCTCACCAGCCCAGTCATCCCCACCCTCCTCACCAATCACCACTTCCCAAAACTCCCACTCCCGTGAAACCCGCCTGTCCTTCTCCCCCGCGATCTTTCTGCTCTCCTAAGGAGACATGACAGCAATAATAGCAGCCCTCCTCGCCTCCCTCAACCGATTCAGCTTGTGTGTCTTCATGTCGGTTTCGTTTTTCCGACATATCAGCTTGCTCTGCATCCTGAAACACTTGGGGAGAGAACAGATGCGCTGCGCGACGTAAGGCCGGTTGTGGACCTTGACGCGGTACTGCACATGGTAGCTGGAGACAAGGGGAGGAACGTGAACGTGGCCGAGCGCGGTAGCCTGGGCGCGAACGAGGTTGACTTGGTTGCTGCTGTTGATTTTGTAGGCCTCTTGGCGACGGGATTCGAGGACGGTGCCGGAGCTGGTGGTGGCTGCGGCGTGGGGAGTGGTTGGGCCGGTTGAATGGGTAGTGCTGCCGCTGGAGGTGTAGTGGATGACCTCGGTGACGGAGATGTGAGTGGAAGATGAATCGTGCCTCTGGTCAATGCCTGTCTCGAGGCTCGGGCTCTCGGGCAGGTGGATGACTTGATCGGTTGACTCCATTGCGATGTTTGTTGGAATACTGGAAAGAGAGTAGTGGGTTTTCCGTAGTGCTGAAGGTGGGATGTACAAGGAAAGATGCGGTAGTGTGAAAATCCTCGATGAAGGGAGTTGCAAAGCATGGGATGAGATTTCAAAAAGGAAGAAAGTGGGAGCGTTTTATCCTCCTTTTGTGGACAGGTGCCTCAGGTTCTCCATGGATGCCAAGAGGCATCAATAAGAACGCGCACGTAGTTTGGCTATTGAGTGTACTTATTCACTCAGGCAGATTTCATCTGAATGTAGATGGGCACGAAGTACGTCACCACAGCCTTGATCCAGTGCAAGGGTATTTACAGCTTTTGCCGGCGGCATGTTAGGGCATACCCGTCAGGGCGTCATGGCTTGAAACGCCTCCTGACTTTGCCCTGCGTAGGGGACTAGGGGTTGGGTATGTCGAAGTGAACGGAGTGGATGTAAACACGAGGGCACAAGAGATGCAAAGAATGCTGGTGAACTTGTTGACTGAAGGAGCAAGAAGAAGGACGGACAAGGAGAGGGTGGGAGAACCCTCGATATACATGAGTGATCCATGTGTGGATCGACCAAAATGCCAAGGTAACATCTTGCTCAACAGGGTAAATTGCGTGCCCCTTCTTTCCATTTGCGCCTTGTTGGCGAGTTCTGCATTCGCGAAAAAGTCAGTTTGGAATCACGTTGTGTTTTGCATCAGATTTTCTTCTAGCCCCATTGCATTCAATGTTCTTGTTGTATGTGTACCTCATCATCGCAAAGCCAAGTTGAATGAGCTATGTAAAGAGTTCTGAAGGCCAGAAAATGTTCAACAACTTTGGTAGCCCAGAAAACAGAAACAGAAACCCCGCGCTCAATCCACAACGCCGTCGCGATGCTCACCTGCATGTTTCAATTCCATTCCGCAACATCCATATGTGCAATCTTGCTGTGATAAACCTCCAATTTGCTCAACATAACCCTCATGATATCGCTCAACGCCAATTGCAAACCCAAAGCCAGTAACTCCATACCCTTTCCGTCCCCAAACCCCGCCAGCTAGTTACCCCCGATTGATTCTCCCACCCTCTTCTGAACCCCCCAGTGACTTGCATCAAACCTTTCCACCACGTCCTCAGCCTGCTGTCACACCCCACTCACTTCCTCCTCCTCAACTCGCTCCCCTCCGCAAACTGATCTCAATGCTCAGCCCTGGCAGCAATGGCTGAAACTAACCTGATCTGTTGGCGATATCTAAGCTGCGCCCGAACCAAGTTGCGATGGTGCTCTTCTCTCGTGATGCCCGTCTCGCAGTTTGACTGTACACGCGTGTTGACGGGAGTCTGAGTCTGAGGCCGATGGTGGTGGGCTCTGCGGGTCTGGCGGTTTTCAATCTGGGCGCACTGCCTGAAGAAGCGAGGGGCTTCCTCGCGGGCCTGGCGGAAGGGGCGAGGGCGAGGGCGAGCTTGGGAGGCCTGGCGTGCGCGGATGTTGATCATGGCAATGGAGACAGTGCCGTGCCGATTTCTGTTGCACAGACGAGACCACTCGGCATGCTGGCGGCCGTGTGCCTCCAAGGCCCGGCGGTTCTGGAGGTGGAGTGGCCTGTTCTGGAGTGACAGGTTTCTGGTGGCGGTGATGATCTCGTCACTCATGATGACATCGTCGTCAGAGTCCTGGGTGGTGATGCCGGCGGTTGCGGTCTGACGCTGGAAGGTGTGAGATGCCGGAGCTTGAGTTGAAGTCTCAGAAGAGACAACGGGTTGGTTAACGATGCTCAAGGAAGGTCCATGGGGAGCTGAGGCTTCGTTGAGAATCTCTGCGGGACGAGAGGGGGCATTGGCGGCAATGCTTAGCCTGTCAAGGCGCTGGGTGACTGCAATGGTTGAGTCCATTGTGCTGTCTTTGATGTTTGGTGTTTGGTGTTTGTGTTGATACTAGAAATTTGGTAGAAAGTGGTGGGTGAAGTTGGGTGGTGATGTGGTTGGTGAAGGCGGGAGAAAGAAAGAGAAATCAGAATTTAAATGGGTGAAATTCAAAAAAAAAATTGAGGGGTTGGACCCCATCAGGTGAATGGGTGGACTGCTTTGCTTTCAGGTTCTGATCAGATTCTGATAACTTCAATACAAATCTGAATAAGATCAGATACCATAACCTTGCCGGCGGTTTCCTATTGTTTCTCCCAATGGTCTGTGCCCTTCACTCAGCTTGACCTGCTCCCCCGTCAGGTTGACTCTCTCGTTGCTCGTTGGGCTTCGTGGGCACATCAACAGTCAACTCTCGTGGTCGATTTTGGCCGCAACCCAAGCCAGACACTCCCTTTTCCCACGGATCATGTTAAGAGGCCCTGTTGTTATAGGTGGAGTTGTAATGCCTCCCGCTCACCTTCAACTTTTTGGCGGTATATATGATGCTTCTGTTGGTGAGTGAAGTCGCTTGTTTTGGGCCCTCCGGCTCTTGAAAGTAATGTTGAGATGCTCCAGGCAGCTGACTCCGTGTGGGAAAGTTGATGCGACAAGCTGAGAAGGAGAAAGCAATAAAGAGGTTTCCTGACCATGAAGGTAGGTTGGCAGGATTGAATATGCCACAGAATCCGTTTCCCACTACCGCCGGTTTCCACTTCTTGTCCCAGATGATGCAGTCACTTGTGGTTTGGGCATTCGGGAGAGCATTGTGCAATCTTCAATGTTGACCACATTAAGCCCGACCAACCTCTGCAAGATGATAACATTGTATCTGTGGCATGTAGTGTTGATACTGATGCTTGGTGATTCCGCATATGCATACCTCTCGTACATCTGGCGGCTATCATGACATCATTGCGCCGACCATTGGCGACATTATAAACGCACTCAATCGCTACCAATTCCAGCTTTCTTACGTTGATTGTCGTCGAATGGATGTGTTTTGGACTGGCCGTGAGTGCTGATACCGGATCATACATATGGGTTGAGCATCTTGTGTTTGAGGATGTGTATGCTTGGTGCCAAACAGGGCGGCGCGGTAAAGCCATGTCAGACACTCTTCTCCTAATGTAAAACCTTTACTTCTACGGACACCAAATAAATGCGAATTGCTCATTCTGCTTTGATTTAGAATGACCGATAAAGCCTTTACCCAACTCACCCAAATGTCATGTCAGAAAATGCAAGTGTCCTCACTGCATTGCACCCTCTTTTCTTGACCCACCCCTGCAAATCGGGAAGTGGGTCTATGTTATGCTGTTAGCGTCCACCCGCTGTAACACCTGTATTAGGGGCCTGCACTATCACTAACACATCCTTCATCTTTCCCAATCTGCCTAGCTCAGCCCCACTCCCACCCCACTTGTCCCGCTTTTGACTTCACTTCTGACTTCATGCACCAGAGAGTTAGGACGAGTCGTCGAACAGACGAACTCACCAACTCCCCAACTCCAAAGCTTCAGCTAAATGAGCTTTCTTCAGGGCATGCGCCACTGGTGACAGTATAGTAGAAGTAGTGTTCACATAGTAATGCTGTTGTTGACCTTGCACATGAAAGGAGATGTTGACCTTTGGATGGGCCGTGTCGGCGGTCCTCACAGCGGGAGGATGATTGCTCTCCTCATGCAGATTATAAGAATCGCGAAGGGGTAGATTGGCAATTCAAGCCCTTACTTGTATGAGTACATGGGGAGTGTGAAAAGGAACGCTGGGCAACGCCGCGGTTTTGTATGAAATTGAATGAATGACGCAAAAGCTTGGTCCCTGGCAAAGAGGTTGGTCAGTGGCAGGCAGGCAGGCAAGCAATCTTGCCGCGTTCCCTACCACTACCAGCTGTACCAGCTGTACGGCACCGGCACCTGCCACCTCTACCGACACTCCGGCACCAGTCCCGGCAGTCCGGCACCTACCGGCAAGTGTGCACTCTCCCAGTGCGCAGCACCTGCCAGGCGCTTGCCAGGCGCTGGACCTTCCACTTGGGCCTTATAAGGTCCCACTTCAGCACCCCTCAATAACTCCAAGATCCCTCGCAAGTAAAGGTTCCCTCGTGGTCAAGCGGTATGTGGCGGGGCCAGATAAACATTGCTCGTTGCGTGGTCCGTACTGGGAAGGGGGGGGGAGTTAGGGAACAGTAAGAAAATAGTTTGAAATTTTCAAACTATAAATTAACACTTGATTTTGGTGTAAACGTTTACGAAGCGTTGATCAACGGTTGTTCCAGCCAAATACATTTTCAAACGATTAACATGAATAAACGCTTGGGTGTAGGTTAGCGTTGTAGCCCCAGCCTAGTCGCAAAGTTGAAAAACTTGGTGAAAGGGAAAGAGCGACGATAACTACCTTCCACCACTATAAGGCCAACCTCGAAGCGAAAACTTTGCACTTCTTCCTTTTCCTCTTTACAACCAAAAACCTCCAAGTTGTTCATTTCCTCAACCAAAGAACCAGAGAGCTAGGGAATCAGGGAGCCAGGGAATCAGAGAACCGGACAGCCCATTTACCAAGTCATTGTCTTCCAAGTGGAAGTTGCAGCCAAGTAGCATTGCAAAACCAATGCCTTGGTAAATAGACTGCCCGGCTCTCTCTCTCTCTCTCTCTTGTCGACCAAAGAAGATAAAGCCAGGTAAGAATTTCAAGTAGTCAATCAATATCTTTCATCAAGAAACCAAATGCATTAAGGTGACCGTGACCGTGACCGTGACCGTAACCGTGACCGTGACTGTGATTAAATGTTCATTAAATGTTCAATAAACAGTTTAGTAGGGTTCCAACGCTTGGCAGCTCAAACGTTTACCTGTTCTAACGTTTGGATGCATTCTAACGTTTATTTCGGTAAATGTTTGAAAAATTTTGAACAGCCACTACTGCACTTGAAAAAATTACTAACGTTTACGACCTCCCAACAGTCAATTGACAGTCAATTTGCTGTTCGCTAGACCCCCGCCTTCCCAGTACGGGTAACGGTGGTACAGTTTTCGTAGGCGTGTCTTGAGTGGACGGGTTCGACCCTGCTCGAGGCCGCTGAGCTTTTTGTATTTTTTATCTTCTTTTTGCACTTAGAGTTGCTTCTTGTCAATCAGTGTTCAATTAGCCTTTCTTTTGCGACTTGTTTGCTTGGTAAATGTCTTTTTGATTGTCTCCGATCTTGCGATGATTTCGGTGTCGTCTCTACCTCTATGCAAGTGGTAAACATCACGGCCCTCGCATGCCCCTGCGATGGATTCCAGCTCCCCCATCAATCAACGCTTTTGCTTGGCCAAGTTATGACACTACAAACCAGCGCTACCATGCCACCATCCGCACATGCACCACCCCGATTAATCCATCTACTTCCCATTCTCACTCACCATCCTCCCTCGCCATCTCCGCCCTCCTCCTCTCCACCTCCCTCTTCACCGTCATCTCCGTCTTCACCGTCTCATTCAACACCTTATTATGATACGTCGCTTTCACCTTCAACAACTCTATCTCCTCTTCCGCCTCCTTCTTCTCCCTTGGGCCACCCCTCAGGATCTTCTCCACCTCCGTATTGATAAGCTCCTGGATCTCCTCAATCTTATATGCGTGGTACTGCTTCATGCGCTACAGGGTCACAAGGTTACGGACAAGGGATCGGTAGAGATTCTCTCTCTGAGTCTGAACCTCGGCTGGTGTCAGGAGCGGAGTATGCGCCGGTGCCTCGGATTCGCCATGACGTGGCAGAAGGGGGCGCAGGGTGCTGGCATTGGTGTCGGTGTTCGCATTGGAGCCCGAACCTTGGAAGGACTGCGACTACGCATGCGCATGGGGAGCAGGTTGAAGCGCGAGAACTGCCGGGTGCTGGCGGCTTGTACCGGCAGCAGCGGTGACGATGACAAATTCTGAAGAGGATGTGAGAAGGTTCTCGGTCTCCGAGGCCATAGTGGGGTCGTCGTTGTTGGGACTCATGTTCGCTGGTCGCTAGCAGAGTCTTTCGCTCACGGAGGGAAAGAGCGAGGAAAGCCTATGTCGGTGGGGCAGTGTCTGCTGACAAAGAGGCGCTTAGTATGGCAACCTGGAAGTTTTGGATATTCGGGAAGGAAAGACCAGCGTATCGCGAGGGGATCTTGTGGTTTTTTGTACCTCTACTTGACGCCAAAGGTGTCGGAGCTCGGAGTGACGGGTTTTTGGGAGATGGGGGGGAAAGCAGAAGCACGCACCCGACTGCGGAATCTACAGCGCTGGCCAATAGTCGACGGTGCCACATGCCCGACGAGGCACGCAATATCCATTCGCGATGGTCTATGTCGTCTTACAAAGGAGAATGAAGGGTACTTGTTCAGTGATCTTGTGATCTCAGAGATTTGTCTTTAAAAATACCGTTGTTAGGTAAGACAAAACAAGACCAAAAGGAGGGGCAGTTTTGCCCGCAAAACAAACATGTTTCAAAGTTTTAAGTTGATATCGTGACGTCTTCATTGTTTTCATTATCATGAAGACTTCAGTCTTACCTTCGAGCGTGGATCTTGGAACTTGGATTCTGCCCACGATTATTAATTTATTTCTTGGGGTCGCGGGGTGTTCACGGACTCCGAGGTTCTGCCCTAATGCACTCTTCTGCAATAGAGCGGAAGGTGCGTTGTTGTTGATGCAAGTACTCGTCTGGGCTAGAAGCGCCTCGCGACCCCAGGCTTTGCATTTGATCAGTCCTGCAAATGCCTAACTGACCAAGAATTCGGTAAATTCCAGCATCCCGTCGCCATCTGGCAGCCAGGTAGTTGCCAGGCGGTTTTGCCTATAAGAACATCTATATACAGGCAGAACAAGGGCTTGTCTTTCTTTCCCCAAGCCACATCTCTTCAAGTTTCAAGTCATCGGGTTCTGCGCCTTTGATCTGTTGCTTGATCGAACATCTTAACCCCAACGCTACACAATCTATCGCGCTAACTACTAACTACCCGGCTCGGGTCAATTCCTCAACGTTTTTCCCATTACAGGTACCTAGGTTTCCCATTTCCACAAGCACTAAGACTATCCTTTCCTAGCAGCATCTATCTCTAACATACTTTCTTTCTTCTTTACAGCCCCAGAACTCCAAGTTCTCCTCCAGCTCAATCTCTCGACCACCACAAGAACGAAGACAGACCCCACAACCAACCGCTCAAGATGGCCAATCGCAATGAAATACACGATGAAATAATGGCGAGGCTTCAGTCTCGACTGCTTTCTATCAAGGTCTCACGGCATAATGAGCAACCCGGGTCGCAGGCTCGAGTACAAGCGCAAGCCTCCAGCAAATCCCCAGTGGACGGTTCCACGAGACGCGACTATTTCACGAAGGCAATGAGGGAGGAAGCCAACAACGACATGAATCTTCCGTTGTGTACCCCCTCCGCGGGCCCCGCGTATCAGCCGAATCCAAATCCGACCCCGACCCCGGCCCCAAGCCCGGGCCCCAGCAGCGCCTTGTCCGCATTCTACGCACGCTGGCGCTTAGAACGCGGCCGCTCCATGCCCGCTGACTTTAAAACATGTGACGGTACTCACAACGATGCTCCCTCGTCAGCTCATCCCCCTTCGCAAACAGACTTCTTTGGCTCCTACGTGATCGGCCAGGATGCCCTCAACCACTCAACCTTTTCTTCCACGGGCACCACAGCCACAGGCGGGGGTAGAGCCGCCACCAATCTACCCCTCCCAACCAGCTTGCAGACGCCCCGGCAGGCTTCTGTCCGGACCTGGTACCAACCATCTCTTTGCGGAAAGCACGCCAAGCGCGAGCTGAAGGTGGCACAGACGACGTTCGCGAAGTCCCAGCGGGAGAGGGCAAAGGCTAAGAAAGCACAAGCGGAAGCACTCGGAGTATCATTGAAACAGCTTAGCAAAGAGGACCTCCAGCAGAGACTGGCTGATACTGCAGCACGGAAGCAGAAGACTATGGAGAGAAGAATGAGGGCTCATATCAAAGCGGATATGAGAAGGTTAAGGGCACTGGGATACGGGATGGGTTTGACTGCGGCCGAGATGGCCGCGCGTATGCCCCTGGGATACGAAATGGGTTTGACTGCGGCCGAGTTTGCCGCGCGTTTTCCCCCCCTGGGAATGGGACAGAACGGACATGGTTCACACTCACAGGAGGAACAGGGTCACACGAGCTCACTTGATGGAAACGCCTCCGATGGTGAGCAAATGGAGGTGGAACAGGAGAAGCCGGAGTCAGTTCAGGGAAACGTCTCCGATGATGTGCAGATGGAGGAGGGATTGTACAAGTCACGTCAGATCAACTTGTTCGGTTATGGGTTAGTGGAGGTGATGGTACCGGAGAAAACGGAGTCACTTCAGGGAAACGTCAACGAATACAGCGATGATGACCAGATGGAGGAGTAAGCACCGGGTGAGAGCCCGAGGGGCATATTGATGGCCCAGAATTGATGATGGCGCTTCCCTGGCGGGAAAGTTGGGCTATTTGGAGGAACGAGTAACAAGGAATTTGTCACTGCGATCCTGATACTGGATATTGGAGTTAGCGTACACTTGGATATTGACACATAGCGTGCGTACATAGACCGATGGGGTCGCCCTCAATCATTTAGTTAGTTATTCTGCTTTCTTCTCACCAAATTGACCAAGGAGGTTCACCAGCGCCATTCTTTGTCTTAGGCCCATTTGGTTCTCATCGTGACTTTTACCTTGAGGAACCCGAGCTTTTAATCCAAAACTACCTACTCCCCCAGTCCCCCTCGGACCCAAGCTAGCAAGTTTTGAACACACTCCAGCTGCATTTGATGCGGGGTGCCTGCAGGCGAGTTCCCTTCACTTGCACGAGGTCACGAGGAGCCGCGCCCCTTACTCAAGCTGACTAACTCTACCCAGCTTTCTGGTCCTCATTCAACTTCTTCACTACTTGTAATCCACGAAGTCTTCCGCCAAATCTAACGCATTCAGTCGAGCACGACCAACATCCTTCAGCCAGCCTTCACGATGGACACTCGCACCACAGACGTCATACAGAGAATGCGCGAGCTCAACATAGACCCAACTACAGTCTTGGCCGTACACCCTCATACCTCCGCGAATCTTGGGGTCAAAAGCAATATCTCGCGCAGTCATCTCGACACCACCCCGCTCAACTTCAACACCGCGATCACCCCGACCACGGCCACCACCTTTACGAACGCCCAAGCCAACGCCAACTTCAACGCCAGCGTCAACGGCAACAACAACGGCAACACCAGCGCCAATGCCAACGCCAATACCAATACCAACGCCGACGCCAACGAACACCCTCCCCTCGCCTCCGACTACCGCACTCGGCGCCGCGAGTACCACGCCCGCCTTGCCGCTTGGCACCGCCCCGGCGCTCTTGGACTTGATCCCAGTGAGCATGCTCGAGCGCGGAGAAAGTCCGAGCTTGAGGAGATGGTGCGGCAACGCAGAATCTTCGCCGCTGGCGGTGACTCTGTAGTAAAGGCCCAGGTAGCACAGCTTGAGGGGATGATTGATGCTTTGCAGGCTTTGCAGTGAGGTATGGGCCTATGGGCGGATTTAGGGGGGGACTAGGTACCTAGGGAGTGGGTGGCCTGCGGCATACCGATACCGATGGGGTTAAGCTGAAGGAGGAGAAGAGGCAAGGAGAAGCGATAAGGGATGGGAGTTGGGAGCAGGAGCTTGTGTGAAAGTGGCCTGTTGTACTGTTGACGGGAATAACAGTTTGAGCGGGTGCGAACGTCTCAAAAAGTCGAAGGATTGGGAAACCGTTAACTGGACCCCCTCAATTGAACCCACCGTCTTTAGTGTCAGAATTACATTTACTTGCAACAGGAGCTACCTCTGACTCAAGCTGAAAGACCAATTGTTGGTCTTCCTTCAACTTATCATGCCATCCACTAGTGAAACTCTTCCCACACCCACCACCAAATCTATGCGAACCCTTTCTTCTCTTACTAACCAAGGCCTTTTTCTTCATTACTATTCAACTTGTAATCAACGAAAGCATCCACTAAAGGCAAAGCGTGGAGAGTCAAAGGCAACCTTCACAATGGACCACACCGACGACACCACCAACAAAATGTGCGGCAAGCTCAACAACACAGACCCAACAACAGCATCCGCCTCGGAGCCTCCTCACTCCCCCGCGACGAATGATCCCAGAAGAACCGGCGACGATACTACCTCGCGGAGCGCCACATCAACCTCCAATCTCGGCATCACCACGACCACTCTCCACGACGCCCGACTACGCAATCTGACTACAGCCAATCGAGCCACATCCAACGCCCGCACCGAGTACCACGCCCTTCAAGCCGAAGCCACTCGCCAACGCATCGACGCTCTGCAGAAACCGCTAGTGCTCACCGAGGAACATGTCAACGTTCTCACAGAAAAGCGCGGGCTTGAGGATTTGGTGCGCATATGCAGAACCATAGAGACTTGTGCAGGGATATCTCAAGAGGCTGAGATCAAATTACTCGAGGAGAGGCTGGCGGATATCAAGTATGTGGATTACATGGATGAGATGCTTGAGTGTATTAAGTGAGGTATCAGCCGGCACGTTGAGAGGGGGAGAGAGGCTGAAGAGGGGAAGGGGGGCAAGTCAGAGGTTAAGATACTAGGAATAGGTAGGGTCCATTATAGGGAGAGGGTTGGGGGAGGGTTGGGGGAGGGTTGGGGAGGATGATTTAGTTGGTGGGAGATTCGTTGGACGGAGAAGGGGTTACAAACATAGTGAAGGGGTCGCTCAAGAAGGAACTGGAACGGCTCTCCTGGGAGGATGCCCTGGAGGGGTGAGCACAAAGCGTTGGAGGAAAGAGTGATGGGCAGACAGCGGAGCAGCTTGCGTGGGGTGAGGGAGCTGGAGCTTGGGCAAAGGGAAGAAACAAGGAGGAATGAGGGGGGTTCAGCAACGGAAGTTACGAGCTGCGTTTTTTTCTGCATCTCTAGTTTAAACCACTTTCTTCACTTCAAGATCTTGTCCATGCAGTGTAGTAACTTTCTCCAACAAATGAAACATCATCAATAAACTCTCCGTTTCCGAAGGGCCTCTTCTTGAGCCACTTATACTTCTTCTTATCTCTGCGTCCCGAAATGGGGTCCATCAAGACAGACAGACATAAGCAGCACCAACCCACATTTCTGACACTCGGGAGTCGGAGCAACAGCCAGCAAATCTTCCCGTCCTGTCGATCATCAGCAATTTGCTTCTCTTGTACTTACGTCTACTTCGGAAGCGCCTTGAGCTTATTTTGGAGTAGAAAGCGGGCACGATGCCAGGGCGCCGTGAAGCGCAGGAACGAAGGCAGTTCACACCAGCTGTAGAGGTAGCAGGATATAATAGACTAAGTACCTACCGTGAGTGGCAAGGGCCCAGGTCCATGTCTTCACCCATTCGTGGAGATCAGGCATACTTGTATATGCATGTACGAGAACACAATCGCCACCGAGACTGCATTAAAGCTTAGCTGCTGGGTCAGTTCGGACTGAAGAATTATGCTAAACACCAACGGCTGTGCAGATGCTGCAGTAACCAGCCAACCACCGATGATCTCAAGTTCCTCGAAGCGATGCTTCAGGGAGGACTTTCCTCCCAGCAAGCGATGGTTGATCCCTTTGGCGAGCTGAGTCGACGTTGACTGTGTCTTTCGAAGAGAGGACTTGTGGTTGGAGTTGGCCGGGCGGTGATGGAAGCTCTTAGCAGCGGCACGGACCTACAAGGAATGGAAGTGCTGCTAACGTGATGGACATGAGACGATGGAGGATATGAGGCCATGAGGATGACGAAAAAAAATAAGAACAAAAAAGGAAATAAAGGAAGATATCAAAGAAAAGAAGAAAGAAAGATACAGTTTTTCTATATCAGTTGCCATGCAGGGGGCATTTATGGAGAAAAAAAAAGGGGGGGGGGGGGGGGGGGGGAGCGTTATGATTCGGACTTGAATGTATGATGTTTCGCTCCTGTGTGTAGTGCGAAGAGAGGCGGGGGTTAAGGTTCATCAGATGATGATCACCGCAGATCGAGAGTTTTGCATGGTACTGACAATGCCCATTCAATTTAACAAAAGAAAAGAGAGATACAAAGCGATACACTCCCGCTCATCCATACAGCTTTCTTTGTCACGCAATTTCCCATTGTCCTCGGTGTATTTTGCGGGGGTCATCAATGCTGCGAAGTGATGACGGGGATTACCAGACTCGGCAGGTCCGGAATAATCTCATCAGTACATCTAGTCACAAACTTGGTCGTTCAGTATATATTCCACGCACGACATGCATATTTGTAGCGTATATATTCCCTTCGTGATAAGGCAATCTTGGGACCTTGATGCCGCAAAATGGGTGACTCCAGCAATGTTCACGTCACGTATTCCGAGCTCGCCGGATCGATGCTCTTGCCCTAATGCATCGGGCATGAGAGCAACTTGGATGTCCGACTCTGAGGGTATAAGAACAGCTCAAGCCCTGGGCCAGTTATTCTTTTCTTTCCTCTCACCCCTCTTCTCTTCTCCACCCTTTCAATCATTACCCCTTTCTACCCACGCCACATCCACGTTCAAACATTCATCTCGGAAATTTGTGATTAAGACAGAAAAAAATCACACACTTTTATCCAAGCATCATTTGCCATATATCTAGATCAAATAATATATATATATATATATATATATATTATTTGCAGCTATTCCGGGCGCCCAGTGCGTTTCAAATGCCGAGCAGCAAGCTGGTGACGCAGCGGGCCCGGCGGAGGAAAACCTGACCGCTCCTTCCCAGTGAAGGGAATTGAGAAGATTAGGGCCAGACCCTTCTGCCCTTTTGCTTCTGTAGCCCCAATCACAGCCTGTAATTCCAGCAGGCCTGACGAGCGCGGCAAGTGAGAACCTTTACGGCAGCTCCGCAGTCGGGCCTTGACACCTCGTTTCGGCCGTCGACTGTTATTCCGTCTCCTATTGTGCTTCATCAGATCCACTCCATCCCATCATTATCACCATCGGCGCATGCGAATTCAGGGGGTTGATATTTGTAACACACACAATTCGCTCGGAAACCTCCCTCGTCGTTTTAATGGCCAGCAGCCGCACCTTTAACGCCTTTTCCACTCCTTGCTGAGCCAGTCATTTTTCTGCCTTCAAAAGAGAGCAGCTATAGGTAGAGACGTACAGCTAACGATTAGTCCAGAACCAGTTTACCAACTCTCACCAATCCCATTTCAACCATCCATATTCCACAATCGCAATGGGTTACCTCGAGCTGGCCCGTGCCAGCCAAAAGGAAGCTGCCCTTTGGGTTGCTCGCTTTGACCTTCTTCGGGAACATCTCGGAGACGAAGAGTTCAACAGTCTGTTATTTGCGGAGAAGAAAAGGCAGTGGGTTGACTTCGACGCACGTAATCGTGCTAGGGAGCAGCGAGAAAGGGGTCTCGCCCGTCTCGCCGAAATGAAGCGTCAGGCGGAAGAACGGGCTAAGGACACCGGAAAGGAGAGAAGAGCAAGGCTTCAGACAAATGTGGAGTCGCGATACCAGACTGGGCGCCTTCAGGACTACCAGATCCAGCTCCAGATGAGGAAGGATAACGAAGAAATTGTCATGTAGGTTGTGGGAACCTCGGATCTCCCCCCTCAGCCAGTCGAGCCTGCCATTAAGGAGTCATCGCAAACCGTGCAGATCGACAGTCCTAACGTGGAAGGAAAGATGGCGAACGAGGCAGCTAGCATTGGAGCCGCCAAGGAGACCAGCAAGGGCACCAAGAAGTGGGAGGGCCCCAGCGATGCAGAACCGTACGAAGGGTTCCATAAGCGCCAACAACACCTCGAGACGCGCAAACGTCAAATCCGCCTTCTGTTCGAGGAGAAGCACGGGCAACCTATGGAAGAGCCCCCGGCCAAGAAGCTCAAATCCTCCCACCCTATGCCCCCACGGGAACCTCCTAACACTGACACGGCACGCACACCATCCCCCGAGGCTGCCGCTGAATCCCAGAAGCCAACTGCCCCATTCACCCCTGCACCGAAACGCAAGGCAAGCGGCCCAGCCTCCGCGAAGGCTGCGAAGAAGCCACGTGGTCCTGACCAGCCCAAAAAAGAAGCCACCGCTCCCGAACCGGCCTCCCTTCTGTCGCCGCCGCACACGTCCGGCTCTGAACCCTCAGTTTCCCCAGAGCAGAAACAGCGTGAGCCTGAGACTCAACAACAACAAGCTACCTCTGCCTCTTCTGCTTCTCCTACGGAGCCAATCAAAGCTACCGCCTTAGTCAACGCTCCGATAACCGCCAGCTCGCTCAAGAAAATCCCGCCAAAGCCAACCGGCGCCATCAAAGCGGTTACTGGCGCTCGCAAAACCACGAAGGCTCCTCGCGTAACCAATACCACGACAATCCCCCGTGCCACCCCGCCGCCGCTGCCCACCACCTTGCCTCCACACCACTACCTAGCCACGCCCTTCTCCGATCGCCAGTACGGTTCCCTCTCCTACTTAATCCGCATGTCCCCCGCCGATTACTCCCTGCTCAAAGCCCCCCTCGGCGACTTTAAGCGCCCTCTCCTCGAGAGCAGCCTCAAAGAAGCAACTCCCATGACCGGCGCCGAGTCCTACCGAGACCTTAACATTGGTTACTGCTTCCCGCTGCGCGGCCCCAAGGGAGAGATGCCGAGAGTGAGACTTAGGGAGATTGAGGACGAGGACGAGGAGGGATATTACTGGGTCGAAGTCCGCGGGTTGGGAGTTATCGAGAAGGAGAAGGTGTTTGTGCCGGAGAGGTGGGATGATCCTTGGGCGTTGGCGTTTTTGAAGGAGGAGGGGTGTTTTGAGGATTCGGATTCAGATTCAGATTCAGATTCTGATTGTTAGAGCGGAAGGGTGGGTGGGATTCGACAAGGGGGAAATGGTGGGAAACTTGGAAAGAGGCGGATGGAGGGAGCTATGGATTGGATAGATTTTGGGCTTGCCCCGCTGGAGATGCGATCATGCGAGACGTATGGGCAACAGGACTGAAACGGGCATTCGAAAAGGGACGGACAGTGAACAACGGGTTGGAAAGGAGCGAGTAGGGGTATATGGGGATGAAGATCTACGATTGAAGATCTACGATTGACGATCTAAGTCTACGATTGACGACAGTTGACGACAGTTGATGACAATTGATGACAATTGATGATAACGACTGCATGACGGCGTTTGGCGTTAGAGATGGGAACTGGGACAGGCGCACACACGACGACAGGAGACAGAAGGAATTGGACAGCAGGTATTGGACATCAGGCAAGAGACCTGAGCCCAGAAGATCAAGCGGCAGGAGTCTTGGTTGCACGCGGAGCACGGAGTTACGGACGAGAATGCTACTTGGACACTCAGCGAATTGAAGATTTCATTTGCGAATCAGAGATTGGAAAAAGCATCAGCGGAAACAGTTCACTTGGAAAGACTTCACTTGGAAGGAATCCCCTTGAAAGCAGTTGACGTGACAAATTATTCAATTTGGTTCATCCCTTAATACCAGAACTACCGTGCTAAAAAGATGCTCATGCTCGTAATGCTATCGTAACATGTCCATGACAAGATCATAATCCAAACTTTCCTTTTCCTTCCCCGGTTATAGCCATACAACCTCCTTTCCTACCCCTACAACCAACCCACCCCCCTACCCCCCTTCCCCCCCCTTACGCAGCAATATCCTCCCTCCGCCTAAACTCAACCATTACCCCCTCCTTGGTACTAGTAAATGTATCAACCAATTGCATCTCCCCCACGCGATGTCTTCCATACTCCGCCCCATCCTTCCCTCCCTCCGCCGGATCCTCCACCCCGACCGCCCTCCTCAAGTCATACAGGAACAACACCCTCGCCAGGGTAATGCTCATCTCGATGTACGCCAATCCCTTACCAATACAACCGCGCGGGCCGATGGAGAAGGGGCAGAAGGCTGATTGGGCTAGGTGGAGCTGGTCGTCGGTTGTGGTGCCGGGAACTTTTTCAGAGGGGGTGGAGGAAGAAGTGGGTAGCCAGCGCTCCGGGGTATATGACCAAGGATCGGGGTAGTAAGCAGCGTTGTGGTGGATAGTGTAATGCGGCACGCCAACGATGGTGCCTTGGGGAACGTGCTCGCCGTCGATGGTTATCCCACCGGGCAAGACTTCGCGAGGAAGGAGACCGCCGACGGAGGGGGACAAGCGCATTGCTTCGTCGATGCAAGCGCGGAGGTAGGTGCAGCTCTGCAGGCTAGGGCCCTGGTGGATATCTTCAACGGAAGCGAAGCGGGAGCGGATTTCGGCGGTGACGCGGGCGATGGCGGTAGGGTTGCGGACGAGGTAGAATAGTGTCGCGGCCATGGCGGTGGAGGTAGTGTCGGAGCCGGCGATGATTAGAAGGTTCGACTCGCCCCAGAGCTCGGGGGTGGTGAATCCTTGCCCTGTTTCGGGGTCGCGGGCTTTGAGCAGGTGGTAGAAGAAGTCGCGGCGGTCGGTCTCGTCGCCCAGGGCGGTGCGTTCGGCGAGCTGTTGTCGGCTGTAGGCCATGTACTGCGCGCGGCCGGAGGCGATTTTGCGCAGGAATACGCGGTCGAGCGAGAGCTTGTCGAGCATGGGCATGGTGCCGCAGATCAGGTGGCGGTGGGCGGCGACGGAGACAAGGTCGACGGCGTAGCGGTTGTCGGGGTGCTCGAGCATGTGGAAGGCTTTGCCGAAGCAGAGGTCGCCGAGGATGTCCATGGCTAGCCAGTTGCACCAGTCGGACATGTTTTTCGGTGATGACCAACCCTTCTTGTCGGCGAGTGGAGCGAAGCTGGAGCGGCCGAGATCGCCGATGGCGTCGCAGAAGGTGCGGATGTTGGACAGGATGTAGCGCTCGACTTCCTTGACGGCGGAATCGGAGAAGGCGTGGGCCAGGACGCGCCGCTTGCGGGCATGCAGGTCTCGGTCGCGCGCGTTGTGGGTGTTGGGGGCCGGGTGGACAAAGGCGTCGTAGAACTCGGCTTTGCGCACGTTGGCTTTGAAGCCGTAGATGTCCTTGAGGGCCGTGTTGGAGTTGACGGAGAGCGAGTTGGGCCCGAAGCGGACGAATTTGCCGTATTTCTCGTGCATGCGCCAGAACTCGAGGTGCCGGTCACCTTTGAAGGCGTGGTAGGCCATGTAGCCGTCGGTCAGCTTGGCGAGGAAGGGGCCGGGGTATTTGGCGAGGGGGTGGAGGAAGAGGCGGTAGAAGATGAGGCATGATGTCTGTTGTTGTTTGTGTTAGTGGTTTTGTTGTGTTTGAGAGGATGGGATGTTAGAGCAAGGGGACTCACGTAGACAGCTCCGAGGACAACCAAGGCCCCCAGCCAAAGCTGGAGGTGGGCAGCGCCAAATGCCATTTTTGGAAGTTTGTCTTATACAGATAAGATAAGGAATCTATTTGTTGTAGACGAGACGAGATGGGTGCTGATGTGAAGAGAAAGGCAAGTCCTGATGGCGGACGTTATTATAATAAAGAAATGTCCCTAAAGAGATGATAAATGGTCCCGTGATATTTCCCCGCCATCATCTTGCTTTGCTGCTCGTTTATCTTGTTGCGATCATGAGGAGGAGGAGGATCGGTTTGCGCCGGCATTGCTGTCGGACAATGACATCTAAAGAAGAGCGGGGGTCGGACCAGGGTTATGTGAGCGGTAAGGGAGATGTCCAGGGTTATGAGTGGACGGGACAACTGCATTATGATGTCGCAGTGTCTTTGTTAACTTCAGTGCCAAGGGTCATCTGCCAATGCCGCGGCAATTCACGGTGTTATCTTTCATTGAAGACCACGGAATTGGACACGGAAGGATTCCATCTCGATGATCGACTTCACGACGGATTCCATGCTTGTAGTTACATTGCATTTCTAGAGATGTTCAGGGGTTCTGCACCCGATGCTTGGGAATGGATTGCCTGGGATTGGATGTCATCACGTGTACTTCCGTAAGTATTGACCCGAAATATCCGAGACTTTTAACGCTGTGTTTGACCCAATGTCGAGTCCATACCTTCTACGGTAACAATGAAAAGCTGTCAAGGCAAGAGCCGACGGACGGGAAGAGCGGCCTCGAGCGGAAGAGATGTCGTTGACAGAGCCCCACCGTCCCCAGAGCCCCAGAATTGCTGTGGAGTTGGCCGTTGGGACAGTGGATGAACTCCCCGGATTTCTTCCTCTTGGCACTGTTAGTGCCGATTTTAGCGGTCCCAAGACCGAGATGTCCGTGCACGCCGATAACCCCACTCATCTTAAGCCGACGTCCACTGTTTGTCCAACACTGTGCCCCTGTGGCTGATGCAACACTGTTGATCCACCGATCCGCCGCATCATCAATTCAATGCAAGGCTGAGAAGGCTGACTTTCCTTTTGCAACTTCGAAGACGCGACGGACGCGAGTTCTTTCTCTTCAGCATTGTCCTACGTTTGCTGCCGCAACTCCGTCCTCGACCATCGAACAGATGCGCCATCATCTCACGACATAACCTAATACCGCCGCGATGACCATCTGCAAATTCTACCAACAAGGCACCTGTCGCTATGGAAGTACGTGTTCTGGGAACTTTCTACTCTACGCGATTGGCCTTACTGACACTCTGCTTGTCCAGACAACTGCCGATTCGAACATCCTCCAAAAGCACCCAGCGGGTTTCAAACAGGCAATCGATTCGGTGCCCTAGCTGGCGGCGGCGGCGGCTTCAGCTCGAACCAGAACACCGGATTCAGCAACAACCGAAGCGGAGAACTCCCCTACAAACTCGACGCCGATGCCATTCAAAAAGACTTGACCGAAGAACTCCCAACATGGATTCTCTCGGCCTATGCCCCAGGGAAAGAACCACCCGAGCAGCTATTTGGAGGAGAACAACGGGAACAGAGTTTCGAGGAGATGCGATTGTACTACATGAACGGTCTCGCGGCCGGTAACCCCGAAGGAGCATTGAACGACATCAACAACCTCTACCAAAGCGCTCAAGCGCAGAACCAAGCAGCCCTGGGCAATATCCAGGGCGCTATCCAATACATCGTCGAGGCCGGTAACAAGCATCCGAACCGACACGACATTTGCAAACAACACACATTACCAGGAGGAACAACGGGCGAGTTCGGAAGTGACAGACCAAGATCAAATGCATTTGGTGCTCCCGCAACAGCAAATAACGTCTTCGGTGCTCCCGCTCAGCCAGCGGGCGGTGCCTTTGGCCAGCCAGCAGCTCTGGGAGCCAAGCCAAATCCCTTTGGAGCTCCGGCCTTTGGACAACCGGCGCAACCAGCTGCTGCTTCACCCTTTGGCCAGCCCTCGGCATTGGGTGCCTCAACATCAGCATTCGGAGCGCCAAGTGCGTTAGGAGCGAAACCAAATCCCTTCGGAGTCCCATCAACAGGAGGAGCATTTGGCCAACCAGCTGCCGCCCCCGCCTTTGGGCAACCTACACAGCCGACGAGTGCTTTTGGCCAGCCAGCACAACTAGGAGCCAAGCCGAACCCCTTCGGAGCACCAGCTGCCCCAGCGACCAGCGCCTTCGGTCAGCCAGCGACATTAGGAGCAAAGCCAAATCCGTTTGGAGCACCAGCCGCCGCCCCAGCAGGAGGCGCATTCGGGGCCTCAACAACAACCAGTCCCTTCGGTCAGTCCACACAGGCCGCCAACCCGTTCGGACAATCAACAAACAGCGCTTTCGGACAGTCAACATCTACTCCAGCAGCGAACCCCTTTGGGGCTCCAGCACAGGCAACAGGCAGTCCATTTGGCGCCTCAACCGGTCCAGCCACTACCAACCCCTTCGGCGCCTCAGCTACCGTGGCTCCCGCTGCTACCCCCTCACCCTTCGGTGCCTCCACAACAACACCAGCAGCCAACCCCTTCGGCGCCTCAACCACACAACAACAACAACCATCCGCATTCGGAGCCTCAACCACCGCCCCAGCAGCCGCCAACCCCTTCGGCCAACCTCCCGCCGCCGCCCCACCACAACCCGCCAGCGCTAACGCCGCCCCCGGCGCCTCCCCCTACGCCCCCACCACCACGCGGCAACACCCCCCGATAACCACCTACACCACGCGCTCCCCGCTCGACAACCGTCTACAAACCTTCAAGGGAAAACCAGTCACCTACCAACGGATTCCCAAACCTGGTGCCCCGGACACCGCGCCGCCCGAGAAGGAAGTACCGGTTATCAGGAACTTCGACGGCAGTTTCCAGATGATTTGGTTCCCTGATGGAGCGCCCAAGTACACGCCGGACACGGAGGGGTTGGAGGGGGAGTATACTGGGGATGTGTTGAGTGCTTGGCAGAAGTTTGTGGAGACGGGACGGTTTGAGGGCGGGGTTATGCCAGAGGTTGCGCCGAAGAGGGAGTTTTGTGCGTGGGATTTTTGAGCGAGGATGGGGGTGTGGGTGTGGGTGTGGTTGTTGCAGTAGGAGGTGGGGGAGATGAAGCATGAAGGGAAGGAGTGGAGAGAAATGAAGAGGAAAGCAATGGAGAGGACGGGAGGATAAGGAGAAAGAGATAGGGATAGGGATAGGCTCCAATAGATATGGATATGATGACCAAGGACTACGGGAAAACGCAAGAGCGAATTTGTCTACTGGATTACCGATACCCACTCACTCAGCGATATTGGAAAGGTCACTTACTTGGTGTTTCAAGAGCGAATTCCACAAGAATGAAGAATGGACTGTCGAGGCTACGATATGAAATGGAATGGAATGGAATTGCGAACTTGGAACATGTAGCCTGCGCGTTGTGGAAACCAACACTGGACTGGACTGGCTGCGGTAAAATAGTGTGGCTATACTACCTTACCGTACCTACACTCCGCAATACTGAAAGAGAAGGAACTGAACCTGTTTAATGTGGAAGAATCCATCCATCCGTGTTTTGTTTAGCAAACGCCATCCCTCCTGTTTAACCTCGCCAGCCAGTATAATGACTGAATCGTGCATGAGTTCGTTCCAGTCAGTTAGCACACTAACAAATTTGTAGGGAGGACCCCCGCGAAATCTGTTTAGTTCGTAGCTGAGGTGAATTTCCCCCTTAATGCAAGCGAGGTGTATATATAGGACAGGCAGCCCTCTTCACACATGGGAGCATGTTAAGCTTGAACTTCTCGTTATCTACAATCGAACAAATGATCAGTGGAAGCGAAACGGGGTTGAGGCAGAAGGGTTGATAATGGGAAGGATTGTTTTGTTGATCATCAAAAATTGCTTCTTTTCTCTATAAACTAAAATATCGGTCGCATGATTTTCCGATCCCAATCAAACACCCATCTGTGCTGCTTCCTTCTCTTTGTAACAACCATATTAAGCTTCAATCAGCCTTACCTCACGTCACGCACCAAACCCACCCCTAGCCATCTTCTTAGCCCTCTGATCTCTCCGGTTATGATTCGCTCTACTCCCCTTATTCGCCTCCTTTCTCCTCTTCGCAAGATCAGATTCCGGCGCTCCTTGCCCGGTCGAACTCCCAGCCTCACCACCACCTCTTCCACCACCACCACCAGCACCTCCCCTGCCTCCTCTCCCCCTACCTCTCCCGCCGCCGCCGCCACCTCTTCCACCTCTTGGCCCCCCATATCCACCCCTAAAACCACCACCACCATCACCGTCCGTATCAGTCTCCCCATCCTCCCCTCCTCGGTCTCGCCACCTAGTCGTCTGTATCTCATTCTGCACCCCACTAAACGCCCCCTCGCCAAACCTCCTCTCCAACCTCCTCTTCATGCCCTGATCGCGATTAATCATCACCCCCCACCCTTCCACCGCCTCATCGCTCAGCCCCGTTTTGTCGCGTAACTCCTTCCTTTCCCTCCCGCGTCTAGTCTCCGCGTCGCGGCCAAACACACCCGGCCGCGTCTTCCACACCTCATACAGCATCGCCTCTGTCGCTTCCGCCAACCCACCACCCTGGGAACCCTGCGAAGGTTGGCTGTCTTGTAGCCGGATGTCTTCGACACCGGCAGCAACGGTCGCCGCGTCCACTGTCCCGCCGACATCCGCGGCGTCGTAGGTGTCGTCGCGCTCGTCGTCGTCGGAGTCGAAGGCTGCGAGAGCGGAGAGGATGCGGGATTTGTAGGAGGGGTTGGAGGTGGTGGGTGGGGCGGAGAGTAAGAGATCGGCGGAGGTGTCGGTGCGTTTGCCGAGTTGGAGTTGGGAGGAGGGCACTGACAGTAAAAAGTCGTCGTCGTCGAGGGGGTTGGTGGTGGTAGTGGTGGTCGGAGGAGGTAGGGGTGGGGTGGGTCTTGGAGAGCGGATGTGTCCTTGGGGTTTGGGTTGTTTTGGGGATGGGGGTGAAAGGGCGGCGGATCGGTCGGCTGATTGGAGGTGCGGTGGGAGTGAGTCCTCGAGGAGACAGGCGACGACTTGCTCGGTGTCGGAGGAGTAGTGGTCGAGGAGCTTTGATATGAAGCCGGAGCCTAGGTCGGGGAAGAGATCCTGGATTTGAGAGATTTGGGACATCCGGTGGATGTGGATCTCTTGTTGTTGCTGCGTGTCTTCGAACGAGGAAAGGTCTTTGCCCTTGCCTTTGTCCATGGCTTTTCGTTGACGGTTGACGAGCCTTTTGGGGCGAGGGATTCCGCCGCCGGGTTTCTTGAATCTTGCCAATTCTTTCAGGACGGATTTCGTTCGGTTGTTACCAGACCCTACGCTCTCCAGCTTCCGCTGCAACTGTTGTAGTAATGGCGTGGAAGTTACCAACTCCGCCACCAAAGAATCGTTGACATTCGTTGGCCCAGCCTTGTGCGCATCCGCCGCCGCCTTGAGCGAGTATAGCTGATCCGTTAGCGCGGACAGTTTCTGATCCTGGCTACCGTCCGCCAGCCCGACCACGCAGAGGTAGGTCGTGGCAATGATCACCTTGCGTAGAGGAGGATTCATGACCTTGTAGCAAGACACAAGCCCGTCGAGGAAGTCGCTCCCGGCCAGGAAGAAGCTGGCTACTTGCGGGGAAGATCCAATGAGGTCGTTTACTCGGTCCAGTCGCTGTTCTATGCCCTTCAAGTCGCCGCCTTGGAGACCGAGGTCCAGGTTCTTAATGAGGAACTTCTTGAGGGCGGATAATGAGGCGTCTAGAGACTGTTGCGCTGAGTCGGAGAGGGTGGATAAGAGCTCAGAAGATCGCTTCTTGCCGTAGACACGACAAAGGTCGGAGAGGAACTCCCATTGCGTTAGGGGAACCGGTGGCGAGGGGGATCGAAGGAGTCGCGAGGTTAAGAGGAAGGAGTCCTTGAGTAGGCGCTTTGCTGATTGAGATGGACCAAGGATGGTGGTGCTGCCAAGAGCGGTTTCGCGGGTAAAGGAAGTGAGGAATGCCGTGAGGCTCTCGTCTTTGGCTGAGATGGAGAGGATGTCCGGGTCGGGAAGCGAGAGGTGGTTGTCGATGAGTGCGAGCCAGGCGTCTAGGCAAGCGACCCATTCATCGGGGATAAGTTGGTCCCTCCATGCGGCGAGGGGGAACAGCGCAAAGGCTGGGAGTTTGGAGGCCATGGTCGGACACGGTGTTGTAAACAGCTGGCCAAGAGGGTGTTTGATGCCAAGACTTGGAGATGTTGACGTCGATGAGTGAGATGCAGTGAGATTCACCACGGAGATGGCGGAAAGATTGTGAGGAATATCGAGACTAAAACAGAAAATAAACCCGTCTATTTATCAGTAAGCCCAAGTCTACAAGAATCGTCGAAAAGTGGTAAGGGCGACAAATGAAAGTGAAGATTGGAAGTTGGATGTGGAAGTTGAATGTTGCCCCACGCCGAGATGCCGTTGGAGTCGGGTCGTGAAAGGTACAAAGTGACTTTGTGTCCAGTCTCACGCCGAATGTGTCATTGCGGGGAGATGCCGGCCGGGAACAGTGCATGGTCCGTCGCAGATCCTCAGCCACATGATCCTCCCATGGTTCTTGCTCAGCCACAGGTTCGAGGGGTCAAAGAAACAAAACCGAACAAGCACAAGCCACACGCCAAGCCCACAAAATCGCCAATGCCCCGTTGCGCGCAAAATATGGAGTAAAAAATTATCTCGACTGTCTCGTTGAACGCTCGCCGGAACAACTCAACTTCCAGTTCGCCAGAATCCAGCTTCGCCTTCATCACTTTGCCGAAGCCGTTTTACTCCTTCGAGTCGTGAAGGCACCTTTTTTGCAGCCCAGCAGCCCTTAGCAGTCAATCGAGTCGACCCGACCCAACCATCTCAACACCAGTCAAGATGTCTTCCTACAACAAGGACCAGAAGGATTTCGGCGAGGCCCCCGTATGTGTTTGCCCGTTGGCGTTGGCATTGTCGTCGCCATCATGATACCTCCGGTCGGACATCAACAGGAATACTGACCCCCCAAATAGAAGGTCCACCGTGTCCGCATCACCCTCACCTCCCGCAAGGTCCAGGCTCTCGAGAAGGTCTGCTCCGAGCTCGTTGAGCGCGCCAAGTCCAAGGATCTCCGCGTCAAGGGCCCCGTCCGCCTTCCCACCAAGATCCTCAAGATCACCGTATGTCATCTTCTTCTTTTCTCCCATATCCCCCCTAATTTATAAGGCACGATGCTGATATATATCCAACAACAGACCCGCAAGACCCCCTGCGGTGAGGGTTCCAAGACCTGGGATCTCTTCGAGATGCGCATCCACAAGCGCCTCATCGACTTGACCGCCCCCACCGAGATCGTCAAGCAGATCATTGTCAACATCGAGGCCGGTGTCGAGGTTGAGGTCACCATTGCTGCTTAAGTTTGGTTTGACTGGCAAAGGGCAAGAAGCTGCGAAAGTGGTTTTGATACCCGAACCACCCAACCAGGGGAAGGAAAAATACAAAAACAATTGGAAAAATCCCTCGCTCGAAGGTCGATTGGATTGTGTGATGGGTCGTTGGGCTCGTAAATAGTGCAATGATTCATCGTTCCTTTCCCCTGGATATTTATCTGTTCCTCTTGCGCCTTTTCCAGTGATTGTGACGTATTCTTGGGTATGAGACGTCGGTAGAAGAGAATCGCACGAGGAGGAAAAGGGGGACCAGTCAAACTCGTGGATTTATGTGGATGGTTGTTGATCTCTGAATGAAGACAACAACGCCATGTTGGACTCTGGTCATGACTTTTACTCGCTACTAGACACCCTAGCGCTACCAAGGCATAAGAGGACATGGTTTCAAAGTTCTTATGTTCTTGGGTATCCAACCTGGTATATCTACAGTAATCTACATGCTCCTCGCTCCCAAGAGGTCATTACACATCATACACAGCTTCCCATCAACACCTCCCTCTCTCGGCCTTATGCGTTCCAGTTCACCGTGCCCAATTGCTCCTCGGGCTGGCGCGAAGGACCCTCATTCTGGGTACCCTCAGGCTTAACCGCTTCCTCAACCTTGGGGGTCTCCTCAGTCTTGGGAGCCTCCTCAGTCTGAACAGGGGCAGTAGTCTCCTCCTTAGGAGCCTCCTTCTGCGGCAACTGTCCCCTCTCCTTCCACCCCAGCCCATGTGCCTCCGCCACACCGATAGCCAAGGGAATCCCGCCCTCCTTTTGCGCCAACCTCCACTGCAACTTATCCTCCATGGCCTTGTACACCTGATGGCTGATATACGTGCCCTTCAGCCACCTCTCGGCGCCCTCCGCCTGTCCCTCTGTCTGAAACTCCCTGCGGCCGTGCAACACGCGCCAGTTATCGAAAATCACACACTCGCCCTCCTTCATCTTGAGCTCAAACATATTCTCCTCGGCACTAATCTCGCGCTCAAACTCCTTGGCCGCCGGCACCCACTTGGTCATGTTCTTCCCCTTTTCCTCCACCACCACCATACTATGCTCCCCCTCGGCATAAGCACCGCCACCGCCGTCCTGAATGACGCGGTTCCCCAGCACGTTCGTCGCCGTGGCGCCCGTCTGCCGCGAAAAGGGGGCCTGGAAGGGCGGCGCCCAGTGGATCCTGCTCAGAAACCCGTTGCCTTGGCCGGTCCGCCCGGCGTAGCGGAACGTGTTGCGGCCCATGTGGTAGTCGTTGCCGTTGCGGTGGTAGTGGAACTGCGGCGAGCGGTTGCCGCGCAGCTGGTCGAAGGCTGCTGGGTTGTTGAGTTCGAGAGAGTAGGCGGCGCGCGCGCCGTCGCTGAAGAGGGACTCGCCGCCTTCAAAGGAGTTGGCGATGCAGTGCAGGAGCTGCAAGCGGGGAGGGGGGTCGATGTACATCAGGTCTTGGTGCAGACCGAGAAACACGTTGGTGTAGGCGACGTTCTCGGCGCGAGGTTTGGAGCGCACGTCCCAGGTGAAGCCGTAGAAGGTGTGCATGAGGATGCCGATGCGGTTGGCGATCTTTTCGACTTGTGATTCGACGAGCGCGCGGTCGGACGGGATCGAGTGCACGAAGAGGATGCCGAAGCGGGCGAGAGACTCGAAGGCTTTCCAGAAGGCGGCGTCGGAGGTCAGCCAGTCGTTGTACGAGACGCGCAGGTCGCCGGAGTCGATGTGGGCTTGGAGCTTGGAGCGGTCCCAGAGCGTGCGTTCAACGGGGAGCAGGTTGCCGGCGAGGTCGTACGGGAGCTGCCAGGTGAAGATGTCGGAGGCGTCGTAGGTCGAGGTGTGCGTGGTGGCGTTGGTGCTGACGGTGTCGTTGGCCCAGACGATGGTGATGGAGCCGTCGGCGGCGTTGACCTCGGCGCTTTGGACCTCGAGAGCTTCGGGCAGAGAGGTGCTGGAGAAGCTCTTCTGGCCGGAGTCGGGGTTCACGCAGTGCGGGCACTTGCAGGTGTCGCGCAACCAGTGGAGGGACATGGCCATTTGCTTGGTGGTGCCGTCGGGCTGGGCCAGGGTGATGACGAGCTGCTGACCATCGACCACCTCCACGGACTGGGGAGTGCCGGCCTTGAATTCGCGTGCTTCTTTGGCAATCTTCTCGTATAATTCTAGCAGGGCCACTTTATCCTGCACTGCTCTTGTAGGAGACGCTCCTGTGAGTTTCTTTAGGTTGACAACATCTAGCCGTAACGCCCCCTTGTCTCTTCGCAACTTTTGATTGGAGGTCTTTAGCTGGGCGATGTCGTTTTTTAACTGCCGGAGCTCATAGTCGAACTTTTTCTGGGCTGCTGCTAGTTTGTCCGTTTCCTCGACGACTTTCTTTTCGCCTTTCTTGTCGCCTTTCTTGTCGCCTTTCTTGTCGCCTTTCTTGTCGCCTTCCTTTAGCCTTTTATAAATCTTACGGAAGACCAACTTGGGCTTGGCCGGCTCGGTGGGTGCGGCACTGTCTCCGGCGGCAGAAGGAGTAGTAGCATCGTCAGCGCGAGCTGCCGATGAGCAGGACAGAGTGCGGATCGTCGTGGTTGATCGCGTGAGGGCGAACCTGCCTCGCGCGAGGGGAGCGGCTCCGAGCTGGCGAAGCATGGTGTCGTCGTGGGGATCGGGAGCTTGGTAGACAGTCGGCGGCGGTGGATGACGGAAGATCAAGGTTGGAGGAAGAAAGGTTGGAGGAAAAGAATTGCTTCGGCGCAAGGATGGATGGTGTCAAATGTGATGGTGCAGAATTGATTGATTGAAGAGTGTGTGTGACTGACTCGCTCAGAAGGTATAGGGGGTACCGTTAGAAAGTAGTCTATAGGAATAATATTAAGGAGGCGTACGTATTGTAAGCTACTTATTATTTAGTATTTCGTACTGTAATATTTATATTTTATATTTATAGGCCCTATATTATAATATAATGTAAGTTATATATTATTTATAAGAATTTAAATATTGGGTTCTCTTAGCTGTAAGCTTTTTATATTTATAATTTTAAATAATGGTAAACCTTATACGGTTATTATTCGGATTACTTCCATATAGGCTTCTTAACGTTCGATTTGCGCGTTTCGTTACTTCGTACGTAAAGTCCTTACGGTATTAATATCTAGGATATACGTTTTATAAGGAATATTACGTATATTAAAGCGGAAGTTCGAAATAGGTTTATTCCGCTAGTAAGTAATATAGTATAAGGTTTAGGAATTATTTTCCGGGCGGCGAATTCTCTTACCTCTTCTCGGTCCCATACGGGCTCCTCTTTTTCGTCCTTTCAGTATACTTCGCGGGAGAATAGTAGTATAGGCGGTTTTAGAAAATATTTTGGGCGCAGTATAATATTCGATTTATAGTATTTAGTAGAGTAGAAAGGAGATTTTACGCAATGCGCAACGCGTACAAGTTAAAAATAATCTTTAATAGTAATTATATAATAAATGTTAAGCCTAATAATTTCTTTTGCAGGGAGTTTGCAGGAAAAACGGTCTGTATAGTAGCGAGATGTTAGTGCGTGCTGGGTTCTGTATGGGGACCGCCCGCGAAAAGCACTACTACCCTAACCGGACTTTTTTTGGGGGTAAGCTGCTATTAGTATATAGAGGATTTGGCCAATAACAGATTCCGATGACGGTCGGCGTGAGCCGGTATGCAAGCCACTTCTTTTTTAGTGTCCTTCTTCCAGATCTTCATTGGCGAGAGATACTGTCCCATGCTGTCCCCCACCACGGAAGGGGTCAACGGTTGGAAGGTGAGAACGCAGTTGTTTGTATCATATGGTAGCAAACAATCCGATAACAAGGCATGAAAAAGGGTTCTAGCGGTGTTAGCGCACATTGATCGAACTTTTGAGGTGAAGTGTTCGGTGCCGACGATGGCGGTTGCCCCCTCGACTCTCGAAGATTGCCGAACGAATGTATGGAGCTTGTGTAGAAACCGGAGATGGTCTTCCTTTCTAGAGCTCCTAACCGCGCGGTCTTGCGTGTTATTTGCGCGCCTATTATCCGGTCTGCCCTGCGCAGATTGATGTGGCGTCTCTTGTCGTTACATGCTTGCCATAATGCCATTGCTTCGATGTTTCAATGTTTCCACGGAAACTTTGCGTCTTCCTGCGCCTGTAGCAGCAGCTTCAAGCATCGCATCGGACTCGAGACACCGACCGGAATCCGGGGTAAGCTTCCGCGCGGTATCATATTAGCAGATCATTTCCTCCGCTGTCTTCGCCGGATACAGACAAACATCTGGAATGCAGGGTGTAGTTCCAAACCCATTGGTACCTACAAGACCCGTATCGCACCCAACGAGAAGCTGGTTGGATTAATGTACTCTATCACAATCCAGATCGCAATCTCGAGCCGAAGCCCCAGGTAAGGGGTTTGGTGTTGGGTTGGTGCCATGACACGATGGCCACCTCCGACACTTTAATCCGGTCGCCGGAACTCAACTTGACCCCCTTTTCGATAGCGTGCGCCATCAAACTGATATGTCGATACCGAATGGACGCCGCAACGGTTCGGTAACCCCATCCGCTGGCGGATGTGATCCAAATTTCGACATCGCACATTACTCACATACCGGATCTAGCTGCCCATGCATAGAGGTACGTTCGGGATGTGGGCGACTTTGGCGCAAAAAACGTGGTCGCCAACCAAACGCCACTTCAGCCTCCTAAGCTCCTTTCCGATCTCAATCTTCTTCTTTCTGTCCGTCATTTTGTCCCATGAACATCGATAATATTAGCAGACCGCTTCTCCCTCCATGCTCCATGAGGTCTCCAACTCGTGTTACCTCTTCTTCCCTGAGCTCCAGGCAATCCCATCAATCCAATAATTAGTTCAATGACCAAGCAGTCCAGCAGCAGCAACGACTCGCCAAACTCATTCCATTGAAGCTGACCCTGACCCTGTCTCTGCTCACCAAACCCCGTCATCATCATCGTCCTGTGCAAGCAACCTCACGATATCCCAGCAGTCGGGTAACAGCACGAAAAACAATGGAGTTCCTCGCCACCCTCATCAACCGGGGTGTTTCCCACATCGACGCCGCCACTATCGACGCCAACGGCTCGGCGGGACACGGAGCACATGGATCTGGAGGACCGGCGGTCGGACCCAAGTACAGCCCAGACGGCTACTGCGGTCGCCGCCTCGCCGGGCTCGAAACAGGGCCGATCCCCAATCGAGGCCCCGAGACTTCCGCAGGGCTTTGGATCCTTGTCTCCTTCTCGACTGCCTTCCTTGCTGCGAGGCTGTATCTCAAGATGTATCGGCTGAAGGGGTTGTGGTGGGATGATTACATTCTTGTTCTTGCTTGGGTTTGTCTCTCCCTTCCCTTCCCGTCCTCCCCCAGACTACCATGGTTCCCATGGCTAACAACCCCACGACAGCTCACACACACCCTCTCCGCCACCCTCGCCCAAGTCTCCATCTCCCTCTTCGGCCTCGGCCACTACCCCTGCGACATCCCCTCCCCCGCCACCTCCATCCCGCTTCTGACGCTCGTCGGCGACCACTTCGGCGCCATGTTCTCCATGTTCGCCGTCGCGCTCTCCAAGACCTCCTGGGCCGTCACTTTACTCCGGCTTTTCCAGCGGGGCAGCAGCACCCCGTCGCGGAATCAACGACAATACGCAGTCTGGATAGTCTGGTTCGTAATCATAACCATCTGCCTCGTCAAGGGCGCACAGGGGGTATTAGTTTGGATACCCAAATGCGGGTCGCCAGCTGCGTTAGGAAAAGATGTATGTGTGATGATCAAACCGCTGAACGGGTTCGCGACGTTTGCGGGGAGCATGAGTGGGACGTATGATATTTTGCTGGCGGTGGTGCCGTGGAAGACGATTTGGGGCACTGGCTTGGGCAAGAGAGAGAAGTTGGGCGTGGCGACGACGATGAGCGTGGGCGCGGTGAGTGGGGGGGCGGCGTTTGTGTTGGCGGTGAAGATGAGGGGGATTACGAGTGAGAATTTTACTTGTGAGTTTTTGACACTTTCTTCTATCTGGGAAGGGGAAAGGGGGAGGGAGATGAGGGATGGTTACTGATAAGGAGCAAAACAAAAACAGACGACTCAGGCGAGATCATAGTGTGGTCTACCGCCGAGACGAGCACGACCATCATGGCCGCTTGCATTCCCGTCCACCGCGCCTTCTGCCGTCAACTTCGCAAGAAGCTGCTGGCGCAGTACCGCTTGCATAGCAGCAAACAACACTCGACGCCGTCGACGGGGAAGAATGGTGTCGGGGGTAGTACGACGTTGACCGGCGGCAGTACCACGTTGACCAGTGGGAACTTTCGTTCGGTTCTCGATAAGCTTTCTCAGCGTCGTCGCAAGGGAAGCGATGGGGAGGATGAGCCGGGCTGCTTGTCGTTGCCTTCAGCTGGAGTGTGTCATGCCCCCACTGATGATAATGTGAGCGATAGGGCCATTTTGCCTGTTCATGATAGAAGTGGAAGTGAGGTGGCTACTTCAAGGAATAGCGGAAAGATTTTGATGACGCAGGAGGTCAAGGTTGAGTATCACCATCATGATGATACTTTGAACGGAAGGGATGTCTTGGATGAGAGGGAGCAGACGCAGCAGCATTTGTATGAGTTGAAGGATATGGGAAGGCGGGGAGATACGTGAAAGTGTAAGAATTATAAGGGCGATTGAAAAAAGAACTAGGCGATGTTTTAGCTTACGCTCGCAAGGTTCCATGTTCGAGAGAACAAATTGATGAAAACGGAAAGTAAACAAAAGATCAGGGGTAGTTCAGGAAACCGAAACCTGCCGACGGTATTTATACGGAGAATAACAGCTTGGCGCCAAGTTGTGCGCAAACGCAAGCTCCCGTTACCCCGCATGAAGCTTCGTATCGTACGTTACGTTACGGAGCCTCGGAGCTTCAGGTACCTTGGCAGCTTAGCTGGCAACTAATGCACCTCCACCTTGCCCGTGCAGCTTGTGATCCATTTGTCAGATTCAAGGGTGGTTTTAGCTATACCATATAGAGGTTAGCGCTCCAGCCACCTGATATTACCTAATTTCTAGGCATATCTAGGTTACCCCAGCACCCCTCATACCTTCTAAGCGAGTCAATTACACACATTCTTTAATTAATCAATTTTACACTGTCACATCTAACAATTAATAGTCTGATTTGTATATTTACGTTTAACGCTATAATTATTAATTACAAACAATATTCCTACGAAGTTAATAACGTTAACTATATCCTTATCAAAGGAATCTATTAATAAGGCTATTATAATTATTTTTAATACTCTTACCGATTGGCCTAACTAATATAAAGTTCTCAAGAGACTCGCTAATAGCAATTAGAACTTTAATAATTAACTACTTAAAGGAAGACTTGTAATTTAGAGGGTTCTACCCCTAAAGCTGGAAGATTTCTTTTTTACTAAATAAATAAAGAACTATATTTTAGTATTAAAAAAGAAGTTCGTTAGATTTAATAGAGAAATCCAGAATCTAGCTCTGCACGGGCCATAACCCTGGATCTAGCCTTATACCCTCAGGAAAGGGTCGAGGACAGCTTGCTGGCCTCCCCGAACACTAGTTAAGATATAATTACAACTGGGGTTCCCTCCCACGACGCCTCAAGCAAGACCTTCAATGCGGATGTCCCTTCGGAACCGAAGAACGTAAAAGGGTGCTTCGGTCCCTGTCCCGGTTCCTGAGATTCTTGGGTTTCGCCTGGGTTGCATTCGCTTCGAGGAGGCTCTTCTAGAACCATAATGACGCGTACCTAAACACTCCGAAAGTTCAATATCCAAAGCCAAGATGGCGACGTCTTCCGCTTCAATTCATCTTCAGTCGCTCCGTCGCCAAGACACAATCTCTCCATCTCCTTGATGCCGCGCATCTAAGAAGGCATAGCGCTCAGCTCGGTAATCACGTCCTTGTAGGTACTCCCACTTCCCTCCTCTTGCTCTCTCGGTGTGGAACTGGAGTCCTTTGACGAAGACTCGGTTTGCGTCTTCTTGTTCGCTCTGTCCTTGGCCATTTGCCTCCTGCATACTCTTTTGTCAGCAATTGGCTCGAAAGAGGAAGTATGGTGGAGTGATGGGACGCACTCCTTGTCATGGATGTACTTGTTCTCGAAAGCCTTCTCGCGATCGGAAAGGGGGTTTGAGGAGTCCATTTTTGCTCGTCGTTGGTCTGTGATTGTTTCTCAAAATCAAATGTTTCAGCCGCGAATCGAAGGCGTCTGTGGTTACAAAATGAATCAATATCTTGACAGAAGGAGGAAGAAGGAAGTCGAAAGAACACAATGCGGAGGAGTGCACTGCCCTTCCTCTACCTACGTCACGTCAGCTGACGCGGTGCGTTTACGTCACTGAGTTGCTGTACGCGAGGGGTTGCACAGGCCGCATTCAGCCCTACAGTGGGTGCAGCTGCAGCGGTTACAGGCGGGTGGTGTGGGCTTTAGCTGAACGCTACTTCCCGTCGGCACGTGCGTTTCCACTTTCAACGACATTTGATGTCAACAGCCAAAACATCTCCAGGACACTCATCAATTTTAGGCGTTCTTGTCATGATGACATTCCAAAACTTATTTCGGCACTTTTGTGACACTGCAGGAGTACTTCTCTAACCTCAAGATGCGAATTCTACCTCTCCGCAATCTCTTCATCGAGGGTTCAAGACGGTTTTCTCCTTCAGCTTGGTGACTGCCTTCTCAATATCCTTCAAACCAGGAAAGTGAGCATGATGCTACTCAATCGAGTTCCGCTGCTTCCGTGTCAGGTGAAAGAGGAACCTAAGCCTTTTCTTGCAACTTTTCCCGCAAGGAAATGACACAAGGTCCGCCAGGAACCCTCCCAACACATTTTTCACGAGTCTTTGTCCACTGCTTTCGCATCGAGCGAAGGTCTCTTTGCTTTTACCCATGAGTATGATGTGTGTCTTGAAGACATAACATATACAAGATGGCACGCTGACAAAAATAGATCTACCATACGAACACAATCATCATTGATGATATCACAGCATTTGTTTTCCTGCCAACCGAGAAAGACGCAACAAAGCTTGTTGCAAGTCACTTGTGTTTTCCACTGTTTGCTAACAGCTTTAAAGCTTTCACTATATCAAGATACAGGTATCGGTCAATTCTATGCACAATGATATATCTCTAATCACTGTCCTAACTTATCCCATCCTCTTCTTGATACTGATACTTCGTCCATCCTTACCAAGACAATTTCCCTTATATATCCCATTCATTTTCCACATTCATGTTTCTAAGCTCCCTTCTTCGGTCTAGCAAATTCGCTCCATCAAATTCCCTTTAGCTGTAGCCCTTTGGTAGGTAAGCATTATGGCGCATGTCCAAGGCCCCTTCTATTTCTTTCGTTCTTCCTCCTCGTCTAAGGTCGTCTCCAGCCTTCGCCTACAACTATTCATCAGCGATTGGCTTCAACTGACCGGTTGCTCGCATCTTCTAGCTTTGTTGTTAGCACCAATAGGCTTCGATGCAGATGGCCGATGCAGCGACCAAGCCGACGGGAGCGCGCGACTCCGGATGTTCTCCTCCTTTTTCCTTTTTTCTAGCTTGTCCCACATCTTTTTCTTCCTCACCATTAGCTTTCTGGCACCGACTTTACATCCCAATATTCTTCTCTTTCCATCACACAAGGCATTCATTTTGGTAGCCACTCACAAACAACTCCGTCTCTGCCCAGCTGATAGCTATGGATCAAGACACCTCCTCCCGCAATACATCGACCAACATAACCGCCTACTCAACACCCAACGGACCTGCAAGGTCGATCGTCATCGGACAATGGCACAACCGGAGATAAACATCGAGTACGATCACATCAAAGGCGGTAGTGGACGACGATATGCGCAATGGCAAAATGCTTCTCCAACCCAACATTCCGCGGCAACGGTTCCCTCACGAGAGACAAACAGGGGGCAAGCGCACAAGCTACAGCTATCACCGCTGTAGCCCAAAGCTCGACACTCGATGACATCGGAATCGCGATGTTCACTGACGCATCATGGCCCCCTCCTTTCCTGCGTTTGCCGATGGAGATCAAGCTCATGGTTTACCGGAATGCCTGGACAGTCGACCCTGGAGAAGACAAGTACCTGCGGGCTTGTTATCAGCATGGTACTATGTATAAGTACCATCTACTACACACATATTTGAAAAACCAGCGCAACCCGACTCCACCGACCACACCGCTGGACGGGAGATCGACACAACCTAAACTCACCTTGCACTCACCCGTGGAATCATCCATCATGTCGGCTGAACGTACGCCACCGACAGAGAAAGAGCTGCACGCGAGGATGATCGAAGCCCTCATTACCGCCCAGCACGAAGTGGGGCCAACTTGGCAACGTCAACCATCGTTCATCCGCACCGACAAGCCGAAAGGAAAGAACGCGGACATCCTCCATTGGGTTCCATCTGCAAGGAAATCCGGAGGGACGCCTACCAGGAGTACTTTTCCCGGAGTCAGTTCCATATCCAGTCTTGGCATGAGTCTCACAGGAACTTATCGTAGTCCGAAAATCGCGATGCTACGCCAAGCGTAGCATTCGTAGCCGATCCCACATAAATGGCCGGGCGGGCATCCTGCTTCTCCAAAATCAAAAGGTAGATAGCCCACTCGCGTGGGCTATAATGATGGAGAATAGGGAGGCTTTTCAGCTCATCTATGATCGGAGGATTGCGGCGAGAAAGTAAACCGGCAAGAAGGCGAGAACCCGAGAACACGGTCCAGGCCCTCGCCATGGAAATTGCACAGAAGTCGGACTTTCTTAGGAACGTGGAGGTTCGTCCTTGGTTTTCTTCATCATGGCAAGAGACTTCAGATGGCCTGACTGATGCCAAATATGGTTAGCAGCACCATTGGGGAGGCTATGGACAGAATTCCACGCCATCAAAACCTTGGAGCATTTCCTGGAAAACTTCCTGCGAAGGGCATGAACACATGGGATGACAGACTCTCTACAGGCACTGAGGTACCAATGTATCTTTCTCGTCCCAAGTCTGGTTGTCAGTTCGCATATGAAGGTCCTCCAAGTGAATCCTATTGTGTCAATAGGTTTAGTCCTATTTGCCAGTGGATCCAACCTGGTAATTTTGACTTGCCATTGTTGCTTCCCAATCCTTATTGAGTCAATTCGTCGACAATTGAACCTGGACCGGTGAATGCTGCTCACCATGCGAATATTTCAAGCTCGCCCTTTAACAATGTTTCTCTCCACAGAACTTCTTCCTTTCGACTCTTCCAAGGAAGTGTTGTCAACTGATCATCGCAACTCAGCATTGATCGCAAAGCGTCCAGCAAGTTCGTGGCGTCTACCTTCAGACAACAATCACTCCATTTTCCCAACACGAACAATGGAACAAAACAACAGAGCTCGTACCACCGTGTACATCGACGTCGAAGGTAACCAGCCAAAACCCCCAACTTGTGTCAATAGAACACAACTAACATATCGTGCAGAATTCCAACCGACCTCGCAGCAGCCACAGCCTTACCTGCAGTCTCCGATGAATGCCTCCAACAGTGGCCCAGGTACCTCGTTTCATTCCGCCGCTTTTCCCACGTCCAACTGGCCCAAACCCCCGGCTCCCGGCTATATTGCGGCGACCACGGCCGCCCTTTACTTGTCATCCTCTCCCTACAGCCCTGCATCGCCCGAATGGTTGCCCGCATCTCCGGCGCATGCTCCTAGTTCTCCGGCATACACCCCTGGGTCACCAAGATGGGAGCCTACCTCTCCGACCTACAACCCTCAATCTCCCGAATGGGTTGCTAGAAGTACATCTCCTGCAAACTTCTGTCCTACATCCCCTGGGCCCGTCCCGCCGTCTCCGCCATACGTCCCTTAATCTCCCCAGTGGATGCCTCGAGATACATCTCCGGCAAACTACTACCCTACATCCCCTGGACCCGTCCCGCCGTCTCCGCCATACGTCCCTCGATCTCCTGAGTGGGCGCCTACATCGCCCCCTCCGGCAACCCTCGGTCCCACATCCCCTCCGCCAGTACCCCAATCTCCGGCATATACCCCTAGATCTCCTGAGTCAGTTTCCAGAAGTACATCTCCCGCAAACTTCTATCCCACATCGCCTGGGCCTGTCCCCCCGTCTCCGCCATACGTCCCTCGATCTCCGGAGCGGGCGCCTACATCTCCACCCCCTGTTCCGTTGTCGCCCTCGTCCCCGTGCAGCACCGGTCTCTTCGATGAGCTTGAGCGCGAGCTCGACGGTTGGTGGGGCCGGGGCCGCTTCGTCTACAACCGGGCGAGGTCGATTGTCCCAGAGGAAGAAGAAGGGCAGCGCGGTGAGCGCGAGACGTCAACGGAGCCCTTTCCGGAGCTTCCGGACTGGGAGGAGGAGAACACAGGGAGGGAAGCGGAAGCAGAGGAAGATGCCCAGGTGCAGGAGCCCACTGCTGTCGTCCCGGAGGAGGATCTTCTTGACTACGAGTACTACGAGCAACTCGACCGGGAGGAGAAAGGAGATACAGAGAAGGATGCAGATCAAGATGTTGGCGCTCAGCAACCTGCCGCTGCCATCCCGGAGGAGGACAGCAGTCAACCCTTCAACATCTTTACATTCACGTCCGGCCATTCCTCAAGCTTCCATGGGTACGAAGCAACGCATTCTTGCCTACCCCTTCTGCTTCTACTAGGGAGCCTGAATTGTCCGAGGATCTCCCGGATAACGAGTATTACGAGGAACTCGACCATGAGACAGAAGCAGAGGCTCTCATGCAGCTTGAGACACAGAAATCGGTGGACAATCCCTACCCTGCCATCGCCGCTCTCAACTGCGCGCCTCAGCCCAATCCGTACCCATGCTGCCCCTCCTCGCCCGAACTTGATATGGTCCACGACGACAAAGAAGAGCACGCCGACTGGCTCTCTTCCGCCTCCTTCCGCAATTCCTCAGCCATCAACAAACCCGTTTACCGAGGCTCCCAAAAGCCGATTGGCCGCGTCAAGGTCGAGAAGAGAATTGACAGAATGATGTGGAACAAGCTGATGCGGAAGAAGATCGGGCATATGATTGAGGTCTGCGAGAAGTACGCTCCCGCGGATGTGCTGAAGGAGTTGAAGCTGGATCGCCGACAAACATAGAGATGTGTGATGGAGGAGATGGAGAATGGTGGGTTGGGGGGGGGGGGGGGGGGGGCAAAGGGAGGGAAAGGGAGGAGGATTTGCTAAGAGGACATATGCAACTGTAGCTATTCTCGAGTTCAGTCTGGTGCATCAAAACGCACGTCAGGGCATGAGGGTCATGCACCTGCCTGTATGGCGCACGGGCCAGGCACAGGCTGGGCACAGGCCAGGCACAGGGCTCCCTGACGAGGAAGGAGGTATACAGTGGATGATTCACCCAAAGGGAAATGCCGATGAGCTTGCGGACGACCTCCTCCAAGAGTCCGCCGGTGAATTTGCCTGCTTCGTGAAGCGTGTGTTTCGCCTCGCTTCCTCGCCACTTGCTAACATTCTTTTCCACAGGCACTGCCACGCGCTCCACTGCCACCTGCGACCGCACTCAGTGACCACATGGATGAGGACATTGTCGGAGATGAGGATGGGGGCAAGCCGCCCTTTGACTCAAGTGTGTCCGAGTCTCACCTCGACCAAGATGACGATACTTCAGATGCTGAGAGTCGATTCATCCGGGCATTGTCGGTACCGGGAAAGCTTCATTTGGGTGAGCACTCTTGATCGGCTGGGACAAAATCTGGTTGGGCCTTCATCATGAAGATCAATCCACCATCCTTCACATCCTCAACAAACAAAACCACTTTGGTGTCCTTACAGTGAGAGATGGCGTATATGACCGAGATGGCGGTCAAACTCGGGCAGATGGACAAACCACATGTTGTCCAGAATCTCAGTGTAGCCGAGGGGGGGCTTTCCAACTGAGCCATTGATCGGGCGCAACTGGGTGGTATAGTGCCGGACTTCTTTGTCGGTTGTGACAATCTTCGGCTTCGACCTGGGCTTTGGATTTGCCTGGTCAGGGCGCTCCGTCAACAATTGGGGGCCGCTTGGTTTGGGCTTGTCTGGGGAAGACTCTGAGGCCGACTCAACCGTTGCCGCAAATCGAGACGGTTTCGGGGGACCATCCTTGTCGACCTCGATCACCGGGGCTTTTGGGGTCTTTGATGAGGAAGCCATATGATTGTCATCCGTCTGAGGGAGCCTCGATTTGGGTTGTGCGATAGGGCGGGTTTTGGTTGTTCTTTTGGGAACATTGACTGATGACGAGTTTTCGTCTTCGCCCATCTCGTTCGTTCGGGATGTGTCAGGGAACTTCTGCCATCGCGAAGCTCAGAAGTCAGAACTCCCGCATTTGCGATCTGCCCGACGCTATGGCGCCCCTTGGAGCGCAGCTGTAGGCCAGCTTCGCTTCCTGGGCGCTCGCTCGCTTCGACGATTGCGCCGCCGAGGAGGTCATCGCCCGCAAGCGTACTGTCGTGGTCGCGGCCACCGAGTTATAGAAGGTTTATTACGAGTACCACATGAACCACCCGAACCTCACGGATAATCCCCTTCCCCGTGGGGTTTTGGGTTGGACCATCGGCAAATTGGTCATCGAGGGCTGGCGCGCTCCTGCCCGCCGCGCTCGCCTCTACAAGGCGGCTTCTATGCCTCCTATCATGATTGAGGACGACGATGCCTCCGACTCTCCTGATGCGCTCGACGTCCGGAGGATACATGTAGTCTGACTTGGCCAGCCAGATTCCCAGCCGCCAAGTTTGGTGGTGGCGCAGCGCTTATCCTTTTTATTGTCCTGTTCATCAAGTTCTGTTTTCAGTTGCAGCATAATCACGAATCGGCAGACCAAAATCTTCAGACCATCTTGCGCCTCTTCACCACCTCCGTAGCGGTCGTCGCTGTCGCTGCAGACTTAGCCTAGTTCATCATCAACACAGACACATTGCACTGCATACAGCCATCTCCCTTACAGAGTGGTGCGCCAGCGCGAATCAACGCGTGAACGAAGCTATCATCGTCGAATCGGACTGGTCGATTGATTATTCTTTCTTTCTTCCTCTGATTCCCGAAAGGTATTTCACCACTCCTTCTTTGGCAACGAAGGCACCAGTCGAGCCGTCAACAGAACCCCTCCTGAGACCGCCACGGACTACGTCTACCATGCCAGGCCCATCTCTACGTACTTCTCTTCGAAGCCTGCGCCCGCTGCCATAGCACCGGCTGCCGCTACCGCCGCTGCCGTTTTAATAAGGTTTACCTCAAGCCATGACGCTATGCAAATCGCACTATGGTGCGACGGATCTTACTGCCAGGAGAGTGGGTAGGGATCATCTTCGTCCAATTCTGGCTCCCGTGTAGTTGGTTCGGGTCCCTCCGGCCCTCGTTGACACGTCGAATCTGGGCAGGTGCGAGATGCCTCCGTTTGGGCCTGGCGAGACATTGCCCTTCTTAGCCGGACGCTTCTGTGCTGTCTCGGTTCAACATGATGAGCGGTGGACAAGTGTTGGTGAGCGAGCTGAGTTAAGCGCTGCTGGTGAGCGAGCTGCTGGGGAGCGAGCCGAGCTGTTGGGGCCGACAGGATATCCTCCATCAATAGCTAATTGAAGAAGAAGAAGAAGAAGAAGAAGAAGAAGAAGAAGAAGAAGAAGAAGAAGAAGAAAGACAGACAACAAGAGGTGGGGGCCCATGATATAGACAAAACACAGTCAAGTTCAGACGAAAACAATGACAAGACAACTCTCTTTCTCAACATACTCACAGGTACCTATTGATTTTATTTTCATCCGATTATTCTTACTAGTGTTGTGTCCCAGTTCCTATACCTTCCTAGGAGGAATGGGAGGAAACCAAATTTCGTCGCCCAAGACTTTCGGAACGATGGGTCTTGTTTGGAGGTTGGATTGTTGATGGTATCCTGGCTGGACGCTTGTATAGGTAGTGACGGTGTTGTACGAGCCTTTCCTCATGGTGGAGATGGTAGCTGTGACAACGATGTATTAATGATATTGTTTTTGTTCAAGGTAGGTATCTTGCCTCAAAATTGGCCACCCGCAGCCCATGGCCAGACCAAGCAGGCACGATTGCTCCTTCCGTCTCTAGGGTTACGGCGAGTCTGCCTCGGGCAGACTTCCGCCTCTGACAATGCCCCCCAAGTGCTACTCTCGTCGTCTCGACGGAAAAAGATAGACGCTATGTACATGAATGAAGAAAAAGCCTTGCCATGTCGTCCTCCATCAAATCTATCTACTCAGGGGTGCCACGGGACTTAGGTCTCGGGCTCGGCGTCCTGCTCGCACATGCGTAGGACCATGTCCTGTTCCTCAGCACTGCCAACGGGACAGTCAAGCTCCCAGCCAGCGAAAAGTCTCCCTCGCTGATTATCACAAACAATTCTCCGAGGAAGACCGCGTCGAGGTTGCACGTATCCTCGAGAAGACTGCGACCCTCTTTGGCAAGAAGCCCAGCCAGAACAAGTATTACAAGCACACCACCAAGACCATGAGCGTGGTCCCCGAGGAGAACCATCTTGGTAGCTGGGAGTTTGTGCGCCGTGACGGTTGTGGCCGTCTTGGGAGTGTCGCAACCTAACTTCGTCAAGGTTGAGGCAGGCTCGCCTGCTCTTGACCAGGCAAGTCAGGGACGATCCATCTTCATTGTGGGAGTCTTGTGTTTTGTGGTGCCACCGCGTTTCCCGAAGTCCGTATCTTTTTCTACTTTGAGAACACCGTCGATGTCTGTTGACTGAGACGAGTACTGAAGCGTGTCGTCCCGAGGGCTCCTGTTGTCTTGACGGCAGACTTGTTCTGGAGTGTGGTTCCAAGAGGTGGTCGGCACACTCAGAGTACCGGCATCACCTTGGACCAGACGAAGCCTCTGCGAGTCGCGCCAGTAACGGTGCTCCTCCATGGAGGCACCGAAGGCGGGGCGCTGAGGGGCCTGAGCCATCACCATGGCACGGCGACGGTCAGCAGTTTTGGCAATGGCGTTGCGCTACCACAAAGTCAGCACAACGGTCGAGGATCGTGAAGGGAACACCACGGCAACCATGAACTTACAGCATCACCGGTTCTCTTCTTGGCGCCGGCCAGGGCCTTCTCAGTCTTCTTCTGGAGTGTGGTTCCAAGAGGTGGTCGGTACACTCTGATCATGAGAGAGAGTCTTCGAGTTGGGCTCGTCAAACGAGCCAACCTCTTATACGTCGTCAAGGGCGCCTGTCAGTCCAGTCGGTTGACGAGGCGCGTACTTGCCACGAACGTACCAGCTCTCTCTGGCATGTGCGGTAAATACCGCATCACTCCAACTTCGGTTGGTGAGTATTAAATTGCTTCCGCGTGCAGGGCTCTGAGTCCCCGGCTGCCTTGAGGGCTCACTCCGGATTGCCTACATTACCGCTATCGTCCTCCTAGAACCAGTCACAATGGTAGAGTCACAAGCCACCACGACCCGTCACGGTACGAGCCCAAATGGGTCTTAATCAGGATTTTAGACTGATCCATGTTCGGATGAAAACAATGCCAAGATGACGGTCTTGCTCAACACAATAGGAGCCCAATGGCCTATCGACTAATCTCGTTCAATTCACATTTCCTATTGTTTCATCCCAACTCCTATTCAGTCTTTCTGTGAACTATTGAACTTGGACCTTGAATTGAATGATTTAAACCCGCACCACAGGATTATTTCAAGCTCGATATTTTTTGTCGCTGGATGAAAACCTCTTGAACTCTTCTTGTGCAACTCGTCCAGGAAGTTTGTTTTCAAATTATTCGACCAGTTGAAGTCGACATGCAGTACGACGCAGACGCCGAGTCCGACGCCGCCTCTCCGGACCGTTCCTTCGTCTGCACCCGCAACAGGGTAATCGGCCAGGTCAAAGCCCAGCGAAAGGCCAACAAGGCGATGCGGAACAGACTCCGTTGCATCGAGGGCTGCAAGAAGTATGAGAGTGCCACGCTGAAGAGCTTGGAGAAGGATTTGGGTGCTCTCAAGGACGAAGGGCAAGACCTGGAGATGAAAATGGGTATGGCGCAGGTGGAAGCGCTGATTCGGATCAGGGTGCTCGGAAAGCAAATGGAGGGGCTGGGAACTAGCTTTCCTTGCTCTTGGAGGGTTTTGGTGTCGATTGGGAGAATTTCGTTGAGATCTCATAGGGAATTGTTCAACCAGGAGTCTATAGGAAGTGTGGTGGGTTAGGGGAAGGGGTGACTGGAGGAGAGGACATCCGGTAATGAGGCATTTCCAGGCGTTGAAGGTTTGAAGTAAGCATTGATGGCTCAGCACTTATGATAGCGATTGGTTTGATAAGAGGCCTAACAAGGGATTGGAGCGCAAGTGATCTGTTGATCCCTCACAAGTAGAAAACAGTCGCAAGGTTCAACAAGGATTACATCAAGTTTACTATCACTTGATTGCCCCTGTCTCAACTCCCTCGCGTAGTAATTTCCGCCTTCCAATTCTTGTGATTCCACAGTTTTGTGGTTCGGGAAGGAGGGCTGGAGGAGATATTGACGAGTGTCACCCGCGCAAATGAGGCAGTAACGACAATCTGGGAAGGCGTCTTTCACACCAGCAAGATGACCATGGTCTACCAATCACTGTTACCACGTGGGACCAGTCGGTAAAGCGGTAATCCGGGAGCGCTTGCATGTATCATGACGGTCCACTCATCACTGACGAAAACAACAACTTCGACTCTTGTCGCCTCAGCAACAACTCAAGCACGCAACCAGTATGAAGAAAGCTCCAGCATCCTGTCATCCCAGAATCAATCTCGCTTTTTTCCCTGTCCTACGCGAGTGCAAGTGTGGAGTCACAGGCAAAGGCAACCCCAAAAAGCGAAGAAGACGTGTCCAGCCTGGCCCGGAAGAGCCACGAACATCGGATGACAGCCGTCTAGTCCAAGGCACCAAGGCACCAACGGAAGACATCCACCCGAGTCCCTCGCCCCAAGGCACCAGCACCCGCCGTCCCTTATAGGCTCCTGTCCCAGGAAGGTTTTCCAACAACAACGGGTAGTTGGTCGAGCGGCAGTTGGTGTTGCACACAGCACACCCATATCATACCGGCTCAAAACGCCACGGGTTCGAATCCCGTAGTGGCAGCTTTCGACACAACTATTGCTCGGGCACACCTGTGGTCTATATGGCTGCAACATTAAGTCTACCTGGGCTAACGAGGTCGAGCTGTGACCGACGAGGGGATACCTTCGGGTATCATTGACCAACTACAATTATTTTTTCCTTTTTTCCTTTTCTCGAGCTGACAATCAACGGGACGTGAGGTGGCCTAGGTTTTTCGAAAGCTTTCATTCACTCCATATCCATGTACACAAATATTCTCAAGTCCCCTTCACTGACATTGTCTCCAAGCCCAGCCTACATCAGTAAGCCCGTGCCGTCATGCAAGTCTCTGTGCATATATGTCGGACGCATGTCGGCCTCCAAGCCGGTCGTCAACGACCCTGCGCGCAAAACTTGGACTCAGGTTAACGGCAGAGTTGGCCACTTGCTCCCCTCTTTTGCTCCCTTTACTCGTTCACCATCGGATGCAAATCCTGCCCCACACCTTTCACCCCTTTTGGCACAAACACCACCCAACTTTTGGCCCCTATACTTTTTGTCCTTCCACACCCTGTACTTGCTCCTACCGAACAATTATCTCAACCGCCATTCCCGCCCCAGTTGTGGTACTCGTCTCTCCGGTATGTACATAACCACATAGATGCGTCTGAAGCTTTGCATGTCCGTGGAAATATCTGACACAAGGAAGCCGAACCACAACACTGAAACACCGGCCCCATGTCGGAGACCGAAGGAAAACAGAGCCTTGCTCTGGAAGACAAGGCCTTACCAGCCCATCAGCCGCATTCACGCAGCCGCGAAGTCAGCTATGACAAGTCAACACCGTCCACGCTTCCTGTGAGTCCCTACCCGTCCTGGGAGTATGAGTCGATTTCTAATAGGTTTTTCCAGTGTCAACACCCAGCTATGCAGCCATCTCCTTCCTCCACGTGCAACGGCATCGATGAAGCCACTCAGACATCAATCGTATCGGAAGAGAGCGATACATCTACCACTACCTCAAGCATTCTATCGGACCCGACACTCCCCCAACATGCACACGACGATACACCGACGGAGACTGCTGAGAGGTTCTCAAAGTGTGTCTTCCCAGTGCTTCAAAGCAAGCTGAATAGCAAGATTCAGAGGAGCAGGTTGGTAAACCGAACAATTCGGAACAATCTAGCCAAGTTTGAGGATTGCGATAAGTATCTGAATACATTGAAGACAATGGAGAAAGAGCTGGAAGCAGAGAAAGAAAAGACATCCGAGCTTGCGGCATTGTTGAGACAGGCTGCGAAAAAGCTCACGGCCTCGGTCGGCGATTGGGAGAAGATGATGCGCGAGCATCTGGAGTAGATGACTCGATTGGTATCACATGACGATTGCTCGAGGCAATGACTGGTTGTGGCTGTCATCTATAAGGATGAGAAGGATAACACGGAACTACGCAGACGAAGGTATGCCAGTACTTTGAAGTGTCCAGCGCCGTATGATGGGATGGCATACCGTAGTATGGAAGGAGCAAACTGAAACAACTGGTCTTTTGTTTGTTATCAATAGTGGGACGGATTTGAACGTATCAGTTCCACAATTCACCATGATTTCATCTCGAAGACGGTTTTTATCCTGAGTTTGAGCTTCAACTTCCGTTGCCAACCCTGATCTCATCTCAACTACCTGATATTCAAGCCTCCTCTACCCTTCTTCCTCCTTGGATATAAATTCTCCCCCTCTCCCGCTTCTTCCTCAACCTCCCTCTCTCTCCATTTCTTCAACCTTCAGAATCTAATCTCCTCGCTTCTCTCGAGGGCATCGCAGGTCTCACTTGCTTGACGAGAACTAGCACCGCATTTGGAAGACCTCATAGCAGACACTATCGCACAAAACGCCAGGGAAACCTTCCATTCTCTCACAACGCAACGCCGTCTGATCGCTCATCATTATCACCCTCGTCTCAGATCATACGCACACGCATACGACACTCGATCATCATGGAGCAGTGGAAGCTTCCTGAGCTGCGCCAATCAGTCGGCTATCAACTTCAGTCCTTTGGTAATTCCTTTGCTACACTTCATCATCACACACTCGCCTTTCTTCTGCAAGCCTAACATCTGACGAGTTCCAGACAGTGCTTTCGATCACGTACACACACCCACCTCGGCCCCGAACTCCTCTGGTCAGTCTGGTGCCAACCGCAACGCAGATGCTTCCTCCCTCGCCAGCCTTGACGAACTCAACAAACTCAACAAACTCAACAACTCTCTCCGCCTCATGAGAATTAAGAACAGGCACCAAATCATCAAGTCCCGCCTCCAAGCTCGTCTCGACGATCAAGAAAGCAAGAACCGCGTCCTCGCCGCACGCCGCGATCAGCTGAAGCAAGACGAACAGCTTTTGGCCAGTTTGAAGGTAATGAAGTACAAGATTGTGGCCACTAAATACCAGGAGAGACAGTTGGAGAAGGAGATTAAGTCTTTGGACAGTGCAGTCTGGGGTTATGACATGGAGGGTCTGCTGGATGAATTGAAGGAGGAGGAGGATAATGAAGAGGATAAAGATAAGGAGGAGGAGGATGAAGGCCAAAGCGAGGAAGAAGAGGTCCATGCCATAGACTACTTGGAGGAGGAATCTGTGGTGGAAGAGGACTCGGAGTCTAACTGCTCCGATGATGAGGACGACTACTGAGCCGACAGGCTTTTGGGCCTATGGTAATGGTGAGGTTATTGGAAGGCAAATAGACACATAAGGACCTAGTATATACTGCCTGACTCGCAGTACTCAGATGGATTGGAGGAACGTATCATTTTAAGTTTGCCTCTAGCATTTCATCTCAAAAACGGCGTCTACCTATCTTGAACTTGAGCTTCAACCTGTTGACATCCATCTTATCTGTGACTTTGTTTGCAATTTTCTTCTTCCTGCTCACTGTAACGGCTGGCATCAGTCGTCAGGCCTTATGTGTTCTGGGTACCCAGCCTCTATAAAGCCCTGTCTTCCCCAGCTCATCTCCTCTTTTAAGACTTCCTTCTTCTTCGTCTGTGTACTTTGAGTCCAAGCCAGCAGGGTAGTAAGGATCATTACCTTGTACTCGCGCCGACCTTGCTGCGCTGTGGCACTCCCCAGGTATAAAATTCCCGCTCTCCCCTCCATCTTCTTCCGCCTCCCACAACTCAACCGGCCACTTACCCAAGAAGTACCGCAGGCTTCAGTTTCTTGACGTGGTCCGTCTCGCAAGTTCCCAACTTATTACGAAACGCAACCGATTACTAGGTATCTTGCTGTTCCAGGTATGTTTTCTCCAGCATAATAACGTTCACCCCCCCCCCCCCCCCCCCCAAAAAGGTCATTTTGCACAAATGATCCTGATCTGACGCGATTCAGACAGAAACGTGAAAGCGATGTCCTACCTCTACCCACCAACAAGAGCCAGTTCCGCTCCCGCGACTACTTCTACCAGCAATAGAGCCACCAATAATGAAGCCAGACGTAACAATGACGCTTCCAATATCGTCCACCCCACCTTGAACCGCATCAAGAAGAACCTCCAAGCCCGACTTACCGACCGGGAGAAGAAGAACAGCTCCGTCGTCGTCCGCATCAAGCATCTGGAGCAGTGCCAGAAGTACATGGCCAGCATGCAGGAGATACAGGTCAGGTGGAATGACCAGGAAGCGAAGGGCAAGGTGTTGGAGAAGAGGATGAAGGATTTGGAAGGTGACGTTCAGGAGAAGGTGGCACAGTGGGAGGGTTGGGAGAGGGACGTGGGGGGATATGTCTTCAAAGGTACGCCGGAGGAGGAACTGAATGAGGAAATTGAAGTGGAGGAAATAGAGAAGGTGGAAATGGAAAAGAAGAGAGTTGAGATGGAGGTGATTGATGTGGATGCCATTGATCAGGAAGGCTGGATTGACCGCTGGATGGAGGAGCAGCACGAGCTTATTGGGTAATTGGGAGGGAGGGTATCTTGAAGCACGACCACGAGGTTTTAGTCACGGCGGAGGTCACGGCGGAGGAAGACGATAACGGCAAGCCGCGCACGAAGATGGATTCAGGAGAAGAGTCAGAGGAGGAATCTAAGGGGTTGTTCGGAAATTTTTATTTGGAGGAAGACGTGAAGGGGCCCTTGATGCACCTGAAGAATGGGTTGGATTCGTTGAATGAGGAAACTGCAACTCGATTCACGGAAACCAGCCAGGGGCAGGGCTCAGAGGCACATATGGCGATCTCGTACACACAGATAGAAACAACTTCAAGCTGATGATCGCTATCTGAGTTTAGAAGATGAAACAGGGACCGTATCACAGACACTTTGTTTGCTTGTCCTTTCGTCCCATCCTATTCTGACCCTCTTCGTCTGAATAGGTTATTCACAGCCTATTGTTCACGGCTAGCTGCTTATATCCATCTGAATAGCAGTCTCCTGCCACCAATGGTTGCTTAAAATGCCAATTACTCTCCTTCGAGAACAAAGATCCCTCTCTTTCATCATCTACGATCTATATATTCTCTTTCAACTGCGATTCATCTGCAGATACTCTTCTGGTGTTCTCATTCAACACAACAACACGCTCCAAGATACACGGTTTGGCTTCAAACAGTATACCACAGCTTTCGAGACAGCTTACTCCATTGCACTCACTTCATTCTCACCACCACGGTCACCAACCTTCAAGTATCTCACAATGGCTCCCTCTCGTTCAAGTCTCACAAAGGAATCCTCACGTGAGACAGTCCAATTCCCTCTCCTGCTCCAGTGTTTTTACATTGATTGATGGACTAACGAAACACATTTCGCCAGTTGCCCAATCCCTTGCCCAATCCCTTGCAGCTAGATACAAACCAGCCGGCGTTAGCAAGCCAATTGCGCGAGCAAAAGCCGCAAAACCAGTCGCCAGAGCCACGACTACACGGCCTGCCACCCGCGCCTACGCTAAGAAGGTGAAAGAAGTGAAATCAGAGGAACCAGAGGAGGAGAGTCCTATCCGAGTGGTCTCCGAAGTGGTTCCAACTGTCATTGCGCGTCCCACCCTCCAGCCGAGCGCCCTCCCCGCCCCAATCGCCCCCGCCAACACTGAGACAGAGCTCGAAAACCTCATGACCATCGGCCGCGAGCAAGTCGAGAAAGAACTCAAGGATAGAATCAAGGAAGAGCGGGAGAAGAAGCTTCTGCTTGAGAAGCAGAAGACTGCGTTTAGGAAGTACCAGAGTTACCTTGCAGGCCTGAAAGGTTTGGAGGAGGACCTGGGGGTCTTGAAGGCGGATAATCGCATGGATGAGGACACGGTGATGGAGCTCGCGGAGGACTTCCGTGAGAACACGATGAAGTGGGCTAGGCTGTTTGAGAAGTACGCGGAGGAGTTGGGGATTACGGTTTTTGACATTCGGAAGTTGGGGGAGGCGTGGTGATGGGTTGAAGGGATTGTGAGGGGAGGATGAGGTCTGTTTTGGAAGGGTGACGGGACATGAAGATGGAGATTATGGCAGGACACGGTGCTTATAGTCCGTCCACTGCTCCTCCTCCCTTGCTAGTTGCTTCTTTACTCTTGCTATTTGGGTTCCTAGCTAACATCTGCTGCCAAAATATCACGAATTTCGGTTGTCCGTTCTGACATGATCCGAAAACAAACTGGACAATACCTGAGTACCTAACTCAAACAACCAACAGGAAACTGGGTGGTGTTTCTACCTACACATTTGAGAGCGAAAAGAATGAAGTAACAGAGGACACCGAGCTACACTCACACTTGGGTTAGAACTGTGCCTGAAGCATGATTACACAGATATCGTCTTATGCCGTCTTCATAAGTTCATCCGCACTAGAAAAGATTTCGTCTCTTGAGTTTTCCGTTGACAGATGACTGAAACTGTCCCCTCGATGAGCCATTCGTCAGTAAAACATCCACTCCAGCTCGTTTGCAGAGATCACGATTTACCTTCATCACATTTCCAAAGGAGGACTAGAACCCTCAGATTAACCCACCTCTTTGCTGGCTGGAGACCTATTCTTTGCGCAACTTCTTCCCATATATCCGCGAGTTTCCCTCCAGCCACCACGAAAAAGCCCACAGCCTTCCCATCACCAACATCACCTTCATCACCGCCGCGGTAGGTACCTATTTATGCATCTCCATTGCCCACCAAGTGAGCTCACTACGTCAAGTCTCTTTCACTGAAGGTACGTCTGGTATCAACGACGATCGCAGAAAATTTTAAACATAATATCTCAGACGCTCGCCACCTTCTCCCTCAAAACGAGCAAGACCCACGACCGTTGAGTCCAGATCGCCACAGATATCCTTACCCTCGAGTGTTCTATCCTTATCAACACCCAAACAAAACGTTCCGGACTCCCCGTGAACAAACAAAATGCAGCGCTGGACCTTCCCCAGCTTCCGCCTCCCAACCGGTAAGCACCCACCTGCCAAGTTTCCCAGACCATCCCAGACCATCCCCGCTGCAATCCCCCACCACCATCACCACTCACCTCCCCGTCAAACCACATCAGCTAACATCTCTCAACCAGGCACAACCAACACCCACTCCGGAAACATCCACCCTCAGCCCATCCATCACGATCAAATGGAAGCCACACACCCCAGAAACAACCCCTCCCGCTCCCAGGGTCTCCAACCTAACCAGGCCCACAACCCCTCTCCTAAGCACAACCACATCGAACGCACCCTCCGCTCCCGAATCACCAAGCAAAAAGCCAAAAACGAGCGGTTGCGTAAGAACATCGCTAACCTAGAAGCCAAGAGCGCTTACCTCCGGCGCCTCAAAGGGTTGGAGAAAGAGGTTGAGCAACTGGAGAAGGAAGGGAGGGAGCTTGCTAGACGGGAGAAAGAGGTTAGGAGGGTTGTGGAAGCGGGTGAGGAGGGTCTGGAAGAGAAGGGGGAAGAGAAGGGGGAGGGTTGGGGTGTTGATGGGGATGATCAGGGGGGAGATGACGGTGATGAGGATGACGAGGAGGGAGCTAGGGGCGGGGGTAGGGACAGGACCAGGAATATAGACGGAGAGGGATCGGTTAAGAGAGAGGAGGAGGGCTCAGAGAAGGAGCGAGAGGGAAGTGTTTGGCGGTTCAAGAGGGAGGACGAGGGCAAAGTCAAAGTGAAGCAGGAGGCGGAGGCGGAAGTCAAAGATTCCCTGGATATATGGATTGAGGAGATTGAGTTGTTGAGTAGTGCTGCGGCTTGGAGATGGTTGGACTCGCGTTTGGCGGTGGAGATCTAGAGAAGGGAGGTGGAAGGTTGATGGCTGTGGCCATTGGGCATTGCAGGGTATCTGGGGAGTGACCTAACCTCTCATACACTGATGATAGAGGAACATGACTGGACTTACGCCTGGGAATACGCACGCTGTTGTAGAACAGGGCTAGAAGCAAAGGTACATAGAGATTGATGACTATTTTGGCGCCGCCAAATGCTATGATCAAGGAAACTAAAGTATGTGCTGCAAGCGCCGTGACGAACATGAACTTCCAAGATGATTGACAGTGAAATATTCCTCCGATGATGCCATTATATCCCCCGCGAGCTCGGAAACACGAGAACACTCCCAATCATGAAACGCACAACGCCTCCAGTCCCTGTAACTGTTACGCATCCGTCCATTGCCAACCAGTGTACCCCCTCCAAGTCATAATATGTTCAGATAACCTCCATAGAGGTACGTGCCAGCACTTAACACCATACCTCATTGTAACGAAAACCCCTTTGTGGCCTCCCAAACAAACCACAGACAACCCATGAGAACAGCAATAAGATAGCAACATAACCGACGCTCCTAAACCCCATAAACACAAAAGAAACAGCATAAACATTCCACTTATCCCCATCTTCACGGCGGCAAAATCCCCAATCCCGTTCCACCACCACTACCAGCACCCGCACCCTCATCACCGCTCGTCCCTCCTTCTTTCCTATGCTGAGCCTGCCTAGGACTCAATCTTCCTGCATCAATCGTTCCCAAACTCGGACTGCCCGACCTCGACAGCGAAGCAGAACCAGTTCCACCCGCCCCATGTCCATGACCCCAAGGCCTATGCAATGTGCCCATAGACATCGAAGACATCGACGAAGGCCTCCACGGTCCAGGACTACTTCCGCTTCTAGCTCTTGTCCTTGTCCTGGTACCTCTGACGCTCGGGCTATTGGGATTCACAACGGGCCTGGTGGAAGAAGCAGGAACAGGAATAGGTGGTGAAGTAACGGTGCCTTGAGGCAGAGGAACTGAGCCTAAAGGTGATCCAGAGGGCAACGTAGGCAAGGAGGCGTGCAGGGGAGGCGTGTTCGGATTCGGAGACCGTAGACCAGGCGCAGAACCCGAAGTGAGCTGATGAACAATCCGCTTCCTCCTGGCAATGCCTAAGCCCGTAGCGGTCGGGGGCGTGGGCGGCATGGGCGGCGTTACCACGCTACCAGGCGCCGCTCCAAGTCCAGCATTCATCACTCCTCCCTGAACAGGCGTGGCCATCGGTCTTGGACTTGACTGCTGCACTTCCCAAGCCACCCCCGAAGCGACCGGCGACCCAGGCGGCGGAAATCCATGTAAATCATTATTGAAATCCTCTTCCATGCCATGAAACACGCCCGTATCCGGTTCCACGTCCATTTCTCGCCCTGCAGGTCCGACAATAGGAGATCCAGTGCTGACATTAGTCATGGTCATAGGAGTCAAAGGTGACGCCACGCTGCTGGTGCTGGGGAACTGGAAGATAGTACCATCACTGAGAAGGATACCGGCTCCAGCTCCCGCTCCCGTTCCAACGGCAGGGGAGGAGGATCGCGGTTCTTGTAACGAGGGTGGAGGAACAGGTGAGCTGGCTACCGCATAAAGCGAGCCAATGCTGGGACGCTGCGGTGGAGCAGAAGTGGAAGGCATAGCAGAAGCAGCAGACGCAGGAGTAGCAGGAAATTGTCCGCCCATGTTCGATATAGACGCCACCAAATCTAGACTTCCCCCATAACCTTGGCTTTGTGCAGCACTTCCCACAGTAGCGGTAGACGTCACTGAACTCGCCAACGGATGTTGTTGCCCAGATCCAGAATGCTGCCCACTTCCCCGTCTTGATCCAGTCGGGAAGGCAGACGGACTCGCGGATTGCGATCGGCCGTTATTAGCACCGAGCACATTCTGGATCCGTTCCTTAGTCCTCCGTCTCGTAAGTCCCCTGCCCAAGTTTCGCCAGAGGATAGCGGGCGCTGGTTGTGGATGGGGGGCTGAAGAAGATGCGGTGGTGACCTGTCCGGGGCCGGTGGAGGAGGTGGACTTTTTATGGGCATGGCCACCGGCGGTGGGAGATTGGTAGGAGGAAGCACTTTGATGATGTCCAGGGGCATGCATCTGCTCCCACCGCGAATAACTCGTGTCAACATCCGGGAACGCATCCTCCATCCTAGGCGAGGGTTCCGTTTCTGTGTACGACGCTGGTCGATGCTGCTGTTGTTGAGCCTGTTGTATCTTCTGGGAGGATAGTCGACCGGCGCCGGATCCGGGAGCGTTGATGTTGATGGGCATTAGAGGCATCTGCAGCTGCATGAGCGAGGGCCTGTTACCCAGATTCACGTTGGTGCCGGGAACTGCGGGACTGCTGTTGTTGTTCATCCCCAATGAAGAACTTCCAGCAGCCACTTTCCCAGCGCTAACAAGCGGCCTAGGTTTCGATACCCCCATTACCATCGGTTCGGATGACGAGAACCCATTGACACTCTGCATTGACAACGACAACGGACTCGGACTGTGGTTGTTTGCTCCTCCGGAAGATTGTCCCACCCCCGATGCAGAGGACTGATGTGACGGATCCCTCGACATCGGCTGGGAACTATATCCTGTCGGGACGTGACCCGGGACCGCACCGGGAACCATCAAGGGTGACGGACCTGGTCGGGTCGCAACCGTGGGATACGGTAATCCAGTAACAGGATGAAGCGGCGGCGGTACATTCGACTGTCTATTAAGCCCCTGTCCGGGGGTAGTATTCCTTGGAAGACGATCCCATTGAGGCAAAGCACCGACAGGCTGGGAAGACGAGAGGTAATCGGCGTCTTGATCCCAACTTACTTGACTTGGCGGCTCGGAGAATCCATGAGCGGATCTAGGCAAACGGACTGCCGATTCATCAAGATCTGCGGTAGCGGCGAACGAAGGAGGGGGGAACGGAGAGGAGGTATGGTTAGCCGGACTTGAGCGGGACGTTCGACTTCCTCTAAAGATGGGACCAGGAACGATCATAAGCTCATCCTCCTGCGGCGCTGATTGGGAAAGCTGTTGACCAAGAGGCATGCTCGGCGATGTCGAACCAACCGCCGTCGGCACACTTTGCACACTCGAGCCAAAGCCCTCCCTCAACCTCTTCAGCCATCCACTCGGAGAAAGCAACCCACTTGATGACGGTGTTGGAGGAGAAAGATCGCTCGCGGCGGACAGTCCCCCACCACTCGTCTTCCTAGACGGCATCGGCAGCGTCAAGTTATCACCCAGCCCTCCAGACACTCCCTCATTAACCGCCTGAGCCTGAGCCTGAGCAACAACAGCCTGTGTACCCGCCGCCTTCTGCCGAATTTTGTTCAGCTCCAACTGCGCCTCACTCTGCGTCTGGGCCGTCACCCTCCTTTTTCTATGCGGCGGCCACACCGGCACAACACCTGCTGCACTCGTCCCGGGCTTCCCAGCCAACGATCCAACAGCCACATCCAGCGTGACTCCCACCCTCGGATCGCCGACAGTCCTGACATCTCTCCAGGATCCAGCGCGATCGCGGTACCGACGGGCCTCTTGCTTCTTGATGACCCGATGATTGGGGATAACGGCGTTCCACTCTTCAAAGAGACCGGTTTCGAGAGCGGGCGTGGGGATCTCCAGGCCGTCCAGGGCTGTGTAGACACTGGGCGTTTCGACGATGGGTGTGAGAGCTGCTTGGTCGACTTCGTCGAGAGGTTGTTCGTCGACAGGTTCGTAGTAATCCGAAACAGCGGCCGGGACTACAGTCCTTTCGTCTTCCAACATGTTCCTAATCTTGTTATCCAGTCCGGGAGTCGGCGGCATCACTCCCTCTGTCGGATACGGTGCCGTAACTTCCATTCCCATCTCTCTCCATGGGAACGGACCCAGAGCTGCCTGACCTGATATCGTCATCGTTAAGTTTGACGGCCTCTGACGACCTCCCGAAGTGGAGTGGTGATAACTACTAGGCGACTCCATGGGCGTGAACCCCTCATCCAGCTCCGCACCTCCAAACGCACTCTCCCAACTTCCCGGGCCAACATGGCCTTCTTCTTGACTCTCATGACTCGGCGCAGTGGTAGCCGTCGAATCCGTCTCGGACACACTACTGCCACCCCGACTCCCACTGTTCCTATCAAACACACTCACCACCTCCAACCCTTGTCCCCATCGTCCCTCTCGTCCCTCTTGTTCCCCAGACACTCCTCCCCCAACCCTCCCCAACCGATCCAACCGACTCAACTCCTCCACCCCCCTCCCCGCCTCCTCCACCCTCTGCCTCACCATCCACCTCCACTTCTCCAGCCTCCGTTCCGGATCCCTCTTCTCGTTTCCAAACCTCTCAATATTCTGCAAGAGTTTCTGGCCATGGATGCAATACCTCCTATAATCATCCGGCACTCCCACCCGCGGTGAAACCTCAAACCCCTCGTGCTCCCCTCCACCTCCACCTCCGCCTCCACCGACAACGACACTCTTGCGCGCCTCGTCAATACGCCTATGCGCCTCATCAAACGACCTACACCAAACCGCCGCCGCCCTCTCAAGCCAGGCCACAGCCGTCTTCTCCTCCGCCAGCGTCTCAATAAAGAACGCCTGAATGACGGAGTGAATCCTCAATAGGTCGAGGGAGTCCGAGGAGTCACTGTAGATCCGGTAATAGTTTCCGCCAGGAGTATCGAGACTTCGATTAGCAGAAGTGCGAGAGCTGCCACTGGCAGCGCTGGGGCTGCGGGTTAGGGGAGTAATGCTATCATCGGACTCGGTGGTGCGTTCGATGAGGGCGAACTTGATGAGGACTTTGAGGGTGTTGTTGAGCGTCGTCTTCCTATGGGACGCATCGCAGGTTTTGACGGGGGTGTCGCGGGATAGGGCTGGGAGGCCTACACATGTGTAGTGTTAGTATGATGTCGGTTTCTTCTTTAAGACGTGTTTGATGTCCCGAAGGCACTTGCCTTCTTTTCATGGGCACTTACTTGCCTTGCTTTCATGACTTCATGATGTGTTTTTATTCTCCAAATAATCTGTGTTTGATTGGAACCTCCTCCTTTACTCCTTCACCTCCTTCTGTTGCTTCTCTCCCCAATCTCTCCATATCCCTCTACTTAGAGGTATCTTTCGATACACTTCTTTGAAATCTCTTTTTTTTTTTGGAAGAGAAGGGGAGGGGGTAGAGAGGTGTTGGCAAAGGGAAAGGGGGTGTTTGGGAAGACGAAAGAGGTATTTGAAAATGTCAAAGAACTCACCAAAAACAACCATCTCAACCGGCACCAACTGCTCCCACCAAACCAACACCCCCACCAAATTCAACGCCGCACTATTCCCCCTCGCATCCAACTGCTCCCTGACCTTCTTATACGCATGCAAATTGCCCACCTGCTTGGGCTTACTCGCCCTCCACCCCGCCAGATACCTCGCCAACGGCTCCCTCGTCGCTTTCAGATGCTGCGCAGCGACATGGATCATCAGCGGTAATCTTCCCATAAGATTAACCAGCTCCAGCGCTCGTTTCTCTTCTTCCTCGTCTTTCCACCCCCCATGTGCATTTTTGCCCCCCTTTCCCTTCCCATTTCCCATATTGCTGGGAGTAGAGACAGAAGCACGGTCAAGTTCAGTCAGCAGCAACTGGACCGCTTGTCTAGGCGTCAACAACCCCAACTCCATAACCTGCGGATTATCAAATCGCGGATCACCCGTCACCGCCCGCTCCGTGCTGGTGTAGATGATACTCGTGTGCTTCGCGTCCGGAATGAACTCCGACAGGCCGGGGATGTCGAACTGGATCCCGTCTAGCACCAGCAACCAATCTCGATGACTGTTAAACCAGGCTTTGACCACTTGCACCATCGTCTTGGGATCCTCCCGCAAATTCTCTACCCCCGTCACCCCCACCCCCATTTGGTTTTCAGTTGTGTCCCGCATAATCTCCATCCTGACAACCCTCCAATACCCACTCTCCACCTCCCCCCTCGACTTGGCGCGCACCCAGTACACGCCGCCGGGGTAGTGTTCGCGGTAGCGGTAGACGTATTCGCGGGCGAGGTGCGTCTTGCCGCCGCCGGGGAGACATTGGATTAGCACGGCGGAGGTGCCTTCGAGGCGGCGGCGGCGGTCTTGGAGCATTTCGTGGAGGCCGCGAAGTTCGTCTTCGCGGCCGATGAAGAAGGAGTTGGGCCGGAAGGAGTCGGGGTGGATGAAGAGTGGTTCTGGATGTTGGGGCGTAAGGGGTGCTTGAGGTTGAGATTGAGGTTGAATGTCGGTGGTAATAGTGGTGATGGGGTCGTCGTTGTTCCCATCGACGGGTTGGCTAGGGCTGATGTCGCCCGGCTCCAACACCAACGTAGGTTCGCGCGTGGACAACGCAGATCGGGACGAAGACGACGGCAGAGGCGGTAAGAGCTCGGGAGGTCTTTGCTGGCCATGAGGGCGGTGTTGGAGTAGAAGAGTCTCATTACTGTAATTGTCTATATGCACCAACGCCAGAGAAAAGTCCCAGCAATTAAAATCAGCCCATGTTCCTGTGAAATGTGCGTGTGATGAAAGATGCAAAAGCGCTCTCTAGGTATGAAGATGATGATGTGCCTCCTCCTCTACTTCTATCGATGACCAGACCCTCGGGCCGCCATTCGCCTGCTGTCTAGAACCAGGGGGCGTAACAGGAAGGGGGTAAGGAGCAGGAAGATACCGGCCGTAGCCGCAGTCATGGTCATGGCCATAACAAGATGAGGGTGATCTGCGGAACCTACCAATGGAGGGAAACTGCTGGTTGCTATAACCCGGCGAATGCGAGCGTCGCTGTGATATCTCGTTAGCATCTCTATCCCTTCAAACCTTCAAAGGAAGAGAAACCTACATAGGACTGCATAGCCTGAACACTCCTCTCATAGTACTCATCCGCCGCCCTCTTCTTCCGCTCCTCCTCCTCCGCCTCCCAACGTATATCAATAACCGTCCTAGCCACCGCCACCCACTCCGTGATAGCCGTCGACACATTCCTATAGCCAGGAGCATTTTGCCCATCAAACTTGCACATGCCCGAGTGTGTCGCCTCAATGCCATAGTATATCACGCCCTGCAACTGCGGACTAGCCGAATTCGCATCCACCACGAGCGCCCTCGTCCCTCTCAAGTCCGTGGTATGGTTCTCGTGTACCATGTGGATCTTGAACCGCTGGTAGATGTCGAGGAAGTGGTTGTTGATTCCCTGCAGGGTCTCGTTATCCCTCTTGAGCGACTTGAGCAGGACGGATTCGGTCTCGAAGAAGCGCCGGGGAATGACGGCGTCCGACATGGCTTGGAGCATGCGGCCCCAGGTGGCCAGGTCCGAGCCTTGGTGCGGGGTGCCGAGGAAGATGATGGCGTACGTGGATACGAAGACTGAGCGGAGGTCTTCTTGCTGATGGGCCCGGATATCATTCGAGTATAGTAACGCTCTTTTCGTTACTATACCCCCCAGGCTGTGCACCACCCATATGATCGGCAGTCTCTCGGTTCCTTCACTCTTGCGGAATGACGTAAGGGAGGTGACTAGAGACTGAGCGTGCTGGTGAATGAAGTTGTTACTGGGAGTGTTGGTGCCCCTTGAGTAGACGTCGGCATTGTAACCGTAAACCAGGACGTTGGCATGCTGGTTTTTCAGCTCCAGAGACGCTGGGAGCAGGTCGGTGGGCCAGAACACACCGTTGGCAGCCGTCCATGTTTTTTCTGGGTGGCCGTTAAGGCCGTGAACCAGGACGATGTCCGCAGTGGCCTGCGGATGGGTGTAAACCGCTGTGACTTCGAAGCGCGAGATTTGCTTGTTAACACTTCCCTGTAGGTATGATGTTAGCTAAATGCCTTCTCAAATAGTTCAGATGCCGGTGCTTAACCAGGATAGAAGAGCGAATAGGAAAAACAACACATACCATGCTCGTCGTGAATTTAGGCCACAGGGCCAGCCGAGAAAGGAAACAAAAGAATCTGACAATCGAGTGAAAGCTTCACTTCAACCAATAATCACAAAGGATTGTATGAAGACTCAAATCTGGCCGAGAGTCAAAGTTGGTTGCAAGAACAAGAGTCAAAGATAAGGACGATGAGAAATAAGTCGGAAACAGGAAGATCAGTTGGTTGTAAGCAAGCCGTCAGATAAGGCAGAGATAGAAAGAGGCAAGAATTATTCGCGTGAGTCGGGGGACCGACAGGAGGGTCCGGGTGCTGATGGAGGGGGGCTTGTGACTCTTATATCAAGGCAGCAGTTGTCGTGTGGCTTGGTTGAGGGACTGTCCTTGACGATAGGTGTTTCAGGTGTTTAGGCAGGCCGCTTATAAGGTAAGTTGATGGAAGGAGCCTCACCTTCCACTTGGGGCTTCTTCTCGGTGGGCAGGAACAGAAAGGAGCTGCGAGATTGCAACTAACGACTTGGAGATGGTGAGTGGAAGAGCGTAAGTCAAGTCAGTTGATAAAAGAGATGGGGCTTGCATAGGTAAAAGCCTCTTGGGAAATCCGGCAGTAGTAAGATGGACTGGGCTTTTAAAGTGGATGGGTGGATGAAGGGGATCTCAAAGTCTCAAACCGCGGCCGCCCAAGTGAATATCGAGCGAGGTGCAAGTGCAAAGTGCGACATGACCAGTCTTGTTTCTTTCCTCTTGTTTCTCCAGTTATTGCCATTTGCCATCCGTCATCAACCACGGGTTTGTTTTCAAGTCCCGGAATGGTCAATCATGGTCAACCGAGCCGGAGAGACCTTTCAAGTGCTCTTGATGTGGTCAGTCTTGGACATGTTGGCCACTGGCCACTATACAGATCCATCACGAGCATGTGCATAGGTGAGTCTGTCCCACAGTCGGTCTCTCAGCCTGGCTCTCTCGCTTGAGGGATTGACAGAGTGAAAGTTACTTTGTGACTTTCTGTTGGAAACTCCGGGACGAGTGTGGCTGACGACTGGATGCGAACAGCAAGTAGAACTGAAGTCCTAGTATGATGGGAGGGAGGAGTTGCCGTTGAAAGTGCGGACCGGAGTGTTGGAGTGTCGTTGAGTGGTCCGTCACGAGGCCCGCGTATCGTAACGAGTGACCGAGGGGTGCAATTGCGGGTGGCAGCTGAGCCCCCCTTGGACCCCCCTTGTTTGGGGATCTTCACCACTAGATGTATGTACCTTTCCGGCACAGTCAGGGCTTGGAAATCTGTCAAAAAAGGATGGTGTTCGTTTCCTGGGTTTCCTTGGTATCATTGCCGATGTTGTACGCCATCTAGAACCTGTGATGTTATGTAGTGTTGTTGACACCCCCCTTGTTGACATTTCCAAGTGCCGTATCCTGAATCGCGGGGCGGGAAGGGGGAAGCGAGGGGTGGTGTGCTCGCTACTGTCAGGTACACCTGCCATCAACCACGGGCATGTACGGGATATGCCATGCCATATAGGCCATGTGCAGTGAGATGCACTGTACTTCAAGGCTGCAGGTTGCCAGTCTGCCGTTCTTCAGAGACTCTGATTGATGATTGATGAATGACTGGATCTCGGTGTGTGTCACCATCCAGAATGCCCATCAACATTCGCATCTTTCGGTTGCTCTTGCCGTACTCTATCTTAAAGCTCAAAAGTCTCTACCGATCTGATTGATCTGAAGCTTCAACTACATACAACTCCCATCGCCGCATTCATTACCGAGTAAAGACTTGAGGGCAGCATCATGCTTTCCCTTTTCGGACAAGTTAGTGGTCATGCACGTCAGAGGCACGAGGCGGGAGGCGGGGCAACGAAGGAAGCCTTGGCGGCAATATCTCCCCCTCGCTCCCCCCTTCCAAACTCGCCGTAGGGAACCGTCCATGCCGTACAGTGACATGACATGGTAAATATCCAGGGCCAAGACGGCGGCGCCGCGTATCACTGGTTAGAAGAGATCCAATACTTTGGCACACATTAACTCTGTAGTACATGACTCCCTTGACTGAGCTCGCAAAGTAAACTGCTATCTCCGCGCTGAGCCTCAACATCTTTGTAAGAGGATCTACCGTAGGGCAGGTTTTGCCATCTACCTAGGACTAGCACAGCCTTGCATGTTGACGTTGACGCTGTTTTACCTTGACCGATAACCCGTTTTGGGAATCCGATTGTCTTTCTTCTTTTGTGAGAATGAACTGTTGTGAGAGCGTAAATGTACATGGAACTACACAATTGGATGGTTGGACAAAACGTCTCTCTATTCAGCATTACGAGTTTGGGGTTGAGGTAATGGTAGCTAGTAGACATACGACGTACATTGACCATGGTCTACTTTGGTGTTGTAATCGTGATGAACCACGGATTTGGGCAATATTCTCCGCCAGACTAACACTGGGAGACCATCCACAGTCTCGCGTCAGTCACCGTCGTGTTGCGTGTCCTCCTTATCGTTGCAAATTCCAATTCACCAGGCCGAGGTTCGCTGCTTGATTCAGAGGTATCGGGTGTTTTAGGTCAAGAAAAGACGAACATTGATGTTTCTCGGCCGTGCTTTGAGGATCCGTTGTGGTAACTTTCCTTCACCGGACCGCTTGGCCAAACGCCAACGCTGCTATGTCCGCGACAGTCAACATCACCTTTGTCGGCCCTTGACCTAATCCAGCAAGCCGAGGGCCAAAAGGGTCTTGAGATACCAAAAAGACGCCGGCGGTGAGTGAGTCCATCCCACGCCCGGTGACAGGTTGCACCATGGAACTCTAATTATAAGCGTATCACCGGGTATCTGTGTCCTTGGTTAACCAAGTCATCCGGGCTGTTTGCTCTGCTGTGCTATGCCAAAATGCAGTTGAAGTCAGACTGTTTGACTGTGGGGGTTACCATAGCCTCTGATCACCCAAGCGACGAACGGTCTAATGTTCCACCATGGTAGGGAAATCCGTGCTGATTCTCGGCCTAAACCCAGCCGAGGTCTTTCATCGGCCAAGAGTGACATCATTTGCCTAGAATTTTGGGAATACCAGGCACCGTCCATCATCGCTTTCACGGGTATACCATGGCTGTGCCCTTTTGTGTCCTCCTCCTTGGCCCAACAACACGAGTCGTGGTACCCGTCTGCTCGTCTCTTAATCCTTGGGCGGAAGCATAAGCACGTACTCCCTCGTACTGGACCCGAACTGGATCATGTCCTTGTCTCTTAATTCCAGGTACCGACTATCCGGTACCTTGTCACCGTTGAGTTTGGTACCATTCGCACTCTCCAAGTCAATCAGATACGGCTTCACCCGGCCGATCTTATCCCCGTACTCGTTTCTCTTCTCCGTATACCGGAATTGGATGACGGCATGCTGCTTGCTGATGCTCGGGTGCTCGGCTGGCAAGTCGGCAATGGCCAGGTCCCTCCCAACCAGCCAGCAGCTGCGCATGTGCAGCTCGATGGTGTCGATGACCTCGTCGCCCTTGAAGACGTACAGGCGCCACTGGTCGCGGGGGGCGGGCTTGCGGGCCTCGGGCGGCTCGTGGTATTTGAGTGTAACGGTGGTCCCGTCGGCTTGCGTGACCGTGTTGGACTGGGCGGCGAGCACGCCTGTGTTGCCAAAGTTCGGCTTCTCCTTGGGTTTCTCGGCTTCTTCGCCAGTGCTGACGGCGAAAGAGTCACCTTGGGAGGGCAAGGGGCCGTTTCGCTTGATTAGACTGCGCTTGTTGTCGGCATTTTTGGTGTCTCGGTTGGAGTCATCTGGTTGTTGTGTTTCTCTCCGGGACGAGCGTCTTTCGGACGAGCGGTTCCTACGGCGGTCTCTGTCTCTTTCCCTGTCTCTGTCTCTGTCCGAGTGGCCGTCATTGTCCTTGTCTTCGCGCCGGCGGTGTCGTTTGTCACTGTCGTCATCTCCTCTTTCCCTTCTTCTCTCCCTGTCTCTGTCTCTTTCTCTCTCCCTGTCGCGTGGTGAGCGCGAACGCGATCGGCGCTTTTTGGCGTCCGGTGACCTGGAACGTCTTCGGTGATCTCGTCTTGGAGACCGAGACCTGTCGCGGGACCGGTCCTGAGAGAGCCTTGGATGTCTCGGGGAGTCTTCTGCCAAGTCGCGCTTGTTGTGTCGGCTGCTGGTTGCGCTGTCTCTGGGGGCGTCTCGGTAGTCGTCACGGCGACGCGACCTGTGGTCGTCTTCTGGGCGTTCCGAACCCATCGATGTCGTTTGAATCCTTTTGCCTGTAAACTGTTGATCCTCCAAGATAAAAAAAAACCAAATGTTCCTGTTGATGTGGTGCAAGATTCAATGACGCATTCAACCTAGAGTTGTCAGTGGGAAAATGGCTTTGGAAAAAGAAGCTTTGGGGAAGGCAGGGTCATGACGCTAGAAGGAGGAGCCACAGTGACTTTCAACATGGAACATGACATAACCCTAACCCTTATACACATCTATGACTTCTCTATCATTGACCACTCGACCACCTCCAACTCGATCGATGCACACTCTCCTGTCTCAAGCCCCCATTCAAGGTGTGATTCGGAAAGAAAACCTGCACAGCTGGATATCTCGGAAGTTAGCTTATCCCATGACCATTCCATTCTGTCAGGACTGTTTACTTGTGACCTGCCTGACCACTACCTACTGACCTCTGCCGATTCATGGTCTTTACAACTCAAGATCAGGTACATGTCTATTATTGTACAACTTGAATATCATCTTGCTGTCATCCGTTGAGCTGAAGCCGGCCTTTACCAGAACAATGAATCATGTCAGACTAAGGTCCGCTACAGATAACTTGCAATATCCCCCCGAGGTGTGCGAAAAATAGTCCGAACACACTTGCACCAAAACACACCAGAAAGTGTTCGGTCTTTTTTTTCGCACACCTCGCCCCCATATCCATTTTCCCCAGAATCCACTTTCCATGGCCGGGGAGTTCCAAACGGGGAAACAGGATGATGACCAAGAGTCCGGGGACACCATTTGAAATCAAGATTCTACAGAATTGTGATCGAGAAAGTACAGCAAATGCGCGTAGACCTTGAATATTCTGTACGTGACCCACTTTTGTCAATCTGTTAGCTCGGCAAGGGTCCTGGCATGGACTTGCCTTTTGAAGCAGCCAAGAAACGACAGCAGTGAGCGAGGGCAACAGTGAGAATTTCGGTTGCCAGTGAAAGGGCATCACCGACAGCTCCTTCCATTCAGTCACCATTGCGAGCAATTGCACAGGCCATCAGCTCTTTGACCCGCTGTTGCCGTCACCGTCAAGTGGAATGTCCACGGAATATACGCCATCCCATCAACTTAGGTAGACTTTCTTTTCACCAAAGAATATTATTAAACATTCCTGTTCACACATCATCTCTTTTTTTGAGTCGATTATTAAGTACAGTTCACTTGCTGCCTTGGTTACAGGTACCCTGCCGCTAGTACACATAAGACTGCATGCGTTGTTTGTGCAGGTGATTGCACGGTACCTGCCTTTAGCCAGTAGCCTCTAACCTACAGTCGGTACAAAAGGTACTCTAACACCCCCGCCTGTACCTCTGCCCGCTTTTAGGGAGTTTCCGCCCGGAATCCCATCTTGACCCAAAACAACAAATCCACCCAAGCAATCATCCCATCTCGACTCCCTTCCTTCACCTCGTATTTTCCGACATACAAGTACATCTGCCCGGCATCATCTTCCGCGACCGACACATCAATACTAGTACCCCGCGTTACTCGGCACCGACCCCAACAGTCTCGACTCTCGACGTCACTCCCGGCTTTCGCTCTCTCTGCTGAGTCATTCAACCCTCGACGCCCTTCCACCATTCCCGGCCTCGCTCATCCACTACGGCATCCGGGTGGCGAGTCGAACATCTTTACTCGACTTTAAAAAGCCGGCACCATTCCTCCCCAAACCAGGAAGCGGAAGGCCGCTGAGGCGACGACGTCCCCCATCCCGGACGACACTCGACCCAACAAGAGAACCCAGCTCGCCTCAGCCGGCAAACATCAGGGCCCCGAAGCGGCTCCCCCGACTCCCCTCACCACCACCACTTCCCACAACGGCAACGACAGCCACAGCGACGCCGACCCAGCCGCCGACGCCATGGACTCCGAAGACGATTTCATGTCCAACCTCTCCTCCGAGGATGACATGATGCAGGAGGATGACAGCGACAACGACATGTCCAATCCCGAGGGTGAGACTACTATCCTACTTCCCGCCTCCAGACATCCTACCTTATACTGACCCCGCGAGCCCGCCAGACTTTGACTTTGACGACGAGCCCGATCTGGACACCGGAAATAAGGACTCCCAGCAGGCCAAGAAGCACAACTACCTCGATATCGACTTCAAGGTGTACCGCCCCGAAGACATACAAAAACAGCAGGATGACCTGGTCGACGAGGTCAACATGATTCTCGACATCTCCAAAGAAGAAGCGGCCATTCTGCTACGGCACTTTCGCTGGAACCGGGAGCGTCTGATCGAGGATTATATGGACAAACCCCGACAGGTTCTCGATGCTGCCGGCCTCGCACAGACCGCCGCCGACAAGCCCCGGCTACAAGTCATTCCTGGCTTCATGTGCGATATTTGCTGCGAAGACGGAGACGGCCTCGAGTCCTTCGCCATCAAGTGCGGCCATCGTTACTGTGTTGACTGCTACCGCCAGTACCTATCACAAAAGATCCGCGAAGAAGGCGAGGCCGCACGCATCCAGTGTCCTGCCGACGGCTGCAATCTCATTATCGATGCCCGCTCGCTCGACCTCCTAGTCACCCCCGAGTTGACGGAACGATATCACGAGCTGCTCATGCGCACATACGTTGAGGACAAGGAAAGCCTCAAATGGTGCCCCTCCCCGGACTGCGCAAACGCCATCCAGTGTGGCGTCAAGAAGAAGGACCTCCCCAAGGTCGTGCCCACAGTATCATGTCTGTGCGGCCACCGCTTCTGTTTTGGCTGCATCTACAACGACCACCAGCCTGCTCCTTGCGAGCTCGTTAAGAAGTGGCTCAAGAAATGCGCTGACGATAGTGAAACGGCCAATTGGATATCAGCCAACACCAAGGAATGTCCCAAGTGTAACAGCACGATCGAAAAGAATGGTGGCTGCAACCACATGACATGCCGCAAGTGCAAATACGAGTTCTGCTGGATGTGTATGGGGCTTTGGTCCGAACACGGCACGAGTTGGTACAACTGCAACCGCTTCGAGGAAAAGAGCGGCGCCGAAGCCCGCGATGCTCAGGCCAAGTCCCGAGTCTCCCTGGAGCGTTATCTCCACTACTACAACCGCTACCACAACCACGAGCAGTCAGCCCGGCTCGATAAAGATCTTTACGTCAAGACTGAGAAGAAGATGGTGGAGCTACAAAAGCAGTCGGGTATGTCCTGGATCGAAGTCCAGTACCTACAATCTGCATCGCAGGCGTTGCAGACGTGCCGACAAACGCTCATGTGGACCTACGCCTTTGCCTTTTACCTGGCACGCAACAATCTCACAGAGATCTTCGAGAGCAACCAAAAGGATTTGGAGATGGCGGTTGAGAACCTGTCCGAGATGTTTGAGAAGCCCGTCCAGGACCTTGCCCAGCCCGGTCTCAAGGTGGATATCATGGACAAGACGTCGTACTGCAACAAGCGACGCGTTATTCTCCTCGAGGACACGGCTGAGAACCTTCAGAAAGGTAAGACTTTCTTTGCGGGTTTTATTACACTTGTCGGTACTAACCAAGCAACTAGGTAAATGGACCTTTAACGTTGATCTGGTCAGTGGTGCGCCTATCGTAAATCCTACGAGCGCTCCCGGCACTAGCAGCCGTCGCTAGGACGACCTGTTGGCGCAGCGTGCCCATGCCGTGCGAGTCATGTTGGAAGACGCTACTCGGGGTGGATTTGGCCGACATCTCGGACGAAGGCGGCGATAGTCGTTACCCGCGTGATGAAGACTATTCTTTTCGCAAGTCGATTGATGGCCCTGGGCTACTGAAGCATGCAAGCCATTCCCGAAGAGTATCTTCAGAACACTCCCCATTTTACATTCGGGGCCGACTAGGAAGCCAACCTCCGGGTGCGTGCCTGGAAAGAGTGGCGCGCTTCAAGGAAAACACTCGTAGATCTAAACGCACAGCTTATACTCGCATTTTCTCGGGTCTGGCAATGGAGACGGACACAAACGAAGGAGGTGTCTCAGGTGCGTGCAACACAGTTGCGAATGGTGGATGCCATCGGGAGCAAGATAGTAAAGGCTCTCAATGGGCGTTATCCTCCATACCAAAGGCCGCCAGTGTCACCACAACCACCACAACCGTCTTGAAGGATTATACTTTACTGGGCCCACGCATGCCGTATCGGGAGATGCATTGGTGTAGCGGGTGTTTCTTGGCTTGATTCAGCGGCTTCACGGCATTGCACAGGCATACATATGCTGGAGTCGGGCGACGGGCGCATAACATCAAGGGCCTTGTGAGATTTGGGTTTGGTTTGATTGCAGCGCAAGGGTGAAATGGTATTTGCCTATGGAACATGAGGATGAGAACACCACAGCGAGCATGGATGGACGGATGGATTGGAATGCGGTAGGAGTTTTACTCGGATTCGGGACATACAATCATACATATGTTTTGTACGCGTAGTTTCCTCTTCTCTGTCGAACAACAACTCAATGGGCGCTGGGAGGGTCGGTAGATACATACGCGACATTAGCATAGCTATTCATTTCATATATCCTCTATTAGACGATGGTTTCTAGAACTGGATTGGGAATTGTTTTGCTTGCGCATGGAACAACGAACTGGATCGCACTGGGGGTGATATTGAGCGATGAAAGAGGAAGATGTGTAACTGAGTGGGAAAGATAGGACCATAGACCTTTAAACAAGTGGTTGTGAAGTGTATATGAAGTCGTGATGTCGGTGATGATAAAGAGCCACGAGATGTCGGACGTTGTGGGATGATTGCTGTGGTTTCCCTAGGTGGGTTCGGTACAAGAGCGAAGCTAATATTTGTTAGTGCAATGCGGAATCTGCTATCGGCGGTCATATATCGCGAGCTTCTGCCACCCTTCAAACACTTATGTAAACCTCATAAAAACGTTTCGTTCATTGAAACAATCTGGGTTTTTAATATTTTCTACTTGATTAAAGACAGTGGCCTCATCAAAGTGCCGTGAAAAAGGCAAACATTTTCCTCAAGCAGTTAACGCACGATATCACTCCCCACTAACCCCGAATCTCCAACGAGTCCCAGGAACATGCATGTAACCCGGGCCCCGAATCCAACGTTCTCCCACTGCCCCAGACTTCCACCGGCCCTGTCCCCCCCCTGTCCGCCCACCTGGCACCAAGTACATAGCAGCCGCGTAAACACATTTCCCCGCCGTCCCCCGCCGTCCCCCGCCGCGCCCGCTTAATGCCGAGCGGACTGCGGAACAACAGGGGTTCAAAGGCACCTCAGGGACAAACTCTCTGCCGACGGAGGGTTCCGAAGCGTAAACCGGGCGGGCCAGGGCGGGAGATGGATAACACGACGCTGGAGCATGGAAGCTGGAGTACCGCTGGAGTCACGGCAACTAGCTCGGCCTGTCAGCAAAGAGCTACGGGGAAGAACTAGGACCACGGGATATGTACGATTGCTGTGTCGGGTGTCCAGCAAGGTGCTCATACATACATACACAAAGTGGTGTAGAGGTAGTCTATACATGAGATAGATACATATCTCCCGCTGCCGCATCTGCTTCTGATCTCTTTTCTCTCCTGATTCTCTCTCCCTTTCCTCTTTCTCTTCTCTTTTCTTGAATTCCCAGCAAACCAAGATACCCTTTCCCATTTCCTCTTTTCCCTTCTTCCGTTGGGTTGTTGTCCTGTCGCCGAGAGTTGCTAGGTAGTCGAACGGAAATCAACGGGACAAGTCAACACTACCAGTTCCGGCACAACGTACCTACGTACACAACCTCATCTGCCGCTTCTAACCCCCGTTGCTATTTATTAAATAACCCGGACGAACCCCTCGCTCGCGAATCACCCACCAGGGCAACGACGAACGAACCCACGATTGACGATTGACGACTAGAGATAGACGAGTCTCGTTCCGATCGACCGAGGTGAACTTTCTGCCGGCCGAGAGTTTACTTTTGCGATTCCAAAGAAGCTTTTATAAAGAGAAGCTTCAGTCGCATTTCCTGGGGGGAAAGAAACCTTTGAGGAAAAGAAGTCACACAAATCAGCAGCCAAAATGTCAACAGCTCTTCGTACGCTGAGGGCGTATGCCAAGTATGGCAACAACGTAAGTTCCTACAGCTTATTCCTTGCGAGCAGAGCGACTGCGAACAACGGAGACCCCTGATTCAGCAAGTGTCAACAATGTCAACACCACCACCACCCGTCATCGTCACCACCAAAAACACCAAAATCCCCCTCTCCCCTTCCCTCTTCTCACCACCAAGCAAACCACCTCCCAAAACAACCCATCACCAACTAACAACGCCCATCCAAAATGTAGCACACCGCCCTCCTAGCGCGTTGCTTCTCCACCACCCTCCGCCGCCCCGAAATCAACAAACTCTACCCCTCCGCCTCCGCCGCCCTGGCCGACATGAAACCCAACACCACCTTACTCTGCGGCGGCTTCGGCCTCTGCGGCGTTCCCGACACGCTTATCGACGAAGTGATCCACAAGCCCGAAATCACCGGTCTGACCGCGGTCTCCAACAACGCCGGCACCGACGCCTCCGGGCTAGGCAAGCTTCTCAAGACGAAGCAAATCCGCAAAATGATCGCCTCCTACATCGGCGAGAACAAGACCTTCGAGCAGATGTACCTGACAGGCGAAGTCGAGCTAGAACTGACACCCCAAGGTACGCTAGCCGAAAGATGCGCGGCAGGCGGCAAGGGAATTCCGGCTTTCTACACCCCCGCCGCCTTCGGCACGGTCGTGCAAACGGGCGAACTGCCCTTGAAAAACAAACCCGACGGCACCCCGGATGTTTTTTCTTACCCAAAAGACGTCAAAGTCTTTGCCGGCAAATCCTACCTGCTCGAACACGCCATCGCGGGCGACTACGCCTTTGTAAAAGCCTACAAGGCCGACCGGCTGGGCAACTGCCAGTTCCGGCTGGCCGCGCACAACTTCAACGGGGCCATGGGCCGCAACGCCAAGGTCACCATTGTCGAGGCCGAACACATTGTTGAACCGGGTGAGATCCCGCCCGAGGCGGTGCATTTGCCGGGCATCTATGTGCAAAGAGTAATTCAGAGCACGGCGGAGAAGAAGATCGAGAAGTTCACGTTTGCTAAAGATCCCAATGACCCGGAAGCCAAGAAGGCGTTGGGTAGCGGTGAGATGGCGAATAAGCGCGAGCGCATCGTGCGCAGGGCGGCCAAGGAGTTTAAGAATGGGATGTATGCCAACTTGGGCATTGGCATGCCGATGCTGGCGCCCAATTTCGTCGAGGAAGGGGTGGAAGTTCTTTTGCAGTCGGAGAACGGCATCCTCGGTCTGGGCCCTTACCCGAAGAAGGGCGAGGAGGACGCGGATCTGATCAACGCCGGTAAGGAGACCGTCACGCTGGCCCCGGGAGCGGCGGTTTTTGGTTCGGAGGAGTCGTTTGGCATGATTCGTGCCGGACGCATCAACTTGACGATTCTGGGCGCGATGCAGGTGTCGGCTAATGGCGACCTGGCCAACTGGATGTTGCCGGGCAAGGTCAAGGGTTTTGGCGGCGCCATGGATCTGGTGAGCAACCCGGAGAAGACCAAGGTGGTGGTGACGATGGAGCATACGGATAAGAAGGGCAATGCCAAGATTGTCAAGCAGTGCGCGTTCCCGTTGACGGGCAAGGCTTGTGTGTCGAGGATTATTACCGAGTTGGTGAGTTTTTTTTACCTACCTACCTGGACTGGACTGGATGGGCCCCCCCCCCCCCCCCCCGGGATGAGACAAAAGCTAACAGATGATGATAGGGCGTCTTCGATGTCGACTTTGGCAAGGGTCTTACTCTTATTGAGATTGCTGATGGTGTCACTGTTGACGAGATCAAGGCCAAGACTGAGGCTCCCTTCGTCGTTGCCGATGATCTTAAGCCCATGCTTTAACGTGGTGATGAGTGAAGATTGTACGACCAGGAATGTAGGGGATACGGGACCAGAAGCTGTATATACTGTCTAATTAGGTTTTGGATGGCATCAAAATGTTTCTTGTTATGCATCGGGCCGTTGACGATCACGGGAGTTGTGAGAGACGGATCTGGCGATTCCTTTCTTTGTGTTTCTTTTACAGCTGTGTGCAGTCCAACGCAGTTCATTACTCATATTCTATATATATGGAACTTTTGAACTCCATCACTCTCCATCATCATGTATCTCTTACGTCTATTAAGCCAAAACCTTATCGGCCAAGGACACAGCGGTACCAGTGTTATCCGGCTCGACGGCAATCTTGGTGACTTTGCCGTCCTCGACAATGATGGCGTAGCGCTTGGAACGGTCGTTGCCAAAGATGGCCTTGCTGTCGAAGGTGAGGTCGAGAGCCTTGGTGAATGATCCCGAGGGGTCGGCGAGGAAGCGGATCTATTCACGGTGTCAGGGATGGTCACAAAGTGATGACGAAAAGGGGGATAATGGGAGAAGAACTTACACCAGACTCGCCGGCGGGGTCGAGGTTCTCCTTCCATGCCTTCATGCTGTTGTGACTGTTAGCTTGTGTCTTTAGGTAACATGGTTTCTTTGCCTCGTCTCGACCGCTCGGTGTCATTGGGGATCTCCTCCCAAGTTGTTTCTTCAAAATTCCTCCTCTTATAATTCCTTCTTTTGCTGTCCTCCCCTCGCTAATCCCTTCTGGTACCCTTCGCTCGCCTTCCCTTGTCCCTTTCATCCGGATGTCTTCTATGGCACATCCCTTTTCTTCCCCCAACACCCTTCCTCTCCCCTTCCTCTCCCCTTCCTCTCCCCAGCTCACTCCCCATCCCACTCCCCACTCCCCATTCCCCTCCCCTCCCCAACCACCAACCCAAAAAAAAAAAAAAAAAAAAAAAAAAGAGAAAAATACTCACACAAAAGCATCATTAACCGACACCACCGCCTTAACATCAAACTCCTGCGTCTTAGGATGCTGGATATAGCTGGGGATATGGCTCGCGCTGCAAGCAGGCGAGAAGGCCGCAGGGACACCGATAATCAGCATGTTGCGGGCAAACTCGGACTCCTTGCGCAGGTCGACTTTGTTTCCCGGGGAGCCCTCCTGGAGGAGCTCGCCTTCGGGCAGGAGCTCGCCGATCTTGACGAGGCGGGCGGGCGAGGAGGAGAAGAAGCGGGCCGTGGTGGCGGGGGCCGAGGCGCGAGCGATGGGCGCGGAGGCGCGGAGGGCGGTGCGGGTGAACATCTTTTTGGTGGGTTGTGGTTTGTGGTGGGTGGGAAGGTGGTGGTGATATTATGGTTGGGACGGAGTTGGTCGGGAAGTGGAAGGAGGATGGATGGATGGAAGACGGGATGGGTTTGTTGTTGTCAATCTAACGGGACCCGACGACGAGTGCCGCGCCGTCCCTCTCAGGCAGTGGAAGCTACAGGGGTATCGTCCGGGGTTGGGATGATGATAAGATAGGGGATGACATCACCGTGGATGGCGAGCGCAAAGTGAAGGGGAACTTTGAAAGCTATTAACGCCAGGAGTATTTACCTAACATTTTCAGTGTTGCCAGGTGATATCTACCTTACATAAGGTACTGCAAATACATCTTGTACTCTCGACAGTATTTCTTGAATTGTTCATTTTCAGTTTTCAATGCGCATTGAAGTCAGTTGAGCTCAACGGAGAGCTCCAAAGCTACAGGGGCCAAGCTCCCAAAGCTCAGGTACCTCTAGCGGATACTAGCGTACCCCGCTGGCCCGAAGTCGGATTGGACCTGACCACCTCATTCCATTTCGCGAACTTTCACCTTTCCACCAAGACATCTTCTGTCTGGACAACCATATTTGAACTGTCAATCGATTAAACCAGCTCGGCAATTCAAAAGGAATTTCCACTCAAGGATTAGCTACACCATCGGACATCAAACACTTTACAATCACGACCTCAGGTCCCAAAAACCACAGCCATGTCAACCCAAAGAGCCCTCTGGTTCGTCGCCAGCAAAGCCACCAAAAAGTCATCACCACAAGGCACCCAAGCCGGCACCATCTACATCCACTGCAAAGTCAAGCCAGGCGCCAGCAAAACCCGCGAAGGCGTAATTTTCATAACCGACGAAGCAGTCGAGATATGCGTCGCCGCGCAAGCTAAGGAGGGAGAGGCGAATAAAGCTGTTGTCAAGGTGCTTAGTGAGGTGAGTTCCTCCGACCTTTTCACCTGTACTATCTTCCGCCACGATGAGTTCTGTTCCTATCTACACAGCGAGGCTGCCATTTGCCTTCGGTTCACCCTCGTATGATTACATTGCGAAAGAGCAAGCAGTAGACCACACAACTCCCAGACTGTACCTAACTATACAGGCTCTCAATCTCCCCAAGTCCAACCTCGAGATCACCCAGGGCCTCAAGTCCAGGGCCAAGACAATTGCTGTTGCTGCCCCTGGGTCGTGGGTTGGTGGTAATGGTGGGGAGGAGGAGTGTCTTGAAAGGGTGAAGGCGTATTTGAACAAAGCAACTGAGGCGTGATGTTATGTGGCCGGATAATGCCCTCGAGGCAGCGCCATCTGGATGATCGTACAGTCGTCGACATTGATTCTGATGTTCCCGCGCGATCTGGTGGACCACGGGTAGACCAACACTCGTACCTCTCCGGTAAAACCCTGAGACCATTTGCGCCCATCTTTATGCTTCTTTCGCCGCGGGTATCGATACCATATCCTCCTTTATTCTCTCATTCTCGTCATATCCTCATTACTCATAACATGCGTCAATCTCCGAACCGTATTATCTCCCGCTTCACCTCACACCCCTCCCACCAACTCGCCCGTTCGATGTACTCCTAGTAATCGCACCGCGGCTCGTCGTTCGGGAACCTGGCGTAACACCGCGGCCAACACCTCTTCCGCTCGTGCCTCTTGTCGTTCCAGACGGCGCAGGCACCCTCGACTGTCTTGGAGCGGGTGTCTTGGGCGCCACTGATGGTTTTCGCGGTGTAGGACCAGAGATGTTGGAAGTCGGGTTATCGACGAAGGAAGTATCGGTGGTCCTGTAGTGCGCAAGAGAAGCAAACGTTAGCAACGGTAGTCATGGTTAGCGGTTAAGAGGCAAAAATGAACGAACATAAAAGTAGTCTCCCCATCAAACCCCTCCCTCTCCTGCTTAACCGTCGTCGTCGCCCCATTCCCCGTCCCCATCCCAGTCTCCATATTCTGCCCCTGCTGCCCCTGCTGCCCCGACCCACCACCACCAGCAGCAACCTCCCTCTCCTCCTTCTCCTTCATCCTCTTAAAGCTCTCCGTCAACGGTCCCTCGGGAAAATCCACACAAAACGCATTCATATTCAACCCATACAGAAAGCTGGCAAAGTCCTCGCTGAACCGCGCCAGACTCTCGTGCATCAGCTGGAAATGCATTATGTTGGCTTCGAGGTCGGCCATGGCGTCGGCCAGCTCGGCGAAGGCCGGCTCGAAGGCGTTTAAGGGGAAGGAAGCGCTGGGGCCATGGATGGATTCGCGGGCGGATTCGCGCAGGGAGGAACGTGAGGAGGGCCGGAGGGGGGTTGTTGGTCGGTTGGGGGTGCGAGGGCGGGAGGTGGAGCGCTGTTGCGCGGGGGTCTGGGAGTCGGGCATGGTCTTTGTCGCTTTTGGAATCTCTGACTACCTATGGCATGCGACGTTTGGATGTGTTGGCGGCGGTGCTGTTCTTCGACTATGTCACAGATGGTGTTGACATGGGTTGACAAGGGAGACGCGAACCGCAAGCAGTGAGACGCGACGGCGTTAATTGACCCCACCATTCTGGGCTTCAAGTCCCCGCCGTGGGTGCAACAGTGCGACGGGCCGCCAAACGGAAGCGCACAAGCCAGTTAAAGACACGTGCACTAGCCTTTTAAGGAGCAGCGCTGCATGGGTCGGGGGGGGGGGGGATTTCATCATTGGCGACCATTTTGTCCCATTGTCCATGAGGGGTTCTCGTTTTCGCTTCCATCCAACTTTTCCATGGTCCATTTGAAGATTGCTGCCCAGCTGACGGTTGTGATCGTCTTGTTCAGCAGACATCTCAATTTGCTTCATTGAAGTCGAACCCCTTTGTTACACGGCTTCCGGGATTTGGATCTCGGGTTGCGGGTCAGCCGGGACAAAGACAAGTCGCATAGACTGTTTTTATGGAGATTGTGTATCATCTCTGGGAGTCTCCATGAAGGGCGTATATAATTCCCAGACGGAGACCTCGAAGACCCCGAAGGTTAATGGTGCCGTGATCCAGCCAGGGAATCCTTTCTCTTTTCTTCTTTTCTTCTTTCTTCTTTTTCCTTTCCAGGTTCCTGCCTTCGATTATTTCTTCGCTGTCAACAATGCACTGTGATATTCAATGCTTTCAAGCTGCCAAAGTTGCCCCACTTACACCGGGATTGACATGTGGAGGATTTCCTGTTTTCTGTTCCGAAAGACACCGTCTTTTGCCTTCTCCATAGCACTGACTTGTGTACCTTTTGCCTTGGATATTGACGAGGAAATAGACTCCGGCCTGGTCTCAAAAAGGATCCGACGCTTTGGTAACAACGGGCTTGTCATCCCATATCTCCGAGTCTTTTCACAAGTAACTGCTGTAACACTTTGGTCCTCTGTTATACAATACGTCAGAGACTACCCATCACTCAACCAGAAATTGCGCCTCTAAAAGCTGACACGGATCGCCCGGGGATAGCCTTGTCCGGCGTCTTGTTAACTGGGGCAATATCATTTTACAGCCCCCATCACACACATCCCATTCTGTACCCTTCCCCTCCGAATTGGTGACCGCCTTCCTTCTCGGTACCTACCTGCTTCCCTACTACCCTCCCGCCCTGCTGCTGCCGCCTTCCCGCCCTACCGCTAAGTACTACACGTGCGTGTTAGGTACCTATCCTGTCAGCTCAGCTGTATCCCGATTCCTGGTTGCATCCCCTCCTCTCCTAATCTTATACTCCAACAAGGGGAATGACTCGGAGACTCCCACCGCCCTCCACGCCCGCCCAACTTCTACGTCTTCGACTGACGAGATCCGCGCTTTCCACCACTTCACCCCTTGCTACGTGTCCTTCGAGTCGAACTGCTAGCACCAAAGCTAGGGCAGCGGCGATCACTCCGAGTCCCCGGATCCAATCCCTCCTCCTCCCCCCTTCCACCGCTACCACTCCTACGGCTACTACCACCACCGCCTTCTTCAGTCGCAACAACCTCTCGACTACTACCACCGTCAACAAGCGAGATCAAACAACAACAACCACCACCCTTGCGCCTAGTACACCCGTTGTCCTTCGCGCTTCTGTAACCGGTCTCGGTCTCCTCTTTGTCCTCGGTCTAGGTCTCGGCTACGGTATCACCGATTTCCTCGGTCAAAAGTCTACCGAGCAGCAAGAACTCGGTTATACCACCATCGAAAAGAACATCCAAGACATTCTCGACGACCAGTCCTCCACCACAAACATGTCTGGAGAAATCGCCCCCGGCCGCCCCGGCAACCTCACCCCCGAGCAAGAGGAAAAGCTCAAGCAGCTATGGAAGCTGATCTTCCAAGTCTGCGGCGTCTACTCCCCCTCCGAGTCCAGTACTCCCGCCCCCGAGGCCGCTGCCGCTGCTGCGACCACCACCTCCGACGCCGCGAGCATCAAGGGCGATGACAAAAAGAAGAAGAGCAAGCTTTCCATGTTCTCGCGTAAACACAAGAAGGACTCGGACGAAACAACCACCACCTCCGACAGCGCCTCCACGGCCTCCGGTTCCACCACGCCCGCCTCCCCCGCCATCGTGCTCAACGCCTCCACCACCTCGGGCGACGACGACAAGTACAACCAGCTGTCCAAGTTCCACGAGACGCTAGCCTCTCAATCCCCCGCCGCCATCCGCGAGACCATCTGGTCCATGGTCAAGCACGACCACCCGGACGCGCTGGTGCTGCGCTTCCTGCGCGCGCGCAAGTGGGACGTGGAGAAGGCGCTCGTCATGCTGATTTCGACCATGAACTGGCGGGACAACGAGATGAAGGTGGACACGGACATTATGCGGAGCGGCGAGGGCGGGGCGGTGGAGGCGGAGAAGATGGAGGCCAAGACGTCGGAAGAAGTTGCCAGGAAGAAGCTGGCGATCGATTTCTTGACGCAGACGCGCATGGGCAAGAGTTATGTCCATGGTGTGGATAAGCAGGGACGGCCGATTTGCTATGTTAGGGTGAGGCTGCATAGGCAGGGCGAGCAGAGCGAGGAGAGTCTGGAGAGGTATACGGTTTATTTGATTGAGACTTGTCGGGTGTTGTTGCAGGGGGGTGTTGATACTGCGGTAAGTGACAATTTGAAGGAGTGGGACGAGGAAAGATTGATGGTGATGGGGACTAACAGGTGAGACAGACTATCGTCTTCGACATGACCGGCTTCTCCATGGCCAACATGGACTACACCCCCGTCAAGTTTATGGTCAAGTGCTTCGAGGCCAACTACCCCGAGTGTTTGGGCGCCGTGTTGGTGCACAAGGCACCGTGGATCTTCCAGGGTATGTTTTTTTTCTTTTTTCTTTTTTTTTCTTCTCCCATTTACTCCCATTTACTGACATGAAATCAATCCGCAGGCATCTGGCGCGTAATCCGCGGCTGGCTCGACCCCGTCGTCGCCAACAAGGTACACTTCACCAACAACATCGCGGAAATGTCCGAGTTCATCTCCCCCGAGAAGATCCCCAAGGACCTCGACGGCCAGGAAAGCTGGGAGTACAAGTACGTCGAGCCGATCCCCGGCGAGAACGACAAGATGAAGGATGCGGAAACCCTCGACAAGCTGCAGGCCGCGCGCGCCGAGCTGGTCAGGGAGTACGAGGAGGCTACGCTGCAGTGGATACAGTCCGGTAACAACAGCGAGGAACTGAAGAAGAAGAGGGACGAGGTTGCGGAAAAGCTGAGGGTGGATTACTGGAATCTGGATCCGTACGTGAGGGCTAGGAGCTTTTATGATCGCGTGGGGGTGCTGTTGCCGGGCGGCAAGCTGGATCCGTATCTTGAGGGGAAGAAAGATGGCGGCGTGAGTGGGATAACGGAGGGTGTGGCGAAGGTGGGGGTGAGTGAGACGCAAGCTGATGATGTTGATTGAGTTGGTTGTGAGGATGGTGTATGATGGGCTTTTTTCTCTTTTGGAAACTTGTATATGTTTCATGGATATATAAGATTAAGTGTTTATAATGGACGATGAGATGTGGTTGGGTCAGGGTATGGTATGATATATACGATAGAGCTATACGGACGAGAAAAGCAACGCGGAACTTGGGACGTATGTTCTCTAACGACACAATCTCAAGCTTTAACCTGTTCATCTTTCCCTGAAGTCGAGTCACATACACGGAATATATCAACTCAAGTTCACACAGCTCCAGCCAACATCTTCACCATTTTTAATCTCAGACATAAACTCATTCATTCATTCATCACCCAAACCCCTCCTCCATCCAGTCCCCCCAAGTATCTACCTGCACTACATCCACCTATTCTACAACTTCTCCTTAATCTCCGCATGCAACTTCTTCAACCCCTCAAAGTCCGTCGCCTGCTGCGGCCAACCCACACCCAGCCCTTCCTTCTCGTTCGGCTTGGGAATCATGTGCACGTGCACGTGCCCGACCTCCTGGTGCGCCAGCTTGCCGTTGTTCTGCAGGATGTTGTAGTCCACGGCGCCCGAGGCGATGGCGAGCTTCTTGGCGATGGGGAGAAGCTCGGCGAGGGAGTCGTCGGGGATGTCGGAGAGTTTCTCGCCGTGGTGTTTGGGGATTACGAGCTGGTTGGGGGAGGGGGGTTAGTTTTGGGTTTGGGGGTGAGAGGGGATAAGAGAGTGAAGGAAGGGGTGGGAAGGGAGAAAACACGTACGGCATGACCACGGGAAAGAGGTTGGATGTCGAGAAAGGCGAGAGTCTTCTCAGTCTCGACGAGCTTGAAGCAGGGGATTTCACCTGTTTTTGTTGATTAGCTTGAGCTCTTTAACAGAACATATCTTTACACAACATATAGAGAATTAGATCACTACTTACCCTTGACAATCTTGCAGAAAATGCAGGTCGCGGAAGAAGCCATTTTGCTTGCCAATAATCTGGTTACTTGCATGAGGAAAGGAGAGAGTGAGTAAGGTAGGTGATAGCTTCAAACAGAAGATAAAAGAGGAGGAGGAGGGGCTTCCACTTGACGTAGCTTACCTAGGTAGCTTCCAGCATCAACTGCAACGCGATGTCCCGCGATTCGGCACACACTGCCACTGCTGTACAGGGGCTGCCACGCGGGGTGCATTTCCCCGCTGGTGTCGATGCGACATGGCTTTAACCCTAACCCTTCAACTCTCCGGTCTACAAGTACTCATCGCCCTCAGCAACGTTGAGCTACCAGTTGAAGAGAAAGTGAAAAGCGAGTAAAGAGCCAAGTGAAGATATACTGACAATGAACAGATTAGTGACATCTGCCTCGCTGCCTGACTTCAAGAAGCACGAAACACCTGCCAAGCTCAAAAAGTGTTGTTTATTTGGTTGGTTCTACTTTCATACCAACCGCCCGCTGCCTAACACTAATTGGCGTAACTCCCCGCCGACATTGTTAGTGGCTCGTCTAAGAGAGCTCTTGGCCTGTCACAAGAGCTGGCCATCCCACCTAACGACATCATCCTGCCTCGAGTCCCTGTCAGCCCAAGTGGAAGTGGTGTGTCGCAAAACCACCACCATCGCATCGGCGCATCCCACCACCACCACCACCACCATCACAGCCTGACCAAGATCGAGTTGCGACAAGTTAAATTGCCTCCCAAACCTCCCTCACTTTCCCAGCGTTCTTCATTCAACACCAAGCAGCAAATTCTAAGAAGACACCAACCCACCATGACAAACTACAAATCCACCCCTCTCTTCGGCGGCGCCATCGTCTGCGACCTCCCCGAACACTTCGCCGACGTCTCCCGTCTGCGCCAAGTCCCCGACAACCAAGAAGTATTCATTGACAAGGACGGCTTCACCTCCATCATCGTCGAAATCACCGAGCGCGTCGGCCCCAGCGGCCCAACTTCGCTAGAAGAGGACGGTCGCGCGCTGACCACCCACCTCGAAGAGCTAGTCGGCGACGACGTCGAGACCGTCAAGGTGTGGAACACCACCGAGACGCGGTTTACCAAGCTTGAGTATGTCTTTTCCCCTCCTTTTCCCTTCAAATGTCCTTTCATCCCCTGCCCTCCCGCTTCTCAACTACTACACTACCCAGCAGCAACAGCTAGCTAACAACCAACCCTTACCCTCTAGCCCCTCAATCCCCGCCTACACCCTCATCGCCACACAAACGCCCAAAGCCTCCTCCGAGTCCGGTTCCCGAAGGGGCAGACAAGCACCCGATTTCACCGCCCTCATCCTCACGCTCGTCAGACTGGAGCGCGAGAAGACGGATATCCTGGTGACCATCAACGTGCCGCACATCAAGGGCGAGTACGACGAGGAGGAGGTGGATCTGGCGCTGGGCAAGCAGGGGGCGCTGCTGGGCAGCGCGGTGGAGTATGCGGCGCGGATTTGGGAGAGTTTTGAGGTGAAGGATTGGGGGTTGTTTAATGAGGTTTGAAGAGTTGGGAAGTAGTAGGAGTGGATGTGGGTGTGGTGGACGTGGATTAAGGCAAGATTGTATGGATGGAGGATGGGTATGAACAAATTGGTGGAAAGAGAAGGATATGGGTTTTTGTGCGGCAGGGAAATGGATTAGGTTGGATTAAGCGAAGGGCTTGGACAAAGGAATACTCAAGAGGAAGGGAGGGATACCAGGAGAATTAGGGGGGCGTTCGATATCAACATGACGGATCGGTTATGGTGGGAGGTGGATGAACGACAACGATTTATCAGCTCCCTAAGCGGAGAAGGGTCTTCTTGGCTGAGCTACGACATCTTTCACGAGACATGTCCCTTTCTTATTTCTTCTTCTAGATAGTATTTTACACTTTAGGTAGCGAACTGAATGTCCTCTAATTTTACACGGCGGGGGGTATCAATATTCTTTCAAGATCATACAAGTACAAACAACCTACAACCTCTCTCTGTCTGTCGTGGACTACCGAGCATCACCGATGTGCCCCGTACTCAGTCGTCCGCAGTCAGATCAACCACGTCCATCATCGGTTCGTCTTCGAACATATCCGGACTGTCCTCGCCATCGCCGTCTTCTTCATCAGCGACAACCTCCTCTAGGACTGTAGAAAGCTTCCCAGTCGTTTCTGCCGGCGGCGTTATTTCCTTCTTGTTCTTCTTCTCCCTCCTCGCCTTCTCAACCTTCCACCGTTCCGCAACCTCCTTCATCACCTCTCCAAACGCCAACCCCGGTTTCTGAGCTTTAACCACCTTCATCTGCTCTTTGACAAAGACTTGGTACTCCGACGACGTCTTCGCCTTTTCCACCTTTATCTTGTTCGTCCCCATTCCTCCTTGACTCCCGTCTCCATCGAAACCACCACCAGCAGAAGAAGAAGAAGAAGAGGTCTTCCCACCACCTCCTTGTTGACCTTGACCCCTCGGCGCAGGTTTAACCTGCCTCAAAACCCCCTTGCAAACTCCACACCGATGTCTCTTGGGATCAACACTCTTCGAATGTCTCTTGTACTCTGTTCCACATCCCCCTTTTTTGTCCTTCCCTTCTTCCCCTTTCCCTTCCCCTTTCCCTTCTTCACCACCCTGACCAGCAGCAGTAGCAGACCCAGACCCAGGAGGATTTACAACCCCATCACAAACCCAAACATACCTAAACTCAATCTCATACCCATGTCTCGTCGTCACCTCCACCGCATACCCGCCCTCCCATTCCACTTCCACTTTCCCACTACTATCTCCTCCTCCCTCTCCCTCTCCCTCTCCCTCTCGGATGATGTTCATTTTTCCGAACGGCTTCGGGCCGCCACGATGTCGTCGACCAAATTCCGAATCGTTGACCTTCCTGGCCCACGCCTTAAACTCCGCCCCATGCGGCCGGGTAGTAACCCCGTCGATCATGAACACAGCCAAGTGGCAGAACTCGTGGGCTAGCGTGTTGAATAACCTCTCCGGTGTGGATAGGACCTTGGTGGCCAACTCAATAGAGGCGTGATGTTTCACTTCCTTGTTCGCATCTTGCTCAGAAGAAGGCCGAGTAGTAATACTCTCCTTCTTCCAATTCGCCCTCCCCGCCGTCGTGTTCAGCGTCTTGCTCCATACCAATTTAATCCCGCCCGTGCTGGCAGTCAGGGCCGATAAGCGGGAAGAGGTCAGGCGGGCGTCGAGCAATGCCAGAAAGTGGGTGGCGAGGGAGTGTTTGTGGGCGTCGAAGGCCTGCCGCGCAAGGCGGGATTCGCGGGCGAGGAGGGCGGCGGCTTTTTGGGGGCTGGGTTGGGCTCGTCGTGCCGGTTTCTTCTTCTTGTCGGGGGAGTTAGTAGCCTCCTCCGAGGAGGGGGGTTTGGTCGAAGAAGGGAATAGTTCCTTCTTGGGGGAGTGCTCGTCGTTCCAGTCGTCGACGAATTCGCGAGACCAGAAGAGGTCGGAAGAGGGGCGGTGGGGGGTGGTGGGGATGCGTGGGAGTTTCTTGGGAGATGGCGGTAGTGTTGCTGATGTCTTTGGTTTGAGTCTGGGGATTTTGGGAGGAGGAGGACTGGGTGTTTGAGTGCGCTTCCTCGTCCCCGCGGCGGCGGCGGCTGGTGGACGAGATCGTCGTTCGGTTTCGGTTTCTGAGCTTGAGTCGGAGGAGGAAGAGGAGGATTCCAGCTGGAGACAAGAAAAATCCTGCGTGACATCCTCCTCACCACAACTATCCTCTTCGCTAGAAGCTGCCCGTTTCCCTATCCTTTCTCGTCGTCCATCGCTCTCTTCCTCATCAAATAACGTCCGGCTCTGGCTTTCCCAGCTCGTATCCATCCGCTTGCCTCTCGAGTTCTTCGTTGACCGAGGCTTTGTCGGAGAAAGATGACTCTCTCTGACTGCCGGAGTCTTGGGCTTGTTGCTCAACTTCGAGAAGAATGCATCCAGGTCTTCGTCTGAGTCGTCGTCTTTCGAGTTTGATGCCGTGTTGGTGTCCCGCCCCTTCCCAACCGTGGTCTCCGACCCAACTTCATCCGACTCAGAAGACTCCTTCGATTGCGCAGTGTGGAACGACTCCTCGGCGAAATCCTCCAGATCCTCAAAGACGTCCATATCCTGCTCCTGGTCGATCTCCATCATATCTTTGCTTTTGCCGGCGACTTGTTTCGGTGGTCGGAAAAGACTTGCCGACGGCTTTTTCTCCTCATTCTTTGTTCCCACCATGTCCTCACCTTCCCGGTGTTTCTTCGATAGAGTAGTCTGGCTGCTGAAAAGACTTTTGGTCGTCCTCCTCACCACCGTCTTAGCAGTAACTGTGCTCTCACCTACCCTCTTTACCTCTTTTACCTTCTTTCGATTCAGTACGACCGGATTCTCTGCCTCGGAGTCGCCGTCCTCGTCCTCATCCTCATCGCGCATCATTCCCAACCGCAGCCCGAATCCTGTACCGGCGGTTAGATCCCTCCTCTTCTTCCTAGTCGGCACCGCATCCTCCTCCTGCGCGGGCGTCCACTTCCGAAACAAGACGTTATCCGACACCGCGCCGAGTAGCAGTTTCCGCCTCTTGATGCCGGCTACCGACGATGAGGCCGCATTTGGTGATGTTGCTGACTCGACGACTGTCTGGTTACCACTGATAGAGGCCGTGTCCGTGGGAGGGGTAGGTCTCTTCTTGGTCGCAGGTAACGGTGGCGAAACTTTCCTTTTCTTTTTGGGACTTGGTGGAAGGGCTGCGAGGTCTGGGAAATCCGAGTCTGAATTTGAGTCGTTATTGGAGTCGGACTCAGATTCGGAGGACGATGAGAAGATTGTTTTTCGGGACCGGGAAGATGGCGGGGGCCGTGATAATCTTGCCATGGTGTTGTGGTCGTTATCCTGTTGCCTTACAGTAGCTGGCCTGACTGGATTTTACGGTTGGATATGAGTGGAGGTTGTGGTCGCTCCCCTGAAATCGTTGATGTTGCGAGAACTGGAGCGGACTGAAAGCTGGTTGAAGGTGTGGTAACCAATACTGTCTGTCGTAAGAATCAATGCAAATATCTCCTGCAGGTTGTGAAAACCTCAAGAAATGCTATCACCGGTTTTGGCTGCGCGCATTCGACCGGCTTAGCTTCGCGCCACACAAAAAACCAAAGGAATGTAGGTTGCTATGTTTAAAGTGTTGTTGCTATGTTTAAAGTGTTGTTGCAAACGGGAATGTCGACGATGTTTTTGTTTGGTTACAGCAAAAGCAAGCAACTGGTTGCCATGGGTGATTTGTTAGCGTGCAGTTAGCGTCAGGAACGCCAAGCCCCTTTCTGCCGCCCGGCGTGAGTGGGTCCCTGCACTTGCCAGGCCGGCCGGTGAAACGACATCTCGTTCCAGAACCTTTCCCAAGGAGAATCACGGTGAGGTTTGAGTTGAAGTCTTCCGACTCCGACAAGCGAGCAGTAATGCATCTCGAATTCACAGATTGGATTATGCTGTCTGAGCTGTCTCGTCTCGTTTACATATCGCGTATCTGTCGCTTGATGCAGATCACAAATTGCAAAAGCAACCAAGTCCGAATTTTTGCGTTTCCCCGTTTTCGTCCCCTGTTCGCTGATCACCATCTGGGCATCTGTTGTGCTACGATGGATGGCTTTCCATAAATTAGCGAAAACGGTTTCTACTTCAAATCGACACTTTTGCCGTGGTTTTTTATCTCCCTTATCTATTGCCCGTTGTCGAGGATATGATGCACCTCTAGTAGACGTGGCGAGCATGGCAAAGCATGGCAGGCACGGACGGGATGGGAGAATGAGATGAAGCTTTGATGTTGACATCAGAAAGGTTCGGTTCCTCCCGAAATTTAGTTCATGTACTGTATCTCTGAATACATCATCTGGTCCAGAGTCCGAATATTCAGACTGGAGGGTTGCCCGGACCTCTATTTGTGGCGATGGGTTCATCCGGTTTGTGATGTTGAACCTCCAATATCTTCCATTATGCGAGAGATGTATCGGTGGTTGTTCAAACCTCGAGAACCCAATATTCAAAAGTATGAACAACAACCAAGGCAGATAAGAACAATCTCGCCCGCAGGATGCAAGTTGAACACTCGCACACATCCACATTGCAGTGAGCAGCTGTACGCATTGCCTTTCTCACTTCTCGCCCGCAGACATCTTGATAACTTGATAACCTCAAGTCTCTGACTTTACGAAAACCACGAAAACAACCACCAAGATACGACACCCGCCGCCCATCCTCCCGTCGTGTCTCAAAGCCACGCCACTTAAAAAGCCCCCTTCTTTAACTTGTCCTGCCACCCCGGCACTCAAACCGTGCCACCATGCCACGACATGCATCCTCCCGCCTTTTTCTTTTGTGTCATTTCCCACCTGATACTGATACGGTTGTGTGACATTGTTTTTTCGTGGGTTGTGTCTTTTTCTCTTGTGCGTCTGTGTCTTGTGCCTCTGTGGCGTACATACATACCTACTAGCTACGTATTCACCCTATCGTCCCGTGGTGAGCGAGGGAGGGAGGGCTTGATTGGCAGTTAGTTACCTATGAACTTGGGACTTGGGGCAACGAAACGGGACGGGACGGGAAGCAAAGGATGAGGAAGTTGGGAATGTAGTACGTACTCAAGTGACCAAGTCAGTGAGTGAGTGAGTGAGCGTGTCTGTAAAGAGATCAGTTTCCAGCGGACTACTGTTTGGGCATTCGAGCGTGATGTATGGAATCGAAGATTTCGCGCGCGATTGTTTGTCCGACTGTTTGTGGACCGTGGTTTGTTTCTAGAGTCAAGATTGTGACAGAAGAAGTGTTACCAACTAGACACATTCTGTGCTCAAACTGCCACGTCTTCCTTGTGACGCTCCGGCCAGACTCCAGAGACAAAAATAGTTCCGGATATGGGACAGGAACCGGGGAAGTCTCCCGGTGCTGGACCCACCCGGGCCCGAACGGAGCGGGGACATCCGGGACGGTCAAAATTTCCAAGTTCCTCCACTTCAGTTACTTACCCTTTCAGGCCTTTGCATGATGTAAAACGAAAGGAACGGCCTCTCCTTATGTTATTGATCAACACGATGCACGCAAGACCGGCAGAATGCGATTTTCGTTGCAGTCCTTCCATGCGGCTGTGGACATGAACGTCGGTGGCAAAAACTCTGAAGGATCGCCAAGGTGCATGGAGCGGAACGTTCGGCGCCTTGTACCTGCGTCTAGTTGCGCATCGGGGTGATGGGAGATGGAGAAGACGTTTTTTTTGCTGTCTGCTTGTTGACGACGACCGATTACATAGTACTGGAGAGTCTTGTCTATACCGTCTCTCCGCGACAACATAACGGCGTATGGGACTTGCAAGTGTATAGTGTACATAGTGAGCACTAACAGAGTGATTGCAACCCCGACTCTTGTGATATTATGGGTAATGATCGATGTGGGGTTCAACGTGGCTTGATTTTGTGTATCCGTATAAGACTGGCTCTGCAGACTCGAAGCTCTGGCATCTAGATAAATCCCGTGTATCCTAGCCCAACTAGGTACGTACACGCCCAGTAGATCCCTTAGCTTCTAACACACCCCCTTAGATTTAGTATACAAACTACGCCAAATCTATCCAAATATACCCTAAAATACCCTAAAATCCTTCCAAAACTGGCTAGAAATAATACTATTCCCAAATTACTTCCTCATTACAATAGCTTTCAAATTTTTACTCGTAAGAGTCTTACCTTATTATATTTATAGTTCTACTTACCGATTTATTACCCGAATCCTCTTTTATAAAATCTTCTATACCCTTCGGGCGGCTTATAGCGATATTTTTACTACTAAACTCTCGTAATTAAGTCTATAGCTACTATAATTCTATAAATCCTAGTTACTCTATAAATTTTAAATATATTACGAGAAGGAGGCTCTTTATAAAATTATCCGCGATCTACTCCTTAGTAAGCACGTAGATTACGTTTACTAGCTTCCTCTCTTATGCTTACTTTAATTAGTACTTATACATATTAATATATTTAAGTTTAATTATAAGTTAAACTCCCTCCTTTATAATAAATTATATTGTTTACTTATTATTATAGCCTATAGGTATAGCTTTTTAATTTTCGAACCCTAAAATAAATTCGTTAAAGAGATAGCGAGCGTAGATAGCCTCTTGAACTCACTAATTAAAGGATAACAATTCGGCCTCTATAAATAAAATTATAACTATATTTTATTTATTAGCTCGCTAATCGATTATAACGCCTAAGAATATGAGTATAAATGTCTATAAACTTTTTTAATTGAGAAAATTATTTATAAATAAGGAATTAATTATAATGTAAAAGTCTTAGCGGTCTTTACTGTTTAGTTAAAGGGTGTAGTTTTAAATTGTAAGAAGGTAGAATAGTATTCGATTTATAACCATATAATATACTAAATTAGAATTTAAATTGAATCGAATGAATTTAAAGATTAGGATTACTACGTTTAGTTGCAACGTAATAGTAATATAGAGAATTAAATTAATTTTAATTTAATATACGTAAATTTCGTACGGGGCTATACTATTTTAGTAAAATAAGAGTTCCTCTCTAATCATAAATATAAAGTATATTTTTTTGATATATTTAACCTTCTCTGTAATCTTCTAAATATAATTGCGCTATAATAATTAAATTAATTTCTTTTTTCGGTTTTAAATAATTTTAATACTTAAGAACTATTTTAGTAATTTTCTTCCTGTTAATTAATATTTCTTTTCTATAGCGGCTACTACCCCTTTAATTATAGTAATTTCTTTATCCCTATATTTATAAATAATAATAATACTATCGATATAGAAGAAAAGGAATATATTATTTTTAATTAGGATATTAAGCTCTATAGGGAGAGGGTTTATATTTATAATTATAAAGGTTTTAATAAATTCCTATTATTAGAGGAGAGGAGATTTCTATAAACTATATAACGTATGTAATAATTAAAATATTTAACCTTTCCTAATATATTTAGGAAGAGCCTTTATAAATGTTACCTTATTAAATATAGCGATAATAAAAATACTTTTTATATTATATTAAGTTAAATTAAAGTTAAAGTAGGCAGCTATAATTATTAGGATATAGAATAATTTAATTATTAAAATTATTATATATATTTTACGTACGCTATCTTTAAATTATTAATCCCTACGTATAATTAAATGTATTTTATATTTAAGAAACCGGCCGTTTTAATTGAATTTGTAGGTATATTCTTATATTGAACCGAATATTTCGTTATCTTTTACCTCTTTAATACTAGTTTACTTTTAAGACTTTTTATCTTTATATTCGTTTAAGTATTCCTTCTTTATATTTTTAAAGAATTCCCTAAAAGAATAAGAATTAAAATTACTATAATATTTTGGAAGGGGAAGAAAATTAATTCAATAGAGGGTTCTTAATATACCCTTTACTTCATAACAGTTAATAATTTCCCTTATTATTTTTAATTTAAAATTATAATCGGGATCGATATTAATACCCTTCTTTCTTATTAATTCTAAGAAGGCGTAATCTACGACTTTATTTCCCCAAAGGCCTATAAATTAATTACTTTTTATAAATAGGAACGATACGGCTTAATAAAAGTATTAATTTATAATTAGCTATAATTTTTTATTCGAATAAGAGAAGTTAATTATTAGAAATGCGGCTAGGCTATTAGGAGGGGTAGGGAAATAGCCTTCTTTTTTATCCTTCGAATTTAAAATTATATTTTAAAAATCCGACGGCGATTATACGGGCGGCGATAGTAAGGGCTCTAAACCCTACGATTATATTTCTAATATTTATAAGACTTCTAAAGATTTAGATTGTATTTATATTTTTAGAAACCCTAATTTCTCTTCTTCTCCTAATATATTTTCGGTTTCGGTAGGAAAGTTTTGAATAATAGGGCTAAAAATTCCGTTATTTATAGTAGGTATAGCTTCGATTTATAGGACGTCTATTTGCGCGATATTTATTTAATAAAGATCTTTTAATTATATAGCTATGTCTTTAAAGGAGATATTAAGGGTATTATAAATTTCTTTAACGTTACTACTAGGGAATATTTCGTTTTTATTAAATATGATGTTTTATATAATAATAATAGAATTAGTATAGGGATTCTAAATCCAATAAATAATCGTTAATTAATATTTAATTAAATAGCCGACCTAAGTGCGGTCCT